TTTATAATATTAGTCGCGAAAGCAGTCTAAGGTCCCGTGCAAAACTGCTGGGCTCCGAGTCGGGCCCCTCCTGCATCCGCCTCGTGGATAAAAGGTTCGATCCCGAGCCTACGAATACAACGCAGTTCGAGGTGCGAATCTCATCGCACAATTCTGGGATGCGGTTGGGAACTTTCACTCTCAGCGAATCGCTCCGTAACGAAGCTGCAGCAACAGCGGCGGTGCACGGGCCAGCAAGTGCGCTATAATTAGAGTCGTGTTTGTGTTAGCGAGAGGCTCGGGGGAGCACGCAGGAACTCCGTGACCACAATTGGCCATTAGAACGCACGAGGGCTCTTTGTTGGTGGAACAGTTCATCTGTAATTGCACGTCATTACTCTCCTTTATTCGCAAGTGCCATTGGCCACGTTGCCGCGGTAATTATGATGATGATTATTATTAGTTTGTTAAACAAAATGCTGGAGATGTAAAGCTGATGTTGTTATTTTCTACGACTGTATTGCATGGTATTGGGACGAGTGACACAAATGAAAAGTTCACAGTCCATGTCGATAGTCCTATAACAATGGTCTGGATGTAATTCTCTCCCCCCCCCCCCTGCTTTTTAAACATTTATTTAGTTTAAATAAATACCTTTGAGAAAAGTGCAATGTTCTCAAATCCAATAATTACTTGAAATGTTTGCTTTTACAACAAAAGATCAATGGAAAGAAACAATTGTTTATATTTATCTCATTGCGTTTAAATTACAAAGTGCGTTCATTATTTTCTTTGAAAAATGTGGATTGCAATTATCATCGGTTTACTTAAGAAACACGGAACAGTTCACACTCAGCCCATGCTGATTATACGAATATTAAAAACATTTCCCCTCGAACTAAATCCACCCATGGAAGGGCGAATCACCGGTTTCACTGTGTAACAAAATATTAAACACGCTATTTTAGTGATGGATCTTTTAAAATATATATATCGTCTGTGTGGATCGTAGTCACTTCACTGCTGGATGAAAGACTCTCCAATACATGCTGCAGTCCGTCACGATCCTGCGATGCAACATGCCAGCTGGCACCGGCACGCGAGATGATTCCATCGCTCCATCTCCTCTAGCGACGCGTCCTGCCCAGGACCTTTAAAATTTCTCAACGGTTGGAATGTATATTTGTGCCTATTAATAATGTCTTCAACTTGTAAGGCGCCACGCAGTATGTGGCTCACTCGCGAAGAGAGGGAACGACCCGGGAGGTGCGAGGAGGGACCACAGACAGGCGGGAAGGCAGCAACCAGGCGGTGAGCCAGCGAGACCAACACATGCCCAAGCTCTGCAGTCCTCTCTTTATATGTTCAGATGTTTTTCACCCAATTACTGAGTTTTTTTATTTTACCAGGTAATGGAGCTATTTAGCTATTTTTCAGCAGCAACCTGGCTGATCATGTTTAATTTAATAACAGCCCAATACTCTAAATGCGGAGGGAAATGCCAAAAGACCCGGAGAAAATCCACGTGACCACGGGGAGACAGACACGCAAACTCCAAATATACAGCAGGCGTCAGCGTCGTGGTCGGGATCGAACCCACGACTTCCTGCATACCAGGCGAGGGAGTTAACATCTCGCCACCGCGGCGCCCCTTCATTCTCCCTTTCCTTTACGTGGTAGGAAACCAGAACACCCGTGGTAAACAAACGCATGCGAGGGGGCAACACTCGATCCCATACACATGGAGTCCGCATTTGCTGTACCGCATTCTCCAGGGTACGGAACCTCGACCGGCCATGGGATGTGCCGTGCCGACCGTCATAGGAGCTCGCTGACAGCACTTGCCCCAACAGTCTGTTAAGGCTATACGGGGGATCTATGTCTATGTGCCATCTTTGTCGTGCATTTGTTTTCTCTCAGGCCTTTGAGAATATGATTTCGGTGTTGCGGTTGCTCTGGAGATCGGTGATCGATGTTCGGCGAGTGGTGTTGATTTTGTGTGCGTTTCATACCGGCACTCGTAAATCCGAATTGAATTCAATTTGCTTATAAAATGGGACCTTTTTGGCAATGTCAAAGTATGAAAGAAATAAAACTATGTTTAACCCTTTCTGGCAATGAAACAGGTGTTAGGATGCTCAAACGCCAAATAGAAACCTGTTGCAAGGAATCAAGTCTGCATTAACCACACGCACTTGTGATCAACATGCAGACTAAACATGCTCTGATAATAATGTTTACATTGTAAGTTGGCGTTCTCTGGTCTGATATATACCGGTGAGACTAAGCCCTAATACGGCTGTCTGGTGGAGACCAATCAGTTTCAAGGACAATGCATAGCTTATCAGAGCACGGTTTGTCTTCAAGTTCACAAGTGCTGAGTGTGGTTAATGCAGTGACTTGACTCCTCGCATAAGGTTTCTATTTGGTGTTTGAACATCTTAACACCTCCTGTTTGATGGCCAGAATGGGTAAAAACCTAGTCTTATTTTTTGCTAATATTTATCACTAAGTTCTTGTTCATAACGCAAAGCATGCCAACGGTCCGTTTAGTAGATTTTGTTTGGCAGGATGGTGGCATTTTTGTTGGTGGTTGTTGTTGAGGAATCTATGAAGATTTCTTTGAAGTTGAAGGGCGACGGCGGCGGGGAGCTAAAAGAATGGGTCTCTCTTTTGAGATTAGAAATCGTTTCAAATCGTGGAGCGAGAAATGATGCCACCCCCCTCCTTTCGCGTCAACACCTCGCTGACCTCGTGTGAATCATTCCATATCGGGGGGGGGGGGGGGGGACGGTGAAATCAAACGCCCTTTCTTTGATGAGCAGTAAGTCCCAAACTGGAAGTGAATGGCTTGGGAATAAACTACAAATCGAATTGTTGATCTACTGGGTTGAGACGAAGTAGATTGCTGGGTTGTGGTAATGGGATTACACCGCCCTTTGTCAAGCCACCCCTGGATGAAGGCGTTCCCGCGGCGTCGCCAGCGCCTATTATTTTCCACAACTGAGAAACGGCTTTTGAAGGTAAAATACCAACAACAACGACAACAACAAAAGTTGTATCGAAAATAAGACGCGGTGTCGATCACGTGAGTATAACATTGGTGTTGGTGATTCTGGTACCGTATTTTTTTCTCTTTATTTTAAAGCACAAAAGTAAGGGATTGCTTGTGTTGCGATTGAAACGTCGTGATTTTTTTAATTATTTTTTTCTTTTTCTATCTACGTGGCTTTACCGAAAGACCCATAGAGTGGGAATTCCTGCAGTCACGAAAGCTTCAAGTCAAGATCTAGGGGGTGCATCGCACGTTCACCACCAGCCGTTAGCGCTACGAACCCGGCGACCCGAGTTCGATTCCCGTTCACGGCCAACACCAGCGACGATTATCTGAAACCGGTCCTGGGCCTCCCCAAGGTCAACTCAGCCTCTAGGGAGACAAAGGCGGCCGGGCGAGAGTGGGGTGGCCGCGTGATGTCTCCTTCGCTACGGGGTGTGGGCTCGAGTCTTGAGACGGGCGTAAAAATTTGACAAGATCCCTTACACTGCTTTTCTTGTTTCGCGGTGGAGGTGGCCGTGACACTTGGGACGTCTTGTGGTTTTTTCTCCGCCCCTCGCCTCCCGGTGTGTTGTGTGTATGGCGTGTATGGGGTGTGGTGTGTGTGGTGTGTGTGTGTGGTGTATTGTGTGTGTTGCGTGTGTAGTGTGTGTGTGTTGTGTATGGTGTGTGTGTTGTGTGTGTTGTATGTGGTGTGTGTGAGGTGTGTGTGTGGTGTGTGTATGGTGTGTGTGTGGTGTGTGTATGGTGTGTGGTGTGTGTGTGGTGTGTGGTGTGTGGGTGGTGTGTGGTGTGTGTATGGTGTGTGGTGTGTGTATGGTGTGTGTAGTGTGTGTATGGTGTGTGTGTGTGGTGTGTGTTGTATGTGGAGTGTGTGAGGTGTGTGTGTGGTGTGTGTATGGTGTGTGTGTGGTGTGTGTATGGCGTGTATGGTGTGTGGTGTGTGTATTGTGTGTGTTGTGTGTGTAGTGTGTGTGTGTTGTGTATGGTGTGTGTGTTGTGTGTGGAGTGTGTGAGGTGTGTGTGTGGTGTGTGTATGGTGTGTGTGTGGTGTGTGTATGGTGTGTGTATGGTGTGTGGTGTATGTATGGTATGTGGTGTGTGGGTGGTGTGTAGTGTGTGTATGGTGTGTGGTGTGTGTATGGTATGTATGTGTGTGTGGTGTGTGTTGTGTGTGTATGGTGTGTGTGTATGGTGTGTGTATGGTGTGTGTAGTGTGTGTATGGTGTGTGTAGTGTGTGTATGGTGTGTGTGGTGTGTGGGGTGTGTGTATGGTGTTGTGTATGTGTGTTGTGTGTGTAGTGTGTGTGTGGTGTGTGTGGTGTGTGGTGTGTGTGTGTGTGTGGTGTATGGTGTGTGTAGTGTGTGTATGGTGTGTGTGTTCGGTGTATTGTGTGTGGTGTGTGTTGTGTGTCCAGAGGCGACCCGCAATAATTGCAACATGTATTTTCCGGGGCGAAAGCTGACAGTTGCCGCGACTTGTTGCGGGCGGAGTTGCACACAACCACAGCAGCAGCAACAGCAGCAGCAACAACAGCAACAGCGGCAGCAGCAGCAACAGCGGCAACAGCAGCAGCAACAGCAGCAGCAGCCGCAGCAGCAGCAACACAACAGCAGCAGCGGCATCCGCTCGGTGTTATTCCGGTATCCTTTTGTTTCAGAGCTCCGTCATTATTGGTGGCCCGACCAAGGGGCTGCTGGATGTTTGACTTCCCACCAGGACAGGGGTAGCGGGCGGGGTGGTTGGTGCACGGTTCGACGGGGCTGGCTGGCTGCTAGGAGGAGGAGGTCCTGCAGCGGGATCTGTGTGTGTGATTTAGTCACGAGATAAGGACCCAGCTTTTTATTTACACAAACAGGAAAGACGCACTTCCCACACCCCCCCCCCTCCACGCCACGCCGGTGATCCACGGACGACATCGGGGCAGGCTCCTAAGCCGCGACTCTTAAATTCGCCAGACGCAGGACGGATCGGGCAGTGGTAGGGAACTTGCAGGGAGCAGCCAGGTTGCCTGGGCAGGCGACGGAGGCGAGGTTCCCCAGCACTTTGATCGTGACCGAGACCAGCCAGCGAGCACGGAGAGCGCCATACAACAACAACAACAATTGCATGCGGCGAGGGAGACAAAAGGCAACATTAATGCCTGGGCAACTGCAGATATTCGTGTCCCAGAAATTGCCCACTTTTGGAAAGGCGGAGAACGGTGTCAAGATGGCTTTGGGAGGACCACGCAATTACAAGGTTCGTTCCGATCGCAGTTTGCACTTTGGGGGGGTGGGGGGAGGGTTTGTTCTGCATTCAGAGACAAATTCGAGTGGTAAATGCACGGAAGGTGTGCGTGCAGTCTTGGTTTGAATGAACATTTATTCTGCTGTTAGATGTGTGATGTGGAGGTCTGTGTGTGACACCTGTGTTACAGAAAAAGGCACGTAGGAACAGAGGTGAGGTGTTGCCACGGTGGTGGGATGTTTACTACCTCGCCTGGCATACAGGAGGTCCTGGGTTCGATCCCGACCCTTACGCCTGCTGTATATTTGGAGTTTGCATGTTCTCCCCGTGGTTGTGTGGATTTTTCTCCGGGTCCTCCGGGTTTTCCCTCTACATTTAAAGACATGCGTTTAGACTATTTCACTGCTATACATTTTCACCTGATACGCCGCTATGCTGAGCCATCATTTTTGACGGCCAGGTTCGCTTCTGAAAACAAGTTTTAGAGCCCAGTGGGCCTCATCTAGTAAAATAAAAGTTTTTTTTTATATTATTTATTTTTGGCACTTTCCGTAAACGCGGCTGGTTTGTCGCGAGGTTGATTTCTGCTCTGAACCGCACCTCCCGTTTGGCCGTCGATCTCGCGTTTGATTTAACAATTACGACGTTACTGCTGCACCCACTGCTTCTGATGTTTTACTCGAAGGGCTCCGTGTGTGATGTGAACGTGTTTGTTACCCCTGGAGGTTATCGCAGTTGCGAGGAGAGAACGACAACGCCTGCAACCGCTGTCTTTTTTTTGCTGACTTCTCTTTTCACCATTGGAACCCGAGCTCTCATACTCTGATGGTGCATTGTCTTTGAGTTGTGCGCCTTTTGGCGTCATCTGGTCCAACCCATGTGAGACTAGGCTCTAAGGAAAGCTGTCTCGGGTGTGGACCAATCAACTTCAAGGACAGTGCATATGTTATCAAAGTTATGTTTTTTGTTTGCATTATGGCTGCAGGTATTGTGGTCGATGCAAACATGACTCCTTGTAAAAAAAGGTGTCAGTTTTGTTGCCAGATAAAAGGGTAAAAAACTAATTATCCGATTTCTCTTTTATGATGTTCTTTCGGAGAGACACCTGATAATAAACAGCGAGACTATAAATTATAATTATTTTTTTAATGTAATTGATTCCATGTTAAGGCCACTTAAAATCCAATTAAACCTGCAGATAGGACAACTCAATGTACGCACGTTACAGCCCCTTCATCAACACACTGCCAACGTGTTCGTCGTGGGAGTAATTGACCATACCTCCCCGCGCCGGTCAGTGCTAGTTGGTGAAAGCGAGGAGCATAGACGCGGGGGGGGGGGGGGGTCACAGAAGTGCAGTACAACAATAGATGTTGCTGCAACTGTCGCCTGCTGATAACCACATGGCCCTCGCAGCCTAAACGCAACCTGTGGCGCATGTTGGTCGCCCATGCGAGCACCGATCAGAGGCCACGCATTGCTTCGCTCTTGACGGGATCTGGCGAGGAGATCCGGCGGCTTCCGTATAATTTGCCCATGTGCAGGAGAACTCAACGGATACTGGGAAACAGAGTCCAGAGGGAGGTGTGATGTGGGTGGAAATGGAGCCGAACAATAAGCGGAGGAAAATGAGGTCTCCGGGCAGGAAGAGTTCCAAATCCTCTCTGTACGCGTAAGCCACGCTTGCTTGCGTGCGTGTGTGTATGTTGAACTTCTTTCGCGCCGTACGTAGCCAACCGAGCGAATCGGAGGTGCGGGTCGGCTACGTACGGTGCGAAAGAAGTTGAATGTACGTACGTTGCAGCGCCGAGGGCATGATGACACAAGGCTGGGCATATAATCGATGTGCCTGGCGGATATGATGTGGCACAGAGTCACGAAGGCTGATGACTCAAACTCAGTCTCTGTTGAATACTGTGAGCATATTTAAATGGCATGCACGTCTATGCTGCACTGTGTATATAAAATACATGAATGGGTGTACTCAGATATTAAAACGTATGATGCATGTTAAACTTCCTTCGCACCGTACGTAGCCAGCCGTGCTCATTGGAGGTGGTATTATTAAATTACTTCATATATGTTCTTTGGGTCTTCGGTAAAGTCACGTAGATAGGTTCAAAGAAAATAACAAAAAACTACGAGGTTTCGATCGCGAAACATTTTTTTTTTGCTATTTTCTTTGAACCTATCTACGTGACTTTACCGAAAGACCCAAAGAATATTAATTCCTGCAGTCACGAAAGCTTTAAGTCAAGATTTACTTTATATACGCACTTGATTATATCATTGGTAGAGGTGGCTCAGCTGTATTAGATGTCACAGCAGTCGCTGAGAACCTGGGTTCAAGTGTGGCCAACGACCCGTGATGAAACCACGACAGCTCATTAAGCGTAAGGTGTTGGTGGCGTCTTCCCAGTGACTGCAACAACTACAATGGGCCAGTTCTGAGAAATGAAACATTTGGCTTGACTGACATGTAACACAGAGTTTTTTTCTGGGTATTTATAAAAAATATATTTCCTCCTTGTGCGGCTAAAAGATGGTGATTTAAAGTGACTTATTGTGTAGTTCAGTGATGTCATCTTTCTGCACAATTCTCCAATGCAGCGTGATAACACTGCTCTTTGAAAACTTCGAAATGGGAATGTTTGCATTCTCATGGAGTGAAGTTGAAAGCAAAAGTGGAATGTGATTTGTCAATGAAAATAATACACTCATGTATTTCATTAGCACATCATGCAATGCATTTTACAGGAGACGAACATCGATTCCGGGTTTAGGTACGGAATACTAAAGTGGATGAATATTCTGGAACATTTGAAAATTAGCAAAACCATTTCAGACCAAAATTAAATAAAAGTAAATAAAACACGTAAGAGGCAAAGTATTGCAGAGGTCATATATTTAAATAGTTTTTTTATTGAAATGGCTTCATAATTTTTTTTTTAAATAAAGCTTTAGTTTTATCATCACAAACTATGATGGGATGTAACATGTATAAGTCAAGGATAAGTAATTTTCCACCGCATTTTAACAGCAGCATGAAACGTGACGCTAAAGCTGCGTTAAATATGTGGATGCGGACGGGTGCCGCGGGATTAGCTGTAACCTTTAAAGTGGCTTAACCCCATGCGTGTTTATACGTGGACCTGAGGTCAAGCAACGTTCTTTCTAATTCAAGTGAGACCACTCATGTAAACGGTGTTTTTCATGTCTCTCGGAACGGAACCCGCCAGGTGGCTCCATGGTAGAGCGAGCGGCTCGCAATTGGGAACGTTGGCGAGTTCAAAATCTGGTTTGAAGATTGACTCAGCCAATCACCGCTTCGGGGGTCGATAAAAAACTACTCCGGGAGGAAGTCAACAGCGTTTTTCCTGCTGAATCGACTCGCCGACGTTCGTGGAGGAACGTGGAATTCCCACCACTTGCTCACGAGCTGTACAAGGGAACGAGCCACCCGAGTGTCAATACGCATTTGAGCAGGGAACCATGTTGGCTTTGAGGAGCAGAAACTCGTGCCATTGTTAGCGACGTGATGTCCCCTGGGTGTGCGCGGCGCACACCCGCAAGGATAGTTGGGGCGAGGTCGGGGATTGGCGTACTGCGAGAGCCTCAACTGGCTTAGGCCCCGAGATGACCGGTAGGAGATGGCGGTGCCGAAGATGAGATCGCAGCCCATCCGTGCAGGTCTGTTGCGTGTGTTATCCCATCATCTAAAGCGCGGGTTTCCTCTGGGTCCCCTGGCTTCCTCCCACGTGTGTGCAAAAATAAACCTCATTAAGTGGATAAACATTGCAATGCAGGACTTGCCCAAAAAAATGAAAATGGTCTTGACACTCAGTGACATTTTATGGAAGAAATGAGGGACCACTTTTAATTAGCTATTGTGCAACTGAGTTGTTCCACATCGTGAATTCCCACGCACTGTCGACTCAGAACGTCTCAGTATGGCTGCATTGGCCTTCAAAGAGGCATGACGCGGTTCACTCCGTAGGTGACACTGAATTCGGAGACACTGAAGTCAGAGACACTGAAGTCAGAGACACTGAAGTGGGTGACACTGAAGTGGGTGACACTGAGATATTCGATGTCAGTCTCTGAACGCGTGCACTTGAGAAATGTTGTTGCTGTTTTGCTCCGCACTGCGTGTCGCTTTGCCTTCTCCCAGTCACGCTCTCCGTTATGGAAACAGCACATGTCCCCCAGGGATTGAGTAATGGAATCCGTTACTGTACGAGGATGTTTATTGTATTCCAATGTTTAGATTGTGCGTGCGTTATTTTTTTGCCTTGAAAAATATTTATAAATTACGGATTGAAATACTGTTTGGAATAACAAAAAAATGATTTAACAGACACAACGAAAATGTATAGAACCATATCTGATGAGATGCGTGTACTTTTAAAAGTCAGACACACACACACACACTGTTGTTTTCTTGTTAAACTGTTAATGCCCATCATTTTAATTTAGAGGGGAGAAATGGAACTACTCATAACTTGAATGTAAAATGTGAAATAGAATAATGTATTTTTGAACTAAAAAATGTAAGCCAGACATCTAAAGATGGTAACTTTTTTATACTTGAGAATCTGCTCTTGAAACCCCACGTGTGCCCATATGGCCGTGCATGGCGAGCTATTTTATAATCCACGTCCTGCTTTTAGAGTAACCGTTGCATCACGGTCGCATTGCTGATGCCCTCTCGCAAGGGCAACGCCATTACAGGCGCGATATATAGAAAAGCCATGTTCTTGTTGTTGTTGTCGTATTGTTGCAACCAAAACACGACACGCGATATTGACACGGTGTGAGCCGTCCCGGCTGACTCAGCCCGTGTCTCGACAGGACCTGCTGTACGAGGAGGTGGTCTACTCCACCATCCACCAGCTGAACGTGTCTCAGGCCGACGCATCTCACCTCCTGGGCTTCCTCCAGCAGGTACGGTGGTACACCTCCACGCGTGCGAACACACGTGTGTGTGTGTGTACGCACGTTTGTTGAACTTCTTCTGCACCGTACGTGGCCAACCGTGCTAATCGGAGCTGTGGGGGAAGGACAACAACACTAAACACAAAAAATCCGTTCTAAAGAAATTTGTTTTCAATCTATACGTGCGTAGTTCCGGTGGCTTCCAAATAGCGCAAGGAAGAGTGTTTAAGAGGGCCGCAAAAGCGCATCTGAAAGTGCGCGTTGCAGTGACCGTCTTTGTTCGATGGCTAGCCAAACGCTGCTGTGGCACGGCTTCAGCAGAGGCAGGTGACACACGAATTTCACAGAGACAACCCCACTCTTCAACTTCGAGGGCCCACGGAGATTCAACATCAAGCCGAGGGCAAGAGGTCATTGTGACCACCGCTATCGACGCCAAAGACAAAGATCCCCCGTGTATCCTTAACAGGCTATTTGGCTAAGTGCTGTTAGCGAGCACCTTTTAAGTTTGGCACGGCAAACGAGGGAGTGGGTGCCTAGCACCATATCCGACCACCTTTGTCTCCCCAGTGGCGATGTTTTTACACACCACACCACGTCCTCATTTGAGGCTGAGTCGACCGAGGGGAGGCACATCACAGGTTCAGATAATCGTTACCGGTGTTGGCCGTGAGCGGGAATCGAACTCGGGTCAACGGGTTCATAGCGCAGCGTGCTAACTGCTATCCTACCGCACACACACACACACAACACGTACACACACACACAACACGTACACACACACACACACACCGACGTCGCCATCACTCGCCTCCTTCTGCCAGACCATGCCGCCTGTTTCACGGTTGACACCCGCCCGCCGTGTGTGTCCGTGCATTGCAGGTGTTCGGTAAGAGCCCGTCGGAGCACCTGGCCCTGGTGCAGCGTGTGCGGGAGATGGCAAAGGTGAGGGTCGCCTTTCAAGACACTGTCCACGATCAATGATTAGAATCAGAATATTTAGTTATCTTGGAGGAATCCGAGGAGCTATAAAGCTACTGGTTTAGAACTGCAAATGTAAAATGTGTAGCATGCTGCGGATACTTTGTCTTTAGCGTTCGTATTAGAAACGTGCGTTTAGGTTATTTGGCTGCTTAGAAATTTCCACGTGATAAGCCACTTCGTTGAGACATCATTTGTGACCAGGTCGCTTCTGAACAGCTCAGTGGGCCTTACCTGGTGAAATAAACAGTAGTTTGAGTAGTTTAGTTTAACCACGATTGTGGCAAAGATCTGCGCTGTGCAACATCCCTGTCGTCGCAGGACGCCAGTGAAATAGAGCCTAAGAGCTCACTGGGGTCCTTTCTACTGAAAAAAATAAAATCTAAAAATCTACCCCTTGCCCATAACTGTAGTCAACCCCACAGCAATTTGTTGGAGATAGGCCATACTCTCCTGACGATACTCAAAAAGTGGAAACCGGTCAGGGGTTTTGCTGCTTTAACACATATTTCTAAATATCCTTATCTCAGAAGACCCAGGCTATGCTATCCAGGTTATTTACATCCATTATTATAAAAAAGCATATTCTGAAATGTTTATATTGGAGACATAATGGTTTCAGCTTCACGATTATCCGTTTAAGATTTGCTGACGATACGGTTGATGATATGTCAAGCAAAACAATACAACAACGTGGGAAACATTGGTGGAGGGTTTTGAACCAGCCATCCGTAAAAGAAACACCATCGATATCGATGCTGTGTGGCTTTTAGCCGGACACGATTTTTAATGGGATACATAAACCACTCTGAAATGCCTTCGTCGCTGGTTAATGTGCTGGAACAACACCAAACAGCAATCAAAGCGCGAAACCCTTTGTCAGCGTTGTCCTTTGCGCGAGCTGAACGGTGCGCGTCATTGTGTGTTCCTCCTCCAGCCGCCCGTCCACATGCTGAAGGTCACCGTGTTTGAGGCCACTGACCTGACGCCCAAAAATTTGGACGGTGAGTGGTGGACAATGTGAGAAGGGCCGTGTTACGAGGCCGCCTGCGATCGCACGTCCACATTTTTCCACGTCTCCGTATGAAGCGAATGGCACCGACTCTCAATTATCGCATCTGCCTGAGAGTCCCCCTCACAACCCTAAACCAGCCCTGGGTACAAACCCTTGGCCCTTACCTACCTCTCTAGCTCTCGAGAGGCAGGGTCCCCTCGGGGTCCCGATGGCTGGTGGATGCTGCTGCTGCTGCTGTGCGTGCAGGATCCAGCGGTGGTGTAGCGGCGAGCGCTACGCTGCGCTACGAACCCGGCGACACGAGTTCGATTCCCGCTCACGGTCAACACCAGTGACGGATGATCTGAACCGGTCCTGGGCCTCCCCTAGGTCGACTCAGCCTCGAATGAGTACCTGGTGCGGTGTGCAGTGAACATGGCCACTAGGGAGACAAAGGTGGTCAGGTGTGGTGCTGGCCACCCACCCCCGTCGTGTGCCTTGCCGGCCATTCAAAGAAGTGCTGCTCGCTAACGGCACTTGCCCCAACAGTCTGTCGAAGGCTACCTGGGGGTATTTTTTCGTTCCTTCTGCAGGCTCCAGCAATCCGTACTGCACCGTGGGCCTGGCGCTGGGCGCCGACGCCGAGCGCTGCAACCGCGAGTTCTCCTCCTCCGAGTCGCTCCTCGAGAGGCTCCCCGACCGCACAGACACGATGCTGCAGACGCTCAACCCCGTGTGGGACGCCGTCTTTCACATGTACGACGGCTGCCCTCCCTCCTCCCCACCCCACCCCATCCCCCCCTCCACTCCTCCCTCCCACTCCTTCCCCCCCCCCCATCCCTCCTCCCCCCCACCCCCCATGCCTCCTCCATCCACCCCCCATACCTCCTCGCCCCCGATTTGGGCAAATCTCTGATCGATTATTTCATCGGGTGTCCCGATCGTATCCTATTACAGCAGCCTCTCTCTCCGCCGCCTTCCCTTGTGGAGACGAAATCCGGCCGGGGCGACTCCAGCGGTAGAGCGAGCGGCTTGCCATCCGACGGTTTTGCGAGTTCAAATCGTGGTTTCGAGCTTGACTCTCACCACCATCATCCCTCTCTCTTGAATCGATAAAAATGAGTACCACTTTGTAGGGAAGTCATTTTGTTTTTTTCTTAGAGGATCACCCTCGTCATGGGAATGTGGAATGTCCCCCACTGGCTGAGGGCTGTAAACAGAAGAGCATCGCGCCAATGCTCATTTGAGCAGAAGATCACTTTCACTTTTACAGACAAAGATCCTCCCTCCCTATAGCCTGTAACGGCCTGTTGGGGCAAGCGCTGTTAGCGAGCATCTATCAAGGCCGGCACGGCACGCGAGGAATCGGTGCGGCCAACACCACGCCCGACCGCCTTTGTCTCCTCAGTGCCAATGTTTACACACCACACCAGGTACTCATTTTGAGGCTGAGTAAACGTAGGGAGTCTTTCTCCGAATTACGTTAATTAATGAAAGACGCTTACTTTCCCCCGTGACGGTCAGCTGTTTTGCTTAACGCCTTGCGGTCGCGTTCATCCCCTTAACTACTTGGTAACGGGTTCACACAATTCCAGCTCGATCGAGCCATTTCCTTGCCTGTTATCCCGAGACGTTCATTTGAAGTATCCTTTAGTTTCATCATTTTAGTTGCACCCAGCTCTTGAGTAACCCACGTGTCACAGGCACTACGGCAACAGCACCGTGTTCATCATTTTATTGGAACTGGTGCGATTAATTTTGGTGTTGTTGTTGTTCTTTAAAACGAGCCTGATTTTTTGTTCAGTGGTTTTGAGCTCTTGATTCGAGCGCACGGCCCACGGCTGACAGCAGCGTTGCACCATTGTTGTTGCTTCTCGCAGGCGGATCGATGATGTGAAGACCGATGTCCTGACGCTGTGTGTGTGGTAAGCGGCATCGCCTACTCTACCTTCCCCATCTAACCTGTCTTCAGAACTGTTCATTACGGCCATACCTATAAATTTCCCCTTTCTAATATAATTAAATACATTTTTTAAAACTAAACACATTCATCAAGGAAAATATGAGAAACATATATCAACATCTGAATAGCATATGTGCTGTGAATAAGGACCATGAGAAAATGGGACCTTTTTTTGCCAGTATCAAAGTATGAAAAAATAAGAAGCAGTTTTTACCCCTTTCTGGCAATAAAACAGGAGGTGTTAAGATGATCAAACACCAAACAGAAACCCTTGTGCAAGGCACCAAGTCTGCATTAACCACACGCAGTACCGTTGGTGAACAAAAGCGCCCTGGAAAGAGCGCTAAATAAATGTGAAATAGAATAGAATTCCAGAAATGGTAAAACCTTTTTTTTTTGCACGAAATTTGATATTTCTTTGCTCTTTTAAGGCCACAGTGCTGTTGACGAAGGTATTCAGGTTGTATTTGTTGTGCCAGTGCACCACTGCCAAGGCAGGAGGAGCAGCATCACCATCATCATCATCAAACACTGTTTCCCATTGCATTGCAGATTGATTCAGCACTGCTACCAATTATCAATGTCTGGCCAGCATGGAAGAGTAGGCCAATTACCCCATAGATCCACCTCCAGTGGAGGCCCCTCTGCCAGCAGTGGCGTGAACAAGAAATTTAAGGACTTTGCCTTTACCTTTGACCAATGGGAAACAAACGTTCTTAAAAGCTTTTGTCTGCTGCAGTTCTCAAACCAATAATTCAATTATGTAAATGTGTACAACCTACAGATAAGTGACCATTAGATTATAATAATCATGATCGTAAAAATTACAATTGGCTTGACAGGAAAGGCGCTTTTCCGTCATATTCGTGCGACGTATTAGCAATGAGCATTGTCATAAGAGTCCGTATTGTCTGCATAAATATTTACCTAAGCGTGATACAAAGTTTTTGTAAGCACCGCTTCCGCTCGGTGACATTTGTCACTGATGGGAAACTGTGGGGCGAGTGATGGGCACTGACGGGGGAGGCCAACGCAGCCCGATATAGATCACGGTCACCATTTGTGTTGGCACATCTATTGTTCTCGTGCCACTGGATGTGGCGTCAAGTGGCAGAGTGCAGCTCTCTCTCTCGCTCACAAAAGTCTCTGGCGCCAACCTCGCCACCGTTTCATGGGAAGTTAAAGTTGGACAGTCGCCACGCTTGCGAGACGCAGCATGGGGCCGGCTCGCCTAACAGCAGTAATTCAATCTTCAGTGCAATCGGTAATCGTGCCATAATTATAGAGCAAAGGCGGTCACCACGAACGGCGCTGCTATGTTTCACAGACGCAGTCTGCAGTAGTTTCACAGCAGTGGGCGATGTTGCGCTGTGTGTGTAGTCCCAATTGAGTAATTTGCGCCGCAGTGGCGAGATGTTAACTATCTCGCCTGGTATACAGGAGGTCGTAGGTTCGATCCCGACTCGACACCTACTGCTGTATATTTGGAATTTGCGGGTGCATTTTTTTTCGAGTCCTCTGGTATTTAGAAACATGCTTTTAAGAGTATCTGGCTGCTATAAAATTCCACGTGATGAACCACTTCATTGCGCTTTTATTTGTGGTCAGGTCCCTTCTGAAAAAGGGCTACACAGCTCAGTTTTTTGTTAATATGGAGTTCATCTTTCAAATTACGGACCGTGACGCCGGCACACAATGTATGGCCTTCCCGTTTAAAATGACACGAGAGGATCCTTAACATGCACCATGAATAAGACGGCACGTATTTTACGGTTAATGCACCTGCAGTGTTTACCAGGGCGGCCCTGCCCTGTTTGAACCACAACCTTCCGCAACGAGTGGTGAACGTGCTGCTGCTAGGCAATGTTTATATTGTTGTGGATGCAGTCGCTTGTTCAGGCACCTACCGAGATTGTGCATCAGGAGTATAGTTGCCTTGGTGTAGGTCTCTCACGTAGATAATTTCAGGGTTAATTTCAGACGGTCTCTGTCGGTTCTGTGACCCGGACAATATTTACACACCCAGCGGACCACGTCCAGTGTCCATCTCACTATGGCTGTCGCTACTCGGCACATGCTGCCAGTAACCCAGAAAATATTGAGAAATGTATCCCAGACGATGTTGCATATAAAACTCTCCTAAGGATATAAGCCAAGCAGCATCAATTACCTATGGTGGTTGTGTCAGTGCAACCAGTGGAAGGGCAGCTCCCATTGTTGGTTTGGAAGCAACTCATATATTTAGCCAGAACAATTGACTTAGGATAACAAGATTGAAAGCATCTAGTGAACATATTCTTAGGTTTTTTTCGGTAAAGTCACGTAGGTAAAAAATTTAAATGAAAATTAATGAAAGTAAAATAAAATAAAAAACCACGACGTTTCGGAGGCAACACAAGCCTCCGTCTTCATGTGGAGCCATCACAGCACGATTGCTGTATCAAGATATTTTTATTTATTTATTTTACTTTTATTAATTTTAATTTTAATTTTTTACCTACGTGACTTTACCGAAAAAACCTAAGAATATGATTCCTTGCAGTCACGAAAGCTTCAAATCTAGAATCATCTAGTGAACACACAGAAGGATAAACATCCACCAAGGGAAGAGACAAAGCAAGGGGTTGGGGTCAGGGTTCGCACCGCTGGCGAAGCTCTGTCAACTGCCGTTTTGTTGTCTCACGTGACGCATTTCGCCTTCTGCCAGGAACGAGCACAACGACTCCTCCCTCATGCAGGACATCTCCAAGATCTCCTCGTGGCAGGGCGCCAAGACGTGAGTGCGAATGTCGGGCGGGCGGCGCGCACAACCACGCCGGCGAGCGTCGCGCGAGCGCAACGTCCGCTCCGTGTCCTCGAAGCCGCAGAACGTGGCACAACCGACTGCCGCATTACACCACGGTGAAACTTAAACTCCACCAGATTAAGATGGCACGTTCACGCGCGGTGGTGCATGCCGCGCCAACTTACAACGTGCGTGGATAAACGTTCCTGAATTAACCCGGCGTGCAGTCTACCATGGGGGCAGGCGACAAAGCCAATGCGTGAGTGAGCTACAGCGGAATACGAGTTACGTACGCTTCGGGTAGCGATGCAGCAAACACGAGCGAGAGAAAGGATAGAACGGGAACCTCCCCCGTCCCGTCGAGGTGTTGATAGCGCAACAAATCACCGGAGAGAAATCCGTTGACTCGGGATTAGGGTGACCATGGGAACCCACCATACCCCCGGATATCCCAAAAACACAAAACCCTAATCCACCCCGACCCTTGGCCTCGAGGAGTAGGACGGCAGGAATCACTCACCGACACGCGTGCCCCCCCCCCCCCCCCACCTCCGGCACCCCCCTGAGGACACGGATTCCCCTCTAAGCCTCGGGAAACCTGGAGAGGTCAAAAAGCGAGGGCGTTTTTGAGAACCCAGCCCTCGTGCCCTGCAGAGCGAGCCCACACTGGGCCCCCAAGGGAGCTCCGAGGGGAGAGAGGGACCGGAAGTTTCCACTCCCAATCCGCTTAGCTGCTGCCAGTGCTGCGGAGAGCGATCTTAACTTTGCTATTCTCCTCCAGGGCCTGGTAAAGCTGAGAGCAAGGGCAGAATGCAGTTAACGGATCCACGCGTGCACGGGGAAAACATCTATAGATGGGGAAAAAATGGACTCAAGCGAGCGTCGAAAGGCAGTAACGTGACCTAAAACAAAACATGGCCACGTATGCATCGTGATCAAAGATATAAAAAAACAAGTTACTTTTGTGTGTAATAACTTAACAAACACCGTAACCCAGTGACCACGTTGTCACCAATCCTTTGCCATAACGGAACTGCTAACAGCTCTGATTGAAGAAATGCGTATTGTTACATCTTATTTTAATTCAATGTGTATGTTTAACTGGGAATAACCGTTGCCATTGGTGACAGTGCACGTGTGTCCAAGTGCTAAAATCACACCTCCGCGGAATTATTTTTTTAAACATTTTGTATGCAGTGGATTTTAATTTATCATTGAATCTTAACCAAGCGGCACCAGTCAGGTGGCACCAGTCAGGTGGCACGTGCACAATGTTGCGTCACCCCTCTTGCGCAGTGATCTTCACGAATTTCCAGAGGGGGGGCAACTTTCGCCGATAAGACATCGTCAGTGTGAGGGCCGCCACACGTTTGACACCATTGGGGTTTGACTGCAGCACGATGATGATGATGGGGGTGGGGGTGTTTTCACATTTTGTGTATTGTTGGGGGCTGCACGTCAGGGGCTGCACAAAAGGCCAGTGAAGAACACTGCCTCAAGTGATGTCTATCAGAGGCAGCATTTTGCAAAAAGAAAATAAACTTAAGCGGAAAATTTTATGGAAGATGTGATAATATCCAGAACAAATATAATAACCCTTATCTGTGTTTGTTCTCGTGTGAGTGGGCCAACGGCTCGGTCACCCATTACAAACGTCGAGCGTCCCGTGGCTGAGCGTCAACACTGTGGATGCTTAATAAAGACACACCGGACCTACAGGAGATTAGGGCACGGCTGTAACGTAAATATTGTTCCCCCAAAATCACACAGGGCATCACGCTCGCAAACGATTTAGCCCGACCCCCACATTTCGACGCGTTCTCAGAAACTCAGCATTTGATTTGCGTAGTTTGTTTTTGTTGTATAGCATTTACATTACGGTGAATGTAACGCCCCTGATAGCTGCAGAAGTTATGGCCGAGTAACTTCGTAACTTCGTGCAACTCTTGCAGCACCAACAAAGCAGCTTGACATCCAACGTTGGTGCGAGCAACAACCAGAGCAGCTGAGCCACCAAAAAGGTCGTAATTACGACTTAATGGGGATGGGATGTGGTTCGGCAAACGAGGAGCTAAAACCCTGAAGCATCGCTAATGGCCGATGGGGGAGGGCGCCACCATTAGACGCAAACTTGTTGTGAGACCCCAGCCCAGACTTCAAACGTGACGCGCCGCTACGAAGCTGTCCACCGTTCTCCCTGAGGCTCGGGAAAACAAGAGCGCACGCACGTCTGCTGTGTCTCAGATTGAGCAAGAAAGTTGTCAAGAAGCTGAAGCGGTTGAGTTTCACCGAGGGACTCATAAAGCCAAAGCAAGAGGCCGACTTCCTGGGCCTTCTCAACCTCCCCGTGCGGGTGAGTGCATTTCCAGCGGAATATTTTCCAGGGCCACCCCCAGTCCTTAACCCTCCCAATCCGCTGCCCCCGTCCCCCCCCGTCCCCACACTCCTCACCAAACCCCATGCCTGAACAGCTCCAGGTGAAACATAGCCCTGTTGACCACCGTAAACAACGCAAGAGTCGTATGTCACCACCACCACCACGTGTAGGTGACACCGCTGTAGTACCCGCGCCCCGCTGGGTGTGCGGCGCTGACGCCAAGTAGAGGTGGCGGTGGCCACGGTACAGACCCCGATGGTAAAGGTCTTCATCGTGGGATGGCTTGAAACTACACGAACTACGACGTCTCCCGGTACGACATCTCCCGGTGCAGAAGTTGAAATCCACCAGTTCTGCTGGCGGTGGCCGGGTATTTAACTGAGGCTGCCAGGTTCACGGTTCAGTGCGCAAACCGTAGTCCATTACACACCGCAGATTTACCCACCGTTGCCACTACTTCCCCTCCCAGAGACGTCCTCCACACGTTTGTCACACACACACACTCGTCCCACTGCTGCAAAGGCGGTCACCACGAAGGCGCTGCTATGTTTCACGGACACAGTGTGCAGTAGTTTCACAGCAGTGGGCGATGTCGCCCTGTGCGTGGAGTCCTGATTGAGGCATTTGCGCCGCGGTGGCGAGACGTTAACTCCCTCGCCTGGTCTGCTCGAGTTTTCTCTCTCTCCCCGTGAGCTTCTATTCTGCGCCTCTTCTCTCATCACATGCACCGTCTCCCGTTTCTCGTTCCACTGCCTCCTCACATCCCTGCATCATCTCTGCCTCTTCTCAACACGCGCCCAAGCCGAGTCTCACCCCCTCCCCTCACTGACCACAAGACAATGTACGTATGTATGAATGTTGATCTTCTTTTGCAACGTACAAAGCCAACCGTGCTAATCGGAGGTGCTGGGTAAGGACAACAACATTACCCCCCCCCCCCCCCCACTTCTCCTGCTGTGCCTCCCAACGTCCATCTCGACATTCCCATCTCCGCCCTTCCAAGCGCTCGCTTTTACTTCCTCCACAGCGGTGCCCTCGTCCCTGGCGTCTGTGTGACCCACTGTGCCCCCCCCACTCCCAACCTGCCCGGCAGGACCTCGGCGCCCCGTACCACGCTGGCACCTACCGGCTGCTGCCACGCTCCAGCCGCTCCCACGTGACGGGAGAGTGCCGGCTGCACAGCGCCTTCCTCACCTGCCAGGTGCGTGGAGCGAAGCGCGAGAGGGATGTTGTCGCAACGATGCGGGGATCCTACGTTCAGGGGCGGTGACACGGCCAAATCACCTCGAGGTTTTTAAGACCGCAAGTGGCCCGAGGAGATCAAAACCTGCAAACCCCCCCCTTTCCCCCCATTGTTTCTTGCGTTGTTTGTAGACGCGGTGGTTAAACGTGGCACGTGTCACACACCGTGTCAAGCCACACGGCTTACCCCGTATTCTTGTGCAGGGAAATTGAGTTTTCAGATTAATGCGGTGTACCGGTCAACCCATACGGTTTACCCGTATTCTCGTACAAATTGTCTATTTGATTGTGTTTCTCTCCTTGTGATGGGACTTTGTAGAATGAACGTTGATATTTATAAGGACAGGGGATGACCAATAAGGTCTGAATGGGTCCGTAATAAGGTAGGGGCATTGCTAAGGGGTTGACAGGTATCTAGATGGATTAATTAATCTGCTTGCTCTACTGCCATCTCCTGGCTACCGCACAACGCAACGGGTTTAGAAGTCTCGAAAATCTGTGACTCAGCGGCCCATCCCTCCAGAGGCCTGGATAACGGGGCCAGCACCACCGCACCAAATAGAGAGCCGTCCCGTGGGACGTTAGCAGCAGTGGTCGTCCTACGGCGAGCCTGGATCCTGCCATGGGAATGAGGAATTTCCACCAATGGTTTAAGGCAGCCGATTGAAATGAGTACCGCCCCAATGCTCATTAGAGCGTGGAGACAAATTGACGCATCGGGCAGTCATCTCAGTCAGTCGACCCATGGCACCTGGGTCTGTCCCCGTGACCTCCTGCCAGCGGGCGTTCGACACTTCACGTGGCCTTAACGTGCACCTAACCTGGCACAAGCGCCGGGGTTACGTCACCACCACTTAGCGGCGAATGGCGGTTGTTGTTGTTGTTGTTGTTGGTCCCAATGCGTGGGAAGTGACAGCGGCTGTTTTGTTGGCTGCAACAGAGGGACAGCGCGCTGAGCCGGGAAGGGCTCGAGAGGGGCGCCTACGAGCACCTGCTCAACGAGTTTGTGGAGTACGAGCACAGCCTCACGGTGAGTGGTCTGCGTGCCTCCTGCGTGCCTTGCGTGCGTGTGACTGGCCGATTCGACCCTTCTTCTTGTCGTAGTCATCATCATCGTCGTCTCTCACCACCCCTCCCCCCCTTTTTGTAATTCGTCTCTGCCCCGTACGTAGCCATTGCGACAACAAGAGCGGCACAGAGCAGCATCGCAGGTCGTGCGCGTCCTTGTTGACAGAGCTCGTCCATTGGGAACTTACAAGGCTGGCTGAGCTTAGGGGTGGGGAAAGAGTGGAGGGGGGTGGTAAGTGGCTGACATGTGGGGGTGTCGCGTTGCCAAGATGTTAACTACCTCGCCTGCTGTGCAGGAGGTCGTGGGTCTGATCTCGACCCTGACGCCTGCTGTATATTTGGAGTTTGCGTGTCTCTCTCTCTCCCCGTGGTCGTGTGGATTTTTCTCCGCGTCCTCTGGGTTTTCCCTCCACGTTTAGCATCAACATCACGCGTTTAGAGTATTTGGCTGTTCTACATTTACACGATGATAAGCCACTTGGTTGAGCTATCATTTGTGGTAAATTTGCTTCTGAAAAAGAGCTACGTAGCTCAGGGGGCCTTAGCTGGTCAAATAAAAATAGTTTAGTTCCACAAGTTAACAAGGCGTGCGTCCTGGTAACACCGGGCCCATTAGAGTGGTTTAAATGAGGTTATTCGGCAAAAGGTCTCATTACGTCTCCCTGAACCGCAAAGGCCATTGGGTTCCACTCCTAGTTGAGTTGTCCTTCCGCCACACCTCCGTTGAGCACGGTGGGCTACGTACGGTGCGAAAAAGTCTCAACGTACATACACCCACACTCCTCTGCCTTAGCCCTCACCTCTGTGCATACCTGCCTATCCTTCCCAGTCAGACAGGCGTCATGCCGCCGGCGTATCCTGGCAGTGTTATTCCAGAGTTTAGTCCCAGAAAACAAACGCGGATTGCTGAGTGGGGGCATCATCGTGCGGTTCGCGATTGTAGCATTGTGCCTGCTGGGTATGGTGGGTTTACTTGCAAGTTGCGATTCGTCAGACGTCGTCATGCAAAAGCACATGTTGTGTATTTGTCAACAAAAAAGTCTCACTCAGTAAGAATGGGGTTTGAGATGTTTCGCAAATAATGTGAGATTTCTTTAGTTGTGGGAGGAATTCAGAATGGTTGTATAAAATCCACACAGAGACAACACTGGGACCCTTCATACGCGGGTCAGAGTGACACTTGCTGCACTGTCTCTTGTATGCATGTGTGTTGAACTTATTTCGCACCGTATGTAGCCAGCCGTGTTAATCGCAGGTGCGGGGGAAAGACAACAATCTAAACACTAAAGAGAGACTGCTGCCTTTTTGGTGGGTTTTTCACTCGCTATTATGTAATAATGTTAATATTTTGCTTGTTTACCCGGGAAAGCCTCACTGAGTCTATCGCACTAGGACGGGATGCTGCGAGTAGTTTGCAGGTAATTTTTGCAGCATAGGGATATTTGACCAATACCAGTTGTAATTGTGTGTTTTTACTTTGGGTGCAAACTGGAGAACGCGGTGGAAACTCGTGCATGACAGGGGAAGAGAACATAGCTGTTTGTGTTTAGTTTGTTTTCCTTCCCCCGCACCTCCAATTAGCACGGTTGGCTACGTACGGTGCGAAGGAAGTTCAACGTACATGCATACAAACGCCACGTAGAAAGATGCCTGACTTGTTAAATGAACCCAGGCCCTTCTTGATGTGAGGCAGGAGTTGTTACCGCTGCGCTACCCTGCCACCCACGGACGACGGCCTCCACGTCTCTGTACCTCGCCCGAGCCTGCCACCGCACATATTGCGCCTGTGTAGAAGTTTGGGAAATATCACTGTTTACAATATCACTGTTTAAAATTGCAGGTGGTGAAATATGACACAGAATATCGGATCCACCGATGAAAATTCACGTTTTACGCTCAGAATTTAACGCATCAAATTGCATGCGCGCAAACCCTCCTGCTTACGATTCGAAAGCAAAACTCGAATAAACCGTACCATCAACACGGGGTGAACGAGATAGAATTGATTGGAACCGCAATTTCGAATCGTGCCAATTCAAAGATATCGCTGGGGTCTGGGGCAGGGAGCGCCGTTACTTCCCAGCAGAATGCGCGTAGGGAATCGGAAATAATTCAGCACAAGCTCTCAGTCTGTACTCATTACACGAAGCTTTGGATCTCTTGTCAAAACGGCTTCATGGGCTCCTCATGATCGGCTACTCAGCCCAAGAAGTTTATATAATATTTAGTTTTGTTTTCGTGCAAGAAAAACACTTAAAATATACATTTAACACGCTACTGTATTTACTTTGAACCACAGAAAGGCTCCATCTGATGAAGTCTGGTGAGCGTATTGTGTACATTTAAAATCCCATTGATACGCTGTCTTGAGTTGGCAACATTCAGCAACATCAACAAACAGGTGAAGGGCTTTGTCTAAACAATCTTTAGAATGTAAAGTCAAGGGCGGACGCACGGCACGTGTTTTCACGGAAGGTGACTTGGCCATGGCAAAAACCTTGACACTCTCATCCAGTAGACATCCTCGTCGTGTGGAAACCAGATACACCACCAGAAGCACCTTTTTTAATGTTTTTCACCTCAGACGTAAAGGTTATTTCGCCATGCCAAAAAGCTTGACACTCTAATCCAGCAGACATCCTAATCGTGTGGAAACCAGATACGCCACCAGAAACACCTTTTAAAAATAAAAAAAGTGTTTTTCGTCTCGGATGTAAAAAAAAACCCCGCGTCGGACGATGTGTGGCGACGGCCACTAAGCGAAACGACGCGACGACATTTCCCTTTGCACGCCGCGTTGCCCTGCACAAACAAAGCGGCCGGCTCCCCCACCGGCTCTTAAGTAAAATATTTGTAACATCTGTGGCGCCCCGCGGTCTTCGGTGGAGGATGATGTCGCGCCGGCCGGCCCACTACTATTCCTAGACTCAATTTAAACCCAGGGGAGCAATCCGCAGTGGGGGGCATTGTTTTTTTTCGCGTTATTTTGTAAAAAAAAAATTGTATCCCTCCCCGCCGCCACCTGTACGCGTTTCTCTGGCCTTGTGAAGTAACAGGGCACGTTTAAAAGTGTTTGTGTTATATTGTGGTCGGTTAGTGGCCAAACCTGGATCGCGAACAATGGAAAACCCCAGCTATCACCGCTCTGAACCGTTTGCAGGCCAGTGCTGTCGTAACCCTCAGGGCTAGACCGCCACAGGGAGATGAATCAGGAAAGTTGTCATCGATTAGCAGAGAGACCTTGTCGTGATCGTCGTCTTCATCATCAGCGATGGCGCATCCCTCGCAGTATTGCAATGTCACTGTCTGTCCAGCTCTTGCCCGTGAGCTGATCTAATCGCTTCATTTCCGCAGGGGTCATCTTCCCGGGCGTGTTCTCTATTACTCGGTGTCCTAATTAAAACAAAAAATAGGGCACTAAGGCACAGCTCTTTAAAGTCAACAGTGTGATTTCCAAAAATTCAGCAAAAAAAATATTGGCTTTATGTATTTCTATTCATTTTTGCTTTGGCATATTATTTAAAATACATTTAAACTTTTACATTTTATTTTCAAATCTATGTTTGTATTTGTTTAGATTTTGAGCAGGAAAACCACAGTGGCTTCCAAGATGATTGGGGCCACCAAAGATGCAAAATCATGTAATTGGACAGGCACATAGAGTTAGGAGCTATGGTTTTCAAACTGGTGGTGTCAATGAAGGTGCATCACAGAGATGAAGAGAAGAATAGCCCTGGCAAAATGTATATTTCAGCAAATGGGATCTCGATTGAAAAAGAATAAATTATTAATGGCTACAAGAATTATAATACTACAGTGTAACATGTGCAGGTCTGTTCTCCGATGCGGATGTGAAGCTGGATGATTACAAAGACCCCACAGAGCAAACTAGAAGCAAGAGAAATGTGGTTATTAACTTAACAAGGATGTTAAAGATTTCATGGACAGACAAGATGAGTCACGTGTACTACGTAGAGCAGGTAAAAAGAGAAAATTAATAAGAATAATTAGAGAAAGGCTCGCTAGATTGTGTGGACATGTAATGAGAAAACAAGAGGCTGAATGTGATGTTTTCACTGGGAACATTGCAGGCGCCACAAGAAGCCGCAGAAGCCAGCGAGTTAAGTGACGCCATGAGCAGTTTGAACAACTGGATGCAACTGGGAGGATCTACTGGAAAGTTCTCGAGTAATATCATGGACAGAGATAAGTCGAAGGAAGACCATGATTGGGGACCTTAAGGAATATTGGGTAACTCACAAATGAGATATTTAACGGTGATAAAGGAAACGAAATGAAAAAAATACATTGCGAAAAATAAAATAAAACGAAAAAATTATTATTCGTTGTTTTATTTTATTTTTCTACCTACAGGAACCAATGAGTATAGATTCCTGCAGTCATGAAAGCTTCAAGTCACGATTGCGAATATAGTATGAGAGCGAGAGGCGCCAGAAAAAGTTAGGTACGCGTGCAAGTGGGCTGTGTTTTGGTTGAGCAGGGAATGAAAGAGGATGGGGGGGGGAGGGAGGGAACCGAGCTGTGTAGAGGAACAGAAAGGGGATTCCATGAAACGTGGAGGAGCAATGCTGACAACACTTTTGTGCCAAACAATATTTTAGCAAAATGGAAATTTTAGTCGGAGTAAAAAGAGACTTGTGAGGCTAAGGGAGGCAGTGAGAGGAACTTAGTGGACCTTTAGGATAAAGAAAGCTCAGTGATTTTTATCCATTAAATTTACGTTAGACAATGAAAATAATAAATAAGCCTTACCAATTAATTTTTTATCTAGCTGGAGTATAGTATCGTGAATTTTTTCGATTATTTTTACTTGCTAGCAACATCTTTTGTTATTGGTTTAATGTATTTCAATAAAAGCCTGGTGCAGACCACAAACCGCGATGCATGGAGGGGTTTACAGAAACTCCGTGGACAGAAGTCCCGAACTCTGTGCTCCTGGGGTTAGAGCAGGAAGGAGACTGGGCAGGGAACAACACGATTTTAATATATAAAGTATATTTTAATCTATCTAAACATTATTTTAAAGAAATGATTGGCAATGTAAAAAAAAGTTAGGATTCAAAAAATGTAGAAACAATATTTTTTTAAACATCTGGAAACGTTCCAACAATCATGTTCCACTAAACCGAGCTTGTCAATTGTTCTCCCGTGAGTTGGGTGAGATGACAATTGTTGCTCTGAGCCACTATTCTGTAGATTCCACGTGCGTATGATTGGTGTGTGTGTGATGGGTGTGTGATGTGTGTGTGTGATGTGTGTGTGTGATGTGTGATGGGTGTGTGTGTGTGATGGGTGTGTGATGTGTGTGCGTGATGTGTGTGTGTGATGTGTGTGTGATGGGTGTGTGATGTGTGTGTGTGATGTGTGTGATGTGTGATGGGTGTGATGTGTGATGGGTGTGTGTGTGTGATGTGTGTGATGTGTGTGTGATGGGAGTGTGATGTGTGTGTGATGGGTGTGTGATGTGTGTGTGCTGTGTGTGTGTGATGTGTGTAAAGGGTGTGTGTGTGATGTGTGTGTGTGTGATGGGTGTGTGTAAAGGGTGTGTGTGTGAGATATGTGTGTGTGATGGGTGATGTGTGTGTGATGTGTGTGTGTAAAGAGTGTGTGTATGTGTAAAGGGTGTGTGTGTGTGTGTGTGATGTGTGTGATGTGTTGTGTGATGTGTGTGTGATGTGTGTGTGATGTGTGTGTGTGATGTGTGTGATGTGCGTGTGTGATGTGTCTGATGTGTGTGATTGCATGATGTGTGTGTGAGTGATTGGTGTGTGTGTGTGATGGGTGTGTTATAGTTGTGTGTGGTGGATGTGTGTATGCTGGTTTGCGTGTATGTGATAGGTGTGTGTGATGCCACACGTGTGAGTGATGGGTGTATGTGTATTATGGGTTTATGTGCGTGTGTGATGGGTGTGTATGTGTGGTGGGTGGGTGTGTGATGCGTGTGTGATGGGTGTGTGTGTGTGGTGGGTGGGTGTGTGATGCGTGTGTGATGGGTGTGTGTGTGATGTGTGATGGGTGTGTCTTTAGCTCCCCATTGGTGCTGGAGCAGCTGTGGAGAGAGTGGAGAGTTTCCCATACCTGGGCAGTGTGCTTATGACCAGCTCCAGTTTGACAGCAGAGGTCTCACTCCGAATCAGTCGGGCGGCATTATCTTTTCATTGGCTGCGTAATGTTGCGTGGAAGCTACCTGGTCTGTCGCTCCGCACAAAGCTTTGGGTCTTCTCGGCCACAGTCATGCCCTCCCTTCTCTATGCTTGTGAAACGTGGACTCCTCTCATGGAACATCTGCGCTGGTTAGAAACATTCTCATCAGTGAGCTCCTCCGGCAGGCAAGGCTGCGTTGGCTGGGTCATGTAGCCCGCATGCCCAGCCACCGCATGCCCAAGCAGCTTCTAAACGGGCACGACATGGGCTGGAGAAGAGATGGACTGATGTGGTACGGGAGGATGTGGAGCTGAGTGGACTTGCCGAAGAGTGGTACCAGCGGTGTCAAGATCGGCCTCTGTGGAGGAGGCTCGTGAAGTACACTACTGGGCAGTTGGAGGCAGTCGCCTTCCAATAACTGAGGGCAGAGGAGCGATGCCCACAACAACGAACTTAGCGGCTAAAATACAGCAAGTCGGCACAGTAGGGGGTACAGCTGGTGCATCTACCAGTCATCTCAGTCAGTCAACCCATGGCACCAGCTCGGTCTGTCCCATGACCTCCTGTCAGTGAGCCTTTGGCACTTCACGTGACCTGAAAGTGCACCTGGCCTGGCACAGGCGCCGTGGTGACATCACCATCATTTAGTGGCGAATGGCGGGTATTGGTGATGGGTGTGTGTGTGTGATGGATGTGTGTGATGTGTGTGTGATGGGTGTGTGTGTGTGTTATGCCGTTGTTCTCCGAACAGAGTGGGCTGTGGTCGGGTGAGCTGGGAGAAGATGCCATGGCAGTGCTTTCCCAACATGCAACGCAGGTTGACCTTTCACCCCTGGAGCAGGCCATCATGTAAGTTATTCTTCAGGCAATTTGTCCATTTTAAATAGGCTATAATCTGTGCTTCCCAATGTGCTGGCACCACCATTTAACACATTGAAGGCTTTCGCGACCAGTATTATTCATAATAACGTTTTTTTTGGGGAACATTGCGTAAATATAAATGTGTCCTTAACCCACCACCACCTGACACAATCAATTAGCAAGGTTTGTCACGTAAACAGAACGTGCCAATTAGTTTCTACTTCAGCACACCGGTGTGTTGGAGGGTAAACCCACAATATTTACAATTTGAGTACGATGTTTTGCTGGTGATTAGAACCAGCTTCGTCAAGATATTTCACCGGCAAAATGTCGCGATTAAATTGTAACCCTTTTCGTTTTACTCTCCAACACACCGTTGTGTTTACATAGTAACTAATTGGCATGCTCTGTTAACGTGACAAACCTTACTAATTGGCTGTGTCAGGTGGTGGCGGGTTAATGACACATTTATATTTACGCGATCCAACCACAAAAAAAACAGTTTGTTATGAATGGCACCGCAATCATTAACAAAAAATCCTCATCGCGTTTCCCAATTGACCCGAGCGCTCCCCTCTGTCGCGATGGTCTCTCTCACCCCAAGGTGGTGGTTTGTGTACAGCGACCACCACAGCAGCAGCCCCATGTTGCCCGATTGCCTGATGCAGCTGCTCAAAACCCTGGAGGAGAAGTGGACGCTGTCGGAACAAGGTCGCAGCAGGCTGCTACCGGACCAGGTAACGACAGCGGAATGAGCGGCACGGGGGGGAAACGGAGGACATGCAGTTGACGCGATATCTACGGGATTTACCGTAGACCAGTGGTTCTCAACCGGGGGTACCTCGTATTGTCCAAGGGGGGTACGTGAGGTGATTTATAAATGTGTGAAATTATATCATACATGAGAGTTATCGGTAAATAACCATGTATGAACTGCCAATATAAAATAACTATGAATCCATATGGTAACCTATAACGATATAAAAGACCTTTCTAAACATCGTAAACAATGCGGGTTTCCAAGAGTAGCCAGCGAGCGTGAACACATTACAACGAGCCTGCAGAGCGTCCATTGATTTTGCAGTTACTCGTTAGTACACCTCACAAAATACATTTATTTCTGAGAACCATGGTTGGGTCAGGCAAGGGGCTACTCGGTTGAAACAAAATTCAACAAGGGGGGGGGGGGGGGGTAACAGTAGCCAACAAAATGGTTGAGAAACACTGATTTAAACGATGGCTAACCCTGGCTGTTGCGGGGCTGCCTTCACAGGGACCGCGGCTCCAAGACAGTTTCGTGAAGCTCATCTCGCAGAACCTGTGTGCGCTCCGAGAGCTGCACGGCAACTTCCCCCTCACAGACCCCGCGTCGCTGCCAAGTCTGCGCGACCTCCTGAGGTTCTTTTGTGTTTCTTTTTTTTGGTGTTTCCCCAATTTATATTTATTTTCTCACAAAGTGTTTCCATCCGAGGCCAATCGCTCAGGGCCAACAATGCCTGTTTGCCACTTGGCAAAGCTTTGCGGCTCTCTGGCACAGCGGCGGTACAATCTTTGGGCTATTCCAAACAGCACGTCCACATCCGCTGTTAGAAAAATGTTATTTTGTCTGGAGGGCTCCGGAGAGCTAACATTACCGAGCGTGTGCCGAGTTTGATGGCTTCAAACTGTCACTGATGACCGAACAAAAAAACACCAAAAGGTCTTTTCCATCACATTCACCCATTAGTCCAGGGGATAAGCGCTGGACAGGGGCCTCTATTTAATTCCTCGCGCCAGGAGGAATGCCAACCACGCTACCCCACTGCAAACGGCGCCCATAACCACAGCTTTTTACTATTTTATTTTACCAGGTAAGGCCCACCGAGCTATATACTGTAGCTCTTTTCAGATGTGACCTGGCTGTCACAAATGATAATCCAATCAGCGGCTTATCGTGTGGAAATTTAGAGCAGTCAAATGTGGAGGGTAAAAACTGGAGGACGCGGAGAAAAATCCACACGGCCACGGGGAGAGAGACACGCAAACTCTAGATGTACGGGATCGAACTCACGAACCCCTGTAAACCAGGCAAGGTAATTAACATCTCGCGACTGCGGCACCCAAATTGGTGTGTGATGTATGATAGTAGTTTTTTTTTATATTGGTGTGCATCTTTGTTTACCCTTAGGTTCCTGATACATCTGTTTGGATCTCCGCTGTATGAAAAGGAGCCCAGACAGCTTGGAGAGCCACACGGAGAGCTACAGGCCACAGTGGGGACAGCTCTGGAGGTACAAGGCGCGTAGTTAGGCACCCGCGTTAGCCAGGGGCGTTGACTGGGATACAGCCCAGCTAGTGTAGCAGCTGGGCACACATTTTATTAATCTCTCTGATATGAAGAAAGGCAATTGCCAGAAATATTGCCGTATAAAAGTACATATTATATATATCTTCCTGTATTGTGAAGTGTTAATGATGAATGTTAGAACCGGCGAGGTGATTCAGTGGTAGAGTGAGCGGCTCACAAATGGTAAGTTCCAACTTCAAATCCTGGTTGATGGTTGACTCAGACCATCATCCCTCTGGGGTCAATAAAAAGAAGTGCCACTTTGTGGGGAAGTCAATATTGCTTGTCCTTTGGATGGACTTGTCCCTACCATAGTAATGCAGAATTTGCACCCGTGGCTTCAGGCTTTGAGCAGCAAATCACTGTGACTACCCACAAACGTGTTGAGTTTTTGTTGGTTGTGCTTCTGCACCACTGCCAATGCAGCAGAACAACAACAACAACCTAATGTTCAATCTTGCACCTGTCCAACCGGGCTTCCAATCCAACCCCATCACTACTCAGCCAGGATACGAAAACAGCCCATTGAGGCAAACGTGTAAACACGGGCTTGTGTGCAAGCGTGATTTGGTAATGCAGCCCATCACATATATATGCATTTTGAACGTCTTTCATACTGTACGTAGCCAACCGTGGCTAATCGGTTGGTGGCAAATTCAGAGCGGCTGTCAGATGGAAACGCCGTTTCCTGCCATGAAGTACAGTCATTTCCACTCCTCGGCCACGACTGCCAACGGATGAGCACCGCCCAATGCTTATTTGAGCTCTAAGAATGAGTGCGTCGACTTGTTTTTGCCCCCGACATCGGCCAAGACAATTTGGTTGACTTATCTTGAAACTCATGAAGCGACTTGTCTGAACGTTTAATTCCCAATTAAGTTATACAGTTTTGCTACGCGCAAAGTGCCACCAAATGGTTTAGATTCACAGACGTGAGCACGGTAGTTCAATTAATACAACAGTGCGATGTAATATAGTACTGTTATGAAACCGTGTCATCCAGCGCTGCATGTACGGCAATTTAATTACAGCGCCTGCATTGAAAAGATGCTGACAAATTGGGATGGCAACACACAAAGGTTCTGTACATCCTAAGCAATAATTTTTCTGCAGAATATATGACCGTAATCACCTGGCTCTAAACACTTTCTTCTGCTTGATAGATTTTTTCGTTTAACGAGTTGCTCAGATGTTTATAAATGAGCTGTCTTCACACCGATAATACAACGATTTCCCACACCTCCGATCAACACAGTTCGCTACGTACGGTGAGAAAGAAGGCCAACATACAATCAGACGTACATTGATTGACACGCATGTTTAGTTTCATATTATAACCACAAACCATGGCGGCAGCAGCAGATGTGGATGCTTGAGACACAAATGGAAAATGTAAAAACTCTCCAATGTGCGACTGTGGTGGTCATCCAGAACACAACCATGAAACACTTTTTAAGACTCGATGCCCGATTCACAAATACGGAGGAGGAAACATCATCAAGGCGATGATGCACCACTCTGCTACTCCTGACGCAATCATCTGGCTCAACCACTTCATTGTAAAACTATAGCTGCTGTTCTTTCTCAGCATCAGCCATCGAACAAAGACGATCGCTGCATCGCGCGCTTTCAGATGCGCTTTTGCGGCCGTCTGGAATGCTCTTCTATACTATATTAGGAAGCAACTGGAGCTATGCACTGTTAGATATACATTGGAATCTCATGTCTTTCCAATTGCTTTTTGTGTTTAGTTTGTTTTCCTTCCTCCGTACCTACAATTAGCATGGATGGCTACTTACGGCGCAAAATAAGTTCAACATATTTCACTTAAAATGTGGCTGTGCAAGTGCCTTCATTCACTGTTGATACGGGCAAACATCCATGGCTTTTATTTACAAACCGGTAACAATTTTGAACTAATGGTATTAAAGCAGCGCGTTGCTTTGTGTGCTGTGCTGTGATCAGGAAGCGTCTGAACTCTGGTACAACAAGAAGAAAGAGCCGTTCCATGCACTGGAGGTAAAAAATAAAGTTGATTAAGATATTATCAGGCCACCTCCATACAAACTATTTAACGTGTAACGAATGTAGTTACATATATGCAGTATGAGTAAAACTCAAGAATAAAAACAATTGAATGTATCTTTATTATAATATAATAAAATACACCGTGGGCCCTGTTAAAACCCAAGCCTTCTTTAGCTGCATGACAACTGCAATCCCATATTTGGGCCTTGAAAGGTAAAAGCCCTGCAATTAGTTGCTTGGGTCACTGCTGGCGGAATATATTATTTTGGTTGCGTTTGGAAACGTAAATTGAAACGGTTCAAGAAAATGAAGAACTTCATTTGTGTTGTTATAACAGGCTGTATTCTCGCTAAGGTGGTGAGACGTTAACTGCCTCGCCTGGTAGAGAGAAGGTCGTGAGCTCGATCACGACCACGACGCCTGTAATTTAGATTTTGCATGTTCTCCCCACGGCCGTGAGGATTTTTGTTCGGGTCCTCCGGTTTTGCCCTCCGCATTTAGAATCAATGTGCGTTTAGAGTATTTGGCTGCTATACATTTCCACATGACAAGCCACTTCGTTGAGCTATCATTTCTGATAGCCAGGTCGCTTCTGAAAAAAAAGAGCTATTCAGCTCAGTGGGCCTTACCTGGCAAAATTTAAATAGTTTAAGTTTAGTCTAAAGTGGCGACGTTGTTGTGATGGCTTGCGCAGGGAGCCCAGGAGCAGGTGCTGGCCTACACTCGGCTGTGCGAGATCATCTGGACAGAGCTCAAGGAGAACGTGCCCAAGTACAGCCACGCCTTCGTCAGGTGGGCTCCCCGTCGACGCCGCGACACCGCACGGCAACACGAAATGTTCATGAACGGTGGCGAAGGTGCAGCCGTGCTCTTGCTTGCCATAGCAGCTAAATGCGCATGTTGATTCTAAATGGAGGGAAAAAACCGGGAGGACCCGGAGGAAAATTCATGCAACGACAGGAAGAACATGCAAACTCTAAATATACAGGCATCATCAGGGTCAAGATCGAACCCACGCACTCCTGTATACCTGGTGAGGTAGTTAACATCTCGCCACTGTGTCGAGATCTTGAGAGCTGCGCTCGAGAGGGTTATAGCCTTTCTTCCACACTGATCAGATGTCTTGGAAAAGGAGGGAAGCACCCACACTTAAACCCGACGTGCGCAACTTGCCGATCAACTGTATGTGCTCTTCCTATTTATACTGTTGGGTGGACAGAGTCGGCGAGATCTTAGAAAGTTGCCCCATTGTTTTAACTGCCGGTCTCACCATTACACCGTAGCAGTTTCTGGAATATTAATCATTTAGAATAGTTATGAAGGAAACCCTCACTTGGTCTAAAGCCCTTCGTAACAGGTCCATGCGTAGGGATGTTTTGCTAAATCTATGAATGATTGTTTGGCATGTAAACGATGTGTTTTCGGGTTGTTAGGCATGATGTCTGACGTTTCACTCCACGTGCTGGGAGCTTCATCAGGAAGTGAATTGTGTGTCAAGAAGCTGTCCGTGGATGGCTCCCACTCGTGGTTTTCCGGCAGCGTTTGTTTGAGTAGCCGCATGCTGCCGATGAGTCTTGGTTGAGCCAACCACTCCAGGGTTTGCCTCGTTGAACCAAATGCTCTGAAGTCGCTCCCAGGACATGGTGTGAAACATCGGACAACGTGCCAATCAACACGCGGCACAACCCGAAGACACATCAGAGAGTTGGACAGCACAAACCGTGAAATCCGATGCGGCGGTAAAAATGTATAGCAACCAAAATTTGTTAAAATGAAAATTGTGGAATCTGGCAGAAGGGCTCAATGGCACCATGCTCTTTAAATCCATAATAGAGCGGGTTTTTTTGGTTAGATCGCGTAAATAAAAATGTGTCGTTAAACCACCACCCGACACAGCCAACTAGTAGGGTTTGTCACGAAAATAAAACGTGCGCCAATTGGTTACTAGTTCAGCACACCGGTGTGTTGGAAAGTAAAGCAGTAAACATCGACCTACATTATCATCATCGTTAACGTGGGAACCTGTAATAAACCGCGAGCTTTTCATTTGAACATCGCCTGCAACGTGTCGACGGTCACGTGGCTCTGACTGTCGTGGAGCAGGGTGGTGCAGTCATTCACGTGTTGTTGTTGTTGTTGTTGTTCACGGTGTCCGTGTCCTCATCTGATGATGTATCTGCTCTTGGAAACGTTCAAAGCACATTAATTAATTATCCTCGTTTCTCCCCCCCCGCCCCTCCCCCCGCGCAGTTTGGTGGACGTCAGCTTTCAGAGTGTCTGGTACCAGAAAATGGAGAAAATGGTAAAGACAGCTTTACAGACTTCTTTATCATTTGCACACCTGTCAACCCCTTATTATTGCTAACCTTATTACGGATCAATTCAGACTTCATTGGTCACCCCGTGCCCTTATAAATCTCAACGTTCATCTTACAAAGTCCCATAACTAGGGAGAAATACAGGCAAATAGATACATTGTACAATAATACGCGTAAAGCGGATGGGTTGACAGGTATTTATTTGACATTAAAGCCTCGCACTTGGTTAGCCGAGTGAATTTATCTTTATCTTTCGAGACAGCCGACTCACGCGACGCATCACCCAAACCTCCACATAGATCAACTAAAACTACTCAAGTATTTTTTTATAATTTACCAGGTAAGGCCCACTGAGCTATGTAGCTATTTTTTAGAAGCCACGTCACCACAAACGATTGCTCAACGAAGTGGCTTACCATCACGTGCAAATTTATAGCGGTAGCCAAATATGGCACGGGCAACGCAGGGATTCTCTCGACCGCAGAGCTTAAAGCCAACGAATTGCCAGCGCTCGTGGCCCAGTAACAGGAGAGAAAGAGCGATGGCCCAAATGCGTCGTGGGCCCTTTATTAATAGCACGTGGAAATGTATAGCATCCAAATACTCTAAACGTATGTTGATTCTAAATGTGGAGGGGAAAAACCGGAGGACTCGGAGAAAAATAGATATGTCCGAACCTCCCTCATTGCCCTGCCTCTCATACAACGCACCACATCACCCGGGAGCGACCACTTCCGCAATATTCAATCACACGTTGGGAAGATAGTTCGGTGGGGGGGTCAATGGAAAATCAGCGGGACGCCCGTCACTTTGAACCGCTGCGTTACCCGGGAGTGACCGCTGCTCTCACAATGGCGACCGCTTCGCTTGTGCACGCGGCAGCTCGCGTGGGATGTGCAGACCATGCTGGGCCAGCTGAGCTCCTCGGAGGACTACCGGCTCGACGGGGAGACGGGAGAGATGCTGCACATCTTCCACTCGTCGCTGCACCAGCTCGCCCAGAACGCTGAGAAGCTCGGCCTCCGGTAAAACTCGCTTCACGGTGGGGTGGTAACAAGGGGTTGGTGGATCGCACCGATGTTCTGAAAAATCCCATCACCGTCGGCGTCGAGGAGGAGTCATAACCGTGGCTCGGCAGGGGAAGTGGGAAACAGCAAAGGTCTTTACTCGTGAGTGGGGAAACTACTTACAACTTTCCAAGGTTAATATTGTTATCTCCTTCACGATAGGGGGTGTTTGTTACGTGGTTTACATCAGCCTCCTATCCTATTTCTGCTACTCAAACTCATTTAGTAATCCCCCCACCCCAGTTTCTCGTCCTTGTCTGCTGCGTCACAGTTCACTGTGTCTGTGCCGTCATTTCTTGGGTTTGGCATCTCAGTTTCTTGAGTTACTCTCTCAGTTTCTTGGGTATTCCCCCCGAGGCTTTTCAGTCGGGGTCTCACCAAGTTGAACTCTTTGGGATTGACCAATAGAATGAAATGTGATATCGCACATGCAAACGTGCAACATTTTGCATCCAGTTACTCTATATTGAGCTTCTAATTCCGTCTTACGATAAATAATGTTTGTCGAATTCAGTGCAATGCTGCTTCTTCCACGCCGACACTCTCCAGAGCTGTGGTAGGGAATCTGCGGCACGTGTACTGGACATGGCCCATGACTTTGTTTCGTACAATCCGTGGCCACTCGGCCTTACCCCTTCCTAACGGCCCGCAAACGACTCAACCATCACCGCCACCATCCTAGCTGTAACGTATCGAGAACTACGGGGGAATATTTTCAAACCTGTCGACAACACTTGTATGTATGTTGAACTTATTTCACACCGTACGTGACCAAATCGTACTAATCGAAGGCGCGTTTATAATGTGTCACCGGCAAAGATTAGCCCTTGTTATTTTTCATGGTAAAACTGGATAATGTGTGGGCCGACAAATGTTTTCATGAAAGTCCTACCTCGTCCTTAATAAAAAATTATGTTCTGCATAGTTGATCTAGGGGAAGTCACGTCACAGCACCTCGTAATGGCTCAGGCCCGTTTCTGTTTTCCAGGGCAAAGATCCCACCACTCCTAAACGTACAGCAGTGGCTCGGAGAGGCGGTGAGCACATGGGTCGGCATGGCTTATGAGAACATGAGTTCCTCTATCCAGTCAAGCGTGCAGAAAGACAAGGTGAGGCATGTGGTCGTCTGACCGCGAATGGCTTCGGAGCGTGGGTAAACATCGCGAGGCAGTCCTCGCTACCATCCCGATGCATCTGCTCGACGTACTCTGAAGGAGTGTTCAAATCTGTAAATGGCAAGAAAACCCCATCGATGTCCGAATTTAATATATATGAATTAGAGATATCAGACCCCTGATCCATCCCACGTAACGACTCATCCGTCCCGCTTGACGACTCATCCGTCCCCGTGTGTTCCCCATGCCCCTCGCAGCTGGAGGCAGAGTCGTGCTCGGTGAAGCACAGCCTCTCGGCGGGGCTGGCCACGTCGTGGTTCACCAACGCCCTCGCCTTCTGGCTGCAGCTCGCCTGGCCCGAGCCGGCACAGAGCCTGCGCATGCTCGACTCGCTGCTGCAGGTTTGTGAACGGAGGATCACGCGTATGTATGTATGTAGCCAATCGGAGGTGCAGCGAAAGGACAACAGACTAAACGCAAAAAGCAGTTCTAAGGAAATTATTTTGTTATCTAGATGATTTACAGGTGCATAGCTCCAGTGGCTTCCGACAAACTTGCGTTTCTATGAAGCCACGTGATAAGCCACTTCGTTGTGCTATTATTTGTGGCCAGATCGCTTCTGACAAAAGAGCTATACAGCTCAGTGGGCCTTACCTAGTAAAATAAAATAAAAATGTATCGTATAGTTTGTGTATCGGAAAGAAACAATTAACAGGTTTACTGCAAGACCTTGAACGTGGACTTATGAGTTGCTATATAAAAGCAAACGCAAGGAGGAGCCCTGCGAGGTTGGAGGCATTCTGAGTATCCACGGATATTCCTGTACAGCCAGAATGGGTTAAAGAGGTCACCAATTAACCCATCTGTCCATGTTTCGTTTTATCCATATTTAATGTGTGCAGTTTTCCTGGAACTTAAAAAAATATAAGGTCATTAACCACATGCTGATAAATATATGTATTTTTAAATATATTATAATTCATACTTTTAAATATATTCACTTTTTTTATACTCTATACCCACACCCACATTGATGCATCACTTAATTCAGAATAAACAATGTACGACATTTTTTTATAAGTTTACAGTTTCATTGTGTTTAAATATATTATTCAAATAATATGCATTTATCCTGTAAATGTTTATCACTCGGATTTCTTGAGCACCTGTTGATTAGTGATCGCTTCAATGTTTAAGACGCACCATTATTTTAAACTCTTTAAGTGATTCAGAACCGAGGAATTTAATTTAACAGTTGAATCCATCCACTAGAGCAGAGCAGACTCTGCTCATTAAGCTGCGCGAAGCTCATTTCCACTGAATCATTTGGTGACGCTGCTGCGTCGGTTGCGATGCACAAGCACAAATAATAAAACGCTCATCGCATTAGTCAATAACACTGCCGCCTTAAAAGGAAAAGTATAAAATAGCGACGTTTCGGGCAGTGGCCCTTCTTGATCGCGCGTGAATAATGCTAATCATAAAACTATTTAATTGAATTTACATTATAAAGAATTTAAATAAGAAACGTGTTATGAAGAAGGGCCTATTCCTGAAATGTCGCCTATTATGTATTTAAAATGTATTATGTATATTTACCTATTATATATTTTTCCATCAAAGGAAGCGGTGTTATTGACGAACGTGTCGAGTTTTTTTTCTCCTCTTCATCATTTCCACCGAGACTCGATCTCGCAGCCGAGCGAGCATCTTTGCCTGGAAATGCTCTCGTTTATCCGAAGCGCATTCCGGCGCTCGTTAACGATAGGCAACGACTTGAGCACAGCGTGTGCGTGTCCACCCCCCGCGGTCCCACAGGACCTGTGCAACGGGGCCGTGTTTTACGTGGCGCAAATGCGGCAGAAGCTGGAGAACGACTACTGCTACTTCAGCGCCGAGACGAGCATCCCCCTGCCCAAGCAGGTACACAGAGACAAAGATCTCCCGTATGGCCTTTGCAGACCATTGGGGCAAGTGCCGTTAAGAGTATTTACCCTCGATACATTTCCGTGCAATAAGCCACTTCGTTGAGCTATCATGTGTGACCAGGTCACTGCTGAAAACGAGCTCAGTAGCTCAATGGGATTTACCTTGTAAAATAAATCGTTTACTTTAGTTCAGAGAGCACCTATGAAGGCCGGCACGGCGCACGTGGGAGGTGGGTGGTCAGTACCTACGTCCGGCCGTTCTTTGTCTCCCCAGTGCTGATGTTTACATGCCACACCAGGTACTCAGGGCTGAGTAAATCTAGAGGAGGCCCAGAACCGGTTCAGATATTCGTCACTGATGTTGGCCACGAATGGGAATCGGACTTGGGTTAATGGGTTCGTAGCGCAGCACGCTAACCACTACGCCGATGCTCCCCGCACACACACACATCACACACGCACCAGGGACACATTTAATGCTGAGTTTGACCTTCGGGAATCCAAGTCCATCTTCTTGGTTCTTTCGGTAAAGTCACGTAGAAGGGAAATAATAAAATAATAAAAAAGAACATAATAAAATAAAATTCTCACGACGTTTCGGCCACAACGCAAGCAGCCGTCCCCAGGTGAAGAACAGGGCTGTCAGAAAGACGCTGTCTTTATTGTTCTTCACCTGAGGACGGCTGCTTGCGTTGTGGCCGAAACGTCGTGAGAATTTTATTTTATGATGTTTTATTTTTATTATTTTATTATTTCCCTTCTACGTGACTTTACCGAAAGAACCAAGAAGATGAATCCCTGCAGTCACGAAAGCTTTAAATCAAATCCAAGTCCTGTTGAAATATTCATCGCCAATGTTGACTGCGAGCGGTAATTGAACCTAGGCCGCAGGGTTGTAGCGCAGCGCGCTAACCACTGCGCCACCACTCCCCATAAGCAGGTACACAAAGGTGCACACACCACGGTGGGAACAGCGATGCAAAGCAACTCTTCTTTACCCAACCATTGTGACTGGTAGTTGATTGCTTAGTTTTGCTTAAACATGTCTGAGCATAAAGTCAAGGATAATTGGGTATTTGAGGCAGTCGGCAGGAGGGTGCTCTTTTCGACTTGTATGGATCAGAGAGCTGAACGCTAAGAAGCTCAAGATTAGGTTGTTGGAATCTGAGCACAGGTGTCCGAGACGGATGCGAGGAATTTCGTGGCAAGACAGCACAGTGATGCAGAAGTCTGGAAGAGGACATGGCAGGTGGGAAGTGTTGTAGATATGATGATCCATAATAGAGGTTTTTTTGGGTTAGATCGCATGAATATAAATGTGTTGTTAAAACCGCCATCACCCAAAACAGCCAATTAATAATGTTTGTCACGTAAAAAATATGCCAATTCGTTACTAGTACAACACATCGGTGTGTTGGAGAGTAATCCCACAACATTTACAATTCGAGTACGACATTTCGCCGGTAATTACAACCAGCCTCATCGGTCGACATTCAGAATTGTGGAGAAACCCTCCTGTTACGGTCTTAAATAGAGGGGTAAATGCTTCATCATATGTGTTGATATGATGATGATGATGATGATGCAGAATCGGCTGGATTGGGTGGGACGTGAGGGGCCGATTGCCGAGACAGGCATCGGAGAGATCTCCACGAGTCCCGCGACCGAGGGGAGGATGGCGGCGGGGACTCAGAGTGAGGACAAATCTTGGAGGTCGCCGCGTAGCTGCGGGTTCAGGCGGAGGGTAGAAAGCGTTGGCGACGAGGTGGTAACGGCTTTGACCACGACGACATCACGACCGCGAAACGGCTGCCCTCTATATTGCCGCCCGTTTTACTGTGACCCCCCCCCGCTGCCCCCGCTAGGTGTGCACGGGGCTGAACAGCGCGGCGTTTGTGCGCGAGTCGCTGTCGCGGCTGCCGCAGCAACGCGAGTGGCGCGAGGTGGAGCGCGTGGTGCGCGACCTGTGGCGGGACGCCGGCTCCGACCGCTACTACTCGGGCAGCGGGTCGGTGCGCACCAACGGCGACGCGCTCACCTCGCGCCTCGACGTGGCCAACCAAACCATCCTGTCGCTGCTCGACAAGCTCTTCAACTGGATCTCCGACCTGGCGAGTTTTGACCCTTGCTCGGCCGCGAATTATCTTTGCATTTTAAGGTGTAATGGATCTCATTCTTTTTACCTTGAATGCAACAGAGAATTCTCGTATTGTCATCCTTGTACATCCGTGTTTCAATGTTGACGTGTTGTCTCCCTTAATATTGCTCCTTGTTAACGATTCCGTGTGCACCGTGTTAACGTTTCTACGTGTTCCTTCTTTACGTTTGCATGTTTCCCATGTTCATATTTCCGTGTTGTCTGTGTTAACATTACCGTGTGTGTGCTTCAGCTTTTACTGGACTTCAGAGTGTATCTGCAAAACAGCGCCAAGCTACAGAACGTGAACACACATGTGAGTCGCTGCACCTTCTCTTCCTGACTTGGACGTCTGTTCACGTGAACAACATTCAACGTTCTCTATTCTAAGCAATACAAATCAGGAGATGTGATATAATGACAATTTACATATGCTCCAGACATTTTTAAGGCATCCATATCAGTGGTTACATCGCTTTTTTGCACGAGTTCAATCACAACTCGCTGCAGAATTTTTTTTAAAGATGTATAGTTGGTGACAATTTTTACTTGGCTTTACCCTTTTCTGGCAATAAAACAGGAGGTGTTAATATTCTTGGGTCCTTCAGTAAAGTCACGTGACTTTACCGAAAGACCCAGAAATATGGATTCCTGCAGTCACAAAAACTTTAAGTCAAGAGGTGTTAAGACGTTTAAACACCAAATATTGCAAGGCATCAAGTCTGCATTAACCACACGTGCTTGTGGTGAACATGCAAACAAGCATGCTCTGATAATATTTGCATTGTCTTTGAAACTGATTGGTCTACACCAGAGACAGCCTTCTTTGTAGCCTCGTCTCACCATCAGTGTCAGGCCACAGAATGCCAAAAGTCGAACAGTACAAAACAATGCAAGTATCAGCACACTTATAGCTCGGCTTGAGCAGTTGTAGATAGATATATTGTTTTTTTGTTCATTATTATTCTTCATTGTTGTTGTGTGGGTGCATTGGATTGTGTTTTGTGTTCTCAGGATGTTGCTTTGCTGCTGGATTTTCTCAGAGAGAACATCTCCGTCCTGTGCCAGCACCTCTACGAGGACACACGCAACGGGTGAGAGACTGGAATGAGATCACTGCGAAGGTCGTCAGCACAAGAGCTCTGCACGACACTCCGCTAGGTTCAATCCGGGACTGGGTATGCAAATGATGAAAAATCAGAGACTATAACCGCAGATTGGAACAAAACAAAAAAGTAGCTGAAAGTTAAAAATAGATTGTGACGTTATACTTTTTTTTATAATCTACCCGAGGGGCATTTTAGTGAGAGAAAAAAATAGAATTATGTATTTTAAAAATCCCCTCCACCACTCATTGGGTTAGGCATCTAACCGGATTATCTACTTCTGTGCTGATGACTACAAAACCACGACGATCGGTTCTGCTGGCTTTCCGTCGTGTGTACAGGTTAGACTGCGTGTTACTCAGGCATCATGTCCAGCGTTTTTTTATCCACTTCCTGGGAGTTTCTTCAGGAACTCTTTAGATCCTTCAGGAGCTATTCCTGAACACTTGGAAGTTCTCTCCAGAGGGAGAGTCAACAGAAATGAATTTCCTTGAGAAACGAAACGTCGGACATCATGCAGAGCAACACGCGGTGCGACCCGAAATTGCATCGGGGAGCTATGCAGCAGACCAGCCGAGAAACCCCAAAAAACTACAAATAGTTCGCTCAAACACAAGACAGGTCACACAAGGGCATGCAATCAGAAGTTGTATTTATCAATACATGAGCTTCCGCTTCTCTTAGTCTCACTGCTGTGGATTATCAGCGGGTGTACACGGCCATGACTGCTCATTCGCTCACACAGGCTTCTGCAGGCTCTCTGGGCCTGCTCCCTGCGCCAGTTCTGGGAGGTGGTGAACGTCAGCCAGAAGCATCCGCTCGAGTACTACGGCCGGCTTCACCAGATGCTGCAGGTTACCGCCACACACCACGAGCGGCAAACGCGCCTATCAGTCGCTCGTCGCTGGGCTTGTTGAAAGCGAAGACGCAGAGACGTGGTCGAGCGGTAGCACGGCTCATTGCAGAGGGCCGCGGTCAGATCCCAATGGCCACCCTGGTTCAATGCCAATGGCTGCCCTGTTTCATTTCCAACTGCCACCCTGGTTCGATCCTAACTGTCGCCCTGGTTCAATGCCAATGGCTGCCCTGTTTCATTTCCAACTGCCGCTCTGGTTCGATCCCAACTGCCACCCTGGTTTGATCCCACCTCACCCCATGCTCGCGGGGAGAGGGGTAGGGTGGGCCGTGGTGGGGAGGGGGGCTAGGGAAGAATGAGCGTGGTGGAGGGGCGGATCGGTTGTGGGGCTTTCGGTGAGGGCAACCCCTTCATGGAACTCTGCCGGTAGTTTGAAATACATTTTCGGTACTTTGGGGTAATTAGGAGGACAGCGTCTGTGGAAACCCCGGTGTGCTTATGTAACGAACATTACGAAAATATGGACGTAACATCAACAGTGAGGTCAAAAGAACTAAAACAATAGTAAAACCCTGCAGGCTAAGTCGTGTCGTTCTGATGAGAACATGATGGGTGCGGATGGAGTGAATGCACCAGGTGAGGAGGGTTGCAGAGCCAGGGTATGACTGCCCAATCATAGATGGCGTGGGAAAGGTACAGATCAAAGCCAAACAATGGCAACCACAAAAAAAACAGTTTGTGCAAAACAATGTTGGCAGTGATAGAAATTAAACCAGGTCATTCAATTATGAGCGGGCACATAAGTTGACTTAGCCTGGCCGCACAGATCGCAAATGACATCGCGGTCGCGCACAGGCGCTTGGGGGGTGATCCTGATGAGGCATCGTAATTACACCTCAAACTGTGGGCTGGAAGTGACGTGCCGAGGTAGGCCTCGCCGTGTTGTCGCGGTGCAAGTGGACGTGCAGCTTGGCTCGGCAGGGGAGCCGGGAGTAGAACCCCCCCCCCCCCTCGTGAGAAGATGTTGTGAATTTCAAACACCCGGGGTTCATCGCATCCAACGACAAAGTTTGAATTTGTATTCCTCTCATCTGTACCGTGGATGTTGTTGAAATTGATCGGAATTAATGTTTCAGGGGTTACATATTTTGTAAATGACCGCACAGGTCAGCACACGTGTGTGTGTACAACACGTGCCGTAGGAGTGAACGTAATCTCTCTCATTGTGTGTGTGTTCCCACAGGTTCTGTTGGATGTGTTTTATTCTGACTCTCAGGGCCTTTCACTAAACTCCTTGAAAAATGCCGAGTACAAGGTGAGACACGCGTGCGTGCGGTCGTTAAAAGTAATCATAACAAACCGTCGTGTGCCATCAGTGAAAAGAATCACGGTCCTTTGTTATACCATTGCTGGATCGAGACCTCCCTCCACATCTGGTCGGTCTCGTGGGTTGTTTGACCGTATTCCACCACGCTGGTCTGTGCGGGTTGGTGAAAGGTGGAGGGGGCGCCAGAGCGGTTCAACTGTTGCTCGCCACTGATGTTAGCCGTGAGCCGAGAGTGTCGTGCACTAACCACTGTGCTACTACTCAATCTCGTCATGTTAGCGAGCATGGATTTAGCTCAACTTGGTTTAATTGGCAAAAATAAACGAATAAAAAATATATATCCTTCCAACAAATTTGCACAATTTTTTTGCAAACTGCATTTTTAAAACAATAAAAAAACTGATTATTTAAAGCTGTTTCATTTGAGTTTTCTTAAAACAAAATGCAATCTCATCGATTCGATTTGTTTGAATGAACTAAAAATAATGTTCAGTCAAATTAAATCAAGTGCAAATTTAGAGGGTTTTTTTTTTACAAAATACTTCAAAGTTTTTAGTATTATATTTTCAAATTAACAAGTTCCTGGTGCTGGCTGATTTGTCAGCATATTGGTCCACTCTGCGCTATTTAGCTACGCTAAATAGTCGTGTCACTGCCCCCTCCATGTATAACCGTGGATCCACCGGAGTTTGCCTGCTGTCATAAATACTATGAGTAACAACACAGTAGCATTCGTTTTCAATCGTTGTGGTCATACAGAACTAGAGTAAGAAAAAAAAATTCCCTACGTGACTTTACCAAAAGAACCAAAGAGTATGGATCCTTGCAGTTATGAAAACTTCAAATCTAGAAAGAACTAGAGTACATTAAGCGAGGAATCACTGCGGGCAGTGAATCACATTTGCACTGTACAACAAGCCTGCAATCATCCCAATGGCGGGTTAATGTTTGCCCCATGTGACACAGAACAATCCTGTATGATCATTATTTTTTCTCACGCCCTTCCGGTTCAGTCTCTTGAGAACCAGCTCTATTTGAGGAAGTCCAACACCCTGGAGCTGATTGAAAGATATTACCAGGAGAGGGCCGAGGAGCAGGTTAGTAACCCGCGGCAAATCACAGCAGCACAAAAACACGCACAATCTCAGGCTTCCACCCAAAGGGAACTGTTTACTCAGCAGTGTCTACATTTGCCGGATAATATCTTGATTGTTACAATTTGCTTCAGAAATTATGGATGTCAGCAAATAAATGTGACTGGGCAAATAAGTGGTTCGAATCATGAATGTACGTCAATGTACGTATTTATTCCTGATGTCAACCGCTGCCTTCATCTCTCCATGCTCATGTGCAACATTGTGAGAAGAAATCATTAAAAAAGCGGTAGCTAGTGGCGTCTATATACGTATGTATATTGAACTTCTTTCGCACAGTACGTAGCCAACTGTGATAATCAGAGGTGCGGACATTGAGGCGTCCATTAAGACATTGAGGCCACGAGTAGGCCTGCAGTAGGCTAGTAATCATAATCAACCTTTTTGGGTTTAGATCGCGTTATTTATAAATGTGTTGTAACCCTCCACCACCCGACACGGCCAATCAGTAAAAAAAGTGTCACGTTGACAAAAGACAAATAGTTCACTGCTTTAGCCCACCGGTGTGTTGAAGCGTGAAACCACAACATTTACAATTTGAGTACGACGTTTCGCTGGTAATTGCATCCAGCATCATCGGGCAATACTGATTGGCCGTGTCGGGTGGTGGAGGGTTACGACACATTTATAATTAACGCGATCTAAACCCAAAATCGTTGATTATGAATAATATTGGTCGCGAAAGCTTACGTGTTAAACAGGCCAGTAATCCTCCACGCCACAGCGCTCCAGCAGACTGGTCCAGCTGGCAGGTGCGGAGTGACTGCGTGAGCTCCCAGCGTTGAGCAGTGTGGACGGACGGGCTGTTTGTGGCGACATGGACACAGGGTAGTGTAGACGAGCAACTCGCAGTGAGTCAATGACTAGCCTTTACGCCAATTAAGCCAGCGCGCACTCACTTTTAGACAAGGGTATGTTGAAAAGATTCTGATAAAATATTTGCAATTGGATGATGCAAGGAACAAAAACCCTGCTGCCAAACTTGGTAAACTCTCGAAGCATTTGTGTAAAATAACTCCTGAAGGGTGTTGAACCGGAGTCATACCACATCATGGCTCTTGTCGAGCGCTTCAATTTGCGTGTTTCTCGATTTTTCAACAGCAGGCAGCGGACAGCGCCGGGAACGGGCACGGAAAGTTGAAGACCGGCTGCTCCTACGACGACAAGAGTCAGACGCTCACCGTGGACCTGACGGACGCGTTGGCCAACGCCCCGTCGTGGGCCAACGGTAACTAACGCCTTTCAAACCCCCCGAGGGACCAATTCTCATTTTAATGACGAAAATTATCCTGAAGTGTCTGGCGGTGGCTTTGGAAAGCCCTCATCCAATGGCGGTTTCAATGAGACACATCATTTAGCAGGGGAAAACAGTATTTGTCAAAGGGGGATAAAAATACTGGGGGCTCCAATTTTATTTGGGGCTGTCCAGGACCTCAGCTCCAGAGGAGCAAGGACTGAGGTGTTTGCGGTTGGGTGAGGGGCTCCCTAAAATATTGCTTGAGAAATTAAGCCTTTAGAGAATGCTGATGAGCTGGAAAAAGCATGAACCTTCGAGGCAGTTGAAAGAGCGGGAACCTGCCAAAGCGGCCGTGCGTGGTGTATCCCTGCTGAGGTTCCGAACGTGCCTGCGATGTTGAAATACGTACAATTGCTCAATTCAATGAAAAAAACGTCGAAACTCTATAATACCTTCAATCGTGCCATTTGTGCCTGGCCGCTTGCTGTTTGGTCCTTCGAGCAGCGACCGTGATATTTAAAAAAACGTTGTCATCAGTGCTTCACTTCAGCCGGAACACTCAGGAACACTGATCTTGGAATTATTTTATTTTAGCACACCGCATCCATCTCACCTCATTTTGTCCTCATTGTATTCTCGATATTCCTAGAAAAATGTTCATAGGATTACAGTATAGGATATAGGATACATTAATATAGGATTATTATGGTACTCTAGTAGTGGTAGTGGCTTACGCCGGCAATCCAAAAAACATTGAGTAAGAGAACACATTCCTGCGGAGGGAACTGGTAGGAACGTTGGGTTGTTCGGTCAATGGCCAGGGTCAACGGCGGCGTGGTGTATTTCGCAAATATGCCCGACTGTGAGGGCGGGCACAAGTCGGCGTGAGTAGGTTAAACGTTGAGTTTTATAAGGGCACCACGGGGTGACCAGCCCCTCCCCACCCAGCCCTCCCACCCCCCACCCAGCCCCTCCCCACCCTCCCCTCCCCACCCTCCCCTCCCCACCCAGCCCCTCCCTCTCCACCCAGCCCCTCCCTGCACAACGGACACAATAATCCCCTGTGGGCTGGTGTAACCAGGAGGTTCCTACCAGTATTTAATTCCTGGTCATAGTGGAGAGAATGTTGTTGAATGTAACTTGCAGTGCTTGCATTGGTGGGTTGCTTTGTGGGCTTTACCTGGTAAAATAAACGTTGTTTGTTTTTGTGATTTTCTTACCTTTCCTATACTTTGCACTCCTATCTTTGCATTGTTTCTTGTGTCTGACCGGCCCCGACTGGACATCTCTCGAAAAATAGAGCTTCACGGCTCATCGGATTCCTCCAGTTATGAATAAAGATTCCAGTGATTGCGGTTCTGCTTCACAGGCGGGTTGCCCTCGCTGCTCTGCTGGCCTGGCAAGAGCAGCGTGAGGCACTACGTGAAGGTGCTGCTGTGTCCCCGGCACATCTTCCCGCACGCGCACCCACGCAGGACCCAGCGCAAGATGCACACGTCTCCAATCCAGTTCGAAGAGAGCTTCAAGCTGTGAGTGCCCACACCTTGGCGGTTGTTTTTATTATTAAGTGGCCGTCCATAAATGGTATCACGCACCTGGGGGGGGGGCGGGCAGACATTTGTGACGATGTGTGTGATGAGGGGGGAGGTTTGAGAAATGTGACGTCACATCAAAATTCGCAACTTTAAATAAATATAGACAACACGTTCTACTTTATTAAATAGACTTTTTAATAAATGTTTTCTCCTACAACATCGGAGTGCAGTGCCACATTAAATACGCGCTACAATGACAATAGTTTAAAGCGATTTGAAGCATGTTTTATATTTTTGGGGGGGGGGGCAGAGCTTTGTGAAGTCATATTTGAGGGGGGGTCTGACTTTTTGTGAAGCCGTGTGACGAGGGGATTGGGGGTCAAAAATCGTCCAAAATCGCGTGACGTCATTTATGGACGGCCCCTAAGTCAAAATGATATTTTTTTGGTTGTTGCTAAACTGAGCTTTGCACTCATTACACACAAGTGATGCCACAGATGAACCACAAAACCTCGCTGATCTCGTCAAGGAGGATAAAATCATCAGGCAAACTCCGGTCATCCTCACAGCAGCAGCGGCCTTTGGCTGGCCATCGAACAAAGACGGTCACCGCATCGCGTGCTTCCAGATGCGCTTCTGCGGCCGTCTGGAATGCTCTTCCTTCCGATATTAGAGAACCACTGCAGCTATGCACTTTTAAATCTAGATTTAAGACATATTTTTCAAACTGCTTTTTGTGTTTAGTTTGTTGTCCTTCCCCCACACGGTTGGCTATGTACGGTGCTAAAGAAGTTCAACGCACATACATTTACAGTCCTCGGTCAGTGGTGGTAATTCCACATTCCTGTGATGGGGGTGAGTCCATCCGTTAAACAAGCACAGTTAACTTCTGAAAGGCATTTGCTTTTCAGAGCTAGCAAATCTCTTCTCTCCCCTGCCCAGGACTAGAGTGAGCTTGTTCAAACAGCACCATTTCAACATGCCACACGTAACAGTGTAGATTATAATTTGTGTTTGCACAACTCCTCCTAACGTGTTCTCCTTTCATCCTCCCGCGGTAACTATTGAAGTTGCTTCCTGCGTGTGCTTTGCCAAACTTACCAACTACGACCATTTCGTCATTTTGATGATGATGATGCTGCTGCTGCTGATGTTGTTGGGCTGTAGCTTCCCACATCTGGGCAAAGGGACTCCCCTATTTTCCTCCTTCCTTCCATTCTTTAGTTTGTGATGTTTGCCATCTCCATCGCTCTGGTGGTGGTATTCAGACAATACGGTGACCGACAAGAGTCCACTCACACCAACACTACTTTTTACAAACACTCCACACAGTATAGTAGTAGGTTTTTACCCTTTTAAACTCGTACAAAACTGACACCTTTATTCAAGACATCATGTTTGCAATAACCACAACACAAGTAGTCAAAAAAAGCAAAAAAAAGAAGCAACTCTGATGATGGATGAGCATGATTGGCTACGTACGGTGCAAAAGAAGTTCAACTTACATACATGCATGATGAATCATTCATATTCGTAGAACATTTTAATTTACATTCCATATTCTAACATTCAGACCAAATTTTTCTCTGAAGACAACCTCAACTTCCTGATTCTATCTACAACACTTTGCTGCTACATTTTTTACAAACTTCCCCAAGTTACTTACTCCGTCCTGCCGTGACTTTCATAGCTTACTCGGCATGCACCTGTTTTCAGAGGCCTCAAACTTATTTGTAAACTCCAGACTAAACCCTTCCTTCTCTCCTCTGCCAAAGATCAGTCGCTACCCTAATTGCACTCTCCTTAATTCACCTCACCTTTTTGACCTTCCAGCTTAATCCCTAATCCATTTCTACCTCATGTTACACAAGTTACAAGAGGTGCTGTATCTATTTGTCCCAGTTTCCATCCGGTTTATAAGATGCACTTTTTTCCCCCTCTGTATTTTAAAGCAAGCGTTGGGGGTGGTGCGTCTTATCATCCAGTAGGTGTGTGCACGTGACCAGATTCATAGAAATTTTACACGAAGGCGTGGGTTTTGCAGTGCGTATATAATCTGGAGAATACAGTGGCCCGGAACTAACACGGGGGCGATCGCTTTGCCTGTGCAGAAACGTGACGATGGAGCAAGCGCGAGCACCTGGGGCCTGCCTGGTGCTGCGTCTGAAGGCCCAGTGCGGCCTTCACAAGGGCCTGCTAGGTGAGGCTGTCCTTGGCTTGCGCAGCGTCGCCGGCCTGGAGGCGCCAGCTCCCGAGAGTCTGCATTCCGCACGGAGCCAACTCCTGCTGCCCCTCCTGCGCCCAAAGACGCAAGGCAAGAGCCAATCCAGCGCCACTGCACCGTGCCAATTTGGAGACCGATTTAGAATAAGTAGTAGGAATAAATAAAGGGAAATGCTACACGAGACCTGCCAAAAACAACTTGAGATCAAATAGTTGTTTGTAATACCAACTCGATTTGTTACTGAGTTGAATGAACCAATGAGATACATTTCACCGTTAAAAATGTGAACAGTAAGCAGACAGCGTGCATTATAAGCAGAGAATGGAAATGGAAAAGTATGTGTGCATCTTTGAAAGCGTTATCGTCGCCGCCTGATTGGAGGACAATACTATCTTGAAGTCCCTGACATTTCAATGAGAGAAAATATATATAAAAACTATAGAAATAAGCAGAGCCCAAAAAGCAAGATTTTCTTGATATCTTTGGCGTAAAAATACAGTGAGATGTGTTTAAGGCACCAATGCCCACCTCTCTACAGATGATGCGATCGTGGGTACAGCATGATTATGCTACTGCGTAGGGTTTCGCAGGTGTGCTGTGTAGCTCTGCGCTTGTGTGTCTGGGTCGTACCGAATGTTTTTCTCGGCACGATGTCCAAAATTTCGCTGCGCATGCAGTGGGCTTCTTATTAAACTGAATTACTGGCAACTCTCCCTCTGTACTGAACTTTTAGTGGCCATATTCTTAGTCACTGCTAGGCTTGGACTTGGCCTCTAACACAGCTCAGCAAGGGCTTGAGCCGCATGTGTGGCTCAGCCATGGCTTGGCTAAGGCTCGGCTCATGGACATCCTGAGGAAGGCTGGGACCATGTATGTATGTTGAATTTCTTTCGCACTGTACGTAGCCAACCGTGCTAATCGGAGGTGCTCACGGTCAGCTCTGGTTAAGCATGGCTTTAAGTCAGAAGCCAGCCTGAGCTGAGCCAGGACATATACAATATGGGCCGAGATGTTTAGGAATGAACTAAACTGTTCTTGAAGAAATTCCCAGCACGTGGAGCAAAAGGTTATATGTTACAGACCAATTCAGACCTTATTGGTCACCCCGTGCCCTTAGAAATCTCAACATTCATCCTACAAAGTCCCATCACAAGAGAGAAACACAAACAAATACACCAAAAATAAATGTGCCTGTATTGAAACGGTTGTACGCCGTATGGACCTGAAAGCTCAATTGCCCTGCAGAAGAATACGGGGTAAACCATATGGGTTGACACGGTATGAGAACAGATCGTCGTGTTTTCGTCGTCGTAAGCACAAAAGCGGATGAACCAGTTAGGTGCATAGCCCAGTGAGCAATGGAGGGTATTTTTTTAAAAGGACATTTTTTTACCTCAGGAATTTCCTATATTGTCATGAGAATGCACAGATAATTCAAATTCAGAATGTCAATATTTTACTTTATATTCATTTGTTGCATCCAGAAATATACATTTTCTCGCTCCACATGCTGGAAGCATCTCCAGCAATTGAATGCACAGTACTGCTGGGAATTCTGAAGACATTTCCAGAATGTGGGGGCAGACATCATGGCGTTATGGCCCGAAAACACAGCGGATAGCGATGCTTGATTATGGCTCGTAGCGGCTGAGATTACTGCCATTAACCCTCACCACGTGTCGAAATCTGCACTCCACCCTGAAGGCTATGGGAACAGAAACCTTTCAAAAGCGACCTAGCCACAAATGATAACCCAACGAAGTAGCTTATCAACATGTCTAAATTTATAGCAGCCAAATACTCTAAACGCACGTTTCTAAATGTGGAGGGGAAAACCAGAGGACCCGGAGAAAAATCCACGCGACTACGGGGAGAGAGCGCACGCAAACTCCATATATACAGGCGTCAGGGTTGGGATCAAACCTACGACCTCCTGCATGCCGGGCGAGGTAGTTAACATCTCGCCACCACGGTAGCCATGTGATATGGCTGCTGTTTAGGTGCTTACGGTACTGTGTGTACGTGTGTATACCATTACAGAGAGCGACGCCGTGAAGTTCCTGCAAAGAAGATGCTCTGAGAAAGAAGGTAAACAGTTTCTGAAAAAGCTCCGGAAGGCGGAGAAGAGAATACTCTTCTCAACAGAGGACTTGTAGAGGCAACTTGAGAATGTTACAACGGTGGATGAGGTGTTTTGTGTACAATTGTTATTGTAATTATTTGCGCAGGAGTTGACGTAAAAAATATATATAATACTGCTTGAGTAGACAAATATTGATGTGAATTAAAGTGCATCAGTTCCTTTTCTTCACAACAGATTTGTTCACAGCACTCTTCTTAAATAGTTTCCAATACACGAACGGACCCGAGAGCGTGCTAATTGAGGTGTTTCAGAAGCTCCAAACTCATCGTTCAAGCTGGGCTCAGGATTACTTTGTGTGTTCGCATTGAGCATGAATGTCATTTCCACGAGTTAACTTGGGGTTGCAATGTAATGCCCTCAAAAATGCACGCGATATAGATTGTTGTCACATTTCACACGGTGAGGATGTAATCGCAGGAACTCGCATTGTTGCCAAAATGCACCAGGAATTGATAACTCTACAAATGTAAACATCTTACAGGTTGATTTTAACGATTGATTAAACGAATTTTTTATGTAAAGATACGGGTTCAGGACCCGAAAGAAAGAATATATTTTTTAAATCATCCAAAAAAGTAATTGAGAGTGAGATGTTTCTTAAAATTCAAACCGGAAAATGTGAACTAGTAAGTTAGCAATTGAATACTGTACAAGTTTTTTTAATTTGTGTTACTTTCGTTAAAGATGCATGTATCAAAACAACTACGCAATAATAATGATCGATTAATTAAAATGATTTCCCAATGTTCCATTTATGCTAATGAAGTAACACAAGCTGTACAAGTAAGACAATAACACAAGAGATTACACAATTTAAATGGTGATAACGAGACAAACAATTGATTACTAATTATTTCAATATGATATCGATATAGCGCCTGAATTAAGATTAAAACAACTCTGCATTAGCTTTCTTAGTGGTAGCTAAATATATCGTAGTGAAAAAATAAAAGCTTTGGATCACATTGTAGGAATTTTTCCAGAGTCCGTACCATGATTCACCTCCTCACCGTTAATCAATCTTAACTCTTCAAATGCAAATTGAGAGAGGTGGTAGCTTGGGCAGGCCTTCATCCAGTAGTGGATCGACCAAGACTGCTGCCGCTTGTGGCTTATGACTGCTAAACCTCGTCCCATATAAAGATTATAAAACAACGTATTCCATATGAAAACATAAGAATAGATTTGAACCTTTTTGGCAATAAAACAGATGCAAAGATGTTCAAACACCAAATATAAACCTTTTGCAAGCAATCAAGTCTGCATTAACCACACTTACTTGTGGTGAATGAAATAACTGACAACTGACACTTTGGTAATTGATATTTGGCAGTCCAAAACAATTACCTTCAAATTAACTTAATTGGGATTATGCATCGCACTATCGTCCCACTGCTGTGAAAGCTTGGAAGGGACCCTGAAAAAAAGTCTCGGTGTGCCTCACTGAGGCCTTCTTGGGTGGACAAACATCGTCGTCGTAGTAAATAATAATAATCGCTCCTCCGATGGTATCATGGTTGGCTATGTGCGGTCCGAAAGAATTTCAACATACAACGACAATCGCCATTGGCCACTAAGTGGCGGTGACGTCACCACGGCGCTTGTGCCAGGCTACGTGCACTTTAAGGCGACGTGAAGTGTCGAAACTCCTGCTGGCAGGAGATCATGGGGACAGACACGGGTGCCACGGGTTGACTGAGATGACTGGCACACATTTACAGACAATAACGGGAGAAGCAACACGTATTGATATATAACAAACAAAAATCAAGCTCTCTTAAAAACGTGTTAATAAGCTCTACAACGCCTGTACTGTCACAGGACGCCCATGTAATAGAGCCTAACAGCTTATTGGGCCATTCCTGCTGAAATAAATCAAATCTATCAGTCTAAAAACGCAGTGTTACGCAGCGTGTAAATTGGGCTGCCACCTTGAAGCTCGCAATATCACGGTTTGGCCGACTGTGCCAGCTCATGGCTGTGTGATGACTTCATTTGTGAATGTAGGAGACTTGTGAATGTCAAGAGATGGATCGTGGTGTGAACAATATGCCCTATCACGTTCCAACGAGCTAGCCACCGCCTACAACAACAATACCAAAACCGTTCATTATTGCACCCGTAAGCGGCCTGCTAGGTTTGAGACATTTAAAAGGCTAAAACGTGTATAAACAACTCAGATTTATGTACATAGTATTTGTTATATTTCGTAAAGCATTTGTGAAGGATGTACATAACATTACGAATACTATTTTTTGATAAAATGTATAATTGTATGGTAGATTAATATAAAGTATCTTTATATAGTACAGCACTGATGTAGTAGCTCATATTCGCCGCAAGATGCTTAGGTAATGAAGGAAAGGTTTTTGGGGGGGGGGTTTGTTTTTGGAAGTCCGGTGTTTTTGGTGTGGTTTGAATAAATTAATGTAATAAGGTGAATGTGTCTATAACGAGTGTGATTTATTGTTCATAGTATTCTCGCTCCTGTGTATACCCCAATTCGGGGTCTAGTCTAGTCACAGAGGAGTTGTATAGTCGCAGTTTGCACCGATATGCAGTGCCGGATTAAGCTAGTGCGGGGCCTGTAGCATATGTTATAAAGGGGCCCTAAATAAAAAAAAACACAAATATAAAAAAAAAAAAATTTTTAACTTGCATAGTAGAGTAATTGTCTTTTTTCATGTGATATACAGCCAGATAATACGACAAATCGCTAACCTTAAACACCCAGTCGTTCATGAAAGTTGAAGGCAGTATAGTACTATAGTAATAGAGCAAGTGCAGAGTCACTGAACCGGAATTGACAGCTTGCAATCATTTAGTGCGGGGTCCTTGAAAGTACGGCGCCCGTAGCATATGATACTTTTGCTACGAGGGTAAGCCGGCACTGCCGATATGACATGTGGCCAGAAATTGCCCCGATATTAAAAACAACACACACACACCCACCCGCCGTCAGGACATTCACAAGCCATTGATTGATTCAAGTGAGCCTGACCCTTTGCCGAATAAACAATGAATGTTGAAACCATTTCTTGCTATTAAAACATCTGGCAGTACACCAGCATTGATTCAGGTAAGTCTGACTGTTGATGAGACAGTGAATGTCGAAACCAGCCCTTTCATATATACACATCTAACAGTACAGCATTGATTCAAACAAACCTGACTGCAGAAACACCGAATGCTGAAAGTGCTTCCAGAATTTGCTTGTGTTGATCCATTGCTGCTGATCGAATGCCCTGTCAACAGGCTAGGAGGGTAGAATGAGTATGTGGTGCGGCTGTAAACATCAGCACTGGGGAGACAAAGGTGGTCAGGCATGGTGTTGGCCACCCCTTCCGCTTATGTGCCGTGCACGCGCTGGCCCCAGACATCTGTTAAAGGTTATTCAGGGTATCTTGAGGTTTTTAAATCTTTATCTGCGTTTGTACAGATCGTATTCTCTATTTAATAGAGTCACAGTTTGTGGGCGCTGTCATTTCAGATTCAAATTTTGGGGTAAAGCAGTCCATTTTTTGGTGGTCCGCGTGAACTTCTCCTGAGAAACAGATTTATTTGGTGGGTGAGGAATGTAAAGTTGACCCGATTGGTTGAGATGAAGGACATGGAATGTGAGGAGGTGGTGAGTGCACACGAGGCCGTTAGTGGAACTCGCGCAGAGCGGTGCTGCGTGACGGCTCTGGTTCTAACAGGTGGAGTCGCCCGCAACAATACGGGTTGCAGGTGTCAAAGCCATAATTTCTATGCCCTTTTAGGAAAGCTTCGAGATAATTTTAAGGGGAATAGGCTGAGCTTGCCTGCTCGTCGAGAGGAGTGCGGCGGCAGAAGGAGTGCGGGGCGCGAGACGATGGGACTTGTGGCAATCAATGCAAACGCTGACTGCTTCGGAAGCCATGGTCCTTCGCTTTGCTCGGTGTCATTGCAATCGTGCGTGGCCGAGCCCTACGAGGTTGCGTACTGCCCCGAAACGTGGAACCATGGGCCAGAGTAGGTCCAACGGTTTTGACTAGATGCCAACTTTGCCCCAAAGTCGACGCTCCCTCAAAAGCACCTCTCACATGCAATGGGTGCGCAACGAGGCTCGAATAACTTTGTCTCCTGAGCCGTTTGCGTTGGTTCAACGGTTGTCTGAGCCGTCCTGTCGTGACTGGTTCCTAATTCCTCCACGTCATTGAACAAAGACGGTGGTTACCGCATCGCGCAATTTCAGATGCGATGCCTCCGATTAGCACACCTGTCAACCCCTTATTCTTGGTTCTTTCGGTAAAGTCACGTAGAAGGGAAATAATAAAATAAATCAATTTAAACAATGCAATTCTCACTACGTTTCGATTGCAACACAAGCAATCATCATCAGGTGTGCTGTGGTTTTCACATTGTCATTGTAGTGCGTATTTAATGTGTCGCTGCACTCTGATGTAGGAGAAAACATGTAATAAAAAGGAGGCGTTGGAAAGGTTAAATTTAGCATAAAATTCACTTGAAAGCATTCAACGTCTAACTAAAACTGCAGATGTTCAGAATATTGCATTGAAATTATCTTATAATGATAAAATATAAAAAGTAATAACTATCAAAAAAATACTTGAAACTTTGTAGTAGAACGAATCAAAATGGATAGTACAATTATAACAATCATATATTCATTGCACAGAATGAAAAGCCCTGGTAGAATCATTAGAATCAAAATGTTGAATAACAATAATTAAAATGTTTTTAAAAATGTATGCTTCTCCATTCTCCCATGGAGAAGCAAAATGCTCCTTCATGGAATAAATAAAGGTGACCTTAGTAAATTTAAATAATCAAATGGTTAATAATGAAAATTAATCAAAATTTGTGTTGTTATAACAATTCTATATGTATTTAAAGTTACGCATTTTGATGTGACGTCACATTTCTCAAACCCCCCCCCCGTCACACATCGTCACAAATGTTTGACCCCCCCCCCCAGGTGCGTGACGTCATTTATGGACGACCCCCAAGCCGAAACATAACATATAAAAAAATAATGTTTAAAAATATTTATTTTTTATGATAGAATATAGTATTGTCATCAGTATGACATAACTATAGCAAGTTTGCAGTCGATACCACATTGGGAAGTGGGTTAAAATTGAGTTACAAGATTTGAGGATACAACAACAACGACAACAACAGAGTGAGTTAAATAAAAGCGTGTAATAATAATAAAAGCGTGCAAAATGTAATAAAAGCGTGTAATGTAAAAACACACAGACGTGGTAACGTATACACAAACAGGGTCTTAGAAGTTCGCAATTAATGTTATCATCATCAGAACAGCAATCTGGAAGGGGTGGCACATGCATCCTGCAATTCGAAATCGATACAGAAAATAGGATCTGCCAATAGACTGCACATACCAGTCTCCCTAGACTGTACGTGATCAATGCAGGCATCGTGAGCTGAATGCATTTTTTTTTACCATTGCGTTTTGCGCATCGATGACTGAACGGCAGCGTTCAAGGTGGCCGGATCTCATCATGCGGAACGCTCACACTCTTAAGGTTTGTCCCTCGCAGTGGAGGTTATGTCTATTATTCCAAAGCTCCATTTACAGTCAACGCACGCCACAAACACGGCTCGTTTCTGCTTCGACAATGGGGTGGCATCTCGGTTACTTCCCTTCTATACCCCGAGACCCGCACGGATCTGGCGCGGTGCCAAGGCCACCCCCAGCCCACAGGGAGTGACACGTAGCTGCTCTCATTCAAGTGGCACGTGTGATGTAATCGGTGAGGGCTCGTACATATAAACCCAGCGGCCAGCCATCCACCCGCTAGTCCTCTCGTGTTATTATAAATACATCACACACGCGCTCACAATCGCTGCGCGATTTCCTCCGACACACGTGTCGTACTGTCGCCTGGCTCACTGTGACGTGAGTTGTCCACGCGTCAACAACATCAGCTAGCTGCCGTTCTTTAAATAAAACACATATAGCATTGCCTTCGTGAAGCCGGCTGCTGTTTTTGTTTTGGTTCATGCGCGTTTTGAGACATTGATGTATGCGGGAGAAGAGAAATGGATTCCCAACTACAGGTAAGATGTCTGCAATCGCATGTTGGGTGACACAGAAAACGTGTGCGGGATGCATCGGGTCTGATTACTCATGATGCGTTTGGGAATACTTCACAATGCTGCTGGTTACTGTGGATTGATGAAGGCAGACCGGGAGGGAGACCAGGACCGGTTCGGTTGTCACCACCGATGTTAGCCGTAAGTCAAACATGCAACTGGAGGTAACCTGGCGGAGTGCGCTAATCACTGTGCCACCGCTCCACCCGCAGGTGGTATTAGGCTGATAAAAGCACACAAACACAGCTTTATTTGAATTTTGAATGTTTAAAACATTGAAATGTGGCGAGATCCCAAAATGCTGTACAAGTGGGAGTGAGGGGGGACGTGCCCATGAATAGGGTTTGAAGGGTTTTTCTCGTTATGATCGTAGGGAATTACCAGCTCGAAGGAACTGAAAGCATACTATGGTATGAGGGTGTGTACATCGTTAATTCCTTCATTGTTAATGGACTTTCTTTACAAGTGCAGCCAACGCATCTGCAAATTCAAATCATAACTCACCCTAGGTTTGATTTTATAGACGGAGACCGTCAAACAGAGAAACTAACCATCGTTGTGAACACATCACACGACTACGGCGTGCCTCGAAATCAGTACATTCTCTTCACTCGCCGAGGTTCATTCAAATTTTTTAATTTTTTGTACAGTTCCGCCAGTGCAGTCCTCACAAAAATGATAACAGTGAGGCATGTATGTCACGAAAGGGACCCTGCTGGGCAGTGACTTTTATTTTAAACGAATGGCACAGACTCTTCCTGGGGAATTCCCAGGCATTCCCAGGGCAGCCGAGCGACATAGTCCCGCCAGCATGTAACACATTTTTTAAGTAAGGTTTATTTAAAACAAATGAATATGCAAATCAGGGGGGGGGGGGAATATGAGAGGTCAATAATTAGAGGTCACAAGATATCTGAACCACCGCCCCGTACAATGAAGTTACAAGCAAGTCAAGTGCGCATGGCGCGTAACTACCACGTGTCCATCAAGGGAGTGAGCGATACACATCGCATCGGGGGTTTGAAAGTCCCGGGGGAGTTCGCCAACATCTCGGCTGTGAGCCGACTCTTAATGCTTCTTCTGTTTGGTGCTGTTGTTACTCAACTTGAGCTTTCAGGTAAAATGTTAAAATAAAGTAGATAAAGAAAAACGTTTTCCAATTCACACACATTTATTTGCACTCAAAAGTAGAAAATAATTTATGTTGACCCCAGAATTAATCAAATTTGATGTTGTGAATGAAAGTGAGTGGTTTCCTTTCGATATCTTTCATTGTCTTTATGCAAGCCACCCACTTTTATTGAGCACATCAAATTTGATTAATTCTAGGGTCAAAATTATTTATTTTCTATTTGAGTGAAAATTAAAGTGTGTAATTGATTAACTCGTTTTTACCTGATTTATTTTAATGCTAACCTTGTAAAAAAAAATTGGAAATGTACATGTGAATTATAAGATCTCAATCCAGACCATAACAATAGTTCATTATTGTCTGGATAATTCTAATATATTTCGATCCCGACCCTGACGCCTGCTCTATATTTGGAGTTTGCGTGTCTCTGTCCGCGTGGTCGCGTAGATAAGAGTATTTGGCTGCTACACATTTCCACGTGATGATAAGCCGCTTCGTTGAGCTATCATTTGTGATGGCCAGGTCGCTACTGAAAAAGAGCGACATGGCACATGAGTGGGCCTCACGTGGTAAAATAAACAATGTTTGTAGTTTAGTCACCGGTATTATAGCGCGGCGCAATTCACCACAGCATCGCCGCTCCCCACGTGTGATTGAATGTAGAGAGTTCATGAATCGCTCTGCCATGAGTTCACAACTCGCCCGTGCATGCTAGCAGTGCACGTGGGAGCGGCACATATTTGTGGTGTCTGCTGAAATTGCCACGTTCTCTGTTTTTATTCCACCACAGTGCATACCTTTTACATAACAGCTAATCTTACAGTCTTGCACGCTTGGATTGAATTACAACCCAACTGGGTTATGTATGAGAGCCGAGGCGTTAGACGTTCACATTGCATGGCAAGGCACATTTCACGCGCTACTAACAATGCTGTTGTTGTTGTTCGAGTTACAAGATTACGTTCTAAACAAGCGGCAGTAGTGATCTCGTTGCACTTTCATGATGCCTCTATTGTTAACTACATTTTTTGAGTTAATTTCATCGAGCCCTGTCCCCTGGGAGTCGCTGACATGGATAATTCACACGGCACACCCACAGCCAGTATAGGGACTTCCTTACTGATGAAGTAGTTAGGTTCCAGAGGTCTGTTCGTAAGTCGAACTTTACTCCTTGTCGATTCCAAACACGTTGTATGGCGTCTACACTAAACACGGGGAACGGCTTTAAAAGTTGGATAATCTCCTGTAGATGGAGATGCCGCTGGTGCTTTACGTTCTGCAGATGTAGATGCCGCTGGTGCTTCACGTCCTGCAGATCTAGATGCCACTGGTTCTTCACTTTCTGCAGATGTAGATGCCACTGGTTCTTCATGTTATGTAGATGTAGATGCCACTGGTTTTTCACTTTCTGCAGATGTAGATGCCACTGGTTCTTCACGTTCTGCAGATGTAGATGCCACTGATTCTTCACGTTCTGCAGATGTAGATGCCACTGGTGCTTCACGTTCTGCAAATGTAGATGCCACTGATTCTCCACGTTCTGCAGATGTAGATGCCACTGGTTCTTCACGTTCTGCAGATGTAGATGCCACTGGTTCTTCACGTTCTGCAGATGTAGATGCCACTGGTTTTTCATGTGATGCAGATGTAGATGCCACTGGTTTTTCATGTGATGCAGATGTAGATGCCACTGGTTTTTCATGTGATGCAGATGTAGATGCCACTGGTTCTTCACGTTCTGCAGATGTAGATGCCACCACCGCCGCCATTTATTGCACGGTGCTTGAACTTACGACTCTCGGTCCGAACAGGCAAATTGACATACAGTATGGACAGGTTTTGTTCATTTCTATGAAAGTTTGCAAGTCGAATATTTGTAAGTAGAGGAGTCCCTGTATTCCTCAAGACTTGTTTTCAACTTGTTACGGTCCATTGAGCCAAACAGATATTTTATTGTTTGTAAAGCGACAACGAGCCATAAACCATTGGCAGTTACAGGACATTGCAGGGTGGGAACACCACTTGCTCAGTCCTGTGACTATTAGCCACGACATGCCACCGATTCCCACCTACTAGCCACCCAGGGATCATTCAGTGAGACATTATGGACTGACTCAAGTAATGTGATACTGAAGACATGGTTAATAAAGTGGTCCGGATTAAAAGTAATGGTCTCATGGCGCTAAAAAGAATCGATAGCTCGTTATATAAGAACACGCAATCCATTTGTTTTCTGAGACATGAAAAGAGCAACAGGCAGACAAGAGAACACACACACAAGTTAGAGATGTTATATAAATTGTTAAGAATATTGCGATCTTGGGCAGGACAAGTCAGGCGAAGGGACAATGATGATGATGATCGCCAGTGGATTGATGCAAACAAAAGAACGGTAACCAAATGCACTTTCAAATCTAGATTGACAAACGCATTTCTTTAGAACTGCTTTGTGTTGTCCCCCCCCCCCCGCACCTCCGATTAGCATGGTTGGCTTCGCACGGTGCGAAAGAAGTGGACTTCCAGAGATGGAGCAATGAGACCATGAGGCATTCATTCAGACGTGGATAGATAATGATTAATTCATTCTCGGGGTACTTTGTAGCTTTTTTTATTATTCAGAAATTACCACTGTGGAATATATTTCGGGAGAGTGGATGGAAAAAATAATTCCTGCTTCGGTGAACCGTGACAAAACAATGGTTCGCGTTATGGTGGGACAATTCCGGTAGCCAGCACGTAGTATAGTAGTCGGGCTTTCGAGACGAATATGATCCAGAAATGTTTTTTTCTTGTGGTTAGATCACACGAATATGAATGGTGTCGTTCATTTATATTTATGCGATCTAACACGCCCGGGGTACTGTACAGTCTTAAAGGGAATTGGCCGGCGTGTGTGTTATGTAACCCCACTTGCTGGCTCTTGCCACTGGTGAAAGCCCACCAAAGGCTCTCTGGGTTGTGTGTGTGTATATACAAGATACAGTACGTTCCATTTTAAATTGTACACTCAACAATGGGGGTGAGTTGGTGCCTCGGTTGTTAGCGACCTGCGCGAATGGTTTGGCCATGTTTGTTTGTTGTAGTATGGAGTTAGAATGATGGCTTTAATCTAAGTTATCTTGTGGTTGTTGTTGTTTGACTTGCATCCCACTGGGATTTTTGCACACAGAGTTGGTGTACGGTGCTTTTTCTGGAAGATTTTTGCTGTTTTTTCCTGGATTTTTCTGTTTGCGCATAGTCACTTTAAGATGTTTTCTTGTTCATGTTTTTGTTTTTTGTTTGTTGCCGTTGCACCCGATTCAACAGCCGAATGGCTCACAGGGCTATACCTAATAAATGAAACTGAAAACTGAATGAGCCGGCTCAATGCGTTCACGTCCCAGCTGAATATAAACCCTGACATTGGCTATCGCGAGCGAGGTGTTTGGTACGACATTGGGCTGTGTATACTGTATACACAGACACGATACAGGGCGTGCTATTTCCAATTGCACATTCTAACTTGAGTGGCATGGGGGAGTCGATGCCTCAGTTTCTAGGGCTCTGTGCTAATGACCTCAGCTCAATGCGTTCACGTCACAGCTGAATATAAACCCTGACTTTGGCTATCGCGAGCGAGGTGTTTGGGTACGACATTTGGCTGTGTATATATAGACACGGTACAGGGCGTTCCATTTTCAATTTGCACATTCTCACAATTCGGGGGGTGAGTTGGTGGCTCAGTCGTTTCGAGCGCTGTGCTGATGGACCCAGTTCAATGGGTTCATTGGCGCATGAACCCCATTGAGCTGGGTTCATGAGCGTGCTGATGAACCCAGCTCAATGGGTTCATTGACGCATAAACCCCATTGAGCTGGGTTCATGAGCGTGCTGATGGACCCAGCTCAATGGGTTCATTAGCACATGAACCCCATTGAGCTGGGTTCATGAGCGTGCTGATGAACCCATCTCAATGGGTTCATTAGCACATGAACCCCATTGAGCTGGGTTCATGAGCATGCAGATGAACTCAGCTCAATGGGTTCATTGGCGCATGAACCCCATTGAGCTGGGTTCATGAGCGTGCTGATGGACCCAGCTCAATGGGTTCATTATCACATGAACCCCATTGAGCTGGGTTCATGAGCGTGCTGATGAACCCAGCTCAATGGGTTCATTGGCGCATGAACCCCATTGAGCTGGGTTCATGAGCGTGCTGATGGACCCAGCTCAATGGGTTCACGTCCCAGCTGAACGGAATCCACCTTGGCTGTGGCCATCGCGAGCGGCATGCGAATGGGGTGCTCGCTGACCAAGCGTGGGGAAGTATGGCCGAATGATCTCCACGACCGCCAGACGTGGGAGGCCTTAATCCATCCAGCAGTGGATGAACACGTGGTTGCAATGCGTTTACGCTTAATTCAATAACATCGTTTGACCAGATGCCAAATGTTTGAAACTCAAACCTATGTGTAATGTATATGAATAATGGTTTTTTTGGGGTTAGGTGTAACTACCCGCCACCACCCATGAGGTGGTGGGTTTAATGACACATCTATATATTTACGATCTAACCCAAAACAACCTCTATTATGGGTGATGATGTTGTTGGTCGCGAAAGCCACGAGGTGTTACACTTTATGTGAATGCATGTACAGTATATTGAGCGGAATATCGTATTTTTTTTAAGCCTGTTAAATCGCTGACGCTGCGGGGTTACCCCCAGTCCAGACAGATAACATCGTGGATTTTATTAATTTTCTTTTTTACTCATAAAATAAAATAAACTTTTGCTGGCTGGCCTCATGGAACAGAGGGCACTTGCGCGCCCAACCAAATCCCACAGCGATGGGCGAGGCTCGTGCGCGATGACGTCACCCCCCCCCCGTCGCCCCTCCCCCCGCTTTCCCCCGCCGCCCCGCCCCTCCCACTGCCCCCCCACCCCCACCCGGGCCGTGTTTCCCGCGCAAAAGCCGCGTGCGAGTGCAGTGCGGTAGGTGCTGTGGGAGGTTAGAGGTTATCAATGTGGACTGCAGCTCTTTGAGTTGCTTTGCATTTATCACGGCGGGATATTTTACAGCAGCAAAGACAAAAATAATCAACAATGCAGAGAACGAGTAGAGGCTCCCTGAGGAATATCTCACAGATCACAAAGGAGGTATTTAACTGTCATAAAGGAAATGCACGCGAATAACAACAATAACAACAACAGAAATGCAGCACAAATATGAGGGCAAAATGTGCCAGAATAACTGAGCTGCAGGTACAAGTAAAATGTTAGTCTCTAACAATGATATCAACACAGGGTGCTCACAATATTCAAGGGTCTGCTGTGTGCCGTTAGTTATTCAGACGTTTTACCTTCGAGGAATCATCTTTTGAATCCCATGAAGATAATAACCCTGAGAGGGGTTGGAAACAAACATTTGGTGCTGCCTTGTTCCATTTGATGAGCGAATTGCAAAGCGGCGATTCTGGAGCGGATGGGCCGGGCAATTTCTTGGTCAAACCCATGTGGGGTGGTCATGATTGCCCGCTGATTCTACACACTTATTTATTTGAAAGGGACACGTCTGTCAACTATAGAAAGGAAGATTCTTTCGGAAGAGAGACCACACGAAGTGCATTTACAGGAATATTTGCATGCGTAGCGAGGTCGGACAGAATTTGGCGATGTCATGGATGAAGGCCTGATGGTCCAATTATTTCAAAGAGCGTTAAAATATGATCTTATGTGGAATCTGAAGCATTTTTTTTTCTTGCTGTGTTTTTCACACATGATGATTGCTTGTGTTGCAATCGAAACGTCGTGAGAATTTTATTATTATTTTATTATTTCCCTTCTACGTGACTTTACCGAAATAACCAAGAAGATGAACCTGAAGCAGTTTCTTTTGTCGAATGCCATATTTCCTTGAGTGGTCACGAAGATCATTTCCAATTCCATCCACTTTTATAAACTTTTGCGGAGCAATTGACATGAGAACATCGTCAAGGATGGATGTGTGATCAGGGTTTCATTGTTACATTCAGATGCATTGTTGAAGACATGAATAGAGTAGTTTTCCAAAGCGGCATGTACATCCAATTGGATTGAATGTAATTTTGGGATGCCACGGTGATGAGATGTTAGCTACCTCACCTGGTATACATGAGGTCATCGGTTCGATCCTGACGCTTGTATATTTGGAGTTTGCATGTTCTCTCCGTGGTCATGTGGATTTTCTCCATTTACATTTAGAAACATGTATTTTGAGTGTTTGGCTGCTTATACATTTCCACGTGATAAGCAACTTCGTTGAGCTATCATTTGTGCCCAGGTCGCTTCTAAAAAGGAGCTATACAGCTCAGCGGGCCTTACCTGCTAAGATAAACATCGTATTTTAAAAGTATTTTGTCAAAAAACTATATTTTTACAGCATGAGGAGGCTAAAGCTGTTTTGTGTGTGTGTTTGCACAGAGCCTGTTGTATGAAGAGGTGCTGTATACCATTCATCATCAGTGGAAGCCAAACAGTGAAAGAGATGGCAAAGTGAAGACGCTTTTAGACAAGGTAAACACGCACTCCTTTTAAACAACAAAAACACACTCAACACACTCATCAACAACACTGCCCTCAAGAAATGTAATGCGCGTTTAATCGAAAAAAATCTGCTCGTTCTTTGGGTAGGTTTAACTTTTCTTCGATATATATTGGCCGATAAATAAAACGTGGGGTGACCCTCATATAATACGGCAATTAGTTACGTGTTATGAAGAAGGGCCAAGTCTCTAGGGTCACCGATTATATATTTGTATTTCAAGGCCACAATGCTGTTGACCAGTGTGTTGGGATTTTATATTAATTTTACAACGTGTGCCGTTGCCAATGCAGCATCAACAATTAACTTATTTTTAAAACCAGGGGAGGGAGGTTAGCAACAGTTGATTGCAAGAATGTGTCTACTGCACATGAATTCCTGGACAAGTATAACAGCCTGTGCTTGTGACCACGCATTCCTGCAATGCATTAACAACTAGGGGCTAATTCACATCGCGATTTCGGACAATTCACACAGGATGCGCACTGTCTCGTCGGATCTCGAAAGTCCCAGCAGGAATGAGCCTGGGGTAGTGCTTAGAAGGATGGCCACCAGGCACGGCAGGTGTCGTGCGTGGTGGCCACCCATCCAGGCGCTGTGGTTATTCTGAGTTCACCCTAATTCAGATTTTGAGTTCAGCTTTAAGGTCGTTGTGAGTGCACGGTAATATCAATTATGCCCACCGTCAGGTATAGCACTGACAGGCCATGTCCATTCAAAATGGGTACGCTTGTGTGCCATTGGTTATTAGCCGTCAGGCTGTTACCGGCCGACAAGTTCAAACGCGCGCTCCGACTTGCGCGATTGGCTGCCCCGCTAGTGCACACTTGGATGGGGCCTTTGAACGGGAAAAAGATGATTGGTAGAACGGTTCGAATCGGGGTCATTCATAGCGGTCACATTAATGTACGTATATAATCAGAGCGTGTAGGTGACATACCTGTCAATCCCTTATCATTGCCTACCTTATCACAGACCAATTCAGACCTTATTGGTCATCCCGTGGCCTTATAAATCTCAACGTTCATCCTACAAAGTCCCATCACAAGGGAGAAACAGAAACAAATATTATTTATTTTTTGCCCATATTGAAATGGTTCTACGCCATATGGACCTAAAAACTGAATTTCCCTGTACGAGAATACGGGTAAAACGTATGGGTTGACAGGTATGAAGTGACCATTTATGAAAACCAGAGTTAATGTAAGTTATTTGCTTAAATCTAATCTCAATGCCCAGGAAAATCAAGTACAAAGGTAGGGGGATTGCTTTCGAGAGACATTGGGGGAAATTTTTGGTTTGATTACTGGCTTCAATAATTAATCAGCCCTTAGTTAATTACACGGACGAGTCCTCCTGTGCACTTGCAGGTGGAAGGAGTTGTGATGAAGCGCAGTCGCCCTCCAGCAACAGCGGAAGGCAGAGCAGCGACGCTCACAACAGCGAGCGGAGCGCCAGGCGGCTAAAACACAGAAAGTTGGCACAGTGGAGAGCAATACTGGTGCATCTGCCAGTCATCTCAGTCAGACAACACACGGCACCTGGGTCTGTACCATGACCTCTTGCCATCGAGCTTTAGACACCTCACATGGTCTCATAGTGGCACAAGCGCCGTGGTGACATCCCTGCCACTTAGTGGCGAACGGCGGTTGTTGTTGATGATTATGGATGCTACTTTGAGCTTCAGCAGTCTCCTCACATCAGCGCACCCTGTTTCTGCCCTTGCCACATGGGCCGTGCTGCTGCAGGTGTTTCCCAGGGTGATGCATGCTGACATATTGCACAAGGTGCAAGCTGCCAAGGTACGTTAAATACCACCATTGTTATACTAAGCTGTTTTTCAAGAACGTTAAAACTTGTACAAATTACACACACGTTTGTCAAGTTAGTGTCGTGCATATTGTTTGTAAATATTGTAAATACTAGCTTTTTGCTCGTCCAAGGACGGGTGTATTGCAGTAAATCTGAAACTTGCAAGAGAAAAGCAGCCCGCGACGTGATATTCATTGCATCAATTCGTGTGCAATTAGTAAGGGCGCGGTGACACAGACCTATCTCATTTTAGGGTTATAACCCCTTGTTCATCGTGACGTCCTTTTAACATTGATGTCTCAACAGCGTTACCGAGATCGCGTGACGTGAGGGTTCTGCCTTTGTAGTGAGGGTTGTGAGTTGACGCCGAGGAGGGGGGAGGAGGCGCCTCGGCCCCCCATGTGGAGTGACGTCAGCCGCTAATTATTATGAATGTGGGGGGGTGTCCATTTGGAGGACGTCACCTTATAATGATTATTAATGAGGGGGGGTCCATGTGGAGGACGTAACCTGCTCGTGATTATTAATGAGGGGGGCTGGGCGATGTGGAGTGACGTCACGAGCGTTAAGGATATTCCTGGGTGATTAGTAGGTATAATGTTGTTATACTGTATGTTGAAATATAATAGACTTATATCCTTTCCGGAAAGAACAATCAAAGCGTGTTTGTTTGCATGTTTTACCACAAGCATGGAGTGCAAAATAACTCACAAACACCTTGTGAAAGACCCAAAGCAGAAGATCCCTGGGTTTGATAATCCGTGAAGCTCATGGTCCACCCTAAACCACATCAACACAAACCATGGCAATAGATGTGGATGATACCTAATGCAGAAATGAAAAATTATAAACTCTCCATTAGTTGTGCGACTGTGGTCATCCAGAACAGATCGTACAACGTATAGCGACACAATGCCCGATCCACAAATACGAAGAAGACATCACAGCGATGCACTCTGCTGCTCCTGACGCGGTTGTCTGGCTTGAGCCACCTGAATGTGAAATAGCAGTCATTGCTCTGCATCTACATCAGCCGTACGATAAGAAGAAGACCACAGGCATATGTGGTTAATGCAGACGTGATGTCTTGTAATAGGTGTCTATTTGGTGTTTGAAAATCTTAACACATCCTGTATTCTTGCCAGAAAGTGGAAAGCCAATTTTTTAAATCATCTTGATACTGGCAACAACAACAACAGAAATGGTCCCGTAGATATTGTTATCTGTCCTTCACTTAAAAAAATGTTTTACTGAGTAACTAACACTCAATGCATGAAACAAAGTTAAGTACAAAATTGTGTAATTCACAAACACAATACAGGCTATAAGGATATAATATACTGCATATAAATTTTACCCATTCCCCTCCAAGTCACGTGAGGCACGTTTAGCAATCATCAGGCGTGTGCGGCTAGTAACGACTTGTATTTGAATGGAGTAGAGTGGGTCAACGCGAACAGGTCGCTGCGGTGGGGACTGTTGTTTGGGTAAACGCTGACTAAAGAAATAACGGACAATAATGTAAAAATATATATATTTTTGCTCATGTATTCCTCACAGCCGCCAGCACATTTTTTGAAGATTGTTGTTGAAGAACCTACAAATCATAATTCAAAAACAGCAAGTGGTAAGCTCTTAAAATCTTACTGTACCGTGCCCGTGCATACCTTTAGACAAACAATGATCACTAGGCCCAGCACTACCTCGTGAGATGCACTAGCCCAGTGCTGCTTCATGATATTCCATTGTTTCCCATATCTCACATCAAGTAACAATTCAGGTTTGATTCCAGAGAAGGTTCAAGAAAATATGTTTTGTCTTGTGGCAGGAAAGACAATAAATAAATCAGTAAATGTATTTAAAGATACAGAGCAAAGGATGGCACGTCCCTCAGATATCATTGGCACACCGTCACTACATGTAAGAACCTTGACGGTCGACCTGATAGTGAAAGAGCCATTCCGAGCGTTCTTGCGTCTCATGTACAAAGAAACCAAGACATTTTGCAAAACGTTGGATAGCTCACAATACATAGATGTAGTGTCTTGAGTGGTTTATTATTAATCGTAGTTGTAGTCATGACGCAACTGAAAAAAACCAACAATCGTACTATCCCGGGAAGACTTACACATTTATCAGAATGGCTAGCTCAAAAATTGTACGATCCTGGCAAAAAAACCAGACGGGTGAGCAAACCTTCTCATGGTCTTCCTCTTTCTGCAGCGACCTCGTACACCGCGCAACTGGTTTCTAAAGCTGAGATCGGCCGCAGGGGCAGCAGTTCGGGCGTGCTAGACGCCGACGAGTCATCCACCGACTCGCCCCACCAGCCTGCCTCCGCCACCACGGACCAGACGCCTCATCACTCGTGGAGACATGCCTTCAAGCTGTGAGCTTTCCCCCATAGCCACGGTGGTGAGATGTTAACTGCCTCGCCTGGTATACAGGAGGTCGCGGGTTCGATCCCGACCCTGACACCTGCTGTATCTTTGGAGTTTGCATGTTCTCCCCGTGTTTTTTTCACCTACACATTTAGAAACATGCCGTTTTAAATTTCCACTCGATAAGCCACTTCGTTGAGGTATCATTTGTGGCCAGGTCGCTTCTAAAAAGAGCTATATAACTCAGTGGGCCTTACCTGGTAAAATATAATAGTAAAATAGTTCAACACTGGGCTGTGCACAGCACCTATAATAATTATTTGCGAGGCTGGCAATACACACACACGTACATTATTAGCACACTCCGGTGGTGCCGCAAATATGGCGATTGCTGTCATTCCAATGGATGAATCTGTTCATTTGTCTAATTTGCCAGGCTACAAACAAAATGTCTAGTGTATTATTCTAATACAGTGATGATGATGATATTAATATTGTTGGTTTTACAATGAACTTAAGTTATTTTACTCTGTTTTTGTTCAGTGATCTCACAGATGGAAGGGACAAAGACCTACTTTTGAATTTCTGGTAAGTTGTTTGTATTTTTATTATTGTTAACACTATATTTAGATTTATTTTCACACCTGCCAACCAACCCACACAGCTATCTACATAGCTGCCTGCATGCTTGCTTGTGAGCTTGTGATTCTGTCAAACTGCGACATCGATGGATACTTCTTCGTTTGACTTTGTCGACCAGCTAAACAATGTCAGTCAATTGTATTTTGATATTAAACAAATGGAAATACAGCTCGTTTCTGGGAAGCGCATAAGCATGACCGTGTTTCAGGACACTGAATGACCACCGCCATTTGTTATTGCTGATGTCGTCTGCAGGAAAATATCTCAAGAAAGGCATTTTCTCGAGTTCAAGTCAAAGGATAACGACAGAAGAGAATCCAAGAAACGTCACAGCAGCATTGTAGTTCCATTGAGTGTGAGTACATCACAATGCACAGCTTTGCGCTCTGTTGTTCGGGATGTCATGATCTAATGGTGCAATGTAAAACCAATCGGACGTGTGTAACGCGTGCGTGTTTTCTCGCTCTTGAAGAGAGAGAACGACTCAAGAGGCCCGTAGAACCACAGAAAGGGGCTCTGGTTGCTTATTTACATTTAGATTATTTACAATATTTTTCTGCTATAAATTTCCACTTGATAAGCCACTTTGTTGAGCTCTTATTTCTGGCCAGGTAGCTTCTGAATAAGTATAACCCGTAAAAACAAAGTTTTTCACTATAAATCCTTTATATGCGTGGCAGCGAACTTAATATAAAGGATTAAAAAATATATTCGCCTGTGAAGGACGCGGGGATCAATCCCGCGACCTTTGGCATGGGAAGCGAGGGCGCTACCAACTGCGCTACTCCGCCACGGCCTGTGGAGGGGTTACGCTCTGGGCTCTTACACTCTGACGTTCAGCCAAAGCCAAGAATGAGTTCTATTTGAATATATGTAAAATAATTTTTTTTGCCTAAAAAGTGTAACATTTTGGGAATTTTTTTTCACGAACAATAATTGTCTGTCACAACGAGTCTGTGTGGAAAATGTCAGCTCGATTGGATCACGGGAAGTGGGTTAAAAAACGACCGAAAGATTTGCACGGTCCTAAGCAAGCAAGCAAGCACGCGAACTTAATATAAAGGATTTAAAAATAAGTTAATACCTCAGTGGGCTTTACCCGGTATGATAACAAATTTAGTTTTATTTGTATATGTTTTAAGTGATTTGTTTATCTTGTCTATACTTTACACTTCTATCGTATTTAGTATTGTTTGTTGTTGTGACAGTCTAACCCGCCCCGACTGGACATCTGTGAAAAAGAGCTTTATAGCTCATCAGATTCCTCCAGTAAAAATAAATATTCTGATTCTGATATAAAGGAATTTGCGTTTACGTTTTGGAATTACAGCACAAGACCTTTCCCCACTATTTCAGTATAACTTGCATATATTGAAAAGGAGAACCCCTTCAGGAGTATGCACCATCTGCACTAAATTGGCCTGGGTTCTAGCTCAGCTATTCAGGAGCAGGGCTCTTTGTCGTTTCACATCAGAGCATCGCACGGCAAATGCCGGCGATCTCCTGCACCGACAGACGATTAAGAATATCCACAACTGTGCGATTGCGTTCATCACGTAAAACCGTGGACCACATTGTAATGCCACTTCTCACTTTCGATAGCTCGCCAACAGCGTTTCAGATCATCACGGGACTATTCCTGTAGATATCCACCGGCTCGGTCACCAACAGAGGGAACATGGCCACAAAATCTTTGGGTTATGTCACTCCCCAGTGATCCTTCACACAAATCAGATATGTACGTATACAAATGAAGCTTATACGAGTGAAGAAAAACACCAAAACAACATTGTAGATCCATACGTAGGGTGTGTATCTCTGGATATTCCAATAACGGAAATTAAGTACTGTACCGTGAGGTTTCACTATTATTGTGACCTTGCCGTGTGACTTGGGCACAAACTGACTGATATAAGTTGTGGAAATTGGCTCCACAAGTTGAATATACGAGCGGTGCTGTTTATTTTAAGTAATTAGTAGAAGTAACCAGCCCGTCCAAAAAGGAGGTATATTCCAGTAATTGGATAGTTGTCGCTTTCATCTTGCAAGTTTGGCTCATTGATGGATGATTCTAACATCGGGTATGGCAACTGCTGTGTGTGTTACGTCTATCACAGAGCATGGACAGACCGGAAACTATCGACTCTTACTCACTCCTGAAAAAGAAGAATGGACGTTGTCTGGACAAAGGGACGTGTAGAGTCTCAGTAAGCTACTCCACAGAGCAGGTAATATCGCAACACTCACACGCACACACGTCCACGCAGGCTTTCACCCTTATAAAATCATAATCAGCTATTGTCTAATCTTAATTTTGGAGCTTTCGTGACTGCAGGAATTATTCTTTGGTTCTTTCGGTAAAGTCACGTATAAAGATAAAATAATAAATTAAATAATAGCATACGACGTTTCGATTGCAACACAAGCAATCATCATCAGGTATAATGAAATAGCGACATAAAATCTAACCATAAAACTATAGACAGACATATAAGCAGACAGATATCACCAAGATACATAGAGAGAGCAACACAGGTACAGAGAGGGGTGATCGTCTCTGTGGGGTGGCCTTAAATAGACAGAGGGGGGCGGAGGCAGAGAGAGGGAGGGGTTAGAGAAAAAATTTACATGTCAATGAGTACGAAGAGACGCGTAGTAAAGTACGCAGGCTTAGAGGGAGAAAGAACACACTGGATGAAGGCCTCCCCATGCTTGATTGTCAGTGAACATGTTTTTAATCTGTATGTTGCTACTGAGAAGGCATTGATAATGATAATAAAAATACTCATAGACACACGTAGGTATTTATTGTTAATTAACAAATCAATGTACATTATCTTTGGGATTACGTATTGCGCACGTTCACACGTGCCAGAGCAAGGGGTCAATAACCAAAATAATGAGAAGAGACATTTAACAAGAAGAGCCGCAATGCACTGTGTTGAATGCGAGAGGGTGTTCTTTAATGAATAACGTGACGAAGCCAGTCCTTAAAGAGCCGCATGCGGGCTGCGAGCCGCCCCTGTGCCAGTGTAATCGCGGCCAATGTCTATGGTGATTGCAATAGCAATTGGCAGAGACCCATACCTGTCAACCCCTTATCAGTGCCCACCTTATTATGGATCAATTCAGACCTTATTGGTCACCCCGTGCCCTTATAAATCTTAACGTTCATCCGACAAAGTCCCATCACAAGGGAGATATACAAACAAGTAGAAAAAAAACATTGTTTTTGCCCGTATTGGAACGGCTGTACGCCGGCCGTATGGACCTGAAAACTCAATTTCTCTGTACAATAATACGGGTAAACCGTATGGGTTGACAGGTATGGAGACTACTGATATCATTGCATACTTTTAGACGTGGGGCAAGGTTGGGCAATGTGCTGGTGCTAGTGCACCGCTCCACACGTCAGCGTTCGCTTCGCAACGCGTGGCCGTGTTGACACTGCGCAGAGGGACACGTCGCTGAGTCGGGACCCGGCGCGCCTGAGCTCGCAGGTCTACGAGCTCCTTCTCCAGGCACTGGTGGAGTGGGAGCACAACGAGCAGCAGGTAAGCACCTGTCAACCCATGCCTTCTGTTGTTGTTGTTGTTCAACTGCCTTCTGTTGTTGTTGTTGTTGTTCAACTGCCTTCTGTTGTTGTTCAACTGCCTTCTGTTGTTGTTGTTTTTCAACTGCCTTCTGTTGTTGTTCAACTGCCTTCTGTTGTTGTTGTTGTTCAACTGCCTTCTGTTGTTGTTGTTGTTCAACTGCCTTCTGTTGTTGTTCAACTGCCTTCTGTTGCCCACAATAGCCTATAGCCCTAGAGTCATGGTGAAGTTATTCGAAGGTGGTTTAATTGCGGGAGGATAGCACTAGATGTAAAATACATGGCCCGCTACTGGTATTAGGTTATCGAAGACGAATGTATGTACTGAGTACAACGATCAGCTTATTTATACGTTCCGTTTAATAACCTACGCAGTGTGCACCACTGTTTGCTTTAAGCTGTAATATTATGCGAAGTGATAATAGCGATCGTCATTGGCTTTGTTATCATGAAAGTGCTAATGCAAAGCTTATAATTTTCATACGAAAGACGAATTATTGCACTTTTATGTGCTGTGTTGTTATGGAATCCTTGTTTGTGTCTTTGTATTTTGTGTTTATAGAAGAATAATTAACCGGCAATTCCAATTAGTCGTCTTGGTTCTTTCGAAATTCCAATTAGCTCCACATTTTCACAAGCCACAGTATCGAGATGTTAGCTCCCTCGCCTAAAACGACGTTTTAGGAATTGTCCCTTCTCCAAAGCGGCGATGATCTCCGCTGCAATAGCAGTGTCCACCACTGCCAACTCAGTATCGCAGTGTAGTTATTGTATATGTGTGCGTGTATGTATCACTACACAAGTATTGATACATATGTAGGGGTGTTAGAGAGAGAGCCGTTATGCATGGCAGCCTATGGCAAACAAACACAGTGGGCGGGGCTACGTAAGTGCACGGGGAGGTGCCCTCTACGACGTCCGAGCCAGGCACCCTGGGGGGGCTGGTTCTAACGTTATGATCCCCTGGGGCCCCACCCCTCAGGGAAGGGTTGGGTATAAAAGGGGATGTATCAAAGGGCTCGGGAGTCAGTTAAAAGCTAACCAGAGAAGACTGAAGACGTCTTAGGTAGAGCCCTGGACTCCCCTAGTTCGATGTCCTTATCAGGGCCGAACAGGACTGAGCCAGCGGCGTGGTCCCGAAAGCCAGAGCCGGTGCTCTTGTAAGAGCTGGTCTGGGACTCCGGGTACCGGGCCCGACTTACCAGTGTCGGGCCAGATAGCCTCCCCTAGCCCATAGTGGAGGACTCGGGGGTAGGACAGGGCTAGCTAGGGGTGTATTCCTAGTTATACGGGTGAGGGGGCCGAATACCCCTCGAGTGTTATATGCCCACTGTTGTACTGTAAAATAAATACACGTGTGCCTCCATCTCGGTGTCAAGCGTCCTCACCGGTACTTCAACTGGTGTCAGAAGTAAAACGAACATGGAAACGCGAAATACAGCTCGGGCCAAAGTACCGCAGGAGGAAGACACTGCCGAGATCGTCGAGCCCGAGACGGCTCCACAAGACATGATGTAGCCGGGGCCTGGCGCCTTCTTACCGGGGCATCGGGATGAAGAGGGGCCGCAGCCAGACGCGTTACGGCTGGCTCACGGAAGGCTGGCGGAGCTGCTGTATGCCGCTGCCGCCACGCTGGAGACCATCACGCGATTGGGGGCTGGTGATCCACCACGGGGCGAGGCGAGCCGACGACCGGGACGCCTTCCCGCCATTTCAGAACAGTCGAATTTTGAATTTCCCGCCATCGACGCTACAGCTGTTCAGGGCGTGGCCAGCCTGAACATCCGCTCCGACATCGGCATCGCTGGAGCTGCAGCGTCACCACCGCCGGAGGGTGCGTCATCACAACCGCGACAGGCGATCCCATCGGCCGTTCGCACCGATGCACAGCCGAGTGGTGGTGACAACAACCTGCGGGAGTCTACAACAACCGCTGCGCTACATCAGAGACTGCCCCCGCTGAAGGAGTTCATCGGCGCGGAGGGAGACTGGGCCGGCTTTCGACGACGTTTCCTCGCCCATCAGGAAATGGCAAAATGGTCGGATGAGGAGGCTCTCTGCGCGCTGCCGGCGCTCCTCGACGGCGACGCGCTCGCCGCCCTCACATCGGTGCCGAGGGAGAAGCGGTCTACGCTTCCGATGGCGCTACAGCTGCTGGGCGGGGTCTATGGACCATCGGCTGAATGCCGACAGCAATTTTACGATCGCAGGCGGGGTGAAAAGGAGTCGCCCCTAGCATACCGGACGAGCCTCCTGGCGATGGCTAAGTTGGCCTTCCCTCGTATGGACGACGACGGCGTGGACGCGATGGTCACGGAGAAGATCCTCCTCCTGGCAGACGACCTTGACATCGCGGTCGTCGCCCGGGAGGACGAGGAGATGACATCGCTCCAGGCGGCGCGGCTCCTCCACGCCAACCTCCTGTCACTGCGGCGGAAAGCCAGCAGGGCATCGGCGGGGCGTGCGGTGGCTGCAGCCACCATTCCGACGGAGGAGCTCTACGCCGTCGACCACCGACCGCAACAGGCGACAGGAGCACGGTCGGGCCGGGACGGGCCGGGCCGTTTCAACCGTCCGTCTCCTCCCACGGCGCTCCCGCGGTGTTTCAACTGCGGCGTCCGGGGCCACGTTGCCTCGGGGTGCCGCGCTCCTCGACAGCGCGGGACGACACCTCAACGGGACGACGGGCCTCATCACAAGCTCCACCATCATAACCCGGCGAGTCGCGGCACCCCACATGTTTGGCCCACGCACACACCCGTCACGCACTCAAACACCGCAACGAGAGGGGGGCCGATATCGCGCACCATCGCACCATCACGCACCACCCCGGGTACTCATATCGAACCCGGCCAGTGGTCCGTGCTGGCCGATCGTGTGGTAGCCGCATCGTCGGGGTCGTCGGCCGTTGTGGGGCACATCGACGGGGTTGAAGTGCGCATCCTGGTCGATACGGGAGCATCGGCGACCATTATTTCGGAGTTGATTTACAATATTCTCCCTGTCCGGAGTCGTCCTTTGATGCCTGTTAACGTACCATTCTATGCGGCTAACGGGGGCTCACTTGGCATCATCGGACAAATTCGTGCCCAAATTGTATTGGAGAAATTAAATTGTCTGGGCCGATTTTTGTTTCCTCCTCGCTGGCGGTTCCGTGCCTGCTGGGGACGGACTTCCTGGCCAAAATGCCGATTAGGATATTGATCGACCAGGGATGTATTGAGCTCCCGTCGGGCAGACGCATGGCGTTTCTGCCATCGCCTGTTACGACTCGGACGGCGTTCGCGACGGTGCCGGCATTCGTAGAGAGAACGGTGCGCGTCCCTCCGGGGGCGCAAATGTTGATTCCCTTGAAACTTCGGCGGCCCTTCGCTAAGGGTGTTGGGGCCCAAGGGGTTCTGCTGGGGCCGTCTAGGGCCGGGGTTAGTGGACCTCATTTACTTCCGGCCCAGACCATAGTAAGAGGGGACGGTGAACCCTTCATCGCGGTCCTCAATGTGGGCTCGCAGACGGTGGTGGTCCCACAGGGGACCGTGCTTGCTCACGCAACGCCGGTGCCATGTGAGGAACCCGTCGCAAATCACGTCAGCGTTGTCCCTGCGCCGCGACCGCATTCGGACAGCGATGAAGGGTGGCTCGAGGCGCTTTGTGCGGGATCGACGGACCTGTCAGATTCAGAGCGTCAACAACTTAAAACACTACTGCGGGAATTTTCCGACGTTTTTAGTCGGAATAAATACGATTTGGGTTGTACTCACCTGCTGCGTCACCATATTGACACGGGTGACAGCGCGCCAATTCGCCAAAATCCGTTTCGGTTGAGTCCCGCCGAAAAGGACCATGTCAAATCGGCTGTTGATGACATGTTGGCCGCCGACATCATTTCTCCTTCCACCAGCCCTTGGGGAGCGCCGATCGTCCTGGTTAAAAAGCAGGACGGTTCGTTGCGGTTTTGCGTTGATTTCCGGCGTCTTAACAAAATTTCGGTTGCCGACGCATACCCGCTCCCTCGGATGGATGAATCGCTGGACGCCTTGGCGGGAACGCGATTCTTTTCCACACTGGATTTACTTTCGGGATTCTGGCAGCTTCCTCTGGACGATGATTCAAAGCCTAAAACTGCTTTCCGTACACCGCACGGCCTGTTCCAATTCAACCGGTTGCCGATGGGCTTACACTCAGCGCCGGCAACTTTCCAGCGTTTGATGGAATTGGTTTTGGCTGGATTGCAATGGGAGTCGTGCCTCATTTATTTGGATGACGTTATCGTCTTTGGTAAAACTTTTGACGAACATCTCCAGAGGTTGCGGGCGGTTTTCCTAAAGATGCGGGCTGCTAATTTGAAATTCAAGCCCCAAAAATGCCATTTGTTACGCGATTCGGTGCGTTATTTGGGGCACATCGTGGGACGCTCAGGTATTGCTACCGATCCCGCCAAAACGCAGTGTGTCAGCTCCTGGCCGACTCCCACCTCGGTGGGAGAGGTCAGGAGTTTCATTGGCTTCGCGTCGTATTACCGACGGTTCGTCGCTGATTTTGCGACAATTGCCAAACCCCTGCACGCTTTAACATCAAAAGGGGTTCGGTTCCACTGGGGTCAAGAGGAGGAGGCAGCTTTCTGCTCCCTTCGGGACGCCCTGGTAAAAGCTCCTCCCTTGGTTTACCCCGATTTTCTAAGCCCTTTTTGCTCGACACCGATGCGAGCAACACGGGTATTGGGGGTGTGCTTTCCCAGGTGGTTGACGGCGTGGAACGGGTGGTCGCGTACGGTAGTCGGGTGTTGTCTCCTGCGGAGCAAAGATATTGTGTCACCCGTCGGGAACTGTTGGCAATTGTCCATTTCATCCAACAGTATCGCCCATATCTGTACGGTCGGCATTTCACCGTCCGCACAGATCATGCGGCACTACAGTATGCCCTGCGAGTTCAACAACCATCGGGACAATTGTCTCGATGGTTGGAGATTCTCCAGGACTTTGATTTTGAAACCACCTACCGTAAGGGCGTTCGCCACACAAATGCGGACGCTCTGTCGCGCATGCCAACCACCTCCGAATGTGCATGCCTCCTGGGGTCGGGACGTTGCAGGCCTTCAGGAGACGTATCGGTTCCGGTCTTGGCAGCCACCGGCGACGACGAAACATTGATTACTAATTCGATCGAACAACAGGGAAGAGATTCCCTGTTGGGGTTGCCCGTCACTGAATGGGGGCGCCTCCAGATGGAGGATACCTCCCTCCTCGGGTGGCGTCGTCGCGTCGGGGGTGCTGGGCGGGTGAAGGGTGATTCTGATGCATGGGAAATGGTGCAAGGTCTGCTGATGCATTGGGACGGGAAATCCCAGCGACATCGGCTGGTGGTCCCTTCTGGGTTGCGAGGCAAGGTGGTGTGGGCCGCGCATGAGCGCCTTCTACACCTGGGGACCCAAAAGACTCTCGCCTTGCTACAACTTGATTTTTTTTGGCCTGGCATGACGAGGGATGTTGGGGATTTATTGGGTTCATGCCCTCGGTGTGCGCAACGGAAACCGCCGGCACGGGAGTCTAACCCACCCTTGCAATCGATCAAAGTGTCCAGAATAAACGAGCTTGTCGCGCTGGATATTTTGGGCCCATTCCCCGCCACCCCCAGGGGCAATAGATATTTGTTGACTGGTGTGGAGTATTTTACACGCTGGCCTATGGCCTGGCCCCTTGCCAACCAGTCGGCAGCAGCCATCGTGGAGGCCTTTGTTCAGGGATACGTCCTGGACAAAGGTGCTCCGGAGCGGCTGCTAACCGACCAGGGCAGAAATTTTTCCGGTAAACTACTCAAACAAGTCTGTGAGCTCCTGGGCACGAAGAAAATTCGTACCTCCCCGTATCACCCGCAGACTGACGGGATGGTCGAGCGCCTGCATCGCACCATCACGTCAATGTTGTCACAGCAGGTCTCAGACTCACAGACTGATTGGGACCTACAAATTCAAGGGGTCTTGGCGGCATACCGGATGGCACCTCATGCAGCTACGGGATTTTCTCCCTTTTACCTCATGTACGGTCGCGAACCCGACCCACCTGTTCGCGCCCAGCTGCAGATCCCCGAACCACAAGGAAAAACTAAATTGGCTGACCATGTAAAATTTAATCTGGCCAAATTAACAGAGGCGCGGGATGCTGCAATGCTAAACTCGGACCTCCGTCAAAAGGCGAATGAGCGCCTCAGACTGGGTCGGGCGCACATGATACAGTGGAAGCCGGGGGACAAGGCATGGCTGCACTGTCCCCAGGTGCCACTGGCAACCTCCTCTAAGCTGGTGCGGCCGTGGCGGGGACCTGTGGAGGTGGTCGAGGTTTTGCGACCACAGTGCGTGCGCATCAAATGGGGGAAGCGGCGGTGGTTCGTGCACCCCTCTAGATTAAAACCCTTCGTTGCGGTACACAAACCCACTTCACATATGCGTGGCCAAACATGTGGGGGGTCGACCGACTCACTGGGTCCGTCTCCGTCGCCCTCACCTAATGCCTTGCCGGCCGTACCACCTCCAGGTGCATCAGGACTGACGGGCACACGCCCGACCACCCCTCCTGGGTGTACCAAAGGTCGCGCGGCGTCGGATGAGGACTCACTCCGGGACGGACAATTGCCACCTGACGGTCCGCCACCCGGGGTTACCCCGTGTGAGGGGCCCGCTGCAAGGACGCGCGCAAAAATGCGCAGACTGTTGTGAGGCCGGAAGATGTGTACATAGGTTGTGTTCATTGTGTGTTGTGTGGGTGGTGTGTTCCCTGCCCATTGAATGTACATACGTTGGGTTCACCAGGTGTTGTGTGGGTGGTGTGTTCCCTGCCCATTGAATGTACATACGTTGGGTTCACCAGGTGTTGTGTGGGTGGTGTGTTCCCTGCCCATTGAATGTACATACGTTGGGTTCACCTGGTGTTGTGTGTGTGGTGGGTTCCCTGCAAATTGTATATATACTGTTTTTTTTCGGAATTCGTATTTATTCAGGGGGGGGTGCGTCGGGTTGTTTCTCTTCTTGCTGTTGCATTTTGTTGTGTTCTTGTTGCTGTTCTTGTTATTGTTGAAAAATAGTGAGGCACACGCGCGGTCAGGGGGTAAATGCACTTTTATTGTCATTTTTTTTGTATATTGGCAGCCGGGACGGCTGCAAGCTATGTGGGGGGGGGGTGATGTAGGGGTGTTAGAGAGAGAGCCGTTATGCATGGCAGCCTATGGCAAACAAACACAGTGGGCGGGGCTACGTAAGTGCACGGGGAGGTGCCCTCTACGACGTCCGAGCCAGGCACCCTGGGGGGGGCTGGTTCGAACGTTATGATCCCCCGGGGCCCCACCCCTCAGGGAAGGGTTGGGTATAAAAGGGGATGTATCAAAGGGCTCGGGAGTCAGTTAAAAGCTAACCAGAGAAGACTGAAGACGTCTTAGGTAGAGCCCTGGACTCCCCTAGTTCGATGTCCTTATCAGGGCCGAACAGGACTGAGCCAGCGGCGTGGTCCCGAAAGCCAGAGCCGGTGCTCTTGTAAGAGCTGGTCTGGGACCCCGGGTTCCCGGGCCCGACTTACCAGTGTCAGGCCAGATAGCCTCCCCTAGCCCATAGTGGAGGACTCGGGGGTAGGACAGGGATAGCTAGGGGTGTATTCCTAGTTATACGGGTGAGGGGGCCGAATACCCCTCGAGTGTTATATGCCCACTGTTGTACTGTAAAATAAATACACGTGTGCCTCCATCTCGGTGTCAAGCGTCCTCACCGGTACTTCACATACAAGGAGGACTTGGTAATATTGCTCACCACATGCATGCTGGCTGTGCGTGTGTGTTGTAAGCAGTGCGGTGGTGCGGTGGTTCGTGCGCTGCGCTCCGAACCCGGCGACCTGAGTTTGATTCCCACTCACGGCCAACACCAGTGATGGATTATCTAAACTGGTCCTGGGCCACCCCTAGGTCGACACAGCCTCAAATAAGTTCCCGGTGTAGTGTGTAAACATCACCACTGGGGAGACAAAGGCGGCCGGGCGTGGTGCTGGCCACCCACTCCCTCGTGTTGCTGTGCCGACCTTCATAGGTGCTCGATCACAGCACTTGCCCCAAAAAGTCTGTTAAGGCTACGAGGGGGATCTTTGTCTGGTTTTAAGCAGAAACCCCTGTGGGACGGCAAGCTGAACGAAGAAGCCAGTGACATCCTCCTGCTCTACGGGTGCCAAGCGGACCTGCCGACCTTGCAGATGCTCGCTCAGTACGTGTGCCCTCACACGCCACACAACGCGCCGAGGCGCCGCTCGCTGTCTTCAACGGTTAGGCCAAGCCCAATGGTCGACAACCAAAAATAATTAGAAGAGACTTTTTTTTCCTAATTCAAGAGCCGCAATGCACGTGGCAAATACGAGATGACGGTCCTTAATAAATAACGTCACGAAGCAGTCCTTAAAGAGCCGGAGCTGCAGGTTGCCAGACCCCTGGGCTAAGCATTAGAGGGAGATGAGGTGGGGCAAGGGTTGCACAATCCTCATGCCTCACTGCAAGAAGGATCTGGGTTCACTTCTTGATTCAGGTGCCTTCCTGCATGGAGTTTGTACATTATCCCCCTATTCCCTGCATGGGTTTTCTCTTGGCTCTCCGGTCTCCTTCCCATAGCTGAATTAAAAACATACCGTGTCATTGATTTTTACCAAACATCTCAATGCAGTAGCAGAGCCTTCTTTGGTGAATACGTTAGAATTATTTTGAGTTATGGATGACAATATGCACACTGTCTACGAGATGCTAGAAAATTCATTAACACAATATTAACATTTTTATTTGCAGGAAGTGGTCTGTATATATGAAGCAACATAACAATAAACCATTGGACATCAAGTTTTTTAAAGACCTATTCACAGGGACTGTGAATATTTGGACAGATGGCACAGAGGTATGTACTCATAGCAGGCAGTTCTATAACAAGTAGTTCTGAAATGCAATCTATTTTTTGTTTTAGCCAAGTATTTTCTTTCAATAATAGAGGTTTTTGGGTTAGATCGCGTGAATATGTGTCGTTAAACCCGCCACCACGCGACACAGCCAATTCCTAAGGTTTGTCACGTAAACAAAATATGCCAATTCATTACTAGTGTAGTGGTGATACGCGCTGACAGTGGGGATCGTGGGGCAGCGCGTGGTGATTGGCTGTGTGCCGGTGACGCGCGCTGACGGTGAGGGATCACAGGGCAGCGCGGGGTCATGGGTTATGTGGTGGTGATTGGCTGTGTGTGGGTGACGCGCGCTGACAGGGAGTGATCGTGTGGCAGCGCGGGGCGATTGGTTGTGTAGTGGTAACACGCGCTGGGAAAACGGATCGTAGGAACAGCGCGCCGTGATTGGTCGACTAGTGGGCGCTCACATCGCGGTCCGCAAGAGGGCTATATAAGGCGGTGCGCGCGGGCGCTCGGGGAGTTGGTGACCAGCGAAGACTGAAGACGGCGGAAGAAGAGATAGGGCCCTGCGGCACCTAGTCCCGCTGTCCTTGTAAGGGCCGGGGCTCTGTGTGACCCAGAGGCGGGACCCTGGGACCCGGGGCCGAACGTCCGTGTGAGGGCCGGCTCTCGGGACCCAGAGGTTGTGACCCACGCCCAAGCTGGGGTGGGTCTGTAGGCTCCACGGACGTTACGGGGCTGGAGTGTAGTGTGAGCATGCAGTGTGAGCATGCAGCGTGAGCCATAGTCACTACACGTGTCAGTGGAGTGTGTAGTGGGAGAGGTAGTGACCACACGTGTCAGTGAAGTGTGTGTAGTGTGAGGAATAGTGACAGCACGTTGTATCGTGACAAGTCAAGGTTTAATAAAAAGTGTGCTACCCGTCAAGAGGTTTCCTGCCGTCATTCCGATACTTCACTAGTACAGCACACCGATGTGTTGGAGAGTAAACCCACAACATTTACAATTCGATTACGACGTTTCACCAATAATTACAACCAGCATCATCAGGCGACAGCCAGAGTCTGTGTATCACGATTTATTAGGGGTTACAACCGGTGGGATTTGGGGTTGGATCGAATGATGGGACTGCACCCGAGGGGGTGGAAAAGTCTTACTGAACATCTGTGCACTACTTGACATCTGTGAAAAAGAGCTTTATAGCTTATTGCATTCCTCCTGCATTATCAATGAATATTCTGATTGTGATTAATCCAAAGGTGAGAATGCCATCAGAATGAAGGGCAGCTTGTTGTTCTAACCTCGCCTAGCAGAACGACGGGCTGAAGGAAGTCGTGCTGGAGTTCACGAAGCAGCGTCTCGCCTCACTGCAGCAACTGGAACAGCACTTCCCCAACTCCTCCAAGGAAGCTCTCAAGCAGCTGAAAGAAACCCTCTGGTGAAATGAGACAAAGATCCCCCGTGTAGCCTTAACAGACTGTAGGGGCAAGTCCGGTTAGCGAGCACCTATAAAGGCCAGAACGACACACGAGGGGGTGGGTGGCCAGCACCACGCCCGACCGCCTTTGTTTCCCCAGTAGCGATGTTTACACACCGCACCAGGTACTAATTTGAGGCTGAGTCGACCTAGTAGAGGCCCAGGACCGATTCAGAAAATTGTTACCGGTGATGGGCGGAAATCGAACTCGGGTCGCCGGTTCATAGCGCAGTGCTCTAACCGCAACACGACCACTCCCCATGGTGAAACATGCACAGACGCACACACTCCACACTAGCTGAAGCCTCACTGAACTGCACAGCAGTCTCAGTCGTTTGCACGACACTTGATGCATTTCATTACGTATTTTTTTTATATTAATTGTGTGTTGTATTTTAAGGCCCACATCCACGGGAAACCCCTTCAGTGAATGTATGTACTATATGTTAAACTTCTTTCGCACCGTACATAGCCGACCGCGCTAATCGGAGGTGCGGGGGAAGGACAATAAACTAAACACAAACAGCAATTCTAAATAAATTAAGTTTTCAAACTACATTTAAACGTGCATATTTTCAGTGGTTTCCGAATATCAGTTTAGCATTCCAGATGGCCGCATAAGTGCATCTGAAAGCGCACGAAGTGGTGAACCGTCTCATTGGCCAGGCGACGCGACTAACGTGATGTTTGACTTGGGTTAAATAAATAGTCACAATGCAACGTGCAGCATTTTCGGCGTGAGGCTTTCCACTGGATCCTGCCAAAGTGGAACATTCCCACTGAATAAGCATTGACATTGTTGGTTCCCTTTGCAAACTGAATGCATCTGTTTTGCTCTGCACGAGCTATACGATCAGAGTTTTGAATTGATAAATCCAGGTGTTCGTCACCGTGCAATGACGGGACCTCTGACTTAGATGAAGATGATGTCGTGAAATTGCAGAAGATTTGTGACGAAGAATTTTTCCGCCAGGATGGATACAGAAAAGATCTTTGTCAGAAATCAGTTTCACGTTGTCATAGCAGTGTGTTTGTTGTCTGATTATGACAGGCTACTGGAGCACATGAACAATTCCAAGATTATTCAAGGGAATTCCAGATGTCTAATGGAGAGCATTGAACGGGAAATCATGGTACGTTCCGCAAATCGAAATTACTTTGATCGTGATTTATTTGACACAAATGCGAAACTTATAATGGCGTTGGCGAAGATCAACTGTATTCGAATGAACTTTTCGAGAGGAAAAAAGATTAAGTGCGTGCATTTTTTTTTTACATGAAATGTCTCCCGCGTGCGACGTGTGCGATTTAGGAGGGAGCCAATGTGTGGTACGCAAGCAAGAAGAAAACCTGTGAGATATTCCGGGTAATTGTACAATTGTGGTTATTGTCCTTCTACCTTCTCCCGAAAACAACCACTGTCTGTCAAACTGGGCTCGATGTGGCTCCTTCTCCACTGCTGTCCAAATGGTCTGAAACACCCCACTCATTGGCTGCCCCCACTGGTCGAGACGACATACACCATACAATCAATGTGTGTCCTTGATTCTCTACCTCAACTCGTCTATGTAATTGTTGTTTACTTATTATCCTATCGTATGTATCCGTCTACGATGCCTCACTTGGGCAGCAGGATGGAGCAGCGGTACCACTTGCACCTCACAGCAGGAAGCTCGTGGGTTCGTTCCCCGACTCGGGTGCCTCTCTGTGTGGAGTTTGTATGTTCTCCTCCTGTTCTGCCTGGGTTTCCTCCGAATTCTCCGGTTGCTTCCCATAGCTAAAAACATACGATGCAACTGGTTTTGACCCAAAACATCCCAGTGCTGATTAATTCTAGATTTGAAGCTTTCGTGACTGCAAGGATTCATACTCTTAGTTCTTTCGGTAAAGTCACGTAGGTAAAAAATGAAATTAAAATTAATAAAAATAAAATTAATTGGCTGCAAATTTTTTTACTTTTTACTTTACCAGGAAAGGCGCACTGAGCTATATATCTCTTTTTCAGAAGCGACCTGGCCACAAATAATAGCTCAACGAAGTGGCTTAGCACGTGGAAATTGACTCCAGCCAAATACTCAAGTGCATATTTCTAAATATATAGGGGACAAACCGGAGGACCTCGTGAAAAATTCACACGACCACGGGGAGATGGACATGCAAACCCAAATACTGTATACAGACGTCAGGGTCGGGATCGAACTCACGACCTCCTGTATACCAGGCGAGGCAGTTAACATCTCTCCACCGTGGCGCCAATTACTGGATTGGTATAACACAGTGGCACGATTACCCCCAACTGCATAAACCAAAAAAACTTCGAAGGACCCTCCTGAAAAAGAATATGGAGACTCAGGAATTTATGGGTAAACAAGATTCAGAACAACAATAAAAAATGAAACATACTTTTACTGCTCTACACCTGCTTTTCAGTAATAAAAGATGATACCAGTGTATAAATCAGGTTCTCAAGCGATTCAGCTAATTCCTCAACTGCATTGAGCCTGGCCACATCATTTGACGCATGCCAGTTCAGACGATTAAAATGTTAATTTCATAAATAGTCAAAACAAACACGCACGCTGTTGTGTTCCCGACTAACACCGTGCCGTCGTTCCGTCTGCAGCATCAGAAGAAGGACTTCATGCAGGCGATGGCCAAGTTGTGTGAGCTTATCGAAAAGGAGCTCAGCACCATGGAGAAGTACAACAATGTATTCACCAGGTACCAGACGTTCGATACCAGAGATGCGGATGGCAAGCTACTGGGCATTGCATTGGTGTGACCCGGTGACCAATAATATCGGTGGTTATAGGTGTAGTGCAAGTGGCGTAACGAGCACCCCCTGCATGCGTGGGGCATGCAGGGGGTGCCTTGCCCCCCCCCCTCTGGTGGCCAAAGCTACGAGTTGGGGGGGGCCCTTGACAACCACCATGAGATTTGTTTTCAACAACAGCGTCAAAGAACAACAATTCCTTAAAACGCAAATGTATTTTTATGGAAATGCTTTCATTTACGTTCCATGTTTTATTTTCATCCAAACAGGCTATAAATCGCTGCGCTATATAATAGCCTCGGTGCGACCGTGCGAGACAAATCAAATATTGGGATCCCCACCCTGACTGACTGCCGCACCCCCTGAGCCGATACTGTCGTTGCTACGTCACTATGTGGTAAAATTTGTTGCTGTGGAGCAATTGGTGAGCACACCGGAGTTGCGATCCATTTCTCGTCACTTCGTATGACAGAGATTCCGAACGTCCCCCCCGCCCTGCTTCTGTCCACCCGGCAGTCAATCGGTAGGCGCGTGTGGTGGGGTACACTCTGGGCACACTGACTTCCTCAAAGATGAAGTCGCCTTTCACCTGCTTCTTTCTAGAAACACAAAAACTGAGAGATATGTGTAGCTGAAGTGAGGCGATGTTTTGGGGTGGCTTATGTCTGTGGCAGTGCCGATGAGAGCCTGGGTGTGAATCATTAACATTCGATTGTGAAATATTTTCGAAATTAACAATTGTGAATTAATTAACAATAATAATTAATGACCCGGCTTCTCCGGTGCTAGGAGTTGGATGAGTTATCTTACCACGTGGCTGTAATATTAGTACTGCAGTGTTAGTACTGCAGTACTAACACTGCAGTATTAGTACTGCAGTATTAGTACTGCAGTATTAGTACTGCAGTGTTAGTACTGCAGTACTAATACTGCAGTATTAGTACTGCAGTGTTAGTACTGCAGTATTAGTACTGCAGTGTTAGTACTGCAGTACTAATACTGCAGTATTAGTACTGCAGTACTAACAGTGTTAGTACTGCAGTGTTAATACTGCAGTATTAATACTGCAGTATTAGTACTGCAGTGTTAGTACTACAGTGTTAGTACTGCAGTATTAGTACTGCAGTGTTAGTACTGCAGTATTAGTACTGCAGTGTTAGTACTGCAGTGTTAATACTGCAGTATTAGTACTGCAGTATTAATACTGCAGTACTAATACTGCAGTATTAATACTGCAGTATCACTGATCATATAAGTACAATACGTTGAAATTTCGATTTAAAGAATGAAGCTTGGTGGTGTTTCATTCTTCACCTGAGGACGGCTGCTTGCGTTGTGGCCGAAACGTCGTGAGAATTATTTTATTATGTTTTATTTTTATTATTTGATTACTTCCCTTCTACGTGACTTTACCGAAAGAACCAAGAAGATACAATACGTTTAATAAAATCCATTGACACATGAGACATTGCAAAGCATATATCAACATGCTGTTTTTCAAAGACATGGCTGTGTCTCCTCATCTCTATCTCTCTTTGTACCTGATAGACACAAAAATAGAGCTGTGATTTGGGCAGTTGAGAGAGTGGATGAGTTTCCATTCCTGGGAAGTGTGACTAATCCCGATTTGGCACCGGAGGTCTCCCTCTGAATCAGTCGAGCGGCATTATCTTTTTATTGGCCACATAACGCTTTAAAAGCTACATAGCCTCTCACTCCATACAAAGCTCTGGGTGTTCTCAGCCACAGTTGTGCCCTTTCTTCTCTGTGCTTGCCAAAACGTTGACCTCTTTCAAGGGAACATCTGCGCCAGAATGCAAAATTCAGGCTGACCTGCCTGCAATCCATCCTGGGTTTAACCAGACTGCATTGTGTAAAGAGCTCAAAGTCCTTTGGCAGGCGAGGTTGTGTTAGCTGGGTCATGTAGCCCGCATGCCCAGCCACCACATGCCCAACCAAGCAGCGTCTGTTTGGCCAGATAGAGGGGGATACACAGGCATGGCACAGACTAGAGAAGAGATGGACAAATGTGGTACAGGAGGATCTGGAGCTGAGTGGACTTACCTTCAAGATCGGATTCTATAGAGGAGGCTGGTGAAATATGTTGCAACAGCGGAGGGTGGAGAAGCGACGCTCACAACAACGAGCCAATCATCTCAGTCGATCAACCCATATCACCTGGGTCTGCCCCATGACCTGCCAGCGAGCTTTCCACACTTCACGTGGCCACAATGTACACCTAGCCTGGTTCAAACGCTTTATGTGACATCACTGCTACGAAGTGGTAAACGGCAGCTGATGTTTTGTTTGTGTATCCGTATATGTCTCCACGTGTGTGTCTGTGTCTCCATGTCTGCCTGTCTCTATTTGTGTGCAGTGCATTTGTCTTTGTGTGTGTCTCTATATGCATAAAGCTTTATCATTTTATCTGCATAGAACAGTACAATATAATTATCATTTTAACTGGTAAGCGCAGAGTTTATTTTATGTTTTCACTCCGAAGTACAGAACATACAAATATTCTGGTTCGATGTAGGTTCAGGACAATGCACACTTAACACTGGTTTTTGCATTCCGGTTTTTAACTGATTTAAACTCTGGATATAGGTAATGTTAAAAGATAATGTAAAACGACTGTATGCTGCGCACGGACGACGATGCACGTTTTCCCGTCTTGTGTTGCAGGGTGTTGTACATGAACTACCGCGCTGTGTGGAGCAGACAAATCGAGGCCATGGTAGGTGACCCACCAGAGAGACATTCGTGCGTGCTGTCTGCAAAGTTTGCAATCGATGTTCCGCTTTATAAAAAATCGGACAGCCTAAATATGTTTTTTAATGCACGTTTCACCGTTTGCATTTTTCACTCATTCCTTCTCACGACTGCCGTGTCCGTTTCGCGCCTGCGATTCGCGCAGTTGGCTACGCACAGTGCGAAAGAAGTTCAACATTCGCGTATTCAATCGTTTAACTCTGTATAACACCACGGTGCACGTGCGGGGATGAACAATGCGTCACTGACGCGCGACAGTCTTGTTGACGACTCATATTTTGCTGGGGGAAAGCTCGCGCGCAGACACTCACACGCGTGCGAACAGTCTCACACAAAGATAAAGATCCCGCGTATAGCCTGAACAGAATGTTGAGGCAAGTGCTTTTAGCGAGCTCCTATAAAGGCCGGCATGGCACACGAGGGGTTGGGTGGCCAAACCCACGCCCGGCCGCCTTTTTCTCCCCAGTGGCGATGTTTACACACCGCGCCAGGTACTCATTTGAGGCTGAGTCGACCTAGGGGATGCCCATGACTGGTTCAGATAATTGTCACCGGTGTTGGCCGTGAGCGGGAATCGAACTCGGGTCGCCAGGTTCATAGCGCAGTGCGCTAACCACTACACTACCACTCCCCACAACAGACAGACACACACGCGCGCGCGCACACATACGCACGTGCAAGGAGTTTGCATCTGCCGCGTTGAACGTTGACTGCATCCATCGCGGAGTTCCACCGGCGGCGGCGACGGCGTGAGACGGGCACGCGCGCGCGCACCCGCTGCTCACACTGGAACCTGCGCGCCGGGCGCGTGCAGCTGGCGCAGGACATCAGGAGGTCCGCGGAGGAGACGCAAACCGTGTGGGAGAAGGCGGACGAGAGCGTGGGGGACAGGTGCAAGAAGGAGAAGGACCTCGCCAGCGCGATGCACAGCCTCTACATCTCGCTGCAGGCCGTTAACAAGAGACTGGATCGGTAAGGGGGCGAGGACACTTTTTGTTGATGCGCAGGTCACTGCAGATGATACGGTGTGCTATGGCATTCACGTTTTAGGTGCAACCCACTGCTGGTGGAAGGGCTTCTCCGAGAGGCAGCTTACGAACTTCTTTCACGCCGTACATAGCCAACCTTGCTAATCGGAGTATCCGTAGAAAGAGCCCCTCTGGAGGGTATTGTGGCCCTCTCTTCCATGCTAGCCAGCCGTCTTCGAAGAGGTGGGAGTGCCCACCCTTTACTCCACCACACGCGACCTGCCGAGCAATGATTTGTGGTGCGCCCATTTATACCACTCGGGTGGACAGAGGCAGTGGGAGGTGGTGGGTGGGGGGAGGGGGGGGGTTAAAAAAAGCTGCTCCGTTGTTTCAACTGCCACGCCGGGAGATGGAATCGCACCGGCGACCTCGGTATTGCAAGCCCGGTGTGCGAACCATTACACCACAATACCTTGCTGATCTCGTCAAGGAGCATAAACCCCATCAAGCGAACTCCAGTTTCCTCGTAGCAGCGGCTTTTGGCTGGACATCATACATCACCGCATCACGCGCTTTCAGATGCGGCCGTCTGGAACGCTGTTCCTTCCGATATGAGGAAGCCGCTGGAGCTATGCACCTTTAAATGATCTAGATTGAAAACTGATTTCTTTAGAACTGGATGTTTTTTTTAGTTTGTTGTCCTTCCTCCGCACCTCCGGTTAGCACGGTTGGCTGGGAAAGAAGTCAAACACATGTACGTACATATTCCATGTTCAGTCTGGTATTGCCTCATTGCTATTTTCGTAATTTCACCATTCTCTGCTGTGCCCTTCGTGCTTTGTATTTTCTGGAGTGTGTTGTAAGCTGCTCTGACAAGAAGGCATGTTAGCACCAAATAAATGCATAGGTGTATCCTACATGTATGTATGTTGAACTTCTTTTGCACCGTACGTAGCCACCGTGCTAATCGGAGGTGTTGTTTTAGGTGCGCAGGTTGTGACTCAAATGGGTGTCGGTTTTATCAACGTTCTGGCCACCTCAGCTAAGGGATTTGACGAGCCACGCCGTAAGGGAATGTGAACTCAAACGGCGAGGGGTGCCCTCCCCCCCAAATAATCGCAAATCGACTGTGTTTGTCTTTGTGTTGCAGGACACTCAAGGATCAGCCGCAGCCCCTCGCCTCCTTCCACGAGTGGTTTCTTGGGGCCATCAATGCCTGGGCCAAAACCGTTCACTGGAAAACGGAGAGCATTGTGAGAAATGCCTTGGAAAAGGACAACGTAAGTTCTTGACGCGTTGGGTCAAAATTCCCCTTTGTACGCTGGCATCGAAGGTTGGCTTTGAAGTGCTAAGGTTTACCGCACGCAGTACGGCACTCCAGAGGTAGCCGATGCAAATAATGAGGAATCGTCTGGAGCAACTATCCTTCTAGATCTCCATGCTCTGAACCTCTCACCACGTTTTCTCCTTACCTGGAAGGCAGGGACTCCCACCACAATGAGCTCCCACACTCCACGCTGACCCTTGCTGCCTTCTTGGTCCCAACCCTCCTGGCTCAGAGCACAGTCTTTCTGGACCAGTCTTCCTGAACCTCGCGCTTTCGGCCCTGATGACCCTGTCTTCGGCTTGTTCCGCCGTGTGTGCCCGACGTTTCACACTGTTTTCTGGAAGCTTCTTCAGGAACCGAAATTGAGCAGCTCACTCGCTCCCTCGATTATGCCCGCGTTGCCGCCGGTGTTTTGACGCGGCCTGGGCAATGCTGTCCATCAGCTTCGCCACCTGTGCGTGCCAGCTTGTGCATACTGTGCTCATACTTTGGATTCAATTAAGTATTTGGCTTCTAATAAATTTCACGTGATAAGCCACTTTGTTGAGCTATCATTTGTGGCCAGGTCGCTTCTAAAAAAGAGCTGTATAGCTCAGTGGGCCTTTCCTGGTAAAATAAGGTAGTTTGAGTAGTTTAGTTTAACCATGATTGTAGCCAAGATCTGCGCTGTATAACATCCCTGTCGTCGCAGCTCAGTGGAGCTTACCTGGTAAAATAAAACAATTGTTTCTAGTTTTATGTCTCTAGTTGTTGCACCCTAATTCTTGAGTTGTGAAGCATGAGATTAGATACCTCATTGTCATGACTGCATACTAACCAGTTAAGCCTTTCCCATTCCGATGACATGTGTACGTCATCGGTTTTTCTTCCGATTCTGTTCTGTTGACGTACATGTGTGTATGTCATCGGTACAGAATCGGAAGTACAAGGCCATGTGGGAGGGCGTGTGGCACACCTTGGCGTCAGCTATCGTAGAGTGTGACAGTCGGGTCACTACAGTTCTCTGCGGTGAGTACAGCGTAACAACGGCGCTGCTACGCCGCTCTAAATAAGATTAACGCCGAGCCGCTCGCGCGCTCCGAGGTTCGGCGGTGAACGGGACACCCACCCCGCAACTTGCAGACGTCTCGGAGCGGGAAAGGGTTCGTAACGATTCCGGTTAGTATGCTTGTTATGCGTTAGATTCCTTATATGACGGGGGTATCGTGAGGGCCGCTGCGATTCAGGGATGGGTATAGTCTGCAAACGCGCTGCCTGGTGCAAAGATCCGGGCTGTAAACTGAACCCGCGTGTCCTCCCGTGTTTTCAGCTCATGCGGGATCACCCTGCGGTGAGACACAGCTCGTCAGCACACGATTTGCTGACGTGGTTCGTCGCCATGCGAGATTTCTGGGTGAAACTTGCGTGGCCTGACCCGGACATCACTAGCATGCTTGTCTGCAAACTCATTGAGGTATGTTCGCAGTTGGCACGCTGCGCTGTGAACCCGGCGACCCGAGTTCGATTACCGCTCAAGTCCAACACCAGTGACGATTAACTGAACCAGTCCTGGGCCTCCCATAAGTCGACTCAGCCTCAAATGAGTACCTGGTGCGAAGTGTAAACACCGCCACTGTAGAGACAAAGGCGGCCAGGCGTGGTGCTGGCTTTGTGTGCCGTGCCGGCCTTCATAGGTGCTACTCGCGAACAACACTTGCTCGAACTTTCTGTTAAGGTGATGTAAAACAAAATTCGGATTCAGATTTTTGTGTGGGCAGCGGAAGTGTAGCGGTTAGCGTGCTGCGCTTCGAACCCGGCGTGCCGAATTCAATTCCCACTCACGGCCAACACCAAGTAACGATTATTTCAAACGAGCATGGGCCTCCCCTAGGTCGACTCAGCCTCAAATGAGGACCTGGTGCAGTGGGTAAACATCACCACTAGGAAGACAAACACGGCCGAGCGTGGTGCTGGTCACCCACCCCCTCGTGTGCCGTGCCGGCCTTTATAGGTGCGCGCTCACAGCACTTGCCCCTACAGTCTGTTAAGGCTATACGGGGGATTTTTTTCTTTTATTGTCGCCAAAACGTGGCACTGACGTTCCCCGTGCACAGTTCAATTACTTTTTCTGCACGGTAACCATGCCACAGCATGCGGTGCAACCAGTGGGTTGAGAACCACTGGCTCTGAGCTTGGGTTGACTATTCGGATGCTTGACTTACACGTGTGCCACAAGATCTCTTTGTTACGACTGACCGAATTTAGCGACATTGCCTTGAACTCCGAGTTATTTAAAGCGTGAACACATGCTTCTTTGAGTGTGCGGTTGCGAGCCTTGTTGAGGTTAGGAGATAATGCTCCTCATCCTTTGATCACAACAGGAGATCTGCGATGCCAGCGTCAGTTACGTGACTTTGATGAGGGCGCGACTGGTCGCAGAAGGTTTCAGCGGTGGAAACGGACAAGTCTTCGTGATGTCTGCAAAGGTTTCACATCCGTTTCACATTCATGCCGCTGCTCCCCACCCCCCCCCCCCCCAAAAGAATAATATTCAGATTCATATTTACTGCGTTCTTGGTAAATAACTTTTAAAAGTCAGTGATTTCCTCTGGAAATCTCGGTGGCGAGATGTTATCTCGCTCACCTGATATGCAGGAGGTGGTGGGTTGGATTCCGACCATGATGCCTGTATATTTGGAGTTTGCATGTGTCTCTTCCCTTGGTCGCGTGGGTTTTTCTCTGGGTCCTGCGGTTTTCCCCTCCATATTTAAAAACATGCATTTAGAGTATTTGTCTGCTATAAATTTTCACACGATAAGCCACTTCATTGAGCTATCATTTGTGGACAGATTTCTTCTGCAAAGGAACTACATAGCTCGAGTGGGCCTTGCCTGGTAAAATAAAAGATTAGTTTAATTTTAGTAAATGAGGATTAATGCGTTATCGCCCCTGCCATAGCAATGTGAATATTCCAAATTCCTATGGCAGGGGCAAGTCTCTCCATGAGACAACCGCTGTTGACATCCCCGCGAAGCGGTATTTATTTTATTCACCTTGGAGGGATGATTGTTCGAGTCAACTCCCAACCAGGATGTGAACAACACTGTACTATTCATAAAGGAGTTGCCTTTGTCAGTTCGTTAATGTCGATTAACGCTCACTGTTGCCGCAACGTCTTTTTTTCCCCTTGCCGCACGGCAGATCTGCGTGGGGCTGTGCAGCATCCACCACCTGCAGTGCTCCCTACCCTCGCTGCTCGGCTCGCTCATCGACAAGAAGCCGCAGACGGAAACTGATGGTGCTGCTGCTACTGGCTCGACCGCCGCCACCTCCACCGGCAGCGCAGCTGGGCGGGCAGCAGCAGCAGCGCCAGCGGCTCAGAAGGCCCCTTGCAGCTACGTGCTAGACAGCGGGATTGACGACCTCGACAAGCAGATGGAGGACACCGTGAGAGAAATAGCTGAGCAGGTGAGGACGGTGGCTCTGTTTGGAGCGATCGTTTGCATTCTGGGGGGGAGAAAACGGCGATTGATGGCAAAGATGCAGGCCCGCAGTTGCTTCCTCACGCCGCCGCTGCTCGCGGATGAACCTCCACAGGAGGGAGTTGTAATAGAGCCCGTTCTAAAGAATAGTTTGGCCTACTCTTCCACACCGGCCAGACGACTTGGAAGAGCCGAAAGTACCCACATTTTATCCCACCGCACACCACCTGCTGATAGGCTAAGTGTGGTGCATCCATTGACAATGCCGGTTTAGATATTACTCGCCATCGATGTCAGCCGTGTCTATGAATCAAAGGCTGGATACATGGTGCAGTGCGCTGACCACTGCACCTCAATTAAATCTGCATCTGTTTTAGGTACGTTGTAACAAAGTTGCGATGGCTTTTTTACGATCCCATTGTTCACGTGAAAGTGAATGTAGCAAACAGGGCAACATAGCCCTTCGTGCCATAGTGTTGAGATTCACCCGTGTGCATGCGTGTGTTCCCTCTGTACAGACAATGCTGTATATTAAATCCCATCTCGAAGCTATTGCATCTGACGCAGCTGTTAAAATACAGGTACAGTATATTTCCTTTTGTGGCTGTGAAATAGAGTATTCCCTCCTTGTTCACGAACTTCCTATCGGCGATTTTGGCTGTCCGCAAATCGCATCTGGAACTACACGACTGCATCGAGAGAGAGATGGGATAAAGTGATAAGAGATTAAGTGTTGAGAGGTAAAATGAAGAGAGATAAAGTGATGAGAGAATGTAATGATGATGCTACTGCACAGCATCATACATTAAGGCAAGTTCGTTTATAAACTATTATTATATTTTTTATGTATTATTTACTTTAAGTTTATTATAACCAATTTTTATGTTTGTGTTATTATATTTTTAATGTATTTAATAGCTTATGTATTTATTTAAGGTAATTCATTAGAAAAATATAGATTTTCGAAGGCCAATATCATCCATGATATTTTCTATTCACGAGCATCTCCGGCACGCATCCCTTATCGCGAATAGCGAGGTAATACTGCAGCATCAAATTGCATTAACATTCCACGTAGGCTTCACGAAGGAAGTTTGTGAGAAAAAAAAACACAAAATGTTGCGCTATAGTTTTTATTTTATTTATTAAATAGCGTTGAATCCAATCGTGTCCGTGCCTGCCACACTGTCTCGGTGTCGATTGAAGCAAGGCGACCTCAGTCACTCCTCCTCGTCGGTTTTTGATTGAACGCAGTCTCCACCAACAAAAGTACAAGGGGGCTATCACTCGCAAAGTCCGTAAAGGAAGTTTGTGTTGAGATTTGGCAGGAAAAAAATGGGGGGGTGGCAAAAAGAAGTAGCGGTTGGTTGAACCATTTTACAGGGACTCCTTTGCTTTTGAACATGCTACTTACGAACTTTCAGACGTACGAACAAACCTGTCCATATGTCCAATTGCCTGTTTGGACCGAGAGTCGTGATTTCAACCGCTGCGCAATAGATGGCGCGGTGGCATCTACATCTGCAAAACATGAACAACGAGTGGCATCTACGTCTACAGGAGATTATACACCTTTAAAAGCCATTCCCCGTGTTTAGTGTACACGCCGTACAGCATGTTTGGAATCGACAGGAGTAAAGTTGGACTGAAGAACAATTCGTCTTACGAACAGACCTCTGTAACCTAACTCGTTCGTAAGTAGAGGAGTCCCTGTATTGGCAAATATCCCCTCCCTACCGACACTTGAATCAGAATTGTGGCTGATTAAGTCGATGTCATGGGGAACCCTGGAGCACTAGCCAAAGATTGGGTCATCCACGCACAAATGTGTAAGCAAACGTTCAGTAGTTGAGGTGTGTGTATTTGCGTGATTTTACAGTAAGTGAATATAAATATACGTTGAGTTACTGCGAATGTTTGTTCCAAGATGATTTGTTGTATGGTCTGTTCTTTCCTAGGATGAATCTGTCTACGAATATTATGATAACAATCTTAAACAACTTTTTGAAGGACTGAATGAAAACAGCAAAATATTCCAAATGTGAGTTAAACTTTGTATTAAGTATTTTTGAAGCGGGTGGGGGGTCATGTTTTGAATGTTAGTTCCATGATGATCTTTGAATTCATGCAATGGTGAAAAATTACCTAAATCCAACACTTTGTTATCTTTGGCACCGAAATTAGTAATGCACCAACAACATTTCACAAATTGTGCCGCTACCGCCATCACCTTTACTACACTCCACAACAAAAACAAGTGGCGGTGACATTACCACAGCACTTGGGCCAGGCTAAGTGAACTGAATTATCAAATCATCAGCATACTTCACATGGTTGAACAGTATGGAGCCATCCCTTGAGTGCACCCGGACATCGATCAGCCTCCTATTGTACGTGTACCTAATGGACATGTCTGTGGTACAGCCATGGAAAGCGTCACAAACTACGGCGTCAATGACGATATTAAATAGTGTAAGGGCCGGAGGGCATCCATGCCACACCACAAAGTGAACAGGGAATGGCTCTGACTCCTGGCCACTCAGCTTTACCCGGGCCTGCCCATCATCATGAAGACCCTTAATGATTATGAGAAGGAGTTAAGCGATCCCCAAAAGTGAGAAGAATAACCCAGAGCCCAGGTCTGTTGATGGTATCGTAGGCCTTGAGCAGGTAAATAAAGCAGAGATGGAGGTCCTGTGAAAATTCCCTACACCTCTGCTGTAGCAGACAAATAGAGAAATAGACATCGTGCAGAACCACCCCAGTCTGAAACCACATTGTTGAATAAACTTTGCCAAGACCTTTTCCAGCACACCGAGGAGGGAGATTCCCCAGTAGCTATTGCAATCGCGCAGTACCCCCCCCCCCTCTCCTTAAAAGGGGGGCACTGCGCTGGGGGACTACCAGGGCATCTTTCCATTCTTGTGGAACCCATCCTGTGGTCCGAGCAGTTGTAATGCTATCATACGGGGCAGCCTACACATAATTGCCACCATCCCTCAGCAGTTCGCGTCAGAGATCACCTCTGCCCAGGTCTTTACCTGGTCACTCCCAGGGATGACTACCTCCTCCAGTATTTGAGGAACGGCATTAGGAAGAGGGGTGGATGATGCCAACTCCAGATGCAAGCGATGGTGAAATTCTGGCTTGCAACTTTCATCCGCTAGCCGAGACCAGGCCATTGTAAGTGTTTTTTTTCTGAGTTATAGGTGGACACATATAGCACTAACAACCAATACAAATACGAAGATCCCCCGTGTAGCCTTAACAGACTGCTGGGGCAAGTGCTGTTTGCGAGCACCTATGAAGGCCAGCAAAGCACACAAGGGGATGGGTGGCCAGCACCATGCCCGGCCGTCTTTGTCTCCCAAGTGGAAATGTTTACACACTGCACCAGGTACTCATTTGAGACTGAGTCGACCAAGGGGAGGCCCAGGACCGGCTCAGATAATCGTCACCGGTGTTGGTTGTGAGCGGGAATCGAACTCTAGTCACTAGGTTTGTAGCGTAGCGTAGCGCTCACCACTTCTGCTACCGCTCCCCTACACCACCACCTGTCACATGAACACCACCGTGACTATCTCCAACCACAACTACCACAACCATTATCACCACTGTCAACACCACCACCTTCAACAAAAACAAAAACAACACCAACACACCATCGCCACACGTAAACTCTTACCACTGCATGAAGGATCACGGTTTGTGCAAGAGTAAATCATGTTAATAACATTGCAGGCACTGTAGGGGGTCACGTAAACTTATTTCACCGTACAGTTATATGAGAATCGGCAGTACTTCGTTGTGGGGAATTAGTAGGAGAGCCACCTGGTACACGCGGGCTGTCACATAGTAATTCTGACTTGCCTTGCTGTTCATCCCTTAGTTTTCTGTATATGCTCTGGGAGACGGTGCTGAAAGCGTTTAGCGAGGAGCTGGAGAAGAACAGGATTTGCTCTGGATTCATGAAGGACAGGAGGAGTAGCCTCAGTTCCCCGTACTACACAAGGATGCAGACGATTCTAAAGGTGCAAAACAAAAACAACCACGCGTTTAAGATTAACGCCTACATTTCCCTGCAGTTACTCTGCCGACTACAAAACAAGTTTGTGTAAAAAAAATCCATGAGATGTTCTGCAAATCACACACTTGACTAACACAAATTATAAATACAACCAATTGGCAATGAGGCTATTGCATCTATCGCTGCTAAAGCCACTGTCAAACCTCACCATCTCTTCCTTCAGGATTTCACCGCTGTTGCGCAATCGACACCTGGCTGTCACGGTCCCATAGTTTCCTCTTAAAGTATCCCACGTTTGATCAGATATAGAGATCTTTCCCATGGCCAGCAGCCAGGGGCGCGACTATGGTTGGGGGTATTTGGCAGCGATGTGCGATGCATAGGGAGCCCAGTCGGCCACAAAGGGGGCCCCAAATCAACGGATAAACAAGTCACATTTTTTTTCATAAAAAAAATTACCTGCAGTCTACCATGGACCAAGCCCGATGATTAACGGCATCTGGCTATCGCATCAAGAGAGCATCAGCAGCAAGTTGTGGATCCACAGCCTTGGAGGAAATTCTAGAACCGATGGGGTCGTCATGAATGCAAGACGCTTGATAACTTGATAAAAACAATTGGAAAAACTGGTCCTTAACTCCAGCGTTCCCGATGTCTCTTGCGCTGAGCTCACTTCAAGTGCGGCTTTCACTGTGCAACTTTAAAAGCGGGTTGGAAAACACTCTGACTTGACGTCGACATACCCGCGTGGGACAACCACAGCAAGAAACAATTGCTATGGTTGTCCCACCTGATGACAAACGCTTGTGTTGTGCCCGAAACGTCGTGATTTAATTTATTTTATTTTATACTTACGTGACTTTACTGAAAGAACCAAAGAGTATCTAGACTTAACAAACTGTCAGAGGAAAAATAAGTTAGAAGTGCCTAGTGAGCGTATCAACCAGTTAAAGTCCCGCAGAGCGGTAATTAACTCCTGTCCACCCATTATCTGCATGGCTCGTATATTACCAACCTGTCTTGGTTTCAACAGAAATTGCTGCAAGTGTTCAACGTGGATGTGCATGGTATCAAGATGGAATTTCTTCAGAATGACGTGTATAAAGTGAGTGCGTGATTTTTGTGGATTGCAAAATGCACCCTGCCAAACGCCGCTGCTTACCCCCAAATCATTCTAATGTGCACGTAGTAGCCAACCGTGCTAATTGGAGGTGCGGGGGAAGGACAATGAACTAAGCACAAAAAGTACTTTTTTAAAAACACATTTTTATGAAATGTACTGTAGTAATGGCAGAACTCCACGACTCTAGGAAGTGGCCCCGAAGATTGCCATAACATAAGGGATCGTGGCCAATTACAGCCAACGGCAGTTGAGCGTGGACAATTAGACCCGAGCCGAAACATATAAAAAATAATATTTAAAAATAGATATATGTTTTATTTTAAATGATAGAATATAGTATTGTCATCAGTATGACATAAGTATACCAAGTTTGCAGTTGATACCACATTGGGAAGTGGGTTAAAATTTAGTTACAAGATTTGAGGATACAACAACGACAACAGACAGAGTGAGTTAAATAAAAGTGTGTTAAAAGCAGTTGTAAAGAAATTAGTTTTAAATTTAGATTTAAATTGCATAGCCCCAGTGGCTTCCTAATATTGGAAGGAAGAGCGTTCCAGATGGCCGCAGAAACACCGCATCTGAAAGCGCATGATGCAGTGACCGTCTTTTGTTCGATGGTTATCCAAAAGCCGCTGCTGTGAGGATGACTGGAGTTCGCGTGATGATGGTTCACAAACAAGCTTAATTCCCATTATCGACTTTCTGAAGCAGCCTTCTCGTCTTTGGTGCAATTCCACAATGACATAGAAGTTCCAATACGCAGCGGTGCTGTTGTGACCGTGCACGCGTTGGGTTTCCACCCACAGGTGCTGGAGGAGCAGCTGGAACTGAGGCAGAAGAGCACACCTGAGCTCATTGACTTGTACCGTCAGGAGAAAGCAAAGCGTCAGGTTCGTGTTCACCGTATCATTTGGGGACACAGCCCCATGGTTTAACCCTTTCCCGTTCCGATGACGTACATCAGAAAAATTAAAATAACTTTGTCGGTATCGAGGCTCCCACAAGGCCATGCGGGAGGGCGTGTGGCACAGTTTTGCGCCAGCTATCTTAGTCGCTACGATTCTCTGCGGTGAATAACAATGTCTTTAAAAACAAGCGGCGCTACGCCTCTCTAAATTAAATCAATGCCGAGCCGCTCGCTCGTTCTGAGAGCGGTGAACTTGCAGTCGTCTCGGAATGGGAAAGGGTTAAGATTAGCTGAGAGCAGCGCGTTAAATATCACCTATGTCAAGATAATTATTTAATGAGGGTGGTGGTGCACAAACACGAATAACAAAACACTCAACACACATTCGTCAAAGAGCGCGTGTGCCATGAAGAAGGACCATTGCCCAAAACGTCGCCTGTTATATATTTTATTTTAAGGCCGCAGTTTTGTTGACGCATGTGTGTGTTGAGTTTTGTTTCGTATCCAGAGGTTACATTTGCGAGGTCAGCTTTACGATCGCTGTAAGCTGTAATCGCCACCGCCGTGCCAAATGCCGTCATTAGGTTCCTGTGGAAGAAGCAACCCAAGGAACGTTGGACGTGGAGTGTCACTACGATGGGGAGAGGACAGCCCTCGTAGTGAAACTGCTCGGTGTGTCAGGCCTACCAGGTGGGTATCGCCGGGGATTCATTTCAGCCGCGTCTGTCCGGGTTGGCGACCCGGGCACCACTGTGGCGAGATGTTATTATTGTTATTATTGTTGCTTGTTGACCCAGCAATTCCTCACCGAATCCCAATATTCTTTTTCTGGAGGGTCCTACGAAGTTTTTATTGTTTTTTGCAGTCGGGGGTAATCGTGCCGCTGTGTGTTATACCAATCCAGTCATTGGCGCCGCGGTGGCGAGATGTTAACTACCTCGCCTGGTATACAGGAGGTCGTGGGTTTGATCCAGATCCCGACCCTAACGCCTGTATATGTTGCCTGTTTTTTCCTCCCGTGGTCGCATGGATTTATCTCCTACGAGTCCTCGAGTTTTTCTCTCCACATTTAGAATTAACGTGCATTTCGTGTATTTGGCTGCTATAAATTTCCACACGATAAGCCACTTAGTGCAGCTATAATTTTGTGGCCAGATTGCTTCTGCAAAAGAGCTGTATAGCTCAGTGGGCCTTACCTGGTAAATAAATAAGTTTAGTTTTTTTGTTTATATCACACCCAGCAGACCACATCAGGTGCCACCGACTCCAGTTTACCAGTGACCTGGAAAATATTCAGTGAGAAATTGAGCCCTGTTCATCACCATGGTGTATGAATTATGTTCTCTCGATGTGTCCTCGTAAAATTACATTGGAATAACCGCAACGATGTAACAAGCAAATATATGTTGCGCAATATAAATACAATAAAATACGGCGAACGATAAATTCAGCCAAAAAACCCTGTCAAGTGAGAGACAAGACCATGGAGAACAAAAAACGGTTTATGTATGGAAACCTTTATTATATGGGAATAGAAACATAAGGATTTATCTTTTTAAGTCGTGTCAAAGGGCAGGTCTTTGAACGCTGAAACCGCTGCGTGTGCATGCAAGCTGGTTTCACTGTCTCTGCTCAGGGCCGGATGAAGGTTCTTGTAGGCCCTAGGCACTTCTGTTTCGTAGGCCTTCAGTGATAACTTTCTTCAGTCGCTACTGCTGCTGCCCCATGTTACTACCACCGCTGTCACTTGTTTGTTTCATGCAGTATTTCGTCCAGCCTCTGGACAGATGTCGTTACTGATACATTCGTTATTCATGATACAGGTTTTTTGAGTTAGATCGCGTAAATATATAAATGTGTCGTTAAACCCGCCACCACCCGACCTCAGACAATTAGTAAGATTTGTCACGTAAACAGAACATACCAATTCGTTACTAGTACAGCACACCGGTGTGTTGGAAAGCCAAGCCACAACATTGGCATGTTCTGTTTACGTGACAAACCTTACTAATTGGCTTTGTCGGGTGGTGGCGGGTTTAACAACACATTTACGTGATCTAACCTAAAAACCCTGTATTATGGATGATATTGGTTGCGAAAGCCTAGGTGTTAAACTGACGTTGGTTATTTATTCTGTGCCCTCATTCGATGGGAGCGCGCTGCGTGCCGCACATAAGCAGATTTAATTTGAAATTATTGAGAAAAAAAACAAGGTTTGCCTAAATATATTACAAGCGAAAATATTTTCAACTGTTTTTTACTATTATCATATCGGATGATGCGGCTTTAAAAGGATGCCGTTCATTTTCACCAATAACAAATTCAGTGTGCTGGCAGGACAACCGCGTGGCGAGTGCCACGTTGCTTTACTTTCGTTTGAGCTTAAAGATGTTTGACTGCTATTTGGAGTGTAATATGCCTCGCGTACGAGTCAATGACTTGTTACCACTGCAAAGAAATTGCAACGAGGAGCCAACAAAATAAATGTCAAAAAGAATTTACATTTTTTTAAGTAGTTTTTATTTTATTTCGCCAAAATTACTGCGTGAAAAAACAAGTTGCCATATTCCCCCAGTTTACTTTATATATTATCATTTCAGAAGTGTCAGGGACGAGGACTACTCGGCTGCTGAATTTTGTTCGTAGGCCCTTTAGTTTTCGTAGGCCCTAGGCAGAGTGGCTACTGAGGCTACTGTGCCCATTGGATAATATGGACCTGTCTCTGTTCGTGCTTTACCACATGCAGGGCAGGTTTTAACATGTGTAGACAAGATTAGGTGCATGCGATTGTTTGTATGTACATTGAACTTCTTTCGCATCGTACATAGCCAACCATGCTAATCGGAGGTGCGGGGGAAGGACAACAAACTAACAACACTAAAAGCAGTTCTTAAGAAATTAATTTTCAAAGTGTATAGCTCCCAGTGGCTTCCTCATAATTGTGTGTGTGTACGTGTGTGAATAGGGGGCTCATCGCAAAAGGTTCAAGTAAAGCTCCAGCTCTGCCCCAGGGAATGTTTTTCTACCGTCAAGACCCAGAACTCAAGGAGCGTGGCCTCCACAGGCAGAGACAACGGACGCTTCAATGAAACGTTTGAATTGTACGTGGTGCATGCGGCATGTCTTGTTCGGTTTTTGTAGTGCTCAGTGCTATCGCCACTTAATCACTGGGTTTTAAATGTTCGCGGTTTGACTTTTTCCCCCAACCAGTGTCGCCTCGAGGCATTACCAAATGACATGTGCTCAAAAAATGTATTACTATGAAACGATCCTATGATAACGTCTGGTTACCCGGCAGATTTTGTTGACTTTAACCAGCCTGATTCTGCCGAGGAGACCCAGAATGTATAACCTGTCCAGGGTGTTTCTTGCTTACACAAATGCTGCTGGATAATATTGATATGGTTAAGCCAATTGCCTCATCGATTTTGATTTTATTTATATATATACGTGGAGGCACAGACCGGAGTTCAGCTTATATATGCCATGGCAAAAACATTGCCGAGCGGCTAAATGGCTCATAACGTCCATATCGGAGCCACGGTTATCCTGAGTGATTTTTACTTGTCCAGACAACACCTAAGGCAATAGCTGCCGATGTACAAATGACGCTATAGTGATCAACGTCTTTATACCTGTTCACCATGTGTCTTTAGACTAAACAAGCAAATTGCAAAGTATGCCTACCCACTAAAGTTATCATAATTACCGGGTGGGATATCGGTGCTCTGCATGTGATGAAACACCAGAGTCAAAGTAAAAGCGATGTCTTGCTCAAATGTCCTCCTCTCATATTTACAGCCCTGAGCCAGTGGCGGAAATTCCTCATTCCCATGGTGGGGGCGAGTCCAATCATAATACAACCACTGTTGACTTCCCCACAAAGTGGTATACACTTATTGATCCCCACATAGATGATGATGGTGGAGTCATCCCCCGACCAAGATTTGAACTCGCAACGTTCCGATTGCTAGCCGCTCACTCCCGCACCTCCCGATTAGCACGGCTGGCTACGTACGGTGCGGAAGAAGTTCAACGTACACACGCACGCACGTACTCCACCGCTGAGCCGCCTGGTCTGGTGTAACGCGTAAACTCGTAAGCCTCCACGCCCGCACATCAACCATCTGACGTGAGCGTTGCACGCTGGCCCCCGTTGCCCGAGCAGCGCGGTGAGCGAGGAGCAGTGCGGATGCCCCGAGGTGTACCTCGTCTTCGAGTTGTGGCGCACGCGCTTGCTGTCGAGGAACCTGCAGCTGGGCCAGGCCGTGATGTACCTGAGCCGAGCCGCTGGCGCCACCGGCCAGGTCTCCCTGCCGCTGCAGTTGCCCAATGTGAACGGTAAGGTGTGGGTGTCTCTAGGGGGGGCGTTAGGGGGGAGTTAGGGGGGAGATGGATGGGCGTAAGGGGGGCTAAAGGGGCAACGCGCCCTGGGGTCTCGCACAAAAAGTGTGTCCCGCAACGGGCCTGTTGTTTGTGCCGCTCGTGACAAGATGATAGAGCCAGGCAAGGCAGGTGAGACAGACGGGGTGAGGCAGGTGAATATGCCTGGGATGTAGCAATGCCAGTGAGACAGGCGAGTGATACTGGTGAGTTTACCTGTGATGTAGTGCTGCTGTTGCCAGGAGGTGTGCGACAGGTGAGTTACTTTTGACGCCAATAGTTGAGACAGGTGAGTTAGATAAGGGGGCTCCACGTGGTACTCTGCCCAGGGTGCCTCTGGGTGGCCCTGATGTGTGAGGTACAAGTGAAACCGTTGGGAACCATTTATACCCTTGTCACTTTTTCAGTAATTTTTTTCAAATGTATTAATCCTTCAATGAGTGGTAACGTATATTTTTTTGTTATTGTTTCAACTCAACGGGAGCCCGTTAGATAGCACCGATCACAGAACAAGAAGGGGGTGGGGGGGGGTGTTTCCGAGTTACTTTTTAAGATTCCTCCATCAGTCGCCTTGGTTGAGGAATCGTTCGACACGGTTGGGATTTTTTGCATTGCGTGGAACTGCCGAGTTTTTGTGTTTTTATTGTTACCGACTTTCGGCCCACCTCTGATGAAACCCCGATTGTCAAGCGTATAAGCCCCAGTCATCAATGACTTCACAACAACAAAAACCACTGTCGCATAAATGATTCAATGTTACTTCATTTGAATTATTCCCATTCTGAGAATTAAAAATATCCGTTTGGGTGTCAGGTGAAAAAAAAAACGAACTCGCAGCCGCCGTGAAGAAATAAGTGACACGCTTGCTGTGCAAACGACTCTTGCGTTGTGTACACGATAACGGGCTCCACTTGGACAGCGAGAAGGCACGTGGAGGGGGAAACTTTCAGAGCCAATCTCCGATACAGCTCTGTGATCTTTGGTTCTTTCGGTAAAGTCACGTATAAAACATAAAATAAATTAAATCACGACGTTTCGATTGTAACACAAGCAATCATCATCAGGTATGAAAACTACAGCAAGAAAAAAAATGTTTTGCTGTAGTTTCGATTGCAACACAATCATCAGGTGTGAAAACTACAGCAAGAAAAAAACAATTCCGGGATATTCTTGCTGTAGTTATCACACCTGATGATGATTGCTTGTGTTGCAATCGAAACGTCGTGATTTAATTTATTTTATTTTATACCTACGTGACTTTACCGAAAGAACCAAAGAGTATGGATCCCTGCAGTCACGAAAAGTTGAAATCTAGAATGACAGCTCTGTGAGATTTCCGAACGGATTCCTTGTTTCATGACGCGGTGCTCACGGCACAATTTGACTAAATCTGGGGAGAAGTATACTGCGCGTGATTTGTCTTAAGTTACACGTGCTAAGTTACTGTGTTTTTGCACGCTTATCAGTGTGTGTGTCTCATGTGCATGCTCTTGTATTTTTTTTTACCAGAGTCACAAGTGCTAAAGATTCTGGAGAAAAGAAGAGATCCTGAGGCCAGGAATTTCTTCAAAAATCTGAAATGAAGGAGCATCGGGATATGTTTTAAACAATCTACATGAAACATGTATAATTACCAGTATATATTTTTTATTTTTTCACTTAATCTGCATTGTTACAGTATAATATTTTCCGCATATTTATCTTGGGCCCAAACTTTGCAGCCCGGTTTGTTACATTCTGGATGTTATAATGAGTGTCTGCAGCAAATTTCAGATGTTAATCCTCACTCTCAATCTATGCTTCAGCCCTGAACTCAACTCCCCAATCCAGCCTTTAAAAAAATATACGATCTCCTCAAGTGGCTGTGCATGAGCTTGGTGTGAGCAGATCTTCATCTGAGACTCACACTGACTCGCAGCGGGCATGGGCAGGACACTTCGACAGAAGGCATCTTGGCCCATGGTCAAGAAAAACAGTGGAGTGGAATATCCTTTGCCACTCCATTGTGAATTTCTTTGAACCCATCTACGTGACTTTACCGAAAGACCCAAAGAATATGAATTTCTGCAGTCACGAAAGCTTTAAGTCAAGTTTTAATGGAGTGGCAGTGAAGGGAAGGAACGCATTCGAGTGTACGCCCACCTTCGCGAGTGACCGCCCACCGCAGAGATGGAGTGATGAATTCAGCTCGTGTGCAGGCGCTACACGGATTGTTACATCGTGTGATTGTGAGAGACGGCGCTGACTGGAGGCCTTCATCCAGCATGGCTGATGATAAATTTTATTCTGCATCCTTCTTCATTGTAAACAAGGTGAATTCTCAGTAAATTATTAATTTACTGTCATTATTCAGGGATAGCATCCGAAACCTAATCGTACCCAAATAATTTGAACACAAGCCTTTCTTACAACAAATGCATGCATGTATATTGACCTTCTTTCGCACCGTTCGTAGCCAACCGTGCTAATAGGAGGTGCAAATGTCCATGGTGTATAGTATTACAAGGTATTGGGCCTCAGGAATTGCGTACACCACGTGTATTTTTGTGTGTGTGTACACCTTTTGTATTTATACAAACACACTGCATTGGCACCTTTTTGCACGAAGCAATTTTATACAAAACGGGTGTCGCAGCAAGCGGTTGGTGAGCGGTTTCAAAGTGGAAGAAGGGGGGGGGGGTGCCAGCTTGGGTGGCGGCACATTGCGATGGTGCCACCACGATCAAGACGAGCGATCGCCGTCGCCCAACCGCGTGACGATGCACGGGCCTCGCTGTCCGCTGGACAACTGACGGCTCGGCAGCCCAAGCTGAGCGTGAAGTACCCGTGCATTCAAGAATCGCCGAGCGTGAAGTGCCCGCACATTCTTCACGAAGCGTGAAGTTTTCACATTCTTCACCGACATTGAAGTTTTCACACATTCTTCACCGACCTTTAAGTGCCCGCACATTCTTCACCGAGCGTGAAGTACCCGCACATTCTTGCACCGTGTTGTCTTATTCGTGTTTATTCAAAGCGGATATAACCCGGTCAACGTTGTTACTGTTACCATATCCTTACGTACGTCCCATAGAGTATTTGGCAATAAAACAACGGCGTTATGAACTGCTGGCACGCTGTTTTGTATTTATGGGACCTTTCGATGAAATAAATATTGGACTTGTACGCATTGGACCGATTGTTAACATAAAAGACAGCTGTGGGAGACTTTAAAACTGAAACATATGGGAGCTTGTTGCAGACACTTTTATTTTATCCAGCGCCTAACAAACCTGATGATGCACAACACTTTGCACCCAGCGCTTACTTGTGATACCCCAGACCCATCGCAGAATGGATGTATTTGCTGATACGATGGACCAGCTGGCCGGTGCAAATTCTATTCCTGAGAATCTGGTCTGAACTGAATCACACCCGGACTCAACGCAGGCAAAGGTTGGCTTCAGTGCACTGCACCACCTAACTCAAGAGACTCCATTTATACAATTGAGGTTTTATAATCAAACGAGGGTGAAAAGTCACCGTCAAAATTGTGCATACAGTATAACCACACTTGTTAACGAAAAAATTAGGGAATTATTCTGTGTACACTGCGAGTGGAAGAAAGCAGAGGCCCTCAAGACGAGAAAAAGGTCAATGTAAGACGGTGCAAGGATGCCTGCAAAACCAGTTTGGGTGGAAACTACCCACGTGGTCAGCGGCTGGCAACCTGCGGCTCCGTAGCCGCGTGCGGCTCTTCGAGGACCGCTTCGTGACGTCATATATTTAGGGCTGTCCGTCTCGTATTCTTCGCCAGTGCATTGCGGCTCTTGAAATATTGAGGGGTTTTATTTTTTTTGCCAAATTCGAAAGAAAAAAATATTTATATTTTCGGCAGTTTCGTTGCCAAACCTCTACACTGGGTAACTCCACGGGCTGGATGACGATTAGAAACTGGGTCATGCCTACCTAGTCGGAGGACAACTCGGCTGGGAAGGTTTCCATGGGGCGATGTCCAGTCAGGAGGTGGACCAAGCTGAGTGGAGGGAACGACGCAGCACAGGAGGGAGGAGGGAGCTCTCCCACCCCCAATTTGCCGTCTCCACGCTTTGCTTTCAAGGAGTAGACTTTTCCCCAACGCATATTTGGATACACATCTTGGCAATTTATTTTGTCGTTGTAAAATTGACAACTGTGAAATGCGGCATTTTCATTCCCATACACTGTATACATTTTCACATTCTGCAATTGCTTAGTGCGAATGTGCTGTGGCTATTTCCACTTCTTAAGAAGTTCTTGCACATCTTTTTCATCGCTTCTTTCTTCCAAAATCTGGAGTATATCGATATCTGAGAGAGAGAAAAAAAAACATGATATGTGTGAACTTCTTCCGCATAGAGCAAGCACATCCTTAAACTCTTGTCATTTTACACCTCCCCCCCCCTTTCACAGACGTAATAACCTGCAGTGTGCAAAACACAGGAGTGTACTCTCCGTTGACCTTACGTTTTTAAGCCACAGTTCAATGTATTCCACCTCGCATGGTTGGCTACGTACGGTGCGAAATAATTTCCACATACATAAATAAAAAAACCTCTTACCTGCAATCTTAAAGTGTTTCCTGGGTCACTCGATGTACTATGTGCCTGGGACATTCACTTATTCTTGCTGGGCTGCCTTTCATGGATACATATTTAATTCCAGTCAAATCTCAATCCACCAATGAAGGCCTCCCCATGCAATGTCAGTCATCGTGGGTTGTTTTTGTGTTTTTATTGTTACCATATGTAATGACCGAAAATAACCCCAAGCCAATGTGCAGTCTAACGGTTATTCAAAGATAGACCGAGTTCTCCGATTGTAGAAAAGAGGCCTCCACAGGGATTGGTCGGGTGGCAAGGCTTTTGAAGTGATTGGGGGAAGAGTTTTGAATGAGAATAGGCGGGAAACAGAGTTTAAAACCCAGCGGCAATGGTTGGGATCCATTAGAGGGGAAGGACAGGGATTGGCTAAGGGAAATAGAGTGAGGGAACATTCGAGAAAGGGGACTGGAAAGATATTAAATGGTAAACAGCACAAGGGGAGGGAACGTTCGAGGGAAAGTACAGCTTCAAGATCAAGCACGAAGCCTGGCCTCAACTCGACGGGAGCCGTAGAGGACCGCTCTAGAGGGCTTTTTGACCCCACTCTTTCGCAGCGGTCAGATTTATTTTCAAAAAGAGCTTCAGGAATTCCTCCAGTTTCAAGCAAGATTCTGATTCTGAAGAGGTCAGAGCGCCCACACGTGACCCCCGCCACACGCGGTGTGGTGCACCCATCCGCACCGCTGGGTGGACAGAGGTGGCGGGGGGTGACGGTGAGGGGGGTGCGGATGGGGGAGCGCACCGTTGCGTCAGCTGCCGCATCAAACCAACAGCATCCCGACTGCTGTGAGCGCAGTGCGCCAACTACTACACCATGGCGTCGTCCTCATTCTCTCGACGTAAATAGCTAAAGAACCTAACAGACCGTACAGCGCATAACGAAGCAATGCCCCGATGCTACAAATACGAAGGAGACATCACAGCGATGATGATACACTCTGCTGCTGCTTGACCGCCTGGATGTGAAATTGTCACCGTTGCTCTGCATCTCCCATCAGCCGTACGAAAGAAGAAGAAGAGGGGAGAGGGGGGGAAGGGGCACAGGGGTGAGAGGTAGCGTGCACCTGCATGCAGACTTTTGTCCATGAGAGGCAGGCTGCGCTGGGGCAGTTCCGGCGGGGCCGCCCGCGTGTCCACGCAGGCCACATCGTCGAGGCGGAGCACCGTCTGCCCGATGTAGTCGTTGGCCGTGAAGAGGTCGAAGTCCATGACCGTCATCAGGACGCAGGCCGAGCGGCTCCGGCACTGCTCCTCGCTGACGGGGCTTTTGGGAAAGCAGCGCGGAGTTGGTTTTCGCGCACGGGACATTTGGATGACCGACAACGCTCATGTTAGGCTGGTTTGAGCCACTGGAGCCGTGCGTTTTCGCATTGTCGAGATTGAAAGTATAATTTCCTAAGAACTGCTTTTTGTGTTTGGTTTGTTGTCCACGCCCCCCGCACGTCCGATTAGCACGGTTGGCTACGTACGGTGCGAAAGAAGTTCAACATACGTACGTATGTACCTTAAACTGGTGAGTGCATTAAACTGGTATTCTGAAAAATACAACAATAAATATTTATCATCAGCTAGTTGAGTTGCTCGAGTGACCAATGACTGCTTTTAACTCAATTTAATGAACGCGTGGAGTTGCAATTGATGTGAGTGGTGAGCGCCCTACCTTCAAACCACCCAGCCACTTAAAACATCACCATGGGGCAAATCCACTACGATGCTCATAAGGTTTCTCCAATTTCTTTGATGACGAACAACAATGTAGAATCGGGATACTCATCATTTGTATATTATGCCATTGGTGTGTCATATTATGTTTTATTCAAGTACATTTATCGCCACAGATCATGCACAAACAAAAACTAAAAATAATCTGGGCAAATCGCCTGATGAAGCTGGTTGTAACCACCAGTGAAAGATCATACTCGAATTGTAAATGTTGTGGGTTTACTCTCCATCACACCGGTGTGCTGAACTAATAACTAACAGGCACGTTTTGTTGACGTGACAAACCTAACTAATTGGCCGTGTCGGGTAGTGGTAGGTATTTACGCGATATATTACGAACAACATTTCTCGCGAAAGCCTACAGCGTGTTAAGTTGCCAAACTTACAATTCAAACGTCTCGCCGAAGATGGGGTTCAGAGTGTTGCTTTGGGTTTGTGTGCGCGCGCTTTTGGCGAGCGGGAAGTGGTGATGCGGGCAGAGATCCAACGTCACGAAGGGGTCGCTCAGGCCTGCGGGTGCCACACAGAACGCACCGTCGTAGCGAAGACAAAGATCCCCTGTATAGCCTTCAACAGATTGTTGAGGAAAGTGCTATTAGCGAGCACCTATGAAGACACACCGGCTCTGGTTGTAGGTCACGGCCTCTCGTGATCAATGTGGAACTACTTGTAGTTTAGATTATGTGTGTCTGTACTGCATTCTTGCACACAAAAAACATGGAAGTAGCATCATCTTACTCTATACTCTTTGGTTCTTTCGGTAAAGTCACGTAGGTATAAATAAAATCAAATAAACAAATCACGACATTTCGATCGCAACACAAGCAATCTTCATCAAGTGGAACAACCACAGCAAGAAAATGCTGAAGTCAATCCACAGCTGGACAAAGATCGTGGAAGGTCACTAAACCGTGCTTTACTGCGCACTGGTCAGATCAGTGCCCCTTCAGCCACCGCCCCTGGCACCGTAGACGCCACGCGACGGGGCAGGGTGGAGCCAGGACGGGTCTCGCACGACGGCGCTAGCCCTGCTCACCGTTGGAGTCCATCGCCGGCAGCCCCATTCCGTTGAGCACCTCCACGTGCAGCCTGCTCTCCGCGTGCCAGCAGCGCACCCTCAACTCCCCCAGGCCGCTTTGGTGACACAGCTCCTGCAGGCACAGGGGGCACTTCGCGGTCGGCAACAGCCGGGCGGCTCGCAGTCGCTAACGAATATCAACCACGCCCAAGTGGCTAGGTTGGAGTAGCTCGCAGTCGCTAACGAATATCAACCACGGCCAAGTGGATAGGTTGGAGTAGCTCGCAGTCGCTAACGAATATCAACCACGGCCAAGTGGCTAGGTTGGAGTAGCTCGCAGTCGCTAACGAATATCAACCACGGCCAAGTGGATAGGTTGGAGTAGCTCGCAGTCGCTAACGAATATCAACCACGGCCAAGTGGCTAGGTTGGAGTAGCTCGCAGTCGCTAACGAATATCAACCACGGCCAAGTGGATAGGTTGGAGTAGCTCGCAGTCGAAATGCTGTGAGTCCAAATCCTGGTTGGCAGGGGGGTGGGGTTGACTCAGCTCATCATCCCACTGGGGATGGTAAAACTAGTACTACTTTCTGTGAGAGTCAACAGTGTTCGTCCTATGAAGAGACTTGCCACCTGCCATAGGAATGAGGAATTTCCACCACTGGCTCGGGGCTTTAAACAAGAGATGAGCACCGACTCGTCAGTGCTCGACTGAGCGGGACATCTCTATATTGGGCGAGTCTTGTCCTCACCGTTGTGCCGTCTATCTCACGCAGCGACCATCACCTCGTAAACGCATACGGTGCTTTATCTCTCCCCTCACAGCTTTGGACACTCCATGGAAGATGTGAGGACACTTTCTCCATCAATGGAAAATGAACGAGAGTCCAGTTTGTGACTGTGGTGGTGTTGCAACATCTCGCGAATGACCGCCCAATCGGATCATTCAACAACGATCTGATACAAATGCACGCGGCTACTCCTGAAGCAGTCGAATGGAATACAAATCTCGACATTTTTGTAATCTGTTGCAATCCCCCAAATGCCATATGAAACAAAAGAAGTCCTTTGCTCCAAGCGTCCGATACAACAATCCTGCTTCCATTGCTCCAGTCGGTGTTTAGAATCATTGACCTCTGCCCGGAGTGAAACTCTGCCCCCCCCCCCCCCCCCCCGGACGTGACAAACAAACCTGCTCTTTTATCCTCTCCAGGTAGAACTCCTCGATGAGCTCCACCGTGGACAACGTCTTGAGACGGAGTTTCTTTTCCAGCACCTGTGAGAGAGCGACGGCAGCAGAGCAAATGTTTCGCCAATTTGCACGGAGCCATGACGAGTCCACGTGCCGGGAGCATCTTCCGAAAACTTATTCAGCTCCTGAAGAAGATCCAGCAGGTGAAGCGAAAACGTTGGACAATCTGAAAACACTTTGTAAAGCTGTTCTAGTGCAACCGTGAAAACATACGCAGTAAAGAAACAATTCAACAAAATATATTCTGGGCCGCCGCACGGAATGAATGGCCAGGCGGTGGCGGGCGCACGCCTGTAATCCAGCACTGTGGAGGTAGCGAGGGTTGGTGGATTGCCGCACAAATGTTACGAAACTCCCCTTCCCGTGGGCATCCAGGAGCAGCAATACTCTTGCCTACCAGAAGGCGCTAGGGCAAGGTGGTGGATTAATCTCTCCTTCAGTCCCTTCTGTCTGGGATAGAGCGTTGCCCCCTCGCATGCTTGGGTTTTCTCCGAGTGCTCCGGTTACCTCTCACGTGAATTAACACCACGTAAACAAACACCTCGTTTATTGAGAGCCACAGAGCGGCTCATCACCAAGTGGCTGCTGTCCTCTCGCTTGTCTGCGGTTGCTCGGCAAGTGCGAGATGCATTTATTTTTTTATTTGCCAGGTAAGGCCCACTGACCTATGTAGTTTCTTTTTCACAAGTGACCTGGCCACGATTGACAGCTCAACGAAGTGGCTTATCCCATGGACATTGACAGCAGCCAAATACTCCAAAACGCGTGACGTTGATTCTAAACGTGGAGGGAAAAACCGCGACCACGGGGAGAGAGACAGACACCGTAAACTCCAAATTTACAGCAGGCGTCAGGTTTGGGATCGAACCCACAACCTGTATACCAAAACGAGTTAGTCAACATTTCACCACGCGGCAAGCCCAGATGTCGGCGTGTGAACGATGACGCCGCCATGTGAACTGAACGTGACGGTGCGCGCGTGTGCGTGACGACGGTGGCGGCAGCGGCTCACCTGAAACGCGTCGCTCTCCAGCACCGCCGGCAGCAGTCCTTCCCCATCTGCGTGGAACGTCTCGCGCAGCGCCTTCACGCGTCACACGACACCCCACCCCCCCCAAATCGTTCGGCGAAATCGGTCAACAACTAAAATCGACCTTCGTATATAACATCGTTTGACTGAGCCCTGGGGAAAGCCTCCCAGAGCAGACGCCGTTGCTGTTCGCGACGACGGTGTTTACAGGACGGGTTTTGACACCGCTCCGCCTTATTTACATACAAATTCCATTAAATAATCCAGTCCCTCATACTGCTGTCCCCCGGTTCCTTTTTATTGGGGGGGGGGGGGTTAGGTTCCATAATAAAGCTTTGCCCTTGAGTTTTACTTGAAGCCAGTACACGTCTGCCCAACTCGCCGCATTTGGAGATCGCACGCCATGAGACATTTTGAATATCTCTCCGCTAATTGAAGCACCCTTGCTTAGTAGACGAGCATTGTCGACGGTGGCCCTCCACGGCAACCAGACTGCCTGAAATATTAGCGTATATTTGTTTTCTTGCCGTTATGACGCGGGCAGTCATAATGGCAGTGGTTACGCTTGCTTGGCTTGTGTTTTGTATGCCATTGCCAATTTAAGGCCGTCTTTTAATTTAATCGGCTTTCCTAAATTAATTATAAGATCGTTATTGAGAGAGAAAGAAAGAAAAAACCATAGTGGGTATATCAGGGTGCCTTTTGTGAGTGCTGCTGTTGGCCTGTACGGTTCTAGTAAAACACCGGATCGAATTTAAAGTTCTTGTCTTGTCCTTCAAGGCCCTGAAAGGGTTAGTAGCTCCATTATATCTGGGAGATTTGCTGAAACCTGTGTGCTGCCCCGGTTCGGCAAACTTAAATCCACCAAATCCGGTCACCTCTGAGTGTACCAAGGACAAACCTATGTTCACTGGGTGATAGAGAATTCAGAAGTCAGGCGCCTCGTTTCTGGAACGTCTTGCTCCAGTCTGTGACGGACGCTCTGTCAGTCGAGGTTTTTAAGGCTCGTCTGAAAACACGTTAATTTTCTCTTGCATATCCATCTGTGTAGAGCTGTTTTCCTCTGAGTTTTCACGTAAGGGTTTTTACTGGGATTGTGTTGTAAAGTGCTGTGTGGCCTTGTGTGAATGGCGCTTTATACAAATGAGTTTTACTTACTTACTCTACTTTACTTACCAGCAGCGAGTAATGGAAACGGACGTCAAACGACACGCAGTGGGACTGGCGACTCCGAACGGCGTCCGTGAAAATGTCTAGAAGAGCAGTCCACACTGTCTGCATTATCCTGATGGGAAACAAGATTAACAGTGAATGACCCAACCAATAATAGATACCCACTTTAATTGTATGAATACATTACCCCCCCCCCACCACCCGGTCCTCGCACCTGATTGGCTCACAAGTGACGACGTCACATTTATTTTTCCTCTATTTAAGACCGAAACAGGAAGAGGATTTCTCCACAATTCTGTCTGTTGCCCGATGAGGCTGGTTGTTGTAATTACCGGCGAAAGTCACGGTACTTGAATTTTGATTTAAAGCTTTCGTGACTGCAGGGATTCATATTCTTGCTTCTTTCGGTGAAGTCACGTAGAAGGGAAATAATAAAATAATAATAAACTTTTTTTTGGTTTATTTCTATTACTTTATCATTTCCCTTCTACGTTACTTTACCGAAAGAACCAAGAATATGGTACTCTAATTTTAAATGTTGTGGGTTTACTCTCCAACTCCATCAAGTGGTGCTGAACTAGTAATGAATTGACATGTTTTATTTACGTGACGACCCTTAGTTAATAGCTGTGTCGGGTGGTGGCGGGTTAAACAACACATCTATATTTACGCGATCTGACCCAAAAAACCTCTATTATTCAACACAACATACTGCAGAACTCAACAGACATCAGGGACAGTATAATTTTCAGAGAGTGAACTGGGCCACCAATATAACAAAGGCAACACGAATTCAAGTATCATAAAAGCCATAAAGAAAATAGAAATCAGACTCAAAAACAATTGTTTTGCATGTGAAATAAAACAAATTGGCACAAACGTAAAGCAATGACAATTTAAAGTTAAATATTAAATTCCCTCCAGCGCAACTTGGTTCCAGCGGATTATTTTAGACTCATAATAGTGCAATTATAGAATTAAGATACAGCAGCATTAAACGGACATAGGGTGACTATGGCGCTAATATGTAAATAGGTGAGGATATATGGCCAAAATACAAATGCCAATAATACACAATGGCGAAGTTGTATTTAAATTATCAAAACAAACCCTTGATGCATTGCAATAGGTGTGTCTGTTCAGTGTTTGAACATCTTAACACCTCATGTGTTATTGCCAGAAAGGGTAAAGCCTATTTTTCTTTTTCATATTATTTGGGTCCTACGGTAAAGTCACATAGATAGGTTCAAAGAAAATAACAAAAATAACAAAAACTACAACGTTTCGATCGCAACACAAGTGTTCGTCATCACACCTTGCTTCATCAAAACAAATAAGACAACTACAATGTGAGGGAGGATTACAAGATAAGGATTGATCAAGTCCAAAGAATAGAGTGATCTCAGTAACTCGTGACGTAGACCAATAACCTACAGTTTGTACGCAGAAATTAATGGAAACAGTACGCATGGTACAAATGAATATGTGTAATAACAGTACAGCCTACATGTGTTGTGAGTGGACTAGTGGCCACAAGGAGGTAATGACAGGGGAGTCAGCCTACAGTGTGAATGCACTTGTGGCCACGGGAGTATCAGCTGTGAGTGTGAAGGGACTGGTGGATACGGGAATGATGAAGAAGGGAGTGTGGTCAGGTGAGGGGAGAGGACGGTGGAGTCTGCCGGTGGAGCAAGCGTCCAGAGTCAGCGAGAATGATCGAGAAGGGGGGCGTGGCCTTGGTTGGTATAAAAGGGAGATAGCGCGGGAGACTCGGGGCTGTTGCGGTGGGGTCTCTACCTCATGTCAAGTGAACGTGTCTTCAATAAAGTTCTGTCTCAAGAAAAGTGTGTCAAGTCCTCATTACACATGTGTAGTGGCGTAACGCGTGCAGGGTTGCAAACAGCGAATGCATTCACGCGCGGGGTTTTCAAACAGCGGGTGTATTTCAGGGCGAGCAGGTGCAAGCGTTAGGACATGGAACAGCTGCCAGAGAGGCGCCAGCAATTGAGAGGAGAAGCGGTAATTAGGTGGGTGCATTTGGGGACAGCCAGGTGCAAGCGTGCAAAAGTAGATGCCAGAGAGACGCGAGATGGAGACGATAAGGGAGAGAAAGCACGTGCAGGAGGCGCCGCCGAGACGCCGGCTTAATAGGGGGCAACTGAGGACCCTTAATGAGGAGGGGGATATAAAGGTATGTGTGGAGAACATGGGTTGAGTTGGTTGGAGCTGAAGGAACGAAGAGGACAAGAGCCGGAGACAAGAAGCCTGGGACCTCGTCCTCCACACCTCGTCCTCCCCAGCGGTGTTGGCTGATCCCCCGCTGGGGGCACGGACGAGGTTGGAGGTGTGAGAGAAGGCTGACAGGCTAGCGGAGTGTTAAGTGACAGGCTAGCGGAGTGTTCAGTGACAGGCTAGCGGAGTAATAAGTGACAGGCTAGCGGAGTATTAAGTGACAGGCTAGCGGAGTAAGAGAGAGAATTTGGAGCAAGAGGTGCGTTGTGTTAAGAGTGAGGAGCATCCGAAGTAATAAAGTGACACAGGAGAAAAGCTGACAGTGTCCATGTGACTACACCACTACACATGTATTGTGTGTGTTGTTGTGTGTGGGAGCGGTAGTGTAGCGGTTAGCGCGCCATGCTATGAAACTGGCGACCCGAGTTCAATTTCCGCTCACGGCTAACACCAGTGACGATTATCTGAACCAGTCCTGGGCCTACCCTAGGTCGAATCAGCCTCAAATGAGTGCCTTGTGCAGTGTGTAAAAACATTGCCACTGGGGAGACAAAGGCGGTCGGGCGTGGTGCTGGCCACCCACCCCCTCGTGTACCGTGCTGGTCTTCATAGGTGCTCGCTAACAGCACCTGCCCCAACAGTCTGTAAAGGCTATACGGGGGATCTTCGTCTTTGTGTGGTTGTCGGTCACTGCCCAAAATGAACGGTTTTCGTGACAGAAGGGCATATGAATGAAATGTCATGTATGCAAACATGACATGTTCAGATAATTCCGGGAAATATACTGGCACAATGCATTTTCATTCACACTTGATAGCAATACCTAGCACATGACATGTCATTGTTCTGCCTTCTACAGCATTCCGAAAGGTAAACACGCTTGACGTGGAATTGATTTCTATTCATGGCACAAAGGAGAGCACCCCAGTTTGAATAAAATATTTTCAGAGCCGTATCATAATTGATATTGCGATTACAGATGTAGCAACATAGAATGGGTCACTAGGGCGTGTAGCGCTGATTACTGGTAGAGAGCGGGATTGTGGGTGTAGTAGCCCGGTCTACTGGCAGGGCAGGTGAAGTGTGCCATTGGAGCGCGTCGCGTCGGTTGCTGGCAGAGAGGGGGGATCTGAGGACGCAGCAGCCGGTCTGCAAGCAGGGCACGTGATAGGCTGGGGTAAGGGATGTAGGGTAAAGGTGACAGAGGGGACACGTGGGGCTGAACCCAGAACCTTCTGGTAGTGTCCAGAAGGGGGCGTGGTCAAGGGCGGAGCCAGGCCACGCTGGGGAGGATAAAAGGGAGGTCCTGACGCTGTGTCGGGGCTGTCGTTTGGAATGGAACCCGTCGTCCACGCAAGTCTTCGTCCCCGGCTTCACCTCCTCGGCGTTGTGGGTCAGGCAGCGTGCCGGCCGTCCTGACCCGTGTGTAGTTATCCCCTGTACGGTGGAAGTGTAGAATCGACGTGTGTGCCTCCTACTATTGGTGTCTCTGAAGTGACTACTACACAGGTAATGAGTATTTCACTGAAAAAACCCGTTTAAAGGTGAGAATGACGAATACCTGATGCACCGCTCGTTCGAGAGTCTTTGGTTGAACGTGAAGAGGCTTGCTTCAAGATACTCAATCAGCGGTGACAGAGCCTGCAAATAGTTGTAGACAATATTTTTTTAATTCAAGCTTCTGTTATTTATGAATTGATATGACTAAACAGATTGATTCCTACACTTAACATCACACGCACAAAGTACGACTATTTTGTCACTATTTTTATTTTACCAGGTAAGGCCCACTGAGCTATACAGCTTTTTTAGAAGCGACCTGGCCACAAATGAAAGCTCAACGAAGTGGCTTATCACGTCCACATTTATAGAAGCCAAATACTCTAAACACGTGATGTTGATTCTAAACGTGGAGGGAAAACCCGGAGGGCCGGGAGAAAAATCCACGTGACAACCACGGGGAAAGACACATGCAAACTCCAAATATACAGCAGGCGTCAGGGTCGGCATCGAACCCACAACCTCCTGTAACGTGAATCGCGTGCGAATGACTGTATTGTTTACAAAATCAGTTCTGACGATAATATACGAGGCTTGGATTCAAGGCCACGAGCCACAAGGCCAAGCCAAGGCAAGGAACTGCAGGCTTTTAAATTGAGGCTAGCGTCAAGACGAGTCAAGGGCGGGTCTCCTAGGCTGCTGATTGGCTACAGTAAGCAAAGCTCGTGTTGTAGTATTGCAACTGCAGTATGGAACTTCTTTGAAACAAATTTATACCGTTACATCTTCTCCCGATGTAATTTCGGGGAGATAAAATGTTAATTTAAAAAATAAACTCACCAGTACGTTCTATCCGAGTCATCATTGAACAAAGATGGCCACTGCATCGCGTGCTTTCAGATGCGTTTCTGTGGCCATCTGGAATGCTCTTCCTTCTGATATGAGGAAACCACTGGAGCTGATTGAAAAGTTATTTATTGAGAACAGTTTTTAGTGTTCAGTTTGTTATCCTTCCCTCGCACCTACGATTAGCAAAGTTGGCTATGTACAATCTTGATTTGAAGCTTTCTTGACTGCAGGAATCCATACTCTTGGTTCTTTCGGTAAAATCACGTGGTTAGAAATAACTACGTGACTTTTGTTTCATTTTATTTCTAACTACGTGACTTTACCGAAAGAACCAAAGAGTATGGCTATGTACAGTGCGAAAGAATTTCAACATACATACATAGGTACAATTCTGAGATATTACACGTGACCAGTTTAAAACACGACACAAGCCCTTGAAGTACTGAGGCCCGCGGACTCCCTAGGCCACAGTGGCGAGGCCGCGCACTGGTTTCGGGGACTAAAGACTGACTTAGACCAGACGCAGAGTGTAGGTTCACATCACACGCATGTGCTCTGCTGAAGTAGTGCACATCATGGCTGGCAGCGTTACGCGAGCCACACTGCACCTGTGCCAACCGTGTGGGCAGATAGTCCTCACCCCGAACAAACTATGATAGACCTCACTGGCGTCTTGGCCAGTGAGGTTTATGGGTGGAGGGGGGTGGTGTTACTATGGGTTGCACATGAGTTCCAGGATTTAGGATGCACATTTCAGACAACATGGAAACATCACTGCCATAGCCTTGATCTGGCTCACCAACGTCGACACCAACACGGAACGCCGCTCATCACCCCGCCCAACAGAAGAAGAAGAATAAGACGAAGACTTCACCTCTGGGGGTTGAATGTAGTCTGGTGCATTCACGAGGGATGCCACTCGCTGCTTAAGATCCAAAAGCATCTGAAGAAAGAAAGAAAGCGAGGATGAACAGATTAAAAGAGAGCACAAGTACATGACAGCAGGGCTTCATTTCAGCCAGGTCTATCTGGGTCAGTAACCCAAAATATATAATTAAAGAAAGAAAGTATTTGTATTTTACCAGGAAAGGCCCATTAAGCTACACAGCACTATTTCAAAAGTGACCTGGCCACAAATGACAGCTCAACAAAGTGGCTTATCGTGTGCAAATTTATTGCAGCTAAATACTCGAAATGCGTGATGTTGATTCTAAATGTGGAGGAAAAAACTGAAGGAACCGGAGAAAAATCCACGTGACCACGGGGAGAGAGAGACATGCAAACTCCAAATATGTGGGCATCAGGGTCGGGATCGAACCCACGACCTCCTGCATACCAGGTGAGGTAGTTAACATATTGCCACCTTGGCGCCCTTCTACACCCGGCACACCACATCCAGTATATATCTTCCTATGGCTGCGGCTATGAGTCATGTACTGCCTTCGGGCGGGTGGGTGTTTGGGATCCGGATGTCTGGGAGAGGGATGGGGGGTTAGCGATGCCCCGTAAAATAATCCATGACGAATTAAGCCCCCGGACGAGTTACGGTCTGAACGTTTGACGACGAACCCGCGTGGGCACGCTGGTAAGGATGTCGTTGGCTTGGCAGGCGAGGTCGTCCTGGGCTCCGTGAAGCTGCCCGTACAGCGCCGTCTGCACCTGCTTGCCGTGGTCTCCGATCGCCGCCCCGAACTCCTCCCAGCCCAGCTGCTCGGGGAACAGCAGGAGCTTCTCCCGCACGAAGTCCAGGTCGCCCACCACGGCGCACAGCTGCGCTCGCACGGGCGGTCGCCACGCATAACGCAACAGGGCGGGGGTGACGGCGAGCACATTCAACGCTCGCGAGCCACGCGTGGGTTTTTTCCCCCGGATTGGGCTGCGCGTTGAGCATTTCATCGCGGTTGGCTGCGTACGGTGCGAAAGAAGTTCGATGTACGTACGTTTGTTGTCATTTTCATCTCCTGAAGACGCCCGCAGGAGTGCATGGTGCGAGCATGAGAAAGGAAATGCTTAACAAGGGAAAAGCCGCACTCGGACAATACAAATCTGCTTGACTGATCGGTGTTTGGTTAGGAGTTATGACATTATGTACTTTAGCATCATCTCACAACCCTGAGCCAGCAGTGGAAATTCCCCATTCCCAAAGCAAGGGACAATCTCTGTTGACTTCCCCCGCAAAGCGGTATTTGGTTTATCAACCCTGGAGGCATGATGGGCTGAATCAACCCCCCCCCCCCCCCTCCAACAAGAATTTGACCTCGCAGACCTCAGTTCTGTGATTACCTGCGTCGACACTTTGCTCTCTCTGCCAGCAGGCTCGGCTGGACACTGCTCCAGCTTCTGATGGATGAGTGTGGCATAAGCGACGCTGGCGTCACAGATGTCCTGATCGAAAAACAAAACCACCGAAAAACCCAACAGTCAATGATGGAATGGCTCCACAGCTCAGTGATGCCACGATCACGTGTTGCACAGGCAGGGACCCCCTTTAATGCGATTCCCCCATCGTTGTGGTCACCGAATGCCAAGTGACCAAAACTTCCAGCCCCCCCCGCCACAATTCGTGAAGGAGGATATGTCATCGTTTTTGCCGCCTGATTCAAAAGAGCGGAGTAGGCTCAAGAAAGTTGCCAGGAGGAACGGGTGGAGAGGTGGGAGAGCTCATCCACATTGCAAATCGTAACCCCACGTTATAAGACACCATCAATGAACGGCGAATCCTGGAGGATAACTATTCGCTCCGCGAGTCCACCACTGCCCGAGGCTTGTATGTAGTGTACGTATGTTGAACTTCTTTCGCACCGTGGTAGCCAACCATGCTAATCGGAGGTGCGGGGGAAGGACAATGAGCTAAATACAAAAAAGCAATTCAATTGAAAGACATTTTCAATATATATTTAAAAGTTCATAGCTCTAGTGGCTTCCTAATATCGGAAGCGTTCCAGATGGCCGCAGAAGTGCATCTAAAAGAGCAATGCAGTGACCATCTTTGTTCGATGGTTAGCCAAAATCCGCTGTGAGGATGACCGGAGTTTGCATGATGATTTATGCTCCTTGACGAGATCAGCAAGGTTTTGTGGTTCATTTGTGGCCCGTGACTTGCCGCGAGATCCGAACCGGCAAAATCATGACTCTCAACAACCGATTATAATTATTGCTGCCACCTTGAGAGACACTCTTAATCTATGTCTGACAACCTTATATTAAACCCTGGCTAAAGTTTAACATTGCAAATAGACAGCTCTTGGTCGAGGCGCAGACATCTTGTATAAGATTTGTTCAGAATTCACTCACGCACAGGATAGTTACTGTATAATGTGCTGCCCCAAAAAACAAGAGAGCAGATAAGCATTAAAACTATCAAGACGGTTAAATGGCCTGACAGATAAAAGCGCATTCACAGCCATTCTAGATTTGAAGATTTCGTGACTGCAAGGATCCATACTCTTTGGTTCTTTCGGTAAAGTCACGTAGGTAAAGAAAAGAAAAGAAATTAAATCACGACGTTTCAGACACAACACAAGCGTCCGTCATCAGGTGGGACAACCACACCAAAAAGCAGTTGCTGAAATAGGCAAGAAAACACAATATAAGGTGGGATGGGTGTGGTGGCTTGGTGCCAAAAATTATTCCCGGAACAGCATTCCAGATTGTTCCAGCTGAATCCGAGTGACTCCTCAGACTCGGCAAAGGGAGACGTCAGCCGTCTCGGACGTCAGTCGCCTTGGCCGCGTGACGGCGCTCACCTGGGTGAGTTTGGTGGCGAGGACGAAGGCTTCCAGCGGCTCGGGCCACGCCAGATTGTGCCAGAACTTCTCGAGCTGGGAGAGGCAGGTGGCCGTGTCCACGGCGGAGGTGCTGTGAAAGACCAGGCTGTCCATCGCCTCCAGCTGAGTCGCGGCGCGCAGGGGAAGAGGCGGGGGGTGGGGGGGGGACGACAGCGCAGAGGTCCTTGTGGGTTTTACCGTGAGAGTTGGCGCTTTGTGATCGTCAATAGAGCTGAGGAGGAGGAGCAGGAAGAAGAAAAGGAGAAGAAGGAGAAGAAGGTGCCCGTGAAAGGTGGGATACCGCAATAAACGGAGGAGTCACCGAGTCTATGCTGACAGCCTTCCGGATGCGATCGTGAATCTTCTGCTGGATGACCACGAACCACTTGTTTATGGCCGGCTGGAACCACTTGTGGAAGCCGAACAAGGCCAGCGTCTCCGTAGCCCTGCAAGGCATTGAGCAAAGAGCCACTGTGAGGGTGCGGCCACGGTTGCCGACGGGCAGAGCCCCACCATAGGTTGTCGGGTTACACGGGGCTTCAACCAGCTCTGTGCCGGCGACCCGAGAAATAATTTCCACACCCGGCACACCACACCCAGTATGCGCCTCACTATGGCTGCAGCTACTAGCTAGGCGCATGTCTACTCCAGTCTACCAGCGACCCAGGAAACAAAACAAAAAACCTTAAAAGGTGAAAATGCCCAACTCAAAAAGTACCTAAAACACAATGACGGATGGGATCCCAATTCATGGACCACGTAGCTTACCCTAGGGGTGGCTGGGGGGGGCTCCAGATATCACTTGCCACTAATGTGAGCCGTGCCTGGGAATTGAATACAGGTTTCCAGGTTCATAGTGTAGTGGTGATACGCGCTGACAGTGGGGATCGTGGGGCAGCGTGTGGTGATTGGCTGTGTGCCGGTGACGCGCGCTGACGGTGAGGGATCACAGGGCAGCGCGGGGTCATGGGTTATGTGGTGGTGATTGGCTGTGTGTTGGTGACGCGCGCTGATAGGGAGTGATCGTGTGGCAGCGCGGGGCGATTGGTTGTGTAGTGGTAACACGCGCTGGGAAAACGGATCATAGGAACAGCGCGCCGTGATTGGTCGACTAGTGGGCGCTCACATCGCGATCCGCAAGAGGGTTATATAAGGCGGTGCGCGCGGGCGCTCGGGGAGTTGGTGACCAGCGAAGATTGAAGACGGCGGAGGAAGAGATAGGGCCCTGCGGTACCTAGTCCCACTGTCCTTGTAAGGACCGGGGCTCTGTGTGACCCAGAGGCGGGACCCTGGGACCCGGGGCCGAACGTCCGTGTGAGGGCCGGCTCGCGGGACCCAGAGGTTGTGACCCACGCCCAAGCTGGGGTGGGTCTGTAGGCTCCAAGGACGTTACGGGGCTGGAGAGTAGTGTGAGCATGCAGTGTGAGCATGCAGCGTGAGCCATAGTCACTACACGTGTCAGTGGAGTGTGTAGTGGGAGAGGTAGTGACCACACGTGTCAGTGAAGTGTGTGTAGTGTGAAGAATAGTGACCACACGGTGTATCGAGACAAGTCAAAGTTTAATAAAAAGTGTGCTACCCGTCAAGAGGTTTCCTGCTGTCATTCTGAATACTTCAACTGGCGTCAGAAGTGAAACAGTCTTCCAGGCATGGATACAAGGAAGACCCGTCGGACCCACGGGATTGACCGCGAGGATAACCTTGACGACTCGGGCCAGCTGGCATCGGGGGGAGAGGACGAGGAAATGCCTGACGCCGCAGGACCCGCCGAGGTCGCCGGACGAGCGACTGGGTACCGATTCCGTACTCCGCGAGGCGCACTCCCGTCTGGCAGAGCTGCTGCTTGCCGGCGCGTCCATCCTGGCAGAGATCAACACGTCGGGAGGAGCGGGGACGTCGGCGGACATTCAAAAGGCTCGCCCCGCGGATTCCCGCCAAAATGACTTGGCGATTCCCGCCATTTCTACTGCGCGGACATCTTTTGGCGGGAACGGGGAGCAACACGTGGCGGCGGTTCTCCAAGCGCGCCCGCTTACGTCATCAACGCGCGCTGCGGACCGCCATCAGCCTCCCGCCATTGGGGCCGCCATCTTACAGACCGACGGGGCGGCGGAGAGGAACCACGTGGCAGAGGACGACGACTTCATCTTCCAGCAGCGCCTTCCCACGTTGTCGGCCTTCAAGGCGGAAGGCGGCGACTGGGGCGCATTCCAGTGCAGGTTTCTGGCGCATCAAGAAATGTCGGCCTGGTCCAACGCTACGGTGCTGCGGGCACTGCCTGCCATGTTGGATGACGACGCGCTCGCGGCCTTCAGGTCCGCACGGAGGTCGGACCGCTCCACGCTTAAAGCTGCGCTGGGTCTCATGGCCAAGGTCTACGGACCTCCGTCGGCGTGTCGCCATCATTTTTACGGCCGACGGAAGGCGGTCACGGAGACCGCGCTCGCCTACCGCACGGCGTTGTTGGCTCTCGCCGACGCCGCGTTCCCTCATATGGACGAGGAGGGCCAGGATGCGATGGTCCTGGAGTAACTGCTCAAGTTGGCGCAGGACCTGGGGGTCCCCATCAACACGGCCGACGAGGTCGATATTTCTTCTTTGCGGGTCGCAACAAGTATACAGGCGTACGAGGTCCTCTAGCGTAAACAGGGAGGTGTCTGCACTGCTGCCGTGGCCTCATGCTCCGGGCCCCGGAGTCACCGAGCCCCAAGTCGTCAGCCCACGAGAGGAGGCGTTCACCGCGGGACGACCGGGGGACTGGAGGTCGGGGGGTCGTTCGCCTCTGCGATCGGCCCGCAAGCTGGAGCAACCGAGACCTCCGGCGTCCCTCGTCACGTGTTATAACTGTGGCCTCCGGGGCCACGTGGCGTCCGGTTGCCGCGCTCCACGTCAGCGCGCCACGGGACATCGGCTGGACGACGACCAAGGCCCCAAGTCATCCCTACTACCCCCGGCAAGTCGCGGCACCTCACATGCTCGACCTACAGGCGCGACACACATGGGCCGTCGTGTTGCGCCAGAGGAAGGCCAGTTAGGGATCGGGGATTCGGTTCGGCGAGGGGGGTTTGTGCGGGACCGAGGGGACATAAAATGGTCTGAGTTGGGGCACAGGATAGTGGCTGCGTCGGCGGGATCATCGGTCGTCCCGGGAATCATTGACAGGGTCGAGGTCAGGGTGCTAGTGGACACGGGGGCGTCGGCGACTATTATATCAGACCTCATTTACAACATTCTCCCCGTCCAATGTCGACCTCTACTCCCAGTGGACGTGCCATTTTACGTGGCAAATGGGGGCTCGTTGGGCATTGTCGGCCAGATTAGGGCATCCATTTGCATTGGAGATATTAAATTGTCGGGACCCGTTTTCGTTTCTTCCTCGTTAGCAGTTCCTTGTCTGTTGGGCACAGACTTTTTGGCTAAAATGCCCATTAAAATTCTCATCGATCAGCGTTGCATTGAGCTACCATCGGGTCGCCGTATTTCATTTTTGTCGAGTCCTACCGAAATTCGAACGGCGTGCGCTACGATACAAGCGCTGGCGACGCACACTGTGCACGTGCCTCCGGGTTCACATATGTTAATTCCCCTCCGGTTGAGGAAACCATTGGTTGGGGAGACCTCGGAACAGGGAATGCTTTTGGGTCCTTCAAATAGGGCTGTCGGGGGTCTCGATTTGTCGGTGGCTCACACTTTGGTTCGGGCTGACAAGGACCCTTTCGTGATGGTTTTAAACGCCGGTTCGCGGCCGGCCATTATTCAGCAGGGCACTGTGCTAGCTCACGCGGCACGGGTCCCTGGGGAAGAGCGCCTGGTTGCGCATGTTGATCCAAACCCGACGCGGAACAATCCATCGAGGGAGGACCTTGAATGGGTCGATTCGCTGTGCGCGGACTCGAACGATTTGTCTACAGTACAGTTGGGTGCGCTGCGTGCGTTGCTGATAGAATTTTCTGATGTGTTCAGTAAGCATAAATATGACATTGGGTGCACGGACCTGTTGCGCCACCATATTGAAACAGGCGATGCGGCACCGGTTAGGCTAAATCCCTTCCGGCTGAGTCCTGTTGAGAAGGAACACGTTCAGTCGGCCGTCAACGATATGCTAAGGGCCGACATTATTTCGCCTTCCTCCAGTCCTTGGGGGGCACCTATTGTGCTGGTTAAAAAGCAAGACGGCTCCTTGCGATTCTGCGTAGATTTCCGTCGCCTGAATAAAATATCCGTGGCTGACGCGTATCCGCTCCCCAGAATGGACGAGTCCCTCGATGCATTGTCTGGTGCGCGATATTTCTCAACTCTTGATTTACTGTCGGGATTCTGGCAGCTGCCACTCGACGATGAGTCTAGACCTAAGACAGCATTTCGGACTCCAGGGGGCCTGTTTCAGTTTAACCGGTTACCCATGGGACTTCACTCCGCTCCCGCGACGTTTCAGCGCCTTATGGAATTGGTCTTGTCGGGCTTGCAATGGGAAACTTGCTTGATTTACCTGTACGATGTCATTGTTTTCAGTAAAACGTTCGAGGAACACCTCCAGCGGCTGAGAGGAGTATTTTTGCGGATGCGATCGGCTAAATTAAAGTTTAAACCGGCCAAATGCCACCTTCTTTGTAAGTCCGTGAGATACTTGGGACACATTGTCGATTCTTCGGGGATCTCTACCGATCCCGCGAAGATGAACTGTGTCAGTTCATGGCCAACGCCCACGTCGGTTTCGGACGTGCACAGTTTAATCGGTTTTGCTTCGTACTACCGCCGATTCGTTGAGCATTTCGCCACCATTGCTAAACCCTTGCACGCTCTAACGGCAAAAGGAGTCAAGTTCCGATGGGGACCGGAGGAGGAGGCCGCGTTCTGCTCCCTCCGGGACGCCTTGGTGGGTGCCCCGCCCTTACGTTATCCTGACTTTACAAGTCCCTTCTTGCTAGACACGGATGCTAGCAACACGGGCATTGGGGGGGTGCTCTCACAGGTCGTCGGGGGAGTTGAAAGGGTGGTCGCCTATGGTAGCAGGGTTTTGTCGCCGGCGGAGCAGCGCTACTGCGTCACCCATCGCGAGTTGCTGGCGATTGTTTTTTTTGTGCAGCAGTTTAGACCGTATCTCTATGGCCGTCACTTTACGGTCCGGACGGACCACGCGGCGCTTCAGTATTCATTGAGGGTCGCCCAGCCCTCGGGCCAATTGTCACGGTGGTTGGAAGTCCTCCAGGACTATCAGTTCACGACCACATACCGTAAGGGGTTGCGCCACACTAACGCCGATGCCCTGTCGTGATTGTCGCCTTGTCACAAATGTGCGTGCTTGTTGGGATCGGCGCGCTGTAAACCGCCAGCCGCGAAAAGTATGGGGGTGTTGGCCGCTTCCCCGGATGCACCGATCGGTGATGTTCCCGCTACCCCTGTGGGAGAGGACTCGCTGCTCTCACTGTCGCTGATTGAGTGGGGCCGTCTCCAAATGGCTGACAGCTCCCTACTAGCGTTGCGTCGCAGGGCGGGGGATCCCGAGGAGGGCCGGGAACGAACTGGTTCCTGGGTACTCAGGCAGGGCCTGTTAATGAGATGGGACAATTTGTCTCGGCGCCACGCACTCGTGGTGCCTTCCGTTGTGCGAGGGAAAGTTGTCCTGGCCGCGCATGAACGCCTCTTGCATTTGGGGGTAAACAAAACGCTTGCTCTGCTTCAGCGTGACTATTATTGGCCGGGGATGGGAAGTGATGTGGTGAATATCCTAAAGGGGTGTGTTGAGTGCGCCAGACGAAAACCACCGCCAGTGGCGTCAAATCCACCACTGCAATCTATTCAGGTCTCGTGCACTAACGAGCTCGTGGCGCTCGATATTTTGGGGCCTTGTCCAGTCACGCCTAGGGGTAACAAGTACCTGTTGGTTGGTGTAGAATACTTTACCCGGTGGCCTATGGCGTGGCCACTCGCCAACCAGTCGGCGGCAGCTGTGACGGACGCCTTTGTCCAGGGCTATGTTTTGGACAAAGGGGCTCCCGAACGCTTGCTGACCGACCAAGGGAAAAAATTTTCAAGTAAATTATTGCAAGAGGTGTGCGACCTATTGGGTACTAAGAAGGTGCGTACCTCCCCGTACCACCCACAGACAGACGGGATGGTGGAGCGACTCCACAGAACTTTGACTTCTATGCTGTGCCAGCAGGTGTGTGAGGCACATGTTGACTGGGACCTGCAGGTCCCTGGGGTCCTCGCCGCGTATAGAATGGCTCCCCATGCAGCAACGGGATTTTCCCCATTCTATCTGATGTATGGTCGGGAAGCCGACCCGCCCATGGAAACGCAGCTGGGACTGTCCGCGCCACGAACGAATTCGAAATTGGCTGAACATATTAAATTTAACATTCATAAGCTGACCGAGGCACGGGAGGCCGCACGGCTTAATTCGCGGGCTCGCCAAATTGCCAACGAGCGTTTGCGTGCACGGAAGGTGTCCGTGCACAACTGGAAACCAGGCGACAGGGCCTGGCTGCACTGCCCTCAGGCACCTTTGGCTACGTCGCCTAAATTGTTGAGGCCATGGCGGGGACCCGTGGAGGTCGTGCGGGTTGCACGCCCCCAGTGTGTTCAGATAAAATGGGGAAAGCGCCGTTGGTACGTTCACCCCTCCCGACTGAAACCGTTCTCGCCTCCATATGGCCTCCCTTTGTGTCATGAGGGCCGAGCATGTGACGTGACCGACGACCTAAGGGGGGAATTGTCTCCGCCTGATCCTCACATGTCTCCGCCTGATCCGCTTCCAGGTGTCCCGGAACTGACAGCTGCCGACCACCGGCGGCTGGATCCCCGCGGCGCGACCGGTCCTTCCAGGCCCGATCCGCGCCTTCTAGAGCTGCCGGAGCCACCAGACGGTCGTCAGCGTCCCGTCCCATACGATGGACCGGCCAAGCGGACTCGCGCTCAGTCGCACAACTTTTCGTGACCAACCGGCTGAGGAGCCGATGCGGCCGGAGAGCCTCGTCACTGCGTTCCCCGTCCGCTCGGCCGCTCTAGCACCCCGGTGGGGGAGCGAGCGGAGGGGGGGGGGATCGATAGTCTCAGAGACACTGGACACGTTCTTTTTCTCGGACTTGCTTTTATTGCGTTGTTCGTCGGTTTGTACATAACTTGTTGTCTAGGTGTTGTGTGTTGTTGTTGGTTTTTTTTGTGTGTTGTTTGTCGGTTTGTACATAGGTTGTTGTTTGGTGTTATGTCGTTGTGTTCTTGTTGTTGTGTTACGGGGCACACTGGGGGGGGTTGAGTTTTTGTTGTGTTACTATTGTTGTTGTTATTGTGTTGTTTAGCAGCCGGGCCGGCTGCGAGCTATGTGGGAGGGGGTGATGTAGTGGTGATACGCGCTGACAGTGGGGATCGTGGGGCAGCATGTGGTGATTGGCTGTGTGCCGGTGACGCGCGCTGACGGTGAGGGATCACAGGGCAGCGCGGGGTCATGGGTTATGTGGTGGTGATTGGCTGTGTGTTGGTGACGCGCGCTGACAGGGAGTGATCGTGTGGCAGCACGGCGCGATTGGTTGTGTAGTGGTAACACGCGCTGGGAAAACGGATCGTAGGAACAGCGCGCCGTGATTGGTCGACTAGTGGGCGCTCACATCGCGGTCCGCAAGAGGGCTATATAAGGCGGTGCGCGCGGGCGCTCGGGGAGTTGGTGACCAGCGAAGATTGAAGACGGCGGAGGAAGAGATAGGGCCCTGCGGTACCAAGTCCCGCTGTCCTTGTAAGGACCGGGGCTCTGTGTGACCCAGAGGCGGGACCCTGGGACCCGGGGCCGAACGTCCGTGTGAGGGCCGGCTCGCGGGACCCAGAGGTTGTGACCCACGCCCAAGCTGGGGTGGGTCTGTAGGCTCCAAGGACGTTACGGGGCTGGAGAGTAGTGTGAGCATGCAGTGTGAGCATGCAGCGTGAGCCATAGTCACTACACGTGTCAGTGGAGTGTGTAGTGGGAGAGGTAGTGACCACACGTGTCAGTAAAGTGTGTGTAGTGTGAAGAATAGTGACCACACGGTGTATCGAGACAAGTCAAAGTTTAATAAAAAGTGTGCTACCCGTCAAGAGGTTTCCTGCCATCATTCTGAAAACTTCAATAGTATAGAGTGAGCTTCACCTTGACCATTCATATTTTCCCCTACGTAAGTGCAATTACACGAGTGATATACACACATATCTCGAAAGGCCAATAACAATACTTTAATTTAATATACCGTCGTTCATGCTTCTTGCATTCCATAACGCTGTACATTAATTATATATGATTCATATTAAACGGTCACTTCTGATAGAGTTTATAAATACAACATAAAGCACGGTCGTTTTTATTCCACAAAATCAGTCATGCACAGCCACCGCCGTTACAGCCTTGCACGCAGCCAACCGTGCTAGTCGGAGGTGCATGCTAATCAGAGGTACGTGCTAATTGGAGGGTGCCCTGGCTTCGACCTGACCAGAAAGCCCTGCACCACACAAGCGCAACGGGGACATCGCAACGGGCGCCGCGCCCACCGTCTCACGCTCAATTGCGACTGCGGCTCCACGTCTCAAACCACGTGCCATGCAAACCAGGTGCCACGTCCCCCAACCGCTGCCCCCCGCAAGATCGCTCGACGGAGGAGCCGCATGCGCGGGGCCTCCACAAACGCCAGCGATCGGCTCGATAAACCGCCCCCGAATATCGAAGCGGCCTTTTTGAGTTTTGATGTTCGGCCGTTACGCGAGAAGACTTTGCTGACGTTACGATGAAGCGGTCCGTGGTACAGCCGCAGCAACGGCAGCAGTCGGCAGGAGCACCTCTGATTAGCACCGTTGGCTATGTACGGCGTGAAAGCAGTTCAACACACACACACACAGTACCTGTCTGTGACGTGCTGATGGAGACCGTGCAGCTCTTTGAGGTGGACGTAGACCACGAAGAGCATTTCTCCGACCTCGCAATCAGAGTGCCCATCCTCGGCGTCCTTGAGCAGCTGGGACATGTCTTCTGCGACGCGCTGGACAGTGTCAGCCACCTGCAATTCGACAAATCAGGGGTCCATTCAGCACCTAAAGACGGCCAGGCGGCTCCGCGGGAGAGCGAGCGAATCCCGAGCGGAAGGTCACGAGTGCAAATCCTGCTCGGGGGTTGACTCAGCCCATCGTCCTACCGGGGTCGATAAAATAAAGACCACTTTGTGGGGAAGTCAACAGCAGCTGTTCTCTGGAAAGACTCGCCCCTGTCATAGGAACATGGAATTTCCACCGCTGGGTCAGAGCTGTGGACAGGAAATGAGCACCACCACCTCAACGCTTATTCGAGCAGGAAATCACTCTGACTTTGAATCCACACTTGACGCTCTCCCACAGTGCTGCATTGAACAGATGCAAATCCGCATTTTCTCTGCACTTTTGTCCAGTAAATGTGGTGTCATGTTGCCTACGTTTAATAATAAATGATGGCAATTTGAACTTGGACCGCGCTGCACAGCACTCGCTCGCTCTCGTGGACAGAGAACGACTCAGGGGCGCGAGGAACCACAGACAAGCAGGAAGGCAGCAACGCGATGATCCTTCGATGGCAGTTGCCCAAGCTCTGCGGTCCTATAAAGTGTTCTAATTTTACCAGGTGAAGCCCACTGAACTATATCGCTCTTTTTCAGAAGCGACCTGGCTATCACAAATTATAGCTCAACAAAGTGGCGTATCACGTGGGACTTTACAACAGACAAATACTCAAAGCGCGTGATGTTCATTCTCAATGTGGAGGGAAAACCCGGAGGACCCGGAGAAAAATCCATACGACCACGGGGAGAACATGCAAACTCCAAATATACAACAGGCGTCAGGGTTGGGATCGAACCCACAACCTCCTATATACCAGGCGAGGTAGTTACATCTATATAATAAGTAACACCATATTGTCATCGGCCAATTCATGAGTGTTTACATGTGGGAGAAATCTGCAGCGTCCTGAGAAAACACAAGCGTGCGAGGGGGAAACATTCTATCCCACACAGACGGAGGAGGTGGAGTCCACATTTTGTCTGCACGGCCTCCTCCTGGCGAGCCAGGGTATGGCACCTCGACAACCATGAGAAGGGAGTTTCAAAACGGTTGTGGGTCACACACATCAAACCTCGCTGCCTCCAAAGTGCTGGATTACAAGCGTGCATAGCCACCTCCTTCCGCCCAATCGATACATTGGCAGGAATGCACGCCATTGCCTGATGCAGATCAACTGCTCCGAGATGAACACCACATGCATTGTCTAAAATATGGCTGTCCAAACCAGGGCACGCAGGCCAAAACTGATCCACAGATGACTTGAATCCGGCCCTCCGGTCGGTGAAGGTGGATGAGGACCAGGACCGGTTCAGATATCGCTCAACACCGTGTGTATGTACTACGTTGAACTTGTTTTGCACCGTGTGTAGCCGACCGTGCTTATCGGAGGTGCGGATATTGGCAATTGGCTTAAATAAAACGTGGGTTGCCCAGTTCCTAGGGTCCTCACTGGTTCCTCGGGTGCTAACTGGTTCCTAGGGTGCTAACCACAGCGCCAACCCCCACCGCCTCTGCCCCTGTCACGGCCTAAACCAGCGGTTCTTAACCTCGGATGCACGCACCCCATGGAGTGAGAGGTGCCCTTTCTGGGGTTGCGAGACATGGGCAAATTTTTTTCGAAGGTAAATCATCGAAACGCAAATGAAGCGCCTGAGTACAGCCGCTTTGTTCCGTCAGGCTGCAGTAAAGGTTAAGAACCACTGGCGTACATCAGCAGCAGCAGGCGAAGGCCAGTCTACTGACGGTGCTACCTCTTACCAATGTCTCCAGGAGGCAGTAAACGATGTTGAAATAGTCCACATTCACAGATCTGCAACAGACGAGCAAGTTGAATCAAACTGTGCAATTCGAGTACTGTACACACCTATTCACGTAAATAATAATAATCATAATATTGTGTTTATCTCGGTTCATTATATTTTGTGCCACTCGGAGAACTCTAAAGCGGCACTAGTTCACGACCACTCCCGTTACGCCGAAGATTCCTGCGCTTGATTTTCCACGAAGCTGCTCACGGTCCACCCTCAACCGCATCCACTGCACAAATGGAAAAGTAAAAACTCTCCGGTAGTAGTGCGATTGTGGTCCATCCAGACCAGACCGTACAACGTATAACGACGCAATTCCCCGATCAAACATATACGTAGGAGACATCACAGCGATGGTGATGATACGCTACTCTGCTTCGTCCTGACGCGGTTGTCTGGCTTGACCGCCTGAATGTGAAGTTGTCGCCGTTGCTCTGCATCTACATCAGCCGCCGTGCGACGAGAAGACGGCTCCCGTTACCATGTTGAATCAAACAATCACCCACGGCACCCTTCCATTTGAAGTTTCCAAAAACACATTCCTGCGGAGGGAGCTGGTAGGAACGTTGGGTTGCTCGGTCAATGGCCAGGGTCAACGGCGGCGTAGTGTATTCCGCAAATATGGCCGACTGTGAGGGCGGGCACAAGCCGGCGTGAGTAGGTTAAAAGTTGAGTTTTATAAGGGCACCACGGGGTGACCAGCCCCTCCCCACCCAGCCCCACCCTCCCACCCCCCATCCAGCCCCACCCTCCCCACCCAGCCCCTCCCCACCCAGCCCCTCCCCACCCTCCCCTCCCCACCCAGCCCCTCCCTGCACAACGGACACAATAATCCCCTGTGGGCTGGTGTTACCAGGAGGTTCCTACCAGTATAACTCTTTGGTTCTTTCGGTAAAGTCACGTAGAAAGAAAAAATAAATTAAATAATAGCATACGACGTTTCGATTGCAACACAAGCAATCATCATCAGGCACAAATGAAAGAGTAAACAAACCTAGTAAAAATATGATAATTGGTTCTTTACCCTTCTATCTGGCAACAAAACTGACACCTTTTTGCAAGGAGTCATGTTTGCATAGACCGCAATACCTGCAGTCATAAATACAAACAAAAGACATAACTCTGATAATGTGCACTGTCCTTGAAGTTGATTGGTCCACACCCGAGACAGCTTTCCTTCGAGCCTAGTCTCATATGGGTTGGACCAGATGACGCCAAAAGGCGCACAACTCAAGGACAATGCACCATCAGAGTATGAGAGCTCGGGGCAAGCATCTACACTATGGGGACCTCATTTGCCAGTAAAAATATGATAATTGGTTCTTTACCCTTCTATCTGGCAACAAAACTGACACCTTTTTGCAAGGAGTCATGTTTGCATAGACCGCAATACCTGCAGTCATAAATACAAACAAAAGACATAACTCTGATAATGTGCACTGTCCTTGAAGTTGATTGGTCCACACCCGAGACAGCTTTCCTTCGAGCCTAGTCTCATATGGGTTGGACCAGATGACGCCAAAAGGCGCACAACTCAAGGACAATGCACCATCAGAGTATGAGAGCTCGGGGCAAGCATCTACACTATGGGGACCTCATTTGCCAGTAAAAATATGATAATTGGTTCTTTACCCTTCTATCTGGCAACAAAACTGACACCTTTTTGCAAGGAGTCATGTTTGCATAGACCGCAATACCTGCAGTCATAAATACAAACAAAAGACATAACTCTGATAATGTGCACTGTCCTTGAAGTTGATTGGTCCACACCCGAGACAGCTTTCCTTCGAGCCTAGTCTCATATGGGTTGGACCAGATGACGCCAAAAGGCGCACAACTCAAGGACAATGCACCATCAGAGTATGAGAGCTCGGGGCAAGCATCTACACTATGGGGACCTCATTTGCCAGTAAAAATATGATAATTGGTTCTTTACCCTTCTATCTGGCAACAAAACTGACACCTTTTTGCAAGGAGTCATGTTTGCATAGACCGCAATACCTGCAGTCATAAATACAAACAAAAGACATAACTCTGATAATGTGCACTGTCCTTGAAGTTGATTGGTCCACACCCGAGACAGCTTTCCTTCGAGCCTAGTCTCATATGGGTTGGACCAGATGACGCCAAAAGGCGCACAACTCAAGGACAATGCACCATCAGAGTATGAGAGCTCGGGGCAAGCATCTACACTATGGGGACCTCATTTGCCAGTAAAAATATGATAATTGGTTCTTTACCCTTCTATCTGGCAACAAAACTGACACCTTTTTGCCAGGAGTCATGTTTGCATAGACCGCAATACCTGCAGTCATAAATACAAACAAAAGACATAACTCTGATAATGTGCACTGTCCTTGAAGTTGATTGGTCCACACCCGAGACAGCTTTCCTTCGAGCCTAGTCTCATATGGGTTGGACCAGATGACGCCAAAAGGCGCAAATGAGGTCCCCATAGTGTAGATGCTTGCCCCGAGCTCTCATACTCTGATGGTGCATTGTCCTTGAGTTGTGCGCCTTTTGGCGTCATCTGGTCCAACCCATATGAGACTAGGCTCGAAGGAAAGCTGTCTCGGGTGTGGACCAATCAACTTCAAGGACAGTGCACATTATCAGAGTTATGTCTTTTGTTTGTATTTATGACTGCAGGTATTGCGGTCTATGCAAACATGACTCCTTGCAAAAAGGTGTCAGTTTTGTTGCCAGATAGAAGGGTAAAGAACCAATTATCATATTTTTACTGGCAAATGAGGTCCCCATAGTGTAGATGCTTGCCCCGAGCTCTCATACTCTGATGGTGCATTGTCCTTGAGTTGTGCGCCTTTTGGCGTCATCTGGTCCAACCCATATGAGACTAGGCTCGAAGGAAAGCTGTCTCGGGTGTGGACCAATCAACTTCAAGGACAGTGCACATTATCAGAGTTATGTCTTTTGTTTGTATTTATGACTGCAGGTATTGCGGTCTATGCAAACATGACTCCTTGCAAAAAGGTGTCAGTTTTGTTGCCAGATAGAAGGGTAAAGAACCAATTATCATATTTTTACTGGCAAATGAGGTCCCCATAGTGTAGATGCTTGCCCCGAGCTCTCATACTCTGATGGTGCATTGTCCTTGAGTTGTGCGCCTTTTGGCGTCATCTGGTCCAACCCATATGAGACTAGGCTCGAAGGAAAGCTGTCTCGGGTGTGGACCAATCAACTTCAAGGACAGTGCACATTATCAGAGTTATGTCTTTTGTTTGTATTTATGACTGCAGGTATTGCGGTCTATGCAAACATGACTCCTTGCAAAAAGGTGTCAGTTTTGTTGCCAGATAGAAGGGTAAAGAACCAATTATCATATTTTTACTGGCAAATGAGGTCCCCATAGTGTAGATGCTTGCCCCGAGCTCTCATACTCTGATGGTGCATTGTCCTTGAGTTGTGCGCCTTTTGGCGTCATCTGGTCCAACCCATATGAGACTAGGCTCGAAGGAAAGCTGTCTCGGGTGTGGACCAATCAACTTCAAGGACAGTGCACATTATCAGAGTTATGTCTTTTGTTTGTATTTATGACTGCAGGTATTGCGGTCTATGCAAACATGACTCCTTGCAAAAAGGTGTCAGTTTTGTTGCCAGATAGAAGGGTAAAGAACCAATTATCATATTTTTACTGGCAAATGAGGTCCCCATAGTGTAGATGCTTGCCCCGAGCTCTCATACTCTGATGGTGCATTGCCCTTGAGTTGTGCGCCTTTTGGCGTCATCTGGTCCAACCCATATGAGACTAGGCTCGAAGGAAAGCTGTCTCGGGTGTGGACCAATCAACTTCAAGGACAGTGCACATTATCAGAGTTATGTCTTTTGTTTGTATTTATGACTGCAGGTATTGCGGTCTATGCAAACATGACTCCTTGCAAAAAGGTGTCAGTTTTGTTGCCAGATAGAAGGGTAAAGAACCAATTATCAAACCTAGTAAACTTAGAAATATAATGCAATACAACACAGAGAGTCGGCTAACATAACAGTCAACACCCTACCAGGTTGATTACGTTCTTCCAAAGATTGCTAAATTTGAGAGAGAGACCAAACACAGACACGGAGACACACAGATAGACACACAAGCAGAGAGAGAGAGAGACAACACAGAGACACAGACTTTTGTTTCGAACGCAGCACGATCGACCCCCCCTTCGTCGCAACACCGCCACCGCCGCCGCTGTCGATGGTTACGCACCGCAGGAAGAGCTCTTGGTAGCAGCGTTTCTTGAGGCCCAGCTCGGCGGTGACCTTCTCGACGATGGCACTCAGCTGTGTGAGCCGCTCTCGCTCGCCTCGCATCGCCACCGCCGCCGCATCCTCAGACGCGTTCTCCTGCACGGGGAACGCCATGGGCGCTTCATGCATCGCGCGTGTGATGAACTTCTTTGCCTTTCGTACGTTTGTATATTTTGTATGTTTCTTTGCCTTTCGAATAGATGTTTGTTGAATTTCTTTCGCACCGTACGTAGCCAACCGTGCGAATCGGAGGTGCAACGCGGTTACAAACCTTGCGGTGACGCATCGCCGCCTATTGCGGCTGCTGGCGGTTGTGTTGGTGATAATAGTGGTGGTGGTGGTGATAATAGTGGCGGTGGTGGTTGTGTTGGTGATAATAGTGGTGGTGGTTGTGCTGGTGATAATAGTGGTGTTGGTTGTGTTGGTGATAATAGTGGTGGTGGTTGTGCTGGTGATAATAGTGGTGGTGGTTGTGTTGGTGATAATAGTGGTGGTGGTTGTGCTGGTGATAATAGTGGTGGTGGTTGTGCTGGTGATAATAGTGGTGGTGGTTGGTGATAATAGTGGTGGTGTTGTTGGTGATAATAGTGGTGGTGGTTGTGCTGGTGATAATAGTGGTGGTGGTTGTGCTGGTGATACTATTGGTGGTGGTTGTGCTGGTGATAATAGTGGTGGTGGTTGTGCTGGTGATAATAGTGGTGGTGGTTGTGTTGGTGATAATAGTGGTGGTGGTTGTGCTGGTGATAATAGTGGTGGTGGTTGTGTTGGTGATAATAGTGGTGGTGGTTGTGCTGGTGATAAGTGGTGGTGGTTGTGCTGGTGATACTATTGGTGGTGGTTGTGCTGGTGATAATAGTGGTGGTGGTTGTGTTGGTGATAATAGTGGTGGTGGTTGTGCTGGTGATAATAGTGGTGGTGGTTGTGCTGGTGATAATAGTGGTGGTGGTTGTGCTGGTGATAATAGTGGTGGTGGTTGTGTTGGTGATAATAGTGGTGGTGGTTGTGCTGGTGGTGGTTGTGCTGGTGATAATTTTGGGGGCGATAGTGTATCGGTTAGCATGCTGCGCTACGAACCTGGTGACCCGGGTTCGATTCTTGCTCACGGCCAACACAAGTGACAATTATCTGAACGGGTTCTGGACCTCCCCTAGGTCGACTCAGCCTCAAATAAATACGTGGTGCAGTGCGTAAAAACATCGCCACTAGGGAGACAAAGGCGGCCGGGCGTGGTGCTGGCCACCCACCCCCTCGGATGCCGTTCTGGCCTTCATAAGTGCTCGCTAACAGCACTTGCCCCAACAGGCTGTTAAGGCTATACGGTAGATCTTTGTCTATGTCTTTTTGGTTGTGCTGGTGGTGCTGCTGGTGATTATATTTGAGGTGATGGTTTTGCTGGTGGTCGTGCCAGTGATTATAGTTGAGGTGGTGGTTGTGCTGGTGGTGGTGCTGGTGATTATAGTTGAGTTGGTGGTTGTGCTGTTGTGGTGGTGCTGGTGATTATATTTGAGTTGGTGGTTGTGCTGGTGGTGGTGCTGGTGATTATAGTTGAGTTGGTGGTTGTGCTGGTGGTGGTGCTGGTGATTATAGTTGAGGTGGTGGTTGTGCTGGTGGTGGTGCTGGTGATTATAGTTGAGTTGGTGGTTGTGCTGGTGGTGGTGCTGGTGATTATAGTTGAGGTGGTGGTTGTGCTGGTGGTGGTGCTGGTGATTATAGTTGAGGTGGTGGTTGTGCTGGTGGTGGTGCTGGTGATTATAGTTGAGTTGGTGGTTGTGCTGTTGTGGTGGTGCTGGTGATTATAGTTGAGGTGGTGGTTGTGCTGTTGTGGACTCCGGACCCCATACTCCCACGCTTGTGGGACTGCCTTGCCACCTTGTGATGAGCCGAGTGACACAGCAGCCATGAATGTAATTGCTTACCTGGGCATCTTTGTCTGGTTGCGCCAAGGATTTGTACCAGCTTCCAGTGCCTTCCTGAAGAGGACATGCCAATCATCATTATTATTATTTTTACTCCGCTTGTTGGCTCAGGAAAGCCTCACTGAGTCTCAAGGCTTCTTTTCAGGAAGTCTCTGCCAAGCGTTCACAGTCGGGGGGCCACATTGCTATGTACTTACGTTGAACTTCTTTCGCACCGCACGCAGCCAACCGCACCCACCGGAGGTGTGGGGCAACAAACTAAACACTAAAAGCAGTTCTAAAGAAATTAGTTTTCAATTTTGATTTTAAAGTTCATAGCTCCCAGTGGCTTCCTAATATCTGAAGGAAGAGCGTTCCAGACGGCCGCAGGAGCGCATCTGAAAGCGCGGTGATGCGGTGACCACCGCCTTTGTTCAATGGCCAGTCGAAAGCCGCTGCGAGGATGACCGGCGGAGTTCACGTGATGGTGGTTTATGCTCCTTGACGATATCAGCGAGGTACTGTGATTCATTCTGTGGCAAGCACTTGGTGCATAATGAGTGTTGTTATCCCAATTAAGTAATTTGCCGGTAATTGTTCAGCATTCGGAAGTTTGGCCAATTCCAATCACATTGTGTGTTCTTTTAGCTATGGGAGGAAACTGGAGAACCCGGAGGGAACCCCATGCAGAACGGGGGGAGAGAAACACACAAACTACACACAGAAAGGCACCCGAGTCAGGAATCGAACCCAGGGCGTTCCTGCAGTGAGGCACGAGTGTTACCACTCCGCCAACCTGTCACGTGATTAATGAACTTCAGTGGTAAATGTAATACTGATGAAGTAAGGCTATTGGGGATCTATGAGTTTAGTTGTTAGCAGATACACCATGTGCTGCATTTAACATTTGCACTGAATATGAACAGTAATATATTTACCCAGGAAATCCTAACCAAGTCTCAATATTTTTCATGACGCCGCTGCTGGGGCATGTTTTATTGGATGTTTTGCATGTGTGGGGGAAATTAGAGTTCCTGGAGAAACCCCACACGCAGGAGGGGTTGACAATCAAAGAGGAGTGATGGCTACAACACAGCAAGTTGGCACCACAGCGAGATCGGCAGCTACTCGCAACCAGCACACAGGAGAACTATTGCTGGGTTTGCAGTCCACCCCTCAGTCTGTTAACCATCGATGCCTGGGCCTCTTCCATGACATCCTGCCAGGGGGATATATTTCCACGCCAGTGCACCCAGCCTGGCGCAAGAAAAGCGGCGAAATCACCGGCGGTTGTTGGCCACCGATGGCTGTTTACCTGAATGGCAGTGGTAATCAGTCCCTCCAGGTCACCGTGATAAGCGCACAGCTGCTGAAAGGCTTCAGTCTTATAGAGCTGCGCCAACACACTGCTCAGGACGCGGGGCACACACAGAGGCAGAGGACACGGCACGCGTCAGTGCTCAGCACATAAACGTCACACGCCACGTAATCAATCGTACTTATTATTGCCAGTAATCATTACCCGAAATGCAACTCCGTGTTGGAAAAAAATATTATTTCGAAGAAAAAAACTAAAGTTTTAGTTCTGCAATGTCTTTGTCATGGTTCTCCACGAGAATAAGCTATAGAGGGCATTTTGGGCTACTTTTCCACGTTTACAAAAATAATGTACGTAAAATGTAAAGGCTTAATCAAGTAATTCCCGTATTATTTCATAAGATGGAGTACCTGTGTGCCGCAATGGTCGTCAACTCCAAACTAAAACGAATTAAAAAAACATTTATTTCACCAGGTCAGGCCCACTGAGCTATCAAGATCTTTTTCAGAAGCGACCTGCCTGCAAATGATATCTCAATGAAGTGCCTCATCACGTGGACATTTATAGCAGCCAAATATTCCAAACGCACATTTCTAAATGTGGAGGGAAAAACCGAAGGACCCGGAGAAAAACCCACACAACCACGGGGGTGAACATGCAACCTCCAAATATACAGCAGCAGGCGTCAGAGTCGGGATCGAACCCACGACCTCCTGTGTGCCAGGCGAGGTAGTTAACGTCTCGCCATGGCTCCCTTTAATACAAGACGAAACATGCGACAACAGTAATTGAGGTCGCATATCTTCGTCATTCGGGGTGAGATTTGTTTTGTGGGGAAACATTTAACTTGATTTTTTAATAGACGTCAAGCCTTTATATAACAGCATGTGGCAGCATGCTACTACGTGGGAAATGAAGAGAGACCCCATTTCATTCCTTGCACCGGGGGCCCAGGCCAACCAGGCGACGCCACTGCCTGCACTGTTCAATGTTGAAAAGATTAGAGTTGATTATCGATTATCCGGCACGTGATTAACCGGGTTCCAACATTATCCGGTGATCCCGGGCCGATCCGGCAAAACTTATCCAAAGGCTGTAACCAGTCCGGCGATCGTCAAACACATGTTGGTGTTGAAACGAGATTGTAGTACGTACATCACCCCATGCAGAGTCTTCGAGATTAGAGTGATAAGTATGGTAAAGTCAATACAGCAACCTTGTACAATAGGGAAAAAAATGCGTCCATTCGTACGTCTATTTATGCCAATTTAATAAAGCAAACACATTCTTAAAAGAAAAAAACACAACAACTAAAACAAAATGTTAAGCAAGAATGTGCAAAAATAAGCTATTTTTAAAAATGATTTAGTAATTATCCGGCATTTTTCAAAATCCGGCGCACCCTTCTCCCCCGAAGCCGCCGGATAATCGATAATCGATTGGACTTGCGGACTTCAAGATTTGTAGAAATGGTGCCCCACAATAAAAACCTCGCCACGTAACCATTTTTGTTGAACCGTGGGGCCTCCTGCCCCAATAGGTCCCCCACCCCCTGCCACCCGCCACCCCCTACGGAGGAGCGAAAGATGTCAGCGGCCCCCACAGCTCGCTCCGTTAGAGTGAGAAACCGCAACGGGTGCCGTCGACGCGGCCACCGAACATCGTTCGTCGTCGATCTCCCACCCACCCCCCACCCCCCCGGGTCTCCAGAGCATCAACGCGAGCCCCTGGAGGTGGTGCCGAGTTGGTGGTGGTGGGGGATGAAGCTGGAGACCAGAGCATGGCTTGCAGCTTGGCGGTGGCGTCCTCCGACCCGGCAGGGAGGGCGGGAATCTGACGGAGCTTGCTGAGAAGGCCATCGACGTAGGCAGTGAAGCTCGCGCACAGCAGCTGGGCCTACAGTGCACACAACAAAGACAAAGATCCCCAACCCCCCCGTACAGCCTTAACAGACTGTTGGGGCAAGTGCTGTTAGCAAGCGCCTATGAAGGCCGGCACTGTGGCACACGAGGGGTTGGGTGGACCAGCACCGTGCCCGGCCGCCTTTGTCTCCCCAGTGGTGATGGTTGCAAACTGCACCGGGTACTCGTTTAAGGCCGAGTTGACCTAAAGGAGGCCCAGGACCGATTCAGGTAACCGTCACTGTTGGTAGCCGTGAGCGGGAATCGAACTCGGGTGGTTGGGTTCGTGGCGCAGGGCAGCACTAACCACTGCAATACCGCTCCCCAATGCATCAACGCACACACACACACACACAGATCTCCTCTGCAGCCTTTCGCAAACTGCAGGTGGGAATGCTGTCAGCAAGTTCCTGCTAAGGCCAATGCGGTGTCCAGACAGCTCTCCCGGTGCTGATGGTTACACACCACGCCAAGTACGCATTTAAGGCTGAGTCGACCTTAAATGGATGGGTGACTACCGGGTTGTCGTGCCAGCTTGCCTTGTGCTGTAATAATGACAATCATTAGATGTATGAGGCGCCCTTAAACAATGGATCTCAGAGCGTCACGCATATACAAGAGGGAAATAAGTGAGAAGCAAGCGGAGAAGAGAAAGAGTGAAGAGGAGAAGACGAGAGTGAGATCGAGAGAGGAGGCCGCCTTGTCAGACACGTGGTGGGGTCTCAGCCGGGACTTGGAAGTCTCCATCGACTGCGAGTTCCTGACCTCAACGGGGCAGGGAATCCCAGAGCCTGGCCACCGTGCAGACAAAAGCCGCGTGGTCACCCCAGGGTCAAAGCCTGCAGCGTGGTCACCACGCGGAGTAGTGAACAATTGGTGGATCTCAGAGATCCCAGTGGAGGAACGTGAGGCTGGGTAGTGGAGTGTGTGGCTGGGTAGTGGAGTGTGTGGCTGGGTAGTGGAGTGTGTGGCTGGGTAGTGGAGTGTGTGGCTGGGTAGTGGAGTGTGAGGCTGGGTAGTTGAGTGTGTGGCTGGGTAGTGGAGTGTGTGGCTGGGTAGTGGAGTGTGTGGGTAGTGGAGTGTGTGGCTGGGTAGTAGAGTGAGTGGGTAGTGGAGTGTGTGGCTGGGTAGTGGAGTGTGTGGCTGGGTAGTAGAGTGTGTGGCTGGGTAGTGGAGTGTGTGGGTAGTGGAGTGTGTGGCTGGGTAGTGGAGTGTGAGGCTGGGTAGTTGAGTGTGTGGCTGGGTAGTAGAGTGAGTGGCTGGGTAGTGGAGTGTGTGGCTGGGTAGTGGAGTGAGTGGCTGGGTAGTGGAGTGTGTGGGTAGTGGAGTGTGTGGCTGGGTAGTGGAGTGAGTGGCTGGGTAGTGGAGTGTGTGGCTGGGTAGTGGAGTGAGTGGCTGGGTAGTGGAGTGTGTGGCTGGGTAGTGGAGTGTGTGGCTGGGTAGTGGAGTGTGTGGCTGGGTAGTGGAGTGAGTGGCTGGGTAGTGGAGTGTGTGGCTGGGTAGTGGAGTGTGTGGCTGGGTAGTGGAGTGTGTGGCTGGGTAGTGGAGTGAGTGGCTGGATAGTGGAGTGTGTGGCTGGGTAGTGGAGTGTGTGGCTGGGTAGTGGAGTGTGTGGGTAGTGGAGTGTGTGGCTGGGTAGTGGAGTGTGTGGGTAGTGGAGTGTGTGGGTAGTGGAGTGTGTGGCTGGGTAGTGGAGTGAGTGGCTGGGTAGTGGAGTGTGTGGGTAGTGGAGTGTGTGGGTAGTGGAGTGTTTGGGTAGTGGAGTGTGTGGCTGGGTAGTGGAGTGTGTGGGTAGTGGAGTGTGTGGCTGGGTAGTGGAGCGTGTGGCTGGGTAGTGGAGTGAGTGGCTGGGTAGTGGAGTGTGTGGGTAGTGGAGTGTGTGGGTAGTGGAGTGAGTGGCTGGGTAGTGGAATGTTTGGCTGGGTAGTGGAGTGTGTGGCTGGGTAGTGGAGTGTATGGCTGGGTAGTGGAGTGTGTGGCTGGGTAGTGGAGTGTGTGGCTGGGTAGTTGGAGTGAGTGGCTGGGTATGGAGTGTGTGGGTAGTGGAGTGTGTGGCTGGTATGGAGTGTGTGGCTGGGTAGTGGAGTGTGTGGCTGGGTAGGGAGTGTGTGGCTGGGTAGTGAAGTGTGTGGCTGGGTAGTGGAGTGAGTGTGTGGGTAGTGGAGGTGTGGCTGGGTGGAAGTGTGTGGCTGGGTAGTGGAGTGAGTGTGTGGGTAGTGGAGTGTGTGGCTGGGTAGTGGAGTGTGTGGCTGGGTAGTGAAGTGTGTGGCTGGGTAGTGGAGTGTGTGGCTGGGTAGTGGAGTGTGTGGCTGGGTAGTGGAGTGTGTGGCTGGGTAGTGGAGTGAGTGTGTGGGTAGTGGAGTGTGTGGCTGGGTAGTGGAGTGTGTGGCTGGGTAGTGGAGTGTGTGGCTGGGTAGTGGAGTGTGTGGCTGGGTAGTGGAGTGAGTGTGTGGGTAGTGGAGTGTGTGGCTGGGTAGTGGAGTGTGTGGCTGGGTAGTGAAGTGTGTGGCTGGGTAGTGGAGTGTGTGGCTGGGTAGTGGAGTGTGTGGCTGGGTAGTGGAGTGTGTGGCTGGGTAGTGGAGTGTGTGGCTGGGTAGTGAAGTGTGTGGCTGGGTAGTGGAGTGTGTGGCTGGGTAGTGGAGTGTGTGGCTGAATCAACTCCTGGGCCAATTTAAAGCCTTGAACACAAGTCGGAGAATCTTAGAACTCAACCACGGGTTTCAACTGGAAACCAATGCGGAGAAGTAAACACCCGTTCTTATCTGCTGCCAGGTCTGTGCACTCGCCGTTGTGAGCGCCACTCCGCTGCCCTCCGTTGTTGTTGGAGCGCGACTGTGAACACAGTACGCACACGCGCGGTGGCTCTAGCCAGTTCTAACATCCGCGTCGTTGTCCTACGAGCGCCCGGATCCGAAATCGGCAATGACGGTAAATTTTAGCCGTTCAGGTGGAAACCTGCACCGTGCGCTCGGGCAGTGCCGCCACGGGAAGGATCAGGGAATGCAGCACGAGCAGTTACCTCTGGGCTCTGCGCATCCAACCGTTTCCAGGTCCGCTGCATCTCCTCAAGGCACGGCTGCAGCATCTCATAGTGGACGCCTCTGCTGCACAGCTCCGTGCTGTACACGATCCAGCGTCTGCAAAGGGAAGTGAAATTCAAGCAGGGGACGGCCTAACCCGTGTCCCGTTCCGATGACGTACATACGTACGATGACGTACATACGTACGTCATCGGCTTTTCTTCCGATTCCATTCCAATGACGTACCGTGTATGTCATCGGAACGGAACCAGAATTAAAAATAACTTAATCGGTACCGAGGCTCCCGCAAGGCCATACGGGAAGGCGTGCGGCGCAGTTTGGCGCCAGCTATCAACGAACGAGTGCGGTCGTGTCGCTACGGTTCTCCGCGGTGAGTACAATATCTTTAAAAACGACGGCGCTATGCTGCAAATAAAATTAACGATAACCGCTTGCGTGTTCCGAGATACAGCGGTGAACGGGTCACCCCGCCCTAAAACTTGCATTCGTCTCGCAACGGGGAAAGGGTTAAGTGGATCCAGCTGTTTCCAAACACAGTTCCTGCATCAATCGTGCAGTTTTCCATTCCAACAATCGTGAGATAGTGTGTGCGTGTGTGTGCGTGTACCTGCATTGCAATGTCACAAGGGCGAGGCTACATCGCAGCGGCGCCATGTGCACTGGAGTGGACTCGCACAGCGGGGCGTGCGCATGCGCACTTTTTGCCACGACAACAGAGGGCCACGTGTGAACGGAGACTCGAGGGTTCAATGCCAGGTGGACATGATTTTGGGCAAAGGGAATCAACAGATGGCATTGCTTCCCCCCCCCTTCAACTTTGTCCATTCCCCGTCGCCATCCCTTCCCCGTGTAAAGAGACTGCGTTGCCGCTCGCAGTTTGCTACGTAAGTGGGGCAGTGAGCCAACTTCTCTCCATACCCTTTGGTTTTTTCGGTAAAGTCACGTAGGTTAAAAGAAAACAAATAAATTAAATCACGACGTTTCGGAGGCAACACAAGCTTCCGTCTTCAGGTGAAACCGTGCAGTCACGAAAGCTTCAAATCTAGAATTAATACCCTCTACGGGGAGGAATTTCACTTATCTGTTAGAGTTTTTACACACTTGATACAGCAATTTTGCTGTGATGGTTACATCTGAAGACGGAAGCTTGTGTTGCCTCCGAAACGTCATCATTTAATTTATTTGTTTTCTTTTAACCTACATGACTTTACCGAAAAAACCAAAGAGTATGAATCCTTGCAGTCACGAAAGCTTCAAATCTAGAACTTCGGACTGCGAGAAGGGCTGCGTGTAGAACGAGAGAGAGAGCGAGTGAGTGTGAGAGAGAGCGAGAGAGTGAGCGAGAGGTGGGTGTTTACATAAAGCATTAAAACAAAAAATTACGAAATGATGAACGAAGCAAAGTGCCGACTACACCGAGCATTTTCCCTGAGGGGCCGTCCATAAATGACGTCACGCAATTTTGGACGATTTTTGACCCGCCACCCAATCGTCACACGGCGTCACAAAAAGTCAGACCCCCCCTCAAATATGACGTCACGAAGCTCTGACCCCCTCCCCCCCCCCAAAAAAAACATGCTTCAAATCGCTTTAAACTATTGTCATTGTAGTGCGTATTTAATGTGGCGCTGCATTCTGATGTTGTAGGAGAAAACATTTATTAAAAAGTCAAGTTAATTAAGTAGAACGTGTTGTCTATATTCATTTAAAGTTGCGCATTTTGATGCGACGTCACATTTCTCAAACCCCCCCCCCCCGCTCGTCACACATCGTCACAAATGTCTAATCCCGCCCCCCCTCCTAGGTGCGTGACGTCATTTATGGACGGCCCCTGAGCTTTGTTGTTCGGGTTCCCGCCCGTAGAATTTCTGTGTCCCCCCCCCCCGCCACCTTTCCCATGTTACTGCTCGAGTTCTGTACCGGGCTCTTGTTGAATTAAAACATATAATAATAAATAGATAAGTAAAACATTATTAATTAATAAAACAGACACCATTGCTTACGGATGAAATATCTCCAAAAAAAAACTCACAGGAACAAAAAAAATTATTTAAACAACCGGTTCGTAGAGAGTCGCGTGTGGATACAACGAGAAGCCGTTGAGGTTCACAGCCCGTGCGGGTCGCGAATTCGTTGCGAAGTTCACAACGGAGAGGCACTCACGCCATGGCTTTCTGAGACGACGTCAAGCCCGTTTGCATGCTGTTCAGCGCCAATATCCGTGTGGCCCCCGTGCTCAGCTCGCCACTCCAATCTTGAACCTCCCTCTGTGCGGATTGACACGCGACGTGAAGAAGTCGCCGTGGCAATAATTATTGTTGGCAAAGGGGTCCCTCAAACCCGGTCAAGGTTCAAATGTGCAGAGACGCAACGGAGTGGCGCTCGATGCCGTTGAAGCGAGGAGAGACTTACCATGACCTTGAGTTCATGTCGCAGCAACACAGTGAGGAGCACCAGCTGTATCTTCAGAGGGTGCCTCTGCTTTGGCGGAGCATTGCTGTTGTAACTCGCCGACCCGCCCGCACTGGACGCCTGTGAAAAAGAGCTTCATAGCTCATCGGATTCCTCCTCCAATCTAAATGACGATTCTGATTGATTCTGACATTCTGCCGCAAGACATTACGCGTCAGTATCGGCGTCTTAGATGCGTGGGGTTTTCTTCCGCGTGCTCCGGGTTCCTCCCGCACGTAAACACTCATTTGTGCCGATATGTGTCCTCTCTCTGTGTGTCCTTGTGATGTCTGTCTGCTTGTATGTCTGTCTATAGTTTTCTAGTTAGACTTTTGTTGCTATTTCTTTTATGCCTGATGATGATTGCTTGTGTTGCAATCGAAACGTCGTAATATGCTATTATTTAATTTATTATTTTATCTTTAGACGTGACTTAACCGAAAGAACCAAAGAATAAAACACTCATTTGTCTGAAAACATCCGAATATGTAGGGGACCGCAAGCACGTGTGGTTAATGCAGACGTGATTGCTTGCAAAAGGTTCCCATTGGGTGGTTGAACATCTTAACACCTCCTGTTTCATTTTTTTATTTAAAGCTTTCGTGACTGCAGGGATTCATATTCTTGGTTCTTTCGGTAAAGTCACGTAGAAGGGAAATAATAAAATAATATAAATATAAAACAATGAAAATTCTCACGACGTTTCGACTGCAACACAAGTAATAATCATCAGGTGTGAAATCAACAGCAACAGCAAGAAAAAGTCACGTAGAAGGGAAATAATAAAATAATCTATATATATAAAATCGTGCATGTCTGTCTGTCTGTCTGTGTATGTGTGTGTGGATTTCGGACCATACGCACTTTCATTGGACGGCGGTTGCCCCTGGCAACAGCTAACGACGCCTTCGCCGCTTTCATTGGACGGCGGTTGCCCCTGGCAACGAGTAGCAACTTTTCGCCGCGGGGTGGACGCCATTTTTAATAGCGCGGGGCGGGGGGGGGGGACCGGCACCCGTACCCAGCGTTCGCCGGGTGGGAAAATCAGGCAAGGCGGGAGGCTCTGCACGGTGCTAGGCCTCGACACCCAACACGCCACTCTGAGGTAAATTCATACAAATTTCACGTCCTCTACAGAGTGGCGAGGGAGGCAGAGTGGCGAGGGAGGGACTCAGCCTCAAAACGAGTAACTGGTGTGGCGTATTAACATCGCCACTGGGGAGACAAAGGCGGCCGGGCGTGGTAGATACAAGTCCCGGGCAAAGCCAGGTCATGACTATGTGTGTATGTGTTTATGTGTATGTCTGTGTGTCTGTATGTATGTGTGTATGTATGTGTCTGTATGTGTTTGTGTGTATGTATGTGTGTGTCTGTATGTATGTGTGTGTGTATTGTGTATGTGTTTGTGTGTATGTATGTGTGTGTTTGTATGTATGTGTATGTCTGTGTGTATGTGTGTGTGTATTGTGTGTGTGTCTGTGTGTGTGCGCGTGTGTTGTGTAGGGGGAACGGTAGTGTAGTGCTTAGCGTGCTGCCTGTGTGTGTGTGTGTGTCTGTGTGTGTGTCTGTGTGTGTGCGTGTGTGGTGTGTGGGGAGCGGTAGTGTAGTGGTTAGCGTGCTGTCTGTGTGTCTGTGTGTGTGTGTCTGTGTGTGTGTCTGTGTGTGTGCGCGTGTGTTGTGTAGGGGGAACGGTAGTGTAGTGCTTAGCGTGCTGCCTGTGTGTGTGTCTGTGTGTGTGTGTGTGTCTGTGTGTGTGTGTCTGTGTGTGTGTGTGTGATGTGTGGGGAGCGGTAGTGTAGTGGTTAGCGTGCTGTCTGTGTCTGTGTGTGTGTGTCTGTGTGTGTGTGTCTGTGTGTGTGTCTGTGTGTGTGTCTGTGTGTGTGTGTCTGTGTGTGTGTGTCTGTGTGTGTGTCTGTGTGTGTGTCTGTGTGTGTGTGTCTGTCTGTGTGTCTGTGTGTGTGTGTCTGTGTGTGTGTCTGTGTGTGTGCGTGTGTGGTGTGTGGGGAGCGGTAGTGTAGTGGTTAGCGTGCTGTCTGTGTGTCTGTGTGTGTGTGTCTGTCTGTGTGTCTGTGTGTGTGTCTGTGTATGTGCGTGTGTGGTGTGTGGGGAGCGGTAGTGTAGTGGTTAGCGTGCTGTCTGTGTGTCTGTGTGTCTGTCTGTGTCTGTCTGTGTGTGTCTGCGTGTGTCTGTGTGTGTGTCTGTGTGTGTGTCTGTGCGTCTGTGTGTGTGAGGAGCGGTGGGTGTAGTGGTTAACGCTACGCTGCGCTACCAACCCGGCGAACCCAGTTCGATTCCCGCTCATGGCCACCACCGGTCAAGATTATTTGAACCTCCCCTAGGTCGACTCAGCCTCAAACGAGTAACTGGTGTGGCGTATTAACATCGCCACTGGGGAGACAAAGGCGGCCGGCCGTGGTGGATACAAGTCCCGGGCGAAGCCGGGTAGTACAGCTAGTTTCTTTTATGCCTGATGATGATTGCTTGTGTTGCAATCGAAACGTCGTAATATGCTATTATTTAATTTATTATTTTATCTTTAGACGTGACTTAACCGAAAGAACCAAAGAATAAAACACTCATTTGTCTGAAAACATCCGAATATGTAGGGGACCGCAAGCACGTGTGGTTAATGCAGACGTGATTGCTTGCAAAAGGTTCCCATTGGGTGGTTGAACATCTTAACACCTCCTGTTTCATTTTTTTATTTAAAGCTTTCGTGACTGCAGGGATTCATATTCTTGGTTCTTTCGGTAAAGTCACGTAGAAGGGAAATAATAAAATAATCTATATATATAAAATCGTGCATGTCTGTCTGTCTGTGTATGTGTGTGTGGATTTCGGACCATACGCACTTTCATTGGACGGCGGTTGCCCCTGGCAACAGCTAACGACGCCTTCGCCGCTTTCATTGGACGGCGGTTGCCCCTGGCAACGAGTAGCAACTTTTCGCCGCGGGGTGGACGCCATTTTTAATAGCGCGGGGGGGGGGGGGGGGACCGGCACCCGTACCCAGCGTTCGCCGGGTGGGAAAATCAGGCAAGGCGGGAGGCTCTGCACGGTGCTAGGCCTCGACACCCAACACGCCACTCTGAGGTAAATTCATACAAATTTCACGTCCTCTACAGAGTGGCGAGGGAGGCAGAGTGGCGAGGGAGGGACTCAGCCTCAAAACGAGTAACTGGTGTGGCGTATTAACATCGCCACTGGGGAGACAAAGGCGGCCGGGCGTGGTGGATACAAGTCCCGGGCAAAGCCAGGTCATGACTATGTGTGTATGTGTTTATGTGTATGTCTGTGTGTCTGTATGTATGTGTGTATGTATGTGTCTGTATGTGTTTGTGTGTATGTATGTGTGTGTCTGTATGTATGTGTGTGTGTATTGTGTATGTGTTTGTGTATATGTATGTGTGTGTTTGTATGTATGTGTATGTCTGTGTGTATGTGTGTGTGTATTGTGTGTGTGTCTGTGTGTGTGCGCGTGTGTTGTGTAGGGGGAACGGTAGTGTAGTGCTTAGCGTGCTGCCTGTGTGTGTGTGTGTCTGTGTGTGTGTCTGTGTGTGTGCGTGTGTGGTGTGTGGGGAGCGGTAGTGTAGTGGTTAGCGTGCTGTCTGTGTGTCTGTGTGTGTGTCTGTGTGTGTGTGTCTGTGTGTGTGTCTGTGTGTGTGCGCGTGTGTTGTGTAGGGGGAACGGTAGTGTAGTGCTTAGCGTGCTGCCTGTGTGTGTGTCTGTGTGTGTGTGTGTGTCTGTGTGTGTGTGTCTGTGTGTGTGTGTGTGGTGTGTGGGGAGCGGTAGTGTAGTGGTTAGCGTGCTGTCTGTGTCTGTGTGTGTGTGTCTGTGTGTGTGTCTGTGTGTGTGCGTGTGTGGTGTATGGGGAGCGGTAGTGTAGTGGTTAGCGTGCTGTCTGTGTGTCTGTGTGTGTGTGTCTGTGTGTGTGTGTCTGTGTGTGTGTCTGTGTGTGTGTGTCTGTGTGTGTGTCTGTGTGTGTGTCTGTGTGTGTGTGTCTGTCTGTGTGTCTGTGTGTGTGTCTGTGTGTGTGTCTGTGTGTGTGCGCGTGTGTTGTGTAGGGGGAACGGTAGTGTAGTGCTTAGCGTGCTGCCTGTGTGTGTGTGTGTGTCTGTGTGTGTGTCTGTGTGTGTGCGTGTGTGGTGTGTGGGGAGCGGTAGTGTAGTGGTTAGCGTGCTGTCTGTGTGTCTGTGTGTGTGTGTCTGTCTGTGTGTCTGTGTGTGTGTGTCTGTGTGTGTGTCTGTGTGTGTGTGTGTGTGGTGTGTAGGGGGAACGGTAGTGTAGTGCTTAGCGTGTTGCCTGTGTGTGTGTCTGTGTGTGTGTGTCTGTGTGTGGGTGTCTGTGTGTGTGTCTGTGTGTGTGTCTGTGTATGTGCGTGTGTGGTGTGTGGGGAGCGGTAGTGTAGTGGTTAGCGTGCTGTCTGTGTGTCTGTGTGTCTGTCTGTGTCTGTCTGTGTGTGTCTGCGTGTGTCTGTGTGTGTGTCTGTGTGTGTGTCTGTGCGTCTGTGTGTGTGAGGAGCGGTGGGTGTAGTGGTTAACGCTACGCTGCGCTACCAACCCGGCGAACCCAGTTCGATTCCCGCTCATGGCCACCACCGGTCAAGATTATTTGAACCTCCCCTAGGTCGACTCAGCCTCAAACGAGTAACTGGTGTGGCGTATTAACATCGCCACTGGGGAGACAAAGGCGGCCGGCCGTGGTGGATACAAGTCCCGGGCGAAGCCGGGTAGTACAGCTAGTATAAATATAAAACAATGAAAATTCTCACGACGTTTCGACTTCAACACAAGCAATCATCATCAGGTGTGAATCAACAGCAAGAAAATTTGAAAAACAGGCACTTTTTTCTAATTTTCTTGGTGAAAAAATTAGAAAAACCGCCACTTTTTAAAAATTTTCTTGCTGTTGATTTCACACCTGATGATTATTACTTGTGTTGCAGTCGAAACGTCGTGAGAATTTTCATTGTTTTATATTTATATTATTTTATTATTTCCCTTCTACGTGCCTTTACCGAAAGAACCAAGAATATACCTCCTGTTTCATTGTCAGAAAAGGGTGAAACGCCTATTCTTATTTTTCACGACGATTCATTTTAATTATCCACCACGGGCCACTCAGCTTTTACCTCTTGACCGTCGGTCGTCATCCATTCCGCGTGTTGCGTACTCTGACGCTCGTCACCTCTTTAGCAGAAATGTGGAGCGAGAGGTGGCAGTCGCCGGACACGTTACTGAAGCTCGGCTGCTTCTGCAAATGGAACCACTCCTCCCTTCCAGCCAACGACAGTTCCTGTAGGCAGGGGTGGGGAACGTCCGGCCCGCAAAATTATTTGGTGTGGCCCTGCCAAGGCAACCGCAGGCGGGACTCGAAATTCAATAAATCGAGGAGCAAACCTGGAAAAGCAGTTGCGAGTAGCAACATCATCAATACGCAGCTAACATCACATGCCTCGTCAAAAAGAAGCAACTCCAGCCGTCACATTTGGGATGAGTTAACTAAATGTTCGACCAAATATAACAACAGGCTAATTTTTAAGTTGATCATTTTGTATGGCCCGCGAATGATGGTATAAATATCCAAATGGCCCTTGGCAGAAAAAGGTTCCCCGCCCCTGGGGGGCACCGACCTGGCGGGCTGAGCAGAGCACGCGAGGTGCGTTCACTGTGCACTCGTATTCATATCAATCAACAGGAAATTAATAACGTCGTACCGTATTGCAATTGTATTAAAGATGTTATTTTTCATGATTCTAAAAATCCCTAGGTCATGCCATCACTGATAGTGCAATACAGTACTGTACGCTTTCTTGCACGCTACATATTTTATTTTGATGATGTGTACAAAAAAAAATTGTCAAAAAAATAGTAAAAAAAAATTGCCAAAAAATGCAATTGTAAATGTTGTGGATTCACTCTTCAACACACCGGTGGGCTAAAGAAGTTAACTATTTGTCATTTGTCAACGTGACACTGATTGACCGTGTTGGGTGGTGGAGGGTTACGACACATTTATAAATAACGCGATCTAACCCAAAAACGTTTGTTATGAATAATATTGGTCGCGAAAGCCTACTTGTTAAACGTTATAGATTATTATGCAAACTACAACAACAACAACCGCCATTCGCCACTAAGTAGCGGTGACGTCACCACAACGCTTGTGCCAGGCTATGTGCACCTTGAGGCCACGTGGAGTGTCGAACGCCCGCTGGCAGGACACGGGACAGACCCAGGTGCCATGGGTTGACTGACTGAGATGACTGGCAGATGCACCACCTGTGCCCCCTACTGTGCCAACTTGCTGTGCTTTAGCCACCCGGCGCTCCGCTCGTTGTTGTGAGCGTCGCTCCTCCGCCCTCCGTTGTTGTTGGAGGGCGACTGCCTCCAACTGCCCAGTATCGTCCTTCACGAGCCTCCTCCACAGAGGCCGATCTTGATACCGCTGGTACCAGTCATCGGCAAATCCACTCAGCTCCACGTCCTCTTGTACCACATCAGCTCCATCTCCTCTCTAGCCCGTGTCGCGCCCATTTAGCCCCCTCTATCCGGCTGAACAAAGCTGTTGATGCATGCGGTGGCTGGGTATGCAGGCTACATGACCCAGCCAAACTACAACTATATACACACTTTGTAGTGTGAAGATGTAATTGCATGAGTCTCCTTTCTCTACACCTCCGATTGTTCACCATGTAGATGGCAGCATGCATCGTATTGAGATTTGAGAGGGTGCCGCGCGTTTGTTAAGTTGCCGAAAGAGCAACTGCTGCTTTTTTTGGTGGGTTTTTTTTGGCAAACACTTTTATCGTCAGTGAATGAAAAACGTTGCCAACGTTTGAACCGTGCGGTTCACTCGGCTGTATTAGGTGCACAGTACATTTATTGAAGCTGTGATGATGTTCACCAACAAAACACCAAGCATCCCTTTGTAAACCGAAGCCCTCAAGCAACCCCTCAGTGCTCTACCGCTGTCATCTGCATTGTCTTGGTATGCTCTTGCATTGTTGTTATTGTTGTTTTGCTGCCTTGCCCAAGCTTACAAATCTGCAAAAATGTATATATACAAGTCCAATTTGTACTTGCACGCTTAACCTATATTGCATAAATGTATGTTGAACTTCTCTCCCACCTATGTAGCCGACTGTGTTAATCGAAGGTGTGGGAATTGATGATGTAATTGCTTAACCTGTCTCAATCTCACTCCTGTATCCTTTCTTGTTTTTTTTGGTTTGACATAAACCTGCTGAGCACCTCCCTACTGGACACCCGCGATAAGAGAGCTTCCTGGCTCATCAGACTCCTCCAGTCCTAAGCAAAGGTTCTGATCGCGATTCGCCACGCGTGGTGACGGACACGCGTGTGCGTGCGTGCGCCGGGTTAGTTGGGAGGCGAGGGCCCCCGAATTGACCTTCAGGGAGATGTCAACGCAGCCCAGGAAATCGTCCGCCGCGCCGTCGTCCTCCTCCTCCTTGGCTGAGTGGCTCTTCACCGACTTGACCACCTGCTTCAAATACCTTACACATAGTACACAGCGGCATATGTCGTCAAATAATAATCATCATAATAATTTGCAATCCTTATTGCATGTCCAGGAAAGCCGCACCGAGTCTCGAGGTGTCTATGTGCATTGGGATATGTTTGGCCATTAACATTAACGAGTGTTATTTTCCGGATTGAATCGAGGCTGGCTTGGAATGGGGAGTATCCATAAAGTTCCAGGTATGTGTTGTATACTAACCCTTCTTCCAAAATTGAGATTAATAATATTTGATGATATTTTTATATATTATCTTTTTACTTGTTTTTTTTAATGAATGAAACACACCAAAAGCGCAGCAAACTGCAAAACACCAGGTGTTGTTAAGTAATGAACTGGAGGAGGGCTAGGATGGCAGAATTTGCAACCTTGCTTCAAGGAAAGATAAGGCCTGATGAACGGGCACATGTCACCCGTGCAGGCGGCAGAGACAGTGGGAGTGTCAGCCAGACATAGTTAAGGCAAAAAGCCCAACCATCCTGCATGGTTTTAAAGTAACGTCAAAATTCGAAATTCAACAACAGAGTAGGCTAAAGTATCGATCCTCGCGCTCGCTCAAATTGGAGACCAGGCTGCGAGCTACATCAATGAACCATTGCCATTTGCTAATCCAATACTGAATGTTAATATTACTGAAGTCAAAACGAATTCTATGACCTCAGCACATGGGCAAATAATAGGGCAGTGTCGACTCAAAGGCAATGGAAGAAAAGCAGAGGCGCCTTTGTCTAAATCACAACCACAGAAAGCCAGGAATCATCACTGATTGTGTGTTTAGGGATTCCGAGCTAGTTAGAACACGTGCACACAGGGGGGAGGTAGAAGTACGCCTTGTCCTCCTGCAGCTGAGGGAACGAAAATAAGTGGGTCAGCTCAAGGCTGTGTGCACAGGGGAGGGAGCTGATTTAAACAACCCTGCACGTCTGAACGTGAGGGGGCCTTTGACCTGAAATTAAGAATAACACTCCCAGAGCAGAAGGTTGGGTGGCCACAGTGAGACAAGAATAAGAGTGGTGTATATCTCTCAAGGAGGCAGACCCAGCTGAACAACAAGGCTGCGGGGGTCACCAGAAGTTCGCGTTCGCCTAGTTAAGACAAAAAGCTCAATTATTCTGTATTGCTATTAAAGTAACGTTAAAGTCGGAATTTAACAACAGGGTAGGCTAAAGTTATTGATATTTACACCCACTCCAATTAAACCAGGCCACAAGTTACGCCTACTGAACCATCACCATCATTAAGTCAATATGAAATGTTATTTCCATACTTTAATACTTTCTATACAACTCGACCCGAAGCATATGACAATCAGAACCTTCCTAAGTTAAAATTGAATCACACCCAGACAGGAGCGAATAGTCGATATAAGGTTGAAGAGGGAAGGAAATTAAGAGCACGGTGAACTGCAAACGTAAGCAAAAAGCCGGGAACGACCAGCCCAGCAACAGCGAGTCGGGCTTCGACAGGCCATAAAAAAGTAGAAATAATAACTCCCGGGGTCAGGGGACACAAGAAGAAGCAGGCAGACAAAAACCAGAACTGACTCCAAGGTTCAACCGCCCTCACACACAAGGAGTGACGGAAATTAATGAGGCCTTGAGTTAACGACGTCAGCTGGACAGCAACAACCACGGCGAGCAGAGATAGGGTGGGGCAAAGACTGCGGGGCTATGGAATGCAACTTCGTGTCAGTAAAGCCCTGACAAACAAGTTAAGTTAAAGACATCACAATACATAATATCGTACATAACATCAATGTTAACGCTATTCACCGTAAACTATATTCCGCTTATATAACCATGCAGACACCAAGGAATACGAATTCCTAGGATCAAGAAACTTACCCCTTAACCTAAGATATCGGAAATAAATTAATAGTAATAAGCACATGCATGAAAAGACAAAAGTAAAACTTATGGAAAAGCCAGGATAACGGGATGAATCACCACCAGGTCGAATATAAATACATAATAAAAAAAAAACGATGTTAAACCCAGGGTCGGAGAGAAAGGGAGATCCCGGCCGTCTTTGTATCCCCGCAGCGCGGGATAGGAGTGTGTATACGCTCGGGGAAACACCTCCACTTGAGTCAAGCACCACGATGGGAAACGACAGACCTTAGGTTACATACAGAATCATAACTGTGAAATAGTAAGGGACAAATGTTAACTTAAAACTTTTTAACCATTTCTTTGTGCGCCGGGTCGGAGAGAGTGTTGCCCCTCCCTCCAGGTTGTGCAACACGAACAAAGACGCCTATGAGACGATTTGTAACGTCTGTGTTTTGGGTTCATGAAGAAGGCCAGACAAGAGATAATATCGCACCCAGACAGAGAGACGACTTCGAGGCAATTTGTAACATCTGATTGTTTGCTCGTGGGTTTTATGGAGGGAGGGTGACAACGGAATATACCGTGAGTGTTGCACACAAGGACATACGGACGTACGGACACACACATGGACACACCTGCCTACGGACAGATCTTGACACAGCAAAAATCGAAAAGAAGCCCCGCCTTGTGGGCGGGATCCAGGGGGATTTTTCGGCATAAAGGAAAGGATCCTGAGCATTGGAAATTAGTGCGACCAGCGGGTCGGCTCAGGTGCAACCAGCGGGTCGGCTCAGGAGCGAGCTCGACCGGGAGGGTCGGCTCAGGAGCGGGTGCGACCAGTGGGTCGGCTCGACTCATCTTCAGCTCGTCTGGGACTCAGCCGAGTTCGATCGGCTTACCAAAGCCGGCTCTCGGGGCTCGACTCAAGCGGCTCCCCATCTCCTCTGCAGGCGGGCAAGACCCGCTTGACAGCTCAACTCGGCCTGCGTGGGTCAACCTCTGCCGAGTCGGAGGTCTCTGCTGCCGCCGGAGTGGTGAGGGTCGCGGTTTGGCGACGAGGCTCCGTGCACACGACGACCACCACTGCACGCTGCGAGCGAGTTGTGGGCGCCACCTACCGACCGGGTTCCGAACTGCGACAGCGTATCAACGGGCATCCGAACCAGTCACCACGGTGACAGGGGAGCGACTGATACGTATGACGCGCACCGCCCCCTCTCCACACGACCACCAGGCGTCTGTTTGACATAAAGAATCGACTCCGAACACTGACTATTCAAGACAACTCTTACCACTCAAACACACTCGAACCCATAAGCCATCTGTGGCTGGGAAGGCATCACAACGAGACCGAGTGATGGCCATCCGTCGTTTATAAAAGTATTCGTAATTTTTATCTTTAATATTTAGTGGGCTGTACTCTTAATCGCATAAATTCCCAACAGATCCATCAATACGAACTGATTCTTGGCACCTCCTTCCGCCGAGCCACGCTCACGTGGGGAGTGGTGGCCCACCGGATCCTTATCAGGTGATCTGGTCCCCAATTAGTAAACTTGGTATAAGATAACGATCTTCGGAAAAGGAGCACCGTCGCAGGCCCTTACTCCGAGCCGTTCTGTTGTCAGATAACCTGCCGATGTATCTGTTGAGATTGGTGCCTTTAAGAATAATAACTGTTTTTGATTTTGTTTTTTTTATCGCCGTATAATCTTTCAAGTATCTTTCAGTCATAATCGCCGCACGTACTCGCATCCTCTACAGAATATTCAACTGTCCCGTGACCCAAGGTGCTAACAACGTGATAAGGGTTGCGTATGATCAATAAGGAGTGCGGTACTGCATGAACAATATTGAGTATAATCATTCATTAACGTTAAGGTTTTCTTAGCATAGTATTTGCATATTTTAACGACTCTCTCTCTCACTAACAACCATCGCGTTATGCGGGATCCATGTGCCGTTGCCAAAGTGAAATCAGACAATCGTTGATGATACTGTATTGATGCCGTGTTGACGTTCCGGGATTGAGAGTTCGCATACTATATCATAGTTAAGGTTGAATTAGTAATAAATTGATCAATACAGAAGTGGTTGTGTGATTCTTTCCTGAAATCTATGCATAAGATCTGCTTCTGCGTTGAGATCTGAACTTGGTGACCTTAATAAACACACTAATACATACTCAGTAAATGTTAAAGCGATAACGGGGTGAACCGGGGACCTAAAATATAACCACGAATACACACTCTGGGAATGTTAAAGCGAGAATGAGACGAACCTAGACAACGATGCCGAGTTAATCTAAGTTAATCTTGCATACTTACACCACACCTGCATAACTGCATACGATTAATTGCCTTATTCCGATCGATAACCCACCCTCGTCACCGAGGCGGGGTCTGGTTATCATAACGACTTGCATTATCATAATTACACCCACTCGCATAATTAATACGATTACCTCTCGAATTGGCATAATTAAAATGTGCATAATTACATAATTAACATATTTCCGGATAATTACACATTTGGCCAAATTTCATTTAATTATTATTATTTTCACTGAATATTCATAACCCACATATACAACATAATAATTTCACCCACGCACGCATACAACATAACAAATTTTGATAACCAACATATACAACATATGTCTATCCATCATAATAAAGCGATATCATTGTACACTATATTCCTATAATATTATGTGCAAATCAATAAAAAGCATTACTGTGCAGAATGTAAACAGCAAACGGATCAGCATATGTGTTTATCTCTTTCATATTTATTCGTCTCTCCACATGAAATTTTTAAAAACTATTTTGGTATCCAAAAATGTATCTCAGAACATCCCGCCAGACTGTACGAGTGAGTGTCTAAGCGAGTGAGATTGGTCTGGCTTAATTGAAGGACTGCCTACATGCCTAGTTTCAATCGTGCAAGGTTTACGGTGTTGGTGTAAGGTCGCAGAAATAGACCACGTGTTAACCACATAGGCTTTCGTGACTAATGGTATGATTCACAACAGATTTTTTTTTGGGTCATATCAGGTAAGTAAAATGTTGTGTCATGAACCCTCCTCCACTCGATACGGCGAACTAATGGACTGCAGGACGTTTTCACAATTCTGGCATCTGCCTGATGTTGGTTGTAACAACCAGCAAAACACCCGTACACAATTGTTAAATGTGTCTGAATCGCTCTCCAACACACCGGTGTAATTAGGCCTCGGCAAGGTAAGGTAATCTACCCTTTTTACCGGGTAAAAGGGTAAAGGTGTCGACATGCCAAGGGGTAAAGTAAAGGGCAGGGTAAAGGTAGCTCGAAGTATTACCCGGTAAACACCTTGTTTACCGCTCGCTAAAAGCTCCGTGGCGCAGTCCGTGGTGTCCATTTAGAATTGGAATCATCGAGAGTATTCATTATGAATAAAGCGCTCTACCTCGCATTTACCTGTTATAAACCTTTTTCATGTGTAGTAGTGCCCCAGTAATTACCCTGTAATCGGGTCATTTGTATGGGTAAGGGTAAAAGGTAGGGTAAAGGTAAGCTCGTTGCTTTTGACCTTTTACCTTACCTGCTAAAGGGTAAAAGGTAGGGTAGAGTGATTGTATTGTGGTAAGGTAAAAGGTAGGGTAAAGGTAGGCTCGTTGTTTTTGACCTTACCTTGCTGAGGCCTAGGTGTGATGCTGCTGTAGCAGTAATACGTTGAACACATTTGCCAATCACGTGACAGCTTTATTAATTGCGAATCACGTGATAGTCAGACTGGAGAGGGTGGATGTGGAGCTGACCTGTGGACGCCTTTAATCGTGTGCACTTCGTGCAGTGTCTTGACGGCGTCCACAACAGTCAAGTCCTCGTCATAGTCCCTGCTCCACCGGACCACAGGAACACGTCCGATGATTAAATGTCCCAAAACATAAGAATAGATTTTTGCCCTTTTTGGCAATAAAACAGGAGGTGTGTTTTAATGTTCAAACAACAAATATATTTTGCAAGGCATCAAGTCCGCATTAGCCACACGTGCTTTCGGCAAAATATGCAAACAAGCTCCGATAATAACGATGATGTCTGCATCGTCTTTGAAACTGATTGGCCGACACCAGAGACAGCAGTCTTCTTTAAGGCCTCGTCTCTGCACCAAAAGGGGCCGTCCATAAATGACGTCACGCGATTTTGGACTATTTTTGACCCCCCATCGTCACATGGCGTCACAAAAAGTCAGACCCCCCCTCAAATATGACGTCACAAAGCTCTGCCCCCCCCCAAAAAATATATAAAACATGCTTCAAAAACTATTGTCATTGTAGTGCGTATTTAATGTGGCGCTGCAGTCTGATGTTGTAGGTGAAAACATTTATTGAAAAGAATATTTAATTAAGTAGAACATGTTGTCTATATTTATTTAAAGTTGCGCATTTTGATGTGACGTCACATTTCTCAAACCCCCCCCCCCCCCTCGTCACACATAGTCACAAATGCCTGACCGCCCCCCCCCCAGGTACGTGACGTCATTTATGGACGACCCCAAAGGCGAACAGTACAAAGGCAATGCAAGTATCAGATCATTTATCGATCGGATTGAGCAGTTATATCTATGGGACCTATTTTTGCCAGTGTCAAAAATAAAAGTCTCATGGATGAAAGGTTCCCATTAACGTCGGCGAACATCTGCTCGCTTCATTTCAATAAATCTATATGCTAAGTGCCGTGTCAATCCGCTGATGGATAAAGGCCTCCCCATGCCTAGTCGAGTCATTGGGGGTTGTTTGGTGGATGTCACTCGCCAAGGATGTTTAGCCATGGCTGGGAATCGAACTCGGTCACCCAGGCGCACAGCCCAGTACCCTATCCACAGCAAGTAGCACTCCTCCACACTGCTCTTCGTAAGATCACAACATCCTACAAAGTTCAGCTGAATAAAAGACCCGTGCGATTACTCTCAGACGCAGATTTGCAATTGGTCTGTACATAAACAGACGAGATTGGTTGTCGTGGAAATGTGGGCATCTGTCCCAAATGTATCTGTACAGCGCATAAAAAACTGCGTTGTATAATTGTACAAATATATTGCTCATTATTACTAATCCATAGAAGCGGTGGAAAACATATTTGATAATCATAACAATCTTACCAAATGTCCAGATGAAATACTCCATTTTTTATGTCCGTCACATCTCTGCAAAAAAATATGTAAAAACAATTGTAAAAACTGCTTAAACATTCACAATTTTTTACTTTTTACAAACATGTATAAGTTATAAATTCCACTTAAAAAGACACCGGGCATGCAAAGAGTCGCATTAATTAACATCTCCATGAAATATACAAATAGAAAAAATAACCCCAACAATCGTCGTTTCCAATTAAATGACAGTGACATCACCATAGCACCTGCACCAGGCTAGGTGCACGTTTGGGAACTCGCAGAGAAACACACGCACACATGTATCACCCAGCCATGATCACCTCCGATTAGCACGGCTGGCTACATACGATGTGAAAGTAGTTCAACATACATAACCATCGAACAAAGGCAGTCACCGGATCGTGCGCTTTCAGATGCGCTTCTGCGGCCGTCTGGAACGCTCTTCCGTCCGATATTAAGAAGCCACTGGAGCTACGCACTTAAAAATTATTTCATTTGAAAACTCATTTCTTTAGAACTGCTTTTTGTGTTTAGTTTGTTGTCCTTCCCCTGCACCTCCGATTATCACGGTTGACTACGTACGGTGCGAAAGAAGTTCAACAAACATATCCTCCCTCTCTTACCCTTGCATCCCATCTCCACCTTCCCTTCGATATGTCGCGAGCTCCTGCACTCACCACATCACGTGACCCCACACTTTTCCCACCTCGCCTCATGATCTGTGTCTCTTCACACGTTCATGTGCGAGTCGAACTTCTGATGCTCATTCAAAAATGGCCGGTATTTGTGCTGTGGGCTTCCTTACGTGCACAACACCAAGGTTTGTCGTTTATAAATGCACAGAGTAGCAAGGAGTGATGCATGCTTGCTGGATATTACATTTAGATAGGGAACATTTAACACGTGGATTAGAGGACATACGCAGGTAAGAGACACCATAGCGACTGTGGAGAAAATCGAGTGGGCTTGGGCAGGATGCGTCGTCGCTGGAAGGAATGACAGCAATAAAGCTCAAAAGTTTCACTAATTTTATTTTACCAGGTAAAGCCCACTGGGCTATTAGCTCTTTAGCAGAAGCGACCTGACCACAAATGACAGCTCAACGCGGTGGCGTATCATGTTAATTATTTTTTTATCGCAACCAAATGCTCTAAACGCGTGTTTCTAAATGTGGAGGTAAATGCACGTGACCACGGGAAGAGAGACGCGCAAACGCCAAATATACACAAGGGGTCAGGGTTGGAATAAGACCCACGACCTCCTGCATGCCAGGCGAGAGAGATAACATCTCGCCACCGCGGCACGGAAATGGCAGCCATTGGGCGAAAATCCACCCGAGAAGAGATGGAGCGATGAAATCAGATCGTGTACAGGTGCTATGTGGACTGTTGCATCACGGGACTGTGAGAGACAGCATTGGCTTAGGGAATCCTTCATCCATCGATCATGGCTTGCTAGTGATTATGATGCGTGCTGTGTGCCCAGGGCTTTGTCATCCCAGTGTTTCAGAGATGTGGCGTCGGACAAGAAGTGAAGACTTCCTCACAAGCTGAAGCTCTCGTTCCAGACGGGGTTGAGCGTCTTTGTTTTGATCTTGGTCATGCACGTGGACTTGCTGAACGAGCACTTGTTCTCCTCTGCCAACGGTTTGGCGTCGCTGTGCCTCTTCTTCTTCTTGTCGGCAGCATCCCACGCGTTCGGCGTCACCTCTCTGTTTCCTGACCCCTGGATCATTCCAAAGATGCAGTAGGGGTCACTGAAACCTGAACGGAAGAGGCGAGTGGACACTGCATGAGACGACGCGAATCCGCACGTTTGACCGTTTAAAATGAAACACACTTCGTCATTGTCTTAAACGTCAACAGCCACTGGCTATCCACTTTGTGGTGGGGGTCTTCCCACGCTGTCGCCACCTCTCATTATCCCGCAATGTAACGATCCGTGGAGTACTTTTACGTGACATGATTCCACCTCGCTCCATCTCCGCAGAGGGTGGGTCACTACACCAGTGACATACTCAGTGAAAAGTGAAACAAAATGTGCTCCTTTCACCACCCAGCGCTCACCAGCATGGTGAAGTATGATAAGATCTGCACGTGACTGATGCCCTGCATACAAGATTTCCTCACTTAAAACCTCGTGTGATTTTGAAATAATTTTAGGCTACAAGGCCACTTCCCCCCCCCCCCCCCCCCGCAATTTTATTCCAGTTGTGGCATTGGGCATCTTGTTGTGTAAGAGCACCATGACATTTAAATGATTGTACTCAGAGAGACTAAAACACCAGTTCTCTGCTAACGACTCTGCTACTGTCTGGAGAGGGCTCAGGCAGATCACCAACTACAAGCCCAGAGCCCCGCACACCACTAACGACTCCCGCCTGGCCAACGACCTGAACGAGTTCTACTGCAGATTTGAAAGACAATTGGACTGTCCTGAACTACCCCTTCCCACCCAAGAGGCCCCTATCCCACCCCACACTACAGAGACAACTATCTCCATTCAGGAGGGAGAAGTTAAAAAACTTTTCAAGAGGCAGAACCCACACAAAGCAGCTGGGCCGGACTCTGTATCTCCAGCCACCCTCAGGCACTGCGCTGACCAGCTGTCTCCAGTGTTCACCAACATCTTTACCACCTCCATTGAGACATGTCATGTACCAGCCTGTCTCAAGTCCTCCATCATCATTCCAGTGCCCAAAAAGCCAAGGCCAACAGGATTAAATGATTACAGACCCATCGCCCTTACCTCCGTGGTAATGAAGTCTTTTGAGCGCCTGGTCCTGGCACACCTCAAAGCCATCACAGACCCTCTACTGGACCCCTTGAGTTTGCCTACAGAGCCAACAGGTCTGTGGATGACGCAGTTAACATGGCCCTCCACTTCACCCTACAGCACCTGGACTCCACAGCATCCTACGCCAGGATCCTGTTTGTGGACTTTAGCTCGGCTTTTAACACCATCATTCCTAGCCTGCTTCAGGACAAGCTCTCCCTGCTGAACGTGCCAGACTCCACCTGTAGATGGATCACAGACTTCCTGTCTGACAGGAAGCAGTGTGTCAAACTGGGATCACAAGTTTCTGCCGCCAGGTCAATCAGCACCGGATCTCCTCAGGGCTGCGTCCTTTCCCCTCTGCTCTTCACCCTGTACACCACCAGCTGCACCTCCAGTCACCAGTCCGTCAAACTCTTGAAGTTTGTGGACGACACCACCCTCATTGGGCTAATCTCTGATGGGGATGAGTCTGACTATAGGAGGGAAGCTGACAACCTGGTGACCTGGTGTAGCCAGAACAACCTGGAGCTTAATGCTCTTAAGACCGTGGAGATGGTTGTGGACTTCAGGAAGAATTCAGCCCCACTCACCCCCATCACCCTGTGCGACTCCCCAGTCACCAATGTTGAGTCGTTCCGCTTCCTGGGCACTATTCTTTCCCAGGACCTCAAGTGGGAACTGAACATCAGCTCCCTTATCAAGAGAGCTCAACAGAGAATGTACTTCCTACGGCAGCTGAAGAAATTTAATCTGCCAAAGACAATGATGGTGTGCTTCTATACAGCCATCATTGAGTCCATCCTCACCTCCTCCATCACCGTTTGGTACGCTGCTGCCACTGCCAAGGACAAGAGCAGACTGCAGCGTATCATCCGTACTGCTGAGAAGGTGATTGGCTGTAATCTACCAACCCTTGAGGACCTGCACACTTTGAGGACCCTGAGGCGAGCGAGGAAGATTGCGGACGATTCCTCGCACCCTGGATACTCTCTGTTCCAGCTACTCCCCTCCGGCAGAAGGCTGCGGTCCATCAAGACCAAAACCTCACGTCATAAAAACAGTTTTTTCCCATCTGCTGTTGGCCTCCTCAACAAGGCCAAGGGCTAAAAATGACTTTTACACTTAAAATGACTGCTACACTTACTATAACATTTTATCTACATAATTACACCGTTCCATACTTACAACGTGTAATTTTATTTGTATTTTTGTATTTTAAGATTGTTTAATACGGCTAATTAACATTTTACATTCGCATTTTATAAGGTCTACTTATTCATAATTTTAAAGATTTTAGCCCTTTAGTATTACTTATACTCTGTAACGTTATTATAGTTAGAGTGTATACCTTTTATATAAGTTAAGATTCCTACTTGTTCAATGTATGCACCGTCCCGCCATAGTGAATTCCTTGTCTGTGCAAACTTACATGGCGATTAAAACCGTTTCTGATTCTGATTAAAATGTATAAATCCATCACCTCTCGTGGCCCTCCAATGAAATAATTAAAATGTATAAATTTAATTATATACATTTCTTTATAAATGTGTAGTGTAATAGCGCCGATTGTTGTCCAGCAGCGGCAACTACGGTGGACGAGCAGTGCACACGCTGGTGAGCATAGACGCGGGTGTGTGTCGGCAGGGCGGAGGAACTGGGGCAAGGGTCACAGAGACCCCGGCTGGAAGCCCCTGGAACCCACTAGTGGGTTCGAGAAGGGAGGCGCTACCAGGGCGGAGCCAGGCCGTGCTGGGTAGCATAAAAGCAGCGGAGAACGGAAGCTCAGGGCTGCCGGTTCTGGGAAGTGGACTCGTCTCGTCGTCGCTGCCGTCTTCGCTAGATATTGCGCGGCCGGATAGTTGTTGACTGTCTTGGTCAGCGTCGTCGGTGTTACACGGTCAGGGTTGTGTTTAGGCTTGGCTAGGCGACTAGGAAGAGTGCGAGGGCGAACCTGTGAAGTGTGAATGTGTTAAGAAAGAAGGTGCCTCCTGGAAACCCTTATCTCTGAATCACTGACACTACAAATGTATAAATTAATCGGCATCCTTTGCTGCAATCTAAACGATTAATTTAAATATATACATTTTAATTATTATTTCATTGCAGGGCCACGACAGGTGATACATTGGAACGAGAGACCCTTTCAACCAGCAGTAGATAGATGATCATTATGAATTAACTTTATTTTCACGTGTATCATGTGTACCCGTACGGCAGAGGAAACAGAGCATTTTGCTTCTGTGATGTACAGTGGGCACTGTGTCGTTTATATGTTGACATCTTGGGGCTACCTTCATCCAGCAGTAGACAGATCATGCCTGTTGATGATTGGCGACTCGGACGAAACTATCAACCCGTGGGACAGGAGACAATGGCTATTTTTACGTGAATTTTCAAACCATGTTTTTAAAAGACAACCACAAACTGAAAAGACACACCAAGCCGAGCTCACCATTGACATCCTTTGCTGCAAGGTTTCTGGCCTCGATCACCTCCACAAACAGCGTGTAGGATGGAGGCTGCAGGAAAGAGAAACCAAACAGAATATACTACGCACACGCGTGTGTGCACGTATGCACAGTCACAAATAAACACGTGCATACCGGTCGGTTTGCAAAATAGGCACGGTAGAGTTTGAAAAGATGATGAGCATTTTCCTCCTCCATGGTTGGAATATTGCGGGCACTCGCACCTCTTCCAAGACGCCTGGCCGGCATGGAAGAGTAGGCCAAAAATTACCCCCGAGAGGGACTGTGGAGAGCTCCCTCCAATGGATTTCCTTCACGCCAACAGTGGCGTGATCACGTAATGTCAGGGATACACCTTTACCTTTGACGTGTTATGGTTAGAATACAATTCTAAAGACAAGAGGATTCCGATGAAAACGTTATGCTTTCTACAGAGTGAGAAGTTGCAGAGGTGTCCAGGTGCATTCCATCCACCCCCCCCCCCCCCTTTGGCTTTCTCCAGACAAGAGTTGACTGTGTTTGGATTCATCTTCTTGGTTCTTTCGGTAAAGTCACGTAGAAGGGAAATAATAAAATGATACAAATAAAACATAATAAAATAATTCTCACGACGTTTCGGCTACAACGCAAGCAGCCGTCCTCAGGTGAAGAATGAGACACCACCAAGCTTGGAGCGTATATTTAAGCTGGGTTGGAGAGGGAAGGAGAGCGCCTTGATAAATAATTTGCATATCAAGAGGAATTTAGCATAATTTTTTATGTTTTATTTGTATTATTTTATTATTTCCCTTCTACGTGACTTTACCGAAAGAACCAAGAAGATGAATCCCTGCAGTCACGAAAGCTTTAAATCGAAATGTGTTTGGATTGTCTTAATCACCGCACGATTCTTGACTTTGTTCACAGCTGCGAGGTGCTCGTCCACACTTTTATTGAAGACCTGCAAGACAGCCACGGTCGTGATTATCTCAACGTGTCCGCAAGAAATAGGGCAAACGGATTGCAAACACACAAATAAACAACTTAACACGGAGGCTTTCAAACGTGTTAACACTGGTGAGACTCGGCCACGAAGAAGGCTGTCTCTGGTGTAGGCCAATCAGTTTCAAAGACGATGCATATATTATCTTATCAGAGCATGTTTGGTTTGCATGGTCACCACAAGTACGTGTGGTTAATACGAACTTGATTCCTTGCAAAAGGTTTCTATTTGGTGTTTGAACATCGTAACACCTCCTGTTTTATTCTTGATTTGAAGCTTTTGTGACTACAAGGATTCATACTCTTAGGTTTTTTCGGTAAAGTCACGTAGATTAAAAAAATAATAGAAATAATAATAGATCCTGTTTTATCCTGTTTTATTGCCAGAAAGGGTAAAACCTATTCTTATTTTTCATACTTTCATTTTGGCAAAAAAGGTCCCATGATATAAAAAAACAGTGGTGCAAACGGTTAGCACCGTGCTCAAAACATCGGGCTGTCGAAGTTTGAAGCCCCATCATGGCTAACGTCAGTGGCAACTCACGAATCTCACCGGTTCACCAACTTGCACTGACCGGTAAAGTGTGATCAAGCAACTGCCACGATGACCTCGGTGCAGGAAAGAAACCTTCATCTAGCAGTGGATTGATAAGGACTATAAAAGTATCGCTCTAATCATCCATTAAACCTAATTTTAACAGATTACATGTACAGTCTGTTCTCCTATAAAGCGGTAGTTGCGTTCCAGAAGAACACGGCGTTATTTGAGAATCGCGTTATAATAAATGACATATACTATAAGGTAAAGCACATTCGGCGATAACACGTGAGATGCGTATGCAGGCTGAACAAAGACTGAGGCGTCTGGGTAGCATCTAGAAGAATCCAACAGCATCCCACTGCCTTGTTGTGTGATGATGCTATGCCGAGGCAGCCGTACGACCGCTTATTCCGACTCGCGCGACGTCGCTCCGGTCACTCAATCGCGTTATATCCAATTCGTGTCCGCGTTATAAAAAAATGTGTTCCTTCATACATTCATTGCGTTAAATACAATTCGCGTTATGAAAACAACAACAACACGCGTTATAGGAGAAAAATATATCAAAATGCGGTGGCCATTTAATAAGGTATGATCGCCCAGTCAATCAAACCTTAACACAATGAGGGCCAGACAATCAGGTTTAGCACGTGGTTTATGCTGGCCCATGATAGTAAAAAACTCACTTTCTCGACTCCTAATATCCGTGGAGTCAGGCCGATCTACAGTTCTTCCCACTACCCATGGGTCAGCACTCCTATTATCAGTAATTTATCAAACAAGAGGTCAGAGTTACCAAACAAATACCGAATGAACTGCTAAATGCATCCTATTGATTGCCTTGGGGGGAGTGAGTCATGTCGTTTAAGCCCATACACACTGAGACGTATGTTCATGAAATTAACCGAATGACACGTGTCCTTGAAATTCTATTGAACTCAGGAGAAATGAGTGCTCGAGTGCTAGTCTGGGGCAAATGAAGATCACATATAGGGGTGCAGTGAACACGGAGCTAAGTAGGTAGCAAACCATTTCAAACTTAACCGTTAAGATCAATCTTATGATTAACTCTGCATCGATCACACAACAACCAGCATTGGGCAGCTCACCGTCAACGTGTTCGTGGTGGATGCTGTTACCTGCTGCACATAGATCAGAAGCTGGTTCCTTGAGATGTTATTCTCATCTTCGTTCTCGCGCTCGCCTATCCAGTGCTGAACCATGTAGACGGTGTCTTCATACAGCGTGTCCACCTGCATTCCACACGGCATGAAAGTGAAATCCGTTACGGTAAACTGCGTTTCCGCTGACAAAAGCCGGACAAATGGGCGTGCAATAGAGACACTGAATTAATTTGGTCAATTTAAAAAACAAACTTGAACTGTTTGGGATGACAGTCAGACATGCACAACCTATATGGCCACGTTAACGTCACAGACGGGTAATTTGCCACGATCAATATGTACAGACACGATGTCAAAACGATTGCCTTCTTCCATCCTGCAGTGACAACAAAAGTGCTGATTACAAGTGACCTTATTTTTACTACATTTCACAAACGTTGAAGACGCTTACCTCCGAATCCAAAGCCTCCATGTCAGCTTTGAAGGAGCTTGACGTCTCCGTCTTCGGGGGCTCCATCGCAAAATAACACTGGCGCCTCAACCCAGTTCCCTTTTTAATAACTCTTGCACAGCCTTGGAATTAGCAAATCTACGTACAGTACTTCCTTCGCTGCTGTGTGAAGCATCTACTGCTTGGGCAAAGGGGAGGTGGGTGACTTTTGACCAAACTCAAGTGTACAACTTAGCCAGACGCATTTGCATTTCTACAATGAAACACATTCCTATGAGAATAATTAAAGCATATATTTACCATCAGTTTTGTTTTAGTCAAAATAAAAACTCGGTCCTGCAGGCATCGTAGATTATTTAAAATAAAAAAACCTTTATATGCATTTCGCTTGGTACACAACTACTAGTAAAGATGTGCAAGTTCTCTCAGATACTGCAGTCAGCCAATGATCCACACACTTCATGAAACCACGTTCAGATTGAACATTTATACGACAAAAAACACATTTTGAAACTCGACTTAAAACGAGACGTACATTTCTGTGGCCAAAGTTGTGAATGGGAGTTGGTTCAATAATGTTGGAGCACATTTCACGAAAGCTCTGTTTGGCAGTGCCAGTGTGAGAGGAAAGGACATTACCTGCCAGAGGAATCACAGTTGACTAACGGAATTGCACAAGAATGATTGCACATTGTGATTGGTTCAGCAAGATATGGACAATTGGGAGGGACACAACTGGCAAACACAACGGGGTATCTGTATCTTGAGCAATTAATGAACGTGGACCGACATCAATGTGATGAAATAACGAGGCAAGCAAGCACACGATGGAGTACCTTTGGAAGTGATAATTGTTTTTTTTTACCCTTCTATCTGGCAACAAAACTGACACCTTTATTTACAAGGAGTCATGTTTGCATAGACCACAATACCTGCAGCCATAATGCAAACAAAAAACATAACTCTGATAATGTATGCACTGTCCTTGGAGTTGATTGGTCACACCCGAGACAGCTTTCCTTAGAGCCTAGTCTCACATGGGTTGGACCAGATGACGCCAAAAGGCGCTTTGGAAGATTACATTTGATTATGAGAAGCAACATTCCAATATGGAGAGGAAAGTTTTCATGCACCTCACATTACCTGCCATGACATTCATTGGGAATCGTGAACTCTTGACAAAGAATGTGGAAAATAATGCTGAAAACTGCACACGAAGAAATGCTAATAATCACAATGAGAGACATCAAGAGAAACACAGGGATAAGAGAACATACATCTTTGATTATCTTGTTAACCAGTACAGAAAAGTTGGCTCGGACAGGACACATCACTGGATGTCGAAACGAGGGAACACACACACACACATAAGATGATTCTAATGGCAGCGATGGTGCAATGAGGTCAGTTTGTGTGCAGGAGCCAGAGGGATTGTGGGACCACAAGACAATGATGGATGAGGACGACATGGGGAGGCATTAACCAGTGTGGGCAAGATAATGGATGATGTTGATGATGATTCAGTAAAATCTTATTCAGTTTTTCAAACTTGTATTAACACTGCAAATTGTGAAATATACATATGGTCAAATTGTGAGAATAACAATTGTCTTTATTTATTGTCGTAGTTGCAGACACAAGATCCGAGGTGGGCATGAATTAATCATAATCATCATCAGTTGTCATTACAGCATTTGTTTTTTTAATGGCTGTCAATTAAAATGCATTCTTATTTTTTAAATAAAAAAATTGCACTAATTGGATCAGTCTACATTGCTTCCCACTCAACCCCTCACCCTCCACGTGCCTACTTGTAAGAACACACATTTTCGAGCGCTAACAGAATGAAAAACACGTATAGAATCATAATAACTAGTTTACCATGTTTTTTTACATAATTTGTACAAAAAAATATCCGTTGCTGTATATACATTTCCAAAGGTTAAATCTTAACGTTTAACAATAACAAGACGACACTTCAATGTCCAGAAGAAAAAAGTAAATACTGTGCAGTAAGTAATATTGTTTTTCCAGCTCACTTACAGTAATGCAGATAATATTTTAAAATTTTATCAAGAGGAAGTGGTCAGATGCAGAACTTCCACCACAGCATAAATACATGCACATGCAAGTTTTGGCTCTTCAACAAACCTACATTCCATTTCCTTCAAAAGTATTTGACGTGGGTTTTCAGCCCCAGTTCACAGTACACCAGTCTCACTACACTGACCCTACACATGTTACACCAAGTGGTGATGAAGTTTACATTTCCAGTATTAATTATATTTCAGTAGTACTCACATCATGGGCACAATTAATTACAAAGAAAACACGATCTCTTTGCCTAAAATAGCAGTGTGAACATTTCATGTTATTAATTTGTTTAATCTATTACGCCACAGATAACGAACATGCAGTGCCCCGTTCTACGACGTACAATAATCAGACGTTAGGTCTCCTTTTTACGTCTGTCCCTCCACATAAAAAACAAGTATTTTTGACATATCCTATCAGCCACACGGCCTTTCTAGCAATGCTTTATTTCAGCAGAATTGGCTCAACACAAGCAAACTATGGACTGGTTTCGACATGCAGTGTCTTTTCAGCAGAGATCATGCAGCTCTACCAAACCTGCTAAAGTCGGACCGTGTAAAAAAAAAGTTTCAAGAGAGTGGGGCAAAGTAAGTTATGATTATAATTAAATAATAAGCTTGAGCCCTTTGTCAACAAGTGGTGGTTTATGGCCAACCGACTCCATATCGATCATGAGAGTTGTTTGACCGTGCAGGCAAAACAACCACAACAGCTGGTAACTCGTAGTGTGCTATGAGCTATGGCATTGGGGAGGAAGGCTCACATTAATTATCTGTTGTTCGCAGCCATCACAGTGGCCAACAGGGACTCTGAATGGGTTTGAGGGGCTGGAAACCCCTCCACCATCACTTACATTACCCCCAAAAAATACATTTTAACGAACAAAATAAATAAGCCTATGCCAGAGACCCCGGGGGGACAGGCCCCTACGACATGTCCTGGCCAAACTCCATCTGGTCGAGCCAGCAGACTGGCTGCATAGAACGTTTGAATTATCACCGTGGAGGAGAGGCTGCCATTCCTATCGGGAGCTTGACCAAGACCGCCGAGTCCTCCGTGGAATACAGGAGGTCCGGTGGTCTGGTTCTGACTCCAGTCACTACGAGGGGTGGACAGTCCTCCGCTCGGCAAGAAACTGTCAAACAACAAGGAGTGACTCTTCTTCTGAACAACATAATGAAGGGGGCGTGGGAGCATGGTGGTGAGGTGTGGGAAGCTGTGCATCCCAGGCTACTGTGGGCTCACCTCCCCATAAAACTGAGGCAAGGATTGTTGGTGGTAGTGGCTTCCATCCCCACTGAAGATGAACATCAGTGGTGGGATGCAGGCAAGGCTGATGAGTCAGATGTCTTCTATGACCTCATGTCCCGGGTGCTGACTAAAGTGGCCCCTCGGGATACAGTCATCCTATCGGATGACGTTAATGCCAAAGTTGGTCATAACGGAGGCACCTGGGCTGGAGCGATTGGAAGGCATGGACCAGATCTGCTCAATAACAACAGTAGGACGCTGCTTGACTTCTGTGAAGCCCCGTGGGCTTGTAATCACCAATGCTCTTTTGGCATTTGTGCAACAACACACATCATGGATGTAGAGCAGATCCAAGCAAGAATACCCACAATAGCCTGGTCAACAGTTTGCTGATGAAAGTTGCAAGCGAAAAATCTCATTTTTTGCAGCTGGGGCTGGCATTGTCCCCCCTCCGGGAACCATGGAGGATGCGTTCCGGACAGCTGAGAGAAAGCGAAATTTCCTTTCCCACAGCATCTCACGTCTGAAAATGAGGCTTAACCGCAGCCTTTGTTCAGAGGGTCGGAGACCTGTGGGTCACTGCAAGAATAAGTGGTGGTCATTGGGTGGCTGAGGAGATGGAACCTGCCTCGACATATTATGATCACGAATTCGTCTTTTAGTTCCATAACTAAAAAAATACTCGCAGTGCCACATCTATCACCGTGCTTAAGGGTAAAAAAACGTTCTTGAGCATTTCTGAGGTGATGGGGAAAAGGGAAACCCCTCAAGCCAGATGATATGATGGGGAAAGGTTGGGTTGACCATTTGCTGGGGCCGTTGTGCCTCAAAATATAAAGAGAAGTAGCCCCCGGTGTGCGCTATATATTTAGTATTCTTGACTATTATTTAATGTCGATTACTAAGGCCATTAAGTGATTTAATTCTGTCGAAAAGTGAAGAAAAAATACATAAGTGTATTAAATGTTGTCGATTTTTAAACGTGTTTAATCAATCGTAGCAACAAATCGAGTTCGTTGTTGAACGTGCATATATATACTGTAATAAAACATAGCAACACAGCTAGTCGGAGTTGTTGAACGCATATAAATGAAATATAGCAACAAATCTAGACGGTGTATATCTTATGCTTTTAACCCCTTACCAGGGCCTACCTCATTACAGACCAATTCAGACCTTATTGGTCACCCCGTGCCCCTTATACATCTCAACGTTCATCCTACAAAGTCCCATCACAAGCGAGAAACACAAACAAATAGACACAAATTATAATTGTTTTGCCCGTATTGAAACGGCTGTCCGCCGTATGAACTTGAACACTCAATTTCCCTGCACAAGAATACTGGGGTAAACAGTATGGGTTGACACGGTATGGTAGTGCATATTTTCTTATATAAGCGTACAACGTTATCTATCTGTGATGAACGCTGCACTTTCCGTCGTTTTCCTGCAGGGGGCGCTGCAAACCTACGCGCCCCCTGCATGAACGACGGAGGCGCAGGGACAGACGTTCGATCACGTTGGAATCGATCTGCAGACGGTGGTCTTCTCGCACGACCAGCTCTGTGTCGCCTTAGGGGCCGTCCATAAATGAGGTCACGCACCTGGGGGGGGGGGGGTCAGACATTTGTGACGTTGTGTTACGAGGGGGGGGGGGGGGGTGAGAAATGTGACGTCACATCAAAATACGCAACTTTAAATAAATATAGACGACACGTTCTACTTAATTAAATAGACTTTTTCATAAATGTTTTCTCCTACAACATCAGAGTGCAGCGACACATTAAATACGCACTACAATGACAATAGTTTAAAGCGATTTGAAGCATGTTTTATTGGGGGGGGGGGGGGGGCAGAGCTTTGTGACGTCATATTTGAGGGGGGTCTGACTTTTCGTGACGCCGTGTGACGAGGGGGGGGGGGGGTCAAAAATCGTTCAAAATCGCGTGACGTCATTTATGGACGGCCCCTTATCTCGATCCCACAATCCCAAACAGGTGAAAGTGCGCATCGAAGCGAACCCTCAGCAAGGCCATCGACTAAACGACGAGAGAAAATTCACACGACATTTAATTTTCAATGAAGTCTTCCAGATGTAAAATGATTGAAGCTTTTGATGAGGAAATAAAATTATCTAATTCAAAACATAATACAATTCAAAGATGTTTCATTTTAAAACTTCAAAACGGAGCATCGGGTGCTTGCTATCATTCAAAATAATCATTAGCGGGTGACGTCACCCCACATGGAGCACCCCCCTCATTAATAATCACGAGAAGATGACGTCACTCTACATGGAGCACCCTCCCTCGTGAATAATCACGAGCGGGTGACGTCATTCCACATGGAACACCCTCCCTCGTGAATAATCACGAGCGGGTGACGTCATTCCACATGGAGCACCCTCCCTCGTGAATAATCACGAGCGGGTGACGTCATTCCACATGGAGCACCCTCCCTCGTGAATAATCACGAGCGGGTGACGTCATTCCACATGGAGCACCCTCCCTCGTGAATAATCACGAGCGGGTGACGTCATTCCACATGGAGCACCCTCCCTCATGAATAATCACGAGCGGGTGACGTCATTCCACATGGAGCACCCTCCCTCATTAATAATCAGGAGCGGGTGACGTCACTCCACACCCTCCCTCATGAATAATCACGAGCGGGTGACGTCATTCCACATGGAGCACCCTCCCTCATTAATAATCAGGAGCGGGTGACGTCACTCCACACCATCCCTCATTAATAATCACGAGCGGGTGACGTCACTCCACACCATCCCTCATGAATAATCACGAGCGGGTGACGTCACTCCACACCATCCCTCATTAATAATCACGAGCGGGTGACGTCACTCCACACCATCCCTCATGAATAATCACGAGCGGGTGACGTCACTCCACACCATCCCTCATGAATAATCACGAGCGGGTGACGTCACTCCACACCATCCCTCATGAATAATCACGAGCGGGTGACGTCACTCCACACCATCCCTCATGAATAATCACGAGCGGGTGACGTCACTCCACACCATCCCTCATGAATAATCACGAGCGGGTGACGTCACTCCACACCATCCCTCATGAATAATCACGAGCGGGTGACGTCACTCCACACCATCCCTCATTAATAATCACGAGCGGGTGACGTCACTCCACACCATCCCTCATGAATAATCACGAGCGGGTGACGTCACTCCACACCATCCCTCATGAATAATCACGAGCGGGTGACGTCACTCCCCTCCCCTCATTAATAATCGCGAGCGAACATTATTTTCCATTTAATATTTCTGATTAACTAGAATAACCCCTGCCTTGGACGGGCTGCGTAGGCCCGTACTTTAAATCGCAGCCGCAGGCAGAAGCAGAGTCTTTATTTCGACAGGAGGAGTAATCCGACGAGCTACGAAGCTCTCCCCACAGCTGTGCAGTGGGGGCAGGCGCCGAGCTCGCGTCTCGACGCGGACCGCATTCACCGCACGCAGCATGGCGCTGACTTACACTCGACACGCCGATGTGACGCCACGTCCGATCGTTTACATTAAAAACAAAGCGCTCCACAAGAAGGGCCATCGCTCGAAACGTCGCCGATCATTATAAAAAGGCGCGAGTGCGGTGACGAGTGCGTTGAATTCTGTTATTGTGCTTTGTGTTTACTGCCATTTTAGAGGCGTGCGGTGACGTCACGCGCGGTTGACTTTTGACCCCACCCTCCACCCCCCCTCCACCCCACCCTCCACCCCCCCCTCCACCCCACCCTCCACCCCCCCTCCACCCCCCCTCCACCCCACCCTCCACCCCCCCTCCACCCCCCCTCCACCCCACCCTCCACCCCCCCTCCACCCCACCCTCCACCCCCCCTCCACCCACCCTCCACCCACCCTCCACCCCCCCTCCACCCCACCCTCCACCCCACCCTCCACCCCCCCTCCACCCCACCCTCCACCCCCCCTCCACCCACCCTCCACCCACCCTCCACCCCCCCTCCACCCCACCCTCCACCCCCCCTCCACCCCACCCTCCACCCCCCCCTCCACCCCCCCTCCACCCCACCCTCCACCCCACCCTCCACCCCCCCTCCACCCCACCCTCCACCCCCCCTCCACCCCACCCTCCACCCCCCCTCCACCCCACCCTCCACCCCCCCTCCACCCCACCCTCCACCCCCCCTCCACCCCACCCTCCACCCCCCCTCCACCCCCCCTCCACCCCACCCTCCACCCCCCCTCCACCCCACCCTCCACCCCCCCTCCACCCCACCCTCCACCCCCCCTCCACCCCACCCTCCATCACCCTCCACCCCCCTCCAACCCCCTCCACCTCCCCCTCCACCCCCACCCCCCTCCACCTCCCCCTCCACCTCCCCCTCCACCCCCCCACCCACCTCCACCTCCCCCTCCACCCCCCCACCCCCTCCACCCCCCTCCACCCCCCCTCCACCCCCCACCCCCTCCACCCCCACCCCCTCCACCCCCCCTCCACCCCCACCCCCTCCACCCCCCCTCCACCCCCACCCCCTCCACCAAAATTTGGCGCGAACTTTTTGCGCAGCGGAAGCTTTAGCACGGCGCGTCGTCGTCTCGACGCTTCGATATTTATTTAACGTCTTCGTTTTTTTCGTTATTTTTTAAGATCTATTTTTTAAAAAACAACCCCTCAACGTATTGCCGTGATAATAATAAAAATAACATACAGACGAAGAGAAGAAAATGCAGAGATCCATCGCGTACGTTTGCCGAGTGTTCGATCCGTGTGGGCCTCGAGGGTAGCTGCGCGCTGGGTGTCGATGCTGTAATAAAGCAGCAACTTTTATAATCATCATCGTCGCCGTCGTTGTTAGTATCTATAGCCCCTTTTGTCAGGCCACTGCTCGGCGAAGGCCTCCCCACCACCCCGGGCACGGAGGTTCAAAAGTACCGCGCGCGTTTCGTGAAGGCGGGAAGCCTAGAAGTGCAGTACAACGTGTTGTTGTTTCCTGTAGGCCCACCGTGTATGTAGCAGCCCTGGTGGTTAACCCCAGGTGCAAGCACAAGCTGCTTGGCTTGCGAGATCTTGGTGTGGCCAGGGGCCTGGCAGCAAGAGGCTTCCTGAGGGCCCGGCTCCTGTATCTTTGTGTAGAGTTCGACGTTTCGGTCGCAACGCCAGCAGTCGTCATCAGGTAGAACTGCATTTGAGAGACGTGACACGGAGACACGAGCAGAGAGACAACATATGTGTCTGTGTTGTCTCTCTGCTTGTGTCTGTGTGTCTCTCTGTGTTGTCTCTGTGTCTCCGTGTCTCTCTGTGTGTGTGTCTCTGTCTCCGTGTCTGTCTGTGTGTCACCGTGTCTGTGTTGTCTGTCTGTGTGTCTGTGTCTCCCTGTCTGTGTGTCTCTCTGTCTGCGTCTCTCTGTGTGTCTCCGTGTCTGTGTGTCTCTCTGTGTGTCTCTGTGTCTCCGTGTCTGTGTGTCTCTCTGTGTGTCTGTGTGTCTCCGTGTCTGTGTGTCTCTCTGTGTGTCTCTCTGTGTGTCTCCGTGTCTGTGTGTCTCCGTGTCTGTGTGTCTCTGTGTTGTCTCTCTGTCTGTGTTGTCTCTCTGTGTGTCTCTGTGTCTGTGTTGTCTCTCTGTGTCTCTCTGTGTGTCTCTCTGTGTCTCTCTGTCTGTGTGTCTCCGTGTCTGTGTGTGTCTGTGTCTCTCTGTGTGTCTCCATGTCTGTGTGTCTCCGTGTCTGTGTGTCTCTCTGTGTGTCTCTGTCTGTGTCTCCGTATCTGTGTGTCTCCGTGTCTGTGTGTCTCTGTCTGTGTTGTCTCTCTGTCTGTGTTGTCTCTCTGTCTGTGTTGTCTCTCTGTCTGTGTGTCTCTCTGTCTGTGTGTCTCCGTGTCTGTGTCTCTCTGTCTCAGTGTGTCTCCGTGTCTGTGTGTCTCCGTGTCTGTGTTGTCTCTCTGTCTGTGTGTCTCCGTGTCTGTGTTTTGTCTCTCAAATTTAGTTCCACCTGATGACGACTGCTTGTGTCGCAATCTAAACGTCGTATTCTATTTAATTCACGTGACTTTACCGAAGGAACCAAAGAGTAATTCCTGCAGTCACGAAAGCTTCAAATCAAGTTTATCTTTGTGTAGTTGAGTTTGTATGTTTGGCGTGGGGGTTTCTTGTGATTATTCCCATATATAAAAGTGTCATTGGTGTGGACAGAACACTCGAATGTAGCAGTACTCTCCTGAACAAGACTTAGGGCTCTGTATATGTACAGTACAATATGTTTAATTTCTTTCGCGCCGTACGTAGCCAACCGTGCTAATCGCAGTGTTGCTCTCCTTGCAGGCTAAATGCGTAGATTTAAAACTAAAAGTTTTACAACTGATGTTTGTATTTAGTTGTCCTTCCCCCACACCCCCGATTAGCACGCTTGGCTACGTACGGTGCGAAAGAAGTTCAATGTACAGTATACATACAAAAGTTATTCCGGGTGAATCGTGATTCGTAATCGGATGCAAGAAGCCAGGGAAGACTGAATTAGATACAATTTGAATAGTTGGACGCAACAAAGAGTACTGTGTGTGTATATATTACAAGTGTCTTGAGTAATATGGACGTGTTAATACTTAACAATATAAACGAATGCAAAATATCGATTTAAAGCTTTCGTGACTGCAGGGATTCATATTCTTGGTTCTTTCGGTAAAGTCACGTAGAAGGTAAATAATAAAAATAGAACAATAAAATTCTCACGACGTTTCGATTGCAACACAAGCAATCATCATCAGGTGTGAAAACCACAGCAAGAAAATTGGTTTTCACACCTGATGATGATTGCTTGTGTTGCAATCGAAACATCGTGAGAATTCTATTTTATTATTCCCCTTCTACGTGACTTTACCGAAAGAACCAAGAATATGAATGCAAAATACATTGTAGCCCAAGCACGGAGTATTGTCTCGCCGTGTCATCCAAGTGACAGGAATGCCATCGCCAGCATCTTTGAGAAAAGACGTGGCACAATATGGTTATTTTGGCATCATTCGGCAACTTGAGTGATCGAGTAAGTTCGCTGTAGCTCGGGTCTGTTTGCACAGAGGGTGGGGGGACAGTCGTGGTCTAAGGGTCGCGATTTAGTTGTGGATTGCAAAGCCCAAAATTGCCCATTTGAAAACTGGAAGATGAAATTTGGCGGCGTTAAAAGTTAAAACTTGGGTCTCTCAAGTTGTTCTCCGTTTAAGAAGATGCATACAGCAGATGTTGGTATGTTGTCATTTTTGTTTGTTACGACTGCTTCCACATGCCAGGCTTGGATCATGTTAACGTGTTGGTTTTTTCTGCTTGATTATTGCACTTCTCTCATTCTCTCCCCACAGGTCTTTTTTCCAGCCAGCAAAGGGCCAGCAGCCTGAGAAAATAAAACCCAAGCAGCCTGAGAAAACCAAGCCAAAAGCAGAAAAAGTGTACGTGTTAACTACCTCACCTGGTACACAGGAGGTCGTGGATTCGATCCCGACCCTGATGCCTGCTGTATATTTAGAGTTTGCATGTTCTCCCCTTGATCGTGTGGATTTTTCTTCAGGTCCTCTAGTTTTTCCCTCCACATTAAGAAACATGCATTATCAGAGTATATTTTTTGTTTGCATTTTGACCACAGTATTGCGGTTAATGCAGTCATGATTCCTTGTAAAAGGTTTCAAATTGGTGTTTTAACAACTTAACACCTGTTTTGTTGCCAGATAAAAGGGAAAAACTTCATGCATAGAGAGTATTTGGTTGCTAGACATTTATACATGATAAGCCACTAAGTTGAGCTATTATTTATGGGCAAGTTGCTTCTGAAAAAGAGCATAACAGCTCATTGGGCCTAAGCTGGTAAAAGAAAATGTATAATCTAATACAAATTGATGCAAATATATTGTTCCTAGAGCATGGAGTATAATGCCACACCATGTCATCTAATTGCCAAATCCAAATGAATTATGAATGCTCATAAAAGCATCTTAAGGTCGTCTTTATCCTACCGTAGGATGTAAGCTATCGGATGTATCTTTGTCGATGAATGTGTAACATTGACCACTCGATCAACATTGGATAGCTGGATTAACGAACATTGTACTTGGTGAATTATTCATGGTTTAACTTGTTATATACTGCATGTGGATTTTGAGACGTAATTTATCCGTTGGTAAAATATCCAATGATGTTACCAAGGAATCTCATCGTTTAAGTTGTATAAAGTTTAACACGTATGCTGTGTCGGGTGGGGGCGGTTTAACGACGACACATTTATATTTGTGATCTAACACAAAAAAAAACATCTATCATGGAATTTATTATTATTACCAAAGTTGCTTTTGAAATGCGGCCCTCAATTTTGTGTAATTGTGTGACTGACTTAGAGTGACGAAAACTCCACTTAAAGCAAAGAAGAATGGTTGCTCTCCACCTGCTGCTGACAACACCGAATCCCCCGTTAAAAGATCTAAAAAGAAAACGCGGCGAGTCCTGGAGAGCGATGACGACGATGATAACGACGACAATGTTGACGAGGAAGCACGTAACAACGGTGTGCCTAAGAGCACAGGCTCGGAAAAGAGCAAAACCACGGAGAGCACCGTTACCCCGGATAAGAATACGATGCGAGTAAAGAGGGAGACCCCAGAAAGGAAGCCAACGCCAGAGCAGAAGAAGACTCCTAAGAATAGTAAAGTCTTAGTGGAGAAGGACAAAACAGCAGGGCACGAGGTGAAGTCGAATGGGAAGAGTAAAGAATCACCTGGCAAACAGAGTGACGAGGAGGTCGACACCTCCACCTCTGAACCCGAGGTAAAGAAACTAAGTAATTTTACACGTTTTTTACCGCATGATGACTGCTGCGTGCTATGGAATTTATTTAGACCTGGTTGTATTTGTAGTGGCTTTCCAGTCTGGTTGACAACTAATTACGTTTTTTTGGCTCAATCGCCGACTGGTTAACATGCTCAAATAGCATGTTCACCAGAAAATCAGAAGCTACGTTTCTATAAACTGGATGTTAAACATTTCTCCCATTTAATTATCACACTTCACCTCCCCTTCAACTCCACTGGCTTTCCTTTTACCACGGCTGTCTTTGAAAATAGCTGATGGTAGTTTTTAAACCTCGCGATGGCCTAGCCCCACCTCATCTGGCCTCTCTCATCTACTTCCATGTCCCCTATCATCCTTTTCATCCCCAATTTTCTCTGTGCCTCCTCCGTGCCCAGTCCCATTGTTGGTCCTCCCTCCTTGCATCCCTCCACTGGAATAAACTTTCCTTGTACGTTAAGGAGTCCCCCTCCTGAATCTCCTTCCATTTCTCTCTAAAGCCAACCTCTTCTCTATTGCTCTTCCCTCACCCCCTCCACTCCTTCCTGTCACTCCCCTACCCTTTTGTGATCCCTAAGTACCCTCTCGCTGTCACTCATTCCTCAATCCTTGCACTTCCTGCCATCTAAATCATTCTATTGTCACCGTGTTTAAAACTACATCAAGCGCCTTGAGTGAAGGCGCTCTATAAAATAAAAAATGCATATACATTGTGCATCAGCAATGCTGTGATCGGAACTAGCCAAATCTGGACAATTTACTAAATGAAGTAAAAACACTTCCCTGCTCGAGCTGGATGTACCTGACAAATACACCACAAGTCCTAATCTGTATTAAATTTGTGGGTGCTATTCACAGAAAAATTCATTGATTGAGGGATTTATTTTTTATCATATCCATGAAAAATTTTTATCGACTAAATTTGGCTAGAATACCATGCTGGTGTGCCATGACAACATTTTGGCAAAGAGATCACTTGTTTGGCAGATTGCATGACTAATTGGAGATGTTTGTATTTTTTCTGTTTAATAGCCATGATGGGTTTTTTAATCCACTTTCTGGTCCGCAGGCAAGCAAGGCAAAGGAGACTGAAGATGTGAATGCAAAGACTGGAACTTCAAGTCCCACGCTGCCCACATCCCCAGAAGGAAATTTGGTCATTCCAAAGCGCAAGACAGGTCAGGTGCCAGCCTTGTACATGGTTCTAAGAGACAAATACAATTGAACTGTGACATTCAATTTAGAATTCGAATTTGCAGTAAATGAGTGAAATAATAATAGAAGTTGAATTTTGAAGTGTAAATGTCATAAATAAGATGTATAAATTCACTCATTACATTCACTTATTAAAGTGACTTACAGTGCAATCATTGTTTAGAGTTTTGTTTTAATAGTTTTTTTGTAGTAATTTCTTATTACCTGAAAGTGATATTTTATATTGTGGTGTGCAAAACAACTTTAAGCAGTGCTACAGTGTGACATTGGAGGTTTTTTAGAAGGCTGACAGTTGTACTATGGTGTTTTTTCTGGGAATGCTTCATAATGTATTGTCAGTTTGCTGTCTGTAGGTAATGCTGGGAAGAATTATTTAGTTTGGCTTTCTACATGGCAATAACATGGTGTGATTACCATTAAAAACAAAATATACTTTTGAGTATTTTTTTATGAAGCCTCATTAACTCTATATAGGTCAGTGTTCTTTCACAAAGTTTCAGGGGAGGGGTGGGCACTTTTACCGATAAGACATCAGTGTGAGAGCCGCCACACCGCCTGCAAGGGGGGGTGTATTGTCGGTGGTCGCACTAAAGGCCACCATGGGCTCACCAGTGGCCTCACGGGCCTTACAATGAAGAACACCGCTTTGGATTAGTTAAAGGACGATGTTCACAGTCACAGTTGCTCTCCAAAAAAAATGAATTTGTACGGTTAGGATTCAGAAAAAAGGTTTTAATCGTGGCTCTCTGGCTTATCATCCTGTACGCTTGTGCAGCCCGTAAACAATTACCTAAGCGGAAGCTCGATGCCTCCCCTGAAGCCTCAAATTCCTCCAAGAAGCCCAAACAAGAGGACGCAGGAGACACACGTGAGTTCCTGCTCCCACTTGTTGTCTTTTGCCAACTTTGCAAAAGGAGATTAATTTAATGTAGCGCAAAGTCTATTAGAAGAAACTTATGCAGAAGAAACCTAAGGGATGGTGATTTAGTTGTGGTTAATGAAAAAAATGTATATTTTGTTGATGCTTTGACAATACCCTTCAGAATGTGTTAATGTAGTTTACTCCGTGAGAGCCCATTGAGATGGTCTCATGTGGAAAGGAGACCTGGGAAATTCTGGATAAGAGGGGTTATTAACTTCCAGTTCAGGTAAACGTGACTGTCATTTCAGATGCGAGCTATTATATCAGCAAACATTGGCCTAATTTCAATAATGAGGTTCCCCAGAGATGACCTGCTAACTAAGGACTAAAACTACGTGAGAATTATATTGCCTGCACTGATAAAATCGTGGTTTGGGATTTAGGCAAACTACTTATGATTAAATTTGGTTCTCAAGTGTCATGGATCAGTGGTCTCAGCCTAGTCGGCAAATACTGCCCCTAAATTAGTTTCCATCATAGCGATTTTGTTTATGACTTAGATTTTTTATATTTCATCTGAGAATTAAAATGTTCAGTTTGCTGATTGTGAACGTTATGAATAGGGTGTATTTCATTACTAATAGTGGCATATAAAAAACACATGTCCCAGTCGTGAGTGTGCAATTTACAGCAGATGCTCTACTTTTGTAATTTTTATTAAAACATTTCCTTGTGGATAGTGACTGCAATAAATGTCCGTATTCAACCACAGTAAAGTGATGTGCACTGTTCTAACTCTCTTTTTATCTTGTTTAAAGCAGCCAAGAAGCAGGAGACGATTCCCACGAGCAAAGAGCACGGGCAGAATGTGGCCGAGCCAATGGACGTGGATACGTCGGCGACTGAAGCAGAGATCACGAAACCAAAGGACAAAGCAAACACAAGCGGAGACTCCGCACACGAGCCCACTGCTGAGGAGGGCTCCCCCGAGCGTGAAAAAAAATCTGTGAAGAAGAAAATTAAGGAAAGGATCATTTCTCCAGATAAGGCAGACGAGTCTTCAAAACAGACACCAAAGAAGAAAGCAACAGAGAAGCCAGCCCCCAACAGCAAGGGCAAAGAAGTCATGAGCAGCTTTTTTGGTGAGGCTACAGTAACGTATTGTACTGCAGTGTTTTTTGTGGTTTCACACAGTCAATAGGGGTGACACCCTGGCAGCGCGCACATGGGGCGTCAACGGAGATGGGGTGAACCAGGTTGTAACCGTTTGTGACCTTCTCGTGCCTTCAGCGCCGAGGAAGAGCTGTGCCAAGGTCATGGAGGAAGAGCAGAAGGTGCCGGAGGAGAATAAGAACACGGCAGATGAAGAGGTAGAGGAAGCGAAAGAGAAGCCGGACAAGGAAAAGGCTGTTGACAAAGATGTTACACCGAGCCCCAAGCCTATTAGCAGGTATTTATAAATCTTTATCAAGATACTCAAGTTTGCTAAACATTCCATAAAGCAGTCGAATCATTGGTCAGTACAGCACAGTGACAAATAACAAAAATTCCTTTCCCTTATAGCCCAAACTTATAAGCTTAACTTTTACTACATATCTGGAGAATGGGTTGAGACTGAAGCAAGATATTTGGTTGATGTTGCTTATAAGAGCAGTTTACAACTTGTCAACATTTTGGGCAGGTATATAGTGTCAACAGGCAAAAGATCAAGACAAATGAAGCGTTACAGAAGTGTGAGCCTTCCTATTTATGTGGAAACTTGTTCTTATTTACAGTAAAACCTTTGATTGCGAGTAACTTGGTCTGCGAGTGTTTTGCAAGACGAGCAACTTTTTTTAAATAAATATTAAATTCATAAACGAGCGAGGTCTTGCAATACGAGTAGTACGTATACGCTTAGTCTGCCGAGCGTCACGTGATCACAACTGATATATGAGTGCTTTGATATACGATTGCTTTGGATTACAAACACGTTTCCGGAACGAAGTATGCTCGCAATCCAAGGTTTTACTGTATTTGTAATTCTTGTTTCGTAAAGTAGATGCAGAATAACTACAATTTCACATACATGTGGTCACGCCACATAACCACATCAGGAGCTGCGGAGTGTATCGCTGTAATGTCTCCGTATTTGTGGATCATCGTGCATTGCGTTGTTATATGTTACGGTCTGTTCTGGACCGCCACAGTCGCACACTGGAGAGTGATTTAATTTTCTATTTGTGCATCGGGTGTCTGCATCTGCCATGGTTTGTGTGGATGCGATTTAGGGTGGACCATGAGCTAGGGTGGACCGATTTAGGATGGATTGATTTGGGGTGGACTATTTTACTAATTCCAACAATGCTACTGAGTGCCATATTGTAAGAGCCGACCCTTCACTATGGAGCACCCCAAAAATTAAGTTACAGTTGGATCCCATTAAAACGCACATTATTTTTCCATGGGACACTTGTCAATGTATAGGCAAATTAATACAATGTTTTTTAGGTGATTTCAACAACCTAAGCATATATATTATAATCAGAATAAATCATAATATTTATTTATATTGGAGGAATCCAATGAGCTCTAAAGTGCTTTTTCACAGATGTCCACTAGAAGCAGGTCAGAATGTTAAATAAATATGTGCAGATGATGAATTATTTACCTCGTTTATGAGTGTTTTATTGCTTATGCCCTCTTAAGCTTTTTTGGAGGTGGAAAAGTGGAGACGTCACCAGGCTCACAAGAAAACTACAATCCCGCGAAAAGCCATTACCACCCAATAAATGACGCCTGCTGGGAACATGAACAAAGGTGAACATTCAGCTTGCTATACAGCACTTATTCGTGTAGCTTCGAGACAGTTGTGATGTATATATCACCCATTCACTTCACTAGGCTTGCATGGTTGATTCAGGCTTGCATGATCTTGCATGATCTCACAAAGATTGCATGATCTCGCCACCATGGGGGTGCCACAGTGGCGAGATGTTAACTACCTCGTCTGGTATGGAGGACGTTGTGGGTTCGATTCCAACCCTGACATCTGTATATTTGGAGTTTGCATGTTCTCCCCATGGTCGCCTGGATTATTTTCCGGGTCCTCCGGTTTCTCCCTCCACATTTCGAATCAACGTGTTTCGAGTATTTGGCTGCTATGATTTTCACGTGATAAACCACTTAATACAGTTGTCATTTGTGACCAGGTCGCTTCTGTAAAATAGTTTTTTAGCTCATTGGGCCTTACCTGGTTAAAAACATATATCCTTGTTTAGATTCAATTCATAATACAATTTGTATCACAGTATCAAAATGTTGCCTGGTTCTCATCCTTATGGAGGTCATTATGAAAAAATAATGGAAGATGTTGACCTTGAATGTAGAGAAAAAGGGCAGGGAACCTACATTTACTGAGCTGAATGCATCTGTGTGCCTCATTCCTCGAATCACCCTCAGCCAGTGTCATCAAAAATTGTGGTCAGGAGTTCATATTTCCGGCCACCCTTCATTGTACGTTGAACTTCTTTCGCACCGTACGAACCCAACCGTGCTTGGCCACATACCAATGTTAGAAACCCTTGTGCCGACATGAATAGGATCTTCCTAAGCAAAGTAACTACGGTGGAGTGTTTGGCTCAATCGATGAGATGAGCAAAGTCGGTTATTTCTGATAGTTATAAAGACATTACTCTTTTTGTAAATGGAGATGATGATCTTTGCGTTATAACTACTAGTTGCTGATGAAATGTGTAATATATTTACATTGTCTTGTGTGTTCAGGGTTCCCTATCTTGCTGTAGCAAGGACGTTTGAGAAAATTGAGGAGGAGTCTGCTCGGTGAGTTGACGGGGAATTCATCTCATAAATATGATAGTTAACGACACAAGTAACTTGATCGTCTCGTGTTTCAAGGCCTTAAAATAATATTATTTTACAAAACAATATTTATTTGGAATATCAAATATACTGTACAATTTACAAATGCCAAATATTTGTAATACCAAAAAACGTTAATTAAAAAAATTATATGACATGTGCTGCAATGAATTTTGGGGGATTTATTTCAGTTGTCAACGATATTTAACACATACAGCCATGTGGTCAGCCCTCAGCTGTGCAAGTCCTTATCTCTAGGTGATTGATACTCTCACAGATTCATACTCTTAGTTCTTTCGGTAAAGTCACGTAGGTAAAAAATGAAATTAAAATTAATAAAAATAAAACATTGAAAATCACGACGTTTCGGAGGCAACACAAGTCTCCGTCATCAGGTGGGACCGTCACAGCCAGATTAGCTGAATCAAGTGAGTCACTTGATTCAGCTGTGACGGTCCCACCTGATGACGGAGACTTGTGTTGCCTCCGAAACGTCGTGATTTTCATTGTTTTATTTTTATTAATTTTAATTTCATTTTTTACCTACGTGACTTTACCGAAAGAACTAAGAGTATGAATCCTTGCAGTCACAAAAGCTTCAAATCTAGAACTCTCACAGATATAATGAAAAGCCATTCCAGGACCTAAGAGCAGTGAAGGAATTTGAGGGTGAGGGACCTCCAGTATTGCAGAACTAAATTGGAAGCTGAGAAATTATTTCTGCGGTTTAAATAAGTGTAAAATAGTGTGAGGAGAAGTGAGATCAGGAAGGTTAGTAAAATGGCCAAGGATGCCCCTAAAGATGAAAAGAGAAGAGAGAGTTTGCCTGCTTGCCCTCCTTTGGCGCCTCACAACAATGTTCACGTTGTCCTCACTTCAGGCTCAAGATCGTGGAGACGCTGAGCAACTTCCTGCGTTCTGTCATAGTACTCACCCCAGACGACCTCCTTCCATGCATTTACCTGTGCCTCAATCAGCTGGGCCCTGCCTACCTGGGCCAGGAGCTCGGCATCGGGGAGACCATCCTCATGAAAGCCGTTGCTCAGGCTACAGGTGTGTGCATGCGATGGGGCGTGTTGCGTAGCGGAAGTTCCACGTGAACACATTTCACAGAGTGTGCGTGTTTTATCAACGGTGATGCTAGGCACTAGGCAGCAGGGTCCATCCCGGTCACCGCGTTCTATCGTCAAACCTGAGGTTTATACTGTGAGCAATACATGGTGAGCATTGGTTGGTGTGAAGTCGACAGGGAGGGATATGTAATTTTTACTGCTGGATTGAGGACAGATGTGGTTTTCATAGAGGGGTGGAATGATGGCAATGTGGGCGAGCATGCTGTTCTGAATTCGGCAACCTAAGAGGTGATTAAAACATGGGAATGGATTATTAATAGCTTTTCAAAGGATTATTGTGAAATGTGCAGATCCAATTTATAAAGCATTTTTAATGCGGATACGTTTTTTATGGTTTTTATGTCATACGATGTACTGTTATTGGACTCAATAAAATATGTAATAAAATGTATTCCTCTCATATATATTCCGTTGAACGTGGCTGCTGGTGTTTGTCCGATTTTCTGATTGTGCCCAGGGCGGCAGCTGGACAAGATCAAGGCGGAGACCCAGGAGAAGGGAGACCTGGGGATTGTGGCCGAGTGTAGCCGCAGCACCCAGCGCACCATGTTCACCCCTCCCAAGCTGAACGCCACCACGGTGTTCAGCAAGCTCAAGGACATCTCCCGCTTGACGGGAAATACTGTGAGCCAACTTAAATTGAGTCCTCTCGTTCATTTAGTACTTCCCTTAATTTATCTGGAGTATCGGAGGCTCTGGTAACCATTTATCGTGTGAAATGTATCCAGTCATTTATATACTGCACCCAGCCTGTGAACGTATGTCCCACCAGTCCACTCTTTCATGTCATAAAACCACCCATTGCACAATATTCATCCATCCCCAACTGACCGCTACCGCGGTGTTCACCAAACTCGAGGACATCTCCCACTTGATGAGAAATACTGAGCCAACTTAAATTGAGTCCACTCATTCATTCTGTACTTCCCTTAATTATCTTGAGCATCAGAGGCTCTGGTAACCATTTTGAACGGCCAGTCATTTATACATTGCACCCAGCTGAGCGTATGTCCCACCAGTCCACTCTTTCATGTCATCAAACCACACCTTTCCTGGATCACCTTGATCCATCTTTTCCTTTGGCCCAACCTTCAATCGTAATTCAAGGAGCCAAGCTGCCGGTGAAGCTTCCACGTTGTGCATATTTCCAGGAATAAGACCCATCTTCGGTCTGACTATTTTTGTTAAAAGCTCTCCACATCGTGAAGCTCTTAGGGGATGCTGATATCCGTTCAAGCTTTGCGTCTGTATCTTTGCTTCCAGTCTATGAACAAGAAGATTGATGTTGTGAAGACCATGTTTGTGGCCTGTCGGCACTCAGAGGCTCGCTACCTCATCAGGTGAGTGCATGGAAGTTGCCAACACCTTGGTCCCTACAATCACTCTCCTTGATTTGTCAAACACCAAATGACAGTGCTCTTTTTTTATTTATTGAATATTTCACTCCCGTTGTGATGGATGACATCCCCACTAGCCACTGAGAATCGCCGTGAGTAGAACAGAGTGAGGCCAAAACCCTATGTTGCAAAGTGTGAGATGTAGGAATTTATCTCTACCATAAGCTGCATTTTCTTGTGTAAAAATCCCCAGTTCTTTTAAAGGTTGCGAATACGCCGTAGAGGTGATGAACAGGGCCCTGTAGTACTTAATGCTAAAGCAGTGCACTCATTGAGACCACTTTGGCTTAAAGCGTTATTTTGAGGTCATAATTGTATCCCTGAGATTAGGCTTAAAGTGATGGATTAAAAACATGAGCACAGCTAAGTTGGAAGTTCCGTCGCTCTCGCCTATGTTGGCTATACATAACTTGACACATATATCAGCAATTACCATTTGACAATAACCTGTATCATATATCTGTAACTATTATTTAAACTGCTCCAAAAACATCACTTAACAATAAACTCCATTAACTATACGACTGGTAAATAGTCATGTGTATCAATAACCAACAGAGATGAGCACTGCCCAATGTTGTTTTTGCTTAGTTGACATTACATAACGCTCGTTGATTTTATTCAGGTCACTGGGAGGGAAGCTGCGTATTGGGTTGGCAGAACAGTCCGTCATCGCTGCCCTCGCCCAAGCCGTCAGCCTGACACCTCCTGGACAAGGTAACTTGGCCATCGGTCATCACACCCGCTGAGGTAACGTGGACCATGTCTGGTGACACTCGTGTGCCATTTGTCACTTATGAGAAGGGGTTGCTGGATCATGTGGAGAGTAGTGGTTCCCAAAATTGTGTTCTGCAAGGCCGAGGGAAGTGATTTGTGGAGAGGTTGCAGGTACAATATTTTTCATGAATGAAATTTCTATCACCAGCTTAAAATCTCAAGTCAGTGATGAACACCGCCTAAATGCTTGTTTAAGAAAAGATACCCTAACTGAATGGTTTGATATACAAGTAAAAGAAGGACCAATCACTGCAATTATCCTTGTTTCTGGCAGAGTTCCCACCGAAGGTACTGGACGGTGGAAAAGGCATGTCGCCTGACTCTCGGAAGGCATGGATAGAAGAGAAGAACCAGATTCTGAAGCAGACTTACTGGTAAGGACTGAACAACAAGATGTATACCACCGTGCAGTGTTTCTGAGACATGGTTGTATAGCTCTTGCCTTCCACCAGTCTAGCCTGTGATCTGAATGGCAAACAACAAAAGCTGGCCACATGGAGCTTTTTTGCCTATAGAGTAGATAATGTATGGCCAGCTCACAGTTGGGCGTTGGTTTCATTGCGTGCTCATGCCCTATAAACAATCTGTTCAAGAATTACTGCCATCCATATCACTCCTCGTCACATTTCCAATTTAGTCGGTATAAAAACTAAGTGAGGGCGGAGTGATTCCAGGTCACGACTAACTTCAGTAGCGAGTGATAATCTGAACCCATCCTGGATCTTCCCCGCCCACCTTCACCAATTGCAGTGAAGCGTGGTCAAACATCTCCCACGTCCAGCACCCATAGCATAGGGACGCTATCATCCAGCGTTGAATTGACAAAGCTGTAATTTTTCGATTTAAAGCTTTCGTGACTGCAGGGATTCATCTTCTTGGTTCTTTCGGTAAAGTCACGTAGAAGGGAAATAATAAAAATAAAACATAATAAAATAATTCTCACTGTAATTGATGCTAATGATGAAGTTGCTGCATTGGTGGACATTTTACAATTGATAAGTTTTTATTAAAGATAATAGTTGGAGTTCATTAACTGAATTTAAGAAATATTGAGGTTCGCCATTAAATTTTTTAATAGGAAAATTTAAATGGTGTGGGTTGGCGCTGTCACCATCGATTTACATAGAACCACCCATTTTTAATTGTCAAGCACGTAAGATAAGGCCACACGGCTGAAACTATGGTCTTCATTTCCCCTCATTGATCGTAAAAGATTACAATTATCATTGACTTAATCTCATTGCAATGTAGTAGCCATGATCTTCTCTATGGAGAAAATCCCCGGATATCACCGGATGAGTGGACTAAAAGGAAATCATAAGATGTTGTTAACCACTGCATCGCAATTGTTGTCTTGGTTCTTTGAATGCTAATGTTACGTTTCTCTTCCAGTGAATTGCCAAACTACGACGTGATTGTGTCAACCCTGCTCAAAGAGGGCCTGGATAACTTGCCCAAGTTCTGCAAACTCACCCCAGGTAAAATGCGCCCGTTAGCATAATTCTCATTATCGTCCATTGTTAATGCACTGCTGCATGAATGTGTCCTCCACGCCGACATCATTGCTCAACTTCGCTGTTCTCATGTACATGATGCTGTGGCAGGAGTGCCCATGAAGCCCATGCTGGCACACCCAACCAAGGGCATTGGAGAAGTGCTCAAGAGGTTTGATGAAGCAGCCTTCACTTGCGAGTACAAGTATGATGGAGAGCGGGCACAGGTACGGCTGTGGGGTTATTCATTTGCAAGTTATTTTCCCGGGTTATCTGGTGGCTCAAGTAGCTCTAATGCACCCGTGTCAAAACACACTGAGCAAACACACTGCTGAGGTCTCGCCTGATTACACAAAATAAACTTGAGATCCTCGGTGGGAGTCCAGACAGCCACCAGTGAATTAACCAGATTGGTAGGTGGGCTGAGTTGATAGTCTGAGTTTACCTGCTATAATTTATAAACAGGATAATTGACATGGCAATCTAATATTTAATCAGTGTAAAATTGTTACGTAAGTGACTACTATGAAACCCCTCTTTCATCATTCTGAGCAACTCTTTGACAAGCGATGCTCTGCTGAGTAGGAATTCTGCAAGGATATTTATATATTTTTCCTGTTTGGCAAAATTTTGGAAGTACAATCTTATGTAACTGATTATATATTCTAAAAAAAACAGTTTTGAAAGATATTTCTTAGTCTACATGGATTAGTAATAACAAATGTCTCCCAGCCAGATCACATTACATCGCCAGTTTGATTTCTGTTGCTGCTCTGTTGTTAGCAGAGGGATTAGAAAAAGTACATGTGGTTTGCTGTGAAGTGAATCCTTACCTCAACGACCCTTGGACAGTATTAATATCTTAACTGAAGTGTGTGCCGATGTTGGCAGCCTGTAACTTCCCACTGCTGTGCATAGGCTTCCATCATTTTCTTCCATTTCTTACTTTTATTCATTGCCCTTGTTCACACACGTCCTCCAAACTCTTTAATTTATTTTTCTCACCATCTCCTCCACTGCCTTCTGGTTATTTTGCCTTCTTCTGCTCTACACTGTCTAGTTAATTTTGTTAATCTCTCATCATTTGTTCTCAAGACGTGTCCTGCCCATTTATGCTTTATTTACTTTGCTTTAACAGGAGCATCGGCCGGTATGTTATCCAAAATTGAACAGTAAAATTACTGCACCTATAAGTTTGGAATATAAATTAAAACTCTTTAAGTGGTAAATTAGCTCACATTACTATTTTTTTATTGGCTTTTCCCTAATAATTTAATGACGTTTTATGTTAGATTCATCTGTTGGAGAATGGGGACATCCATATCTACAGCCGAAACCAGGAGAACAACACCAGCAAGTACCCTGACATCATCAGCCGTTTTAGCAAGGTTGGCCAACGCTATAAACCACACACACCTGCATGAAGTTACTGGGCAACTGATGGTCGTGTTGGCTTATTGAATTGGCACTGCCGAGATCCTCGATTCAAATCCGTGAATCTGTCTTAAATTTATACTACATCACTGCACAAAAATTACATTGTGGTCTTCTGTGCATACATTGTTGTACGTATATGCAGTAAAATTTACATGTAAAATTTGATACGCAAATAATATTTGGATATGTTCCTTGGTGACCCGCCCATACTGGACATCCGTGGAAAAAAGCTTCATAGCTCATCGGATTCCTCCAGGATAAATACATATTCTGTTTGTGAATGTTTGACATTCTATCCTGGTTAAAGGAATTTCAGAAATTACATTTTTGACTTAATGACAACCATATTTTATCTTCACAGACAAGGGTGACAGCAAAAACAGATCTGTTGCCATGCGGATAGAACGTAGTAAAAAAGAAAATCTATAAATTATACATCAGGCACCAGATGTGAAATGTTGCCGTGTGAACATGCTCCCTGCAGGTCAAGAAGGAGCACGTGCGTTCATGTGTCATCGACTCGGAGGCCGTAGCCTGGGATCAGGAGAAGAAGCAGATTCAGCCCTTCCAGGTGCTCACCACCCGCAAGCGGAAGGTGAGAAATGATGCCCTCAGCGCCCCAGCAGGTAGCCGTCGCGTAATTCAATGCTGACCGACGGCAGCTTGGGTGTGCGACCGAGCAGTTTGCGTGCTCCCTGCCAAACAATTTTTATCTGCTGTTGGCAGTTTGCTCCTTCAAGCCAGCGAGCAAGAAATAAGATGACATTCTTTGTCTCGTGTGAAATTAGTGTGAGGTTGTGGAATTTTATACCTCCGCAAACCGTGCAAAACAATTACAGTGAGGGAAAAAAGTATTTGATCCCCTGCTGATTTTGTACGTTTGCCCACTGACAAAGAAATGATCAGTCTATAATTTTAATGGTAGGTTTATATGAACAGTGAGACAGAAGAACAACAAAAAATCCAGAAAAACGCATGTCAAAAATGTTATAAATTGATTTACATTTTAATGAGGGAAATAAGTATTTGACCTCTCAGCAAAACATGACTTAGTACTTGGTGGCAAAACCTTTGTTGGCAATCACAGAGGTCAGACGTTTCTTGTAGTTGGCCACCAGGTTTGCACACATCTCAGGAGGGATTTTGTCCCACTCCTCTTTGCAGATCTTCTCCAAGTCATTAAGGTTTCTAGGCTGACGTTTGGCAACTCGAACCTTCAGCTCCCTCCACAGATTTTATATGGGATTAAGGTCTGGAGACTGGCTAGGCCACTCCAGGACCTTAATGTGCTTCTTCTTGAGCCACTCCTTTGTTGCCTTGGCCGTGTGTTTTGGGTCATTGTCATGCTGGAATACCCATCCACGACCGATTTTCAATGCCCTGGCTGAGGGAAGGAGGTTCTCACCCAAGATTTGATGGTACATGGCCCCGTCCATCGTCCCTTTGATGCGGTGAAGTTGTCCTGTCCGCTTAGCAGAAAAACACTCCCAAAGCATAATGTTTCCACCTCCATGTTTGACGGAGGGGATGGTGTTCTTGGGGTCATAGGCAACATTCCTCCTCCAAACACGGCGAGTTGAGTTAATGCCAAAGAGCTCCATTTTTATCTCATCTGACCACAGCACTTTCACCCAGTTGTCCTCTGAATCATTCAGATGTTCATTGGCAAACTTCAGAAGGGCATGTATATGTACTTTCTTGAGCAGGGGGACTTTGTGGGCGCTGCAGGATTTCAGTCCTTCACGGCGTAGTGTGTTACCAACTGTTTTCTTGGTGACTATGGTCCCAGCTGCCTTGAGATCATTGACAAGATCCTCCCGTGTAGTTCTGGGCTGATTCCTCACCGTTCTCATGATCATTACAACTCCACGAGGTGAGATCTTGCATGGAGCCCCAGGCCGATGGAGATTGACAGTTCTTTTGTGTTTCTTCCATTTGCAAATAATCGCACCAACTGTTGTCACCTTCTAACCAAGCTGCTTGGCGATGGTCTTGTAGCCCATTCCAGCCTTGTGTAGGTCTACAATCTTGTCCCTGACATCCTTGGAGAGCTCTTTGGTCTTGGCCATGGTGGAGAGTTTGGAATCTGATTGATTGATTGCTTCTGTGAACAGGTGTCTTTTATACAGGTAACAAGCTGAGATTAGGAGCACTCCGTTTAAGAGTGTGCTCCTAATCTCAGCTCGTTACCTGTGTAATAAAGGACTCAGACGCTTCTCTTTGACTCCGTGTCCTTTATTTGGGGTTCGCGTTCTCCTTCCCTCACGGCACTCCTCCTGAGACTCTCTGCCTGGCAGCTCCACAGCTGCCTTCGCTCCCGTAGCCTTCCGCGTTCCTGCAGCTCCGCTGCAGGCTCTTGGTGCAGCCCTCTGGCTGCTCTCACAGCAGCTCCATCGCTGCTCCCTGTTCCTCCGTGCGTGGCGATCTCGCCACCTCCCAACGTCAGCCCTTCGTGGCCTCTGTGGCTATCTCGCCATCTCCTACCTCAGCCCTTCGTGGCCTCTGTGGCTATCTCGCCATCTCCTACCTCAGCCCTTCGTGGCCTCTGTGGCTATCTCGCCATCTCCAACCTCAATCCTCCACTCTCTCTTCCACCCCGCTGGCTGGCGCCGTCATGAGCCCCTCAGCCACCAGGCTGAGGCACGGCGACCACCCAACGTGTTTACCACCCTTCACTCCCCCGACTGACCCAGATGGCTTCCTGTCTCCCCGCTATAACTTCTCCCCCACGTGACCCTGACTCCTCCCTCTCGGATCGTCATATCCGCCCCACCCATTTACGCCCGCATTACACCTGTATAAAAGACACCTGAGAGCCAGAAATCTTTCTGATTGAGAGGGGGTAAAATACTTATTTCCCTCATTAAAATGCAAATCAATTTATAACATTTTTGACATGCGTTTTTCTGGATTTTGTTGTTATTCTGTCTCTCACTGTTCAAATAAACCTACCATTAAAATTATAGACTGATCATTTCTTTGTCAGTGGGCAAATGTACAAAATCAGAAGGGGATCAAATACTTTTTTCCCTCACTGTATGTCCTCAACAAAAGAGAAGTGTTATTAATCAATTTAGCTGATGTTCTACAATCTTGTGATGGATTTTTTTGCAATCGCTTTCCTCTGCAGTATTTGCCCAAGGTTGTCTAACACGGGTTGGATCATACTGCAGCATTTTGCACAGGGGAACTAAGTTGTGATTTAAACTATAATATAAAATGTTAATATCGTCAGCAAATGTAACACATGTAAGAGTTCAGAATAATGCAGCTCTCATTTTATGGTGCTTTGTTTCAGGATGTTGATGCCTCAGAAATTAAAGTTCAAGTCTGTGTCTATGCCTTTGATCTGCTCTACTTGAATGGGGAGGTAAGATTAACGAAATAAAAACGTTTCTCTCTGGTGCCTTTACACATTGGCGGGAAGGAACGTGTCTTTTCGGAGTTAATGGAGACACAGAAAGGTGAAGATCTCTGCTGTGCATAATGACCCATCAGCCAACTTGTGATCGGGGATATTCCAAGATGTGGCGGCTGATGCACCATCGCTGTACAGCCAGGTATAGCCTATGACCAGATCATCTGAATGGACCTCCGAAGACAAGCAGATCTGAGCCCGGATAGTGTTTGGATGGGTGACCACCTTGTTGACCAAGTGTTGGGCTTGCAGAGCTAAATTGTGGGCAGCAGAGGGCAGTGCAGCAAAATCCATTGTTGCATTTCTTTACCCCCACGCCTTTCTCTGCACCATCTCTCACTGACCACCGTAATAAGATATGGTCAACTACCCCTAATACGACCCACGTAGCGTTCGGAGGCCTTTCTTCGGCAGTCGATTCACAAAAGGGCTAATCACGCACTTATGTAATATTATGCTTATCATGGAGGGCCACACACTATCAACAGTTGCGCTTGCCACATTGAGGCTTCAAAACGCACTGAGCAAATGTGTTTAGCATCTGCCGTGCGCCCTATGTGCAGTCGCTGGTGAAGGAGCCGTTCCGGCGCCGGCGGGAGCTTCTGCGTGCTGCGTTTGAGGAGGTGGAAGGGGAATTCATGTTTGCCACAGCCATGATCGGCTCGAACACGGAGGAAATTGCGGAGTTCCTGGAGCAATCTGTTCGTGGTGAGTACCCCCTTGCACCCAGGGCATCAGAATCCGAATATTTATTTACACGCGAGGAATCCTATGAGCTATAAAGCTCTTTTTCACAGATGTCCAGTAGGGACACAGAGTCAGAACGTGACAACAACAAACATAAGGGGGCCTCGCTTGTCAAAGGTTGCGGTAAATAATTTTGAGAGTTGGATGTTTGTCGAGTTGGTCAAGTGACCCGGCAGGATAATGCCCAGATAGCGTCACTTGGTCAACACCTCCGACACTTTTGGGTTTGAATTTGGGCAGTCAGCCATCGAGGTTAAACCTTTTTCTCAAGTATATTGAGTTGATGGTCTTTATCTATGGGTTCTTTTTGACAGTATAAAAACGATGAATTTTTTTTGCATGTTTGTTTGCATGTTTGCCAGAAGTATGTGCTTAATTTTAATCCAGGATCTCAATATATTTAGTGTTCGAATAGCTTAACAACTGCTTTATTGCCAGAAAGAGTAAACCTTATTCTTCAAATTTTTTCATCGTTTTGAAGGTCTTTGCCCATTTATATGTGACTTTGTAACAACAAGAACAATGTACTTCATGTGTCTGTGAGATGGAAGATGTTTCTGCACAAGATAGAAGACAGCTTATAAGAGAGATGTATCCATAAGAGAAGTCAATTATTTATGGTCATTGTTTTTCACGTGTAGATTCTTGTGAAGGCCTCATGGTGAAGACTCTTGATGTGGACGCCACCTATGAGATTGCCAAGAGGTCCCACAACTGGTTGAAGGTGAATATTATTTCTCAACTTCTTGAATGGGTTGTACATTTTTGTTTTCGAATCGATACTTATGAGGTTTTACCCTCCTCGCCGGTATTGCTCTGCGCTGCATCGTGTGTGGCGTCGTCACCACGTCGGGGACATGATCCACTGTCTCAAACAGCTAAAGAAGGACTACCTGGAGGGGGTTGGAGACACCCTGGACCTGCTGGTGGTAGGTGGATACCATGGCCGGGGCAAGCGCACGGGCACGTACGGTGGCTTCCTGCTCGCTTGCTACGACGACGAGAACGAGGAGTACCAGACAATCTGCAAGGTGAGGAGCTCCGCCAACGCGCTCGCCCGGCGCAATGCCGGCACTCGCCAAAAACATACACAGACATTTTTAGAGCCGATCCTCACTGAGCCTTAAAACCTTTTTTAATTTAGCATATGAGGGGTAATGGCTTCACCTCTGCCATCTCTTGGCTGGCTACCTTTTGTGGCCCCAGTGCAATCAGCTGGAATTCATTGGAATGTCCAGTGTCTAATGTAACAGCTTGGAAAACAATAATCGCTAATGATATACTAGCAATTGAATTGTTTTAACATTAGCATATTCCCACATTCACATTCCGATGACGTACGTGTATGTCATGAGTTTTTCTTCCGGTTCCGTTTCGATGACGTACACTTGACAGAACGGAACCAGAAGAATAACTTAACTAAAAAACTTTATCGGTAGCGAGGTTCCCACAAGGCCCATACGGGAGGGCATGTAGCACAGTTTGGCGTCAGCTATCATAGAGTGCGGTCGTGTCGTTACGGTTTTCTGCGGTGAGTACAATATCATTAAAAACAACGGCGCTTTGTCTCTCTAAAATAAAATTAACACTCGACTCACTAATTACTAATAACTTCACTAATTACACTGACAGCACTAATCACCAAAAAGACCAGGGAGTGCCACAAAAGAGATCTCTTTGCTGATGTTTCTGATGGTAATGTGGCCGCCGCAGGTGTGGATGCATAGGAGAGTGTTGTCACATCCAGTACCAATCATCCGATTGTATTCATGCACGTTTGTTAACGTGCTTTTAATTTATCCGCAGATTGGCACGGGATTTAAGGATGAAGACCTGGAGAAGCATGCTGCCTTTTTTAAGGTGAGAGTTCCAAATGATTCCGCAGTATGTTATGATTTTTGTTGAAATTATTTTTTTTTGTATCTTATCAAACCAAGTAGAGCACTGGATGACATCCCCACAACTTCACAGTGAATGGAGCATATTAATTTTGATTTACATTTCATTAGCATTTAGATCATTAATCTGGCCTCAATATCATGTTGAATCAACAACAAAAATAAGTATCCGGTGTGGTGTGTTATCAGCGCTTGGAAATGAAAGCAGCTGGGCTTGGTGCTAGTCATTCCGCACCCTTGTATACCATGCCAGCCTTACTCGGTGCTTGTTAACAGCACTTGCCTCCGATTACGATGGTTGGCGACGTACGTTGTGAAAGAAGCTCAACATACATACGAGTCTTTATAGCTGAAATATAGGGTCTTTGTTGTTGCGTATGTTGGTGATTCCATATATATATACCCCCATGCAGAGCCATCCCTAGGCTAAAGCCACACAAACAATATGCAAGTCTAATATTCTTAGGTTTTTTTGGTAAAGTCACGTAGGTAAAACATCAAAATTAATAAAAATAAAATAAAGATCACGACGTTTTGGAGGCAACACATCGTGATCTTTATTTTTATAAACGTCGTGATCTTTATTTTATTTTATTTTTATTAATTTTGATGTTTTACCTACGTGACTTTACCGAAAAAACCTAAGAATATGAATCCTTGCAGTCACGAAAGCTTCAAATCTAGAATAAATGTGCAAGTCTCTCGCATTTAAGGTTCCAAGTCTCCACTGCCACCCCCGCCTTCCACACCAGCACGGTGAAGTTTGGTCGAATAACCCCCCCACCCCCCCGATATCCACAGTGCGTGGGGAGGCACTTGTGCAGCAGTTGATTAACAAAGGGGATGTCTGTATGTATGATTTATCTTCGTGTGTGGACCTGCAGGAGCATGTGATTGAGCGTCCGCGGTCGTACTACCGCTTCGAGAGTGGCGCAGAGCCCGACCACTGGTTCGACGCTGTGCAGGTGTGGGAGGTCAAGTGTGCCGACCTCTCAGTGTCTCCGGTCTACAAGGCAGCCAATGGCCTGGTACAAACGTGCACACACGCACCCAAAACAAAGACAAAGATCCCCCGTACAGTCTTGTTGGGGCACGTGCTGTTAGCGAACACCTATGAAGGCCGAAATGGCACACGAGGGGGTGGGTGGCCAACACCACGCCCGGCCGCCTTTGTCTCCTTAGTGGTGATGTTTACACACTGCACTAGGTACGTACTTATTTGAGACTTAGTCTACCTAGGGGAGGCCCAGGATCGGTACAGATAATCGTCACTTGTGTTGGCCGTGAGCGGGAATCTGGTTCGGGGTGCTGGGTTTGTAGCGCAGCGCGCTAACCGCTACACGATACACACACCCAATATTATCGCACACCGGTGGCGAGGTGTTAACTCCCTCGCCTAGTATACAGAAGGTCGTGGGTTCGATCCCGACCCTGATGCCTGTATTTGAAGTTTGCCTGTTCTCCCCGAGGTCACGTGGAATTTTCCTTCCACATTTAGAAACATGCGTTTGTAGAGTATCTTCCTGCTATACATTTCCACATGATAAGCCACTTCGTTGAGCTATCATTTGTGGCCAGGTCGCATCTGAAAAAGAGCTGTATAGGTCAGTGGGCCTAACTTGGTCAAATAAAAAATTGGTTGGTTTAATCTTATGCATGTGTTCGTAAACATATATCCATATACGCCGTGTACGCATGTATACATAATGCAGACACATTAATTAACACCCTCAAAAACACACGTAACCACGCATTGATGCATGTGTGTGACAACACCTTCTGTACCACCCTTCCACCTCTGAAGCGCTTCCTCCACCGTGCTGCCCCTTGCACCCATCTTCCTGTCGCCCTGCCCCTTCGGCCAGTGGGTTGCTCAGAATGTGTACCACATATCTGTTTTACATTAACTTAATTATAAAAAGTCGTAATTTCTTGCAATAGTAATCTGATTACACAGCGACAAAGGTGTCATGATATGTTGGATTACCCTTACTTGCCACATTGGATTGCTGCCATTGCCTAATACTTATAATGGGTTATTACAGTCATGATTTACCTATTATGTGTTTCATGCCTTTAATCCTCACCACTGACGAGAGTAAATACTATACTCTTTGTTTTTTTTGTCGATAAAGTCACGTCGGTAAAAATAAATAAATGAAAAAACAACTAAATTAAATCACGACGTTTCGGAGGCAACACAAGCTTCCGTCGGTTCCACCTGAAAACGGAAGCTTGTGTTGTCTCCGAAACGTGCTTTAATTGAGTTTTTCATTTATTTTTATCTACGTGACTTTACCGAAAAAAACAGAGTATGAATCCTTGCAGTTACGAAAACTTCAAATCTAGAGAGTAAATACTGCCATTCATTGACCGTCGACCTTCGCACGCGGAGCCCGACACTGATAGATGGATCCATGGGTCTTCTGCGCCCTCTGTGCTGCGTACAGGTGGACAAGCAGAAGGGCGTGTCCCTGCGCTTTCCTCGCTTTCTCCGCGTGCGTGACGACAAGAAGCCAGAGGACGCCACCAGCAGCTCGCAGGTGCGGTCAGAGCGCACGTCGCTGCGCTAGGACGCGATGTCACGCAGTGGTGGCCCGTGGGTAAATGTAATGGTCGCCACTTGATGCAGTTTATGATATATATGAGCAGTTGTGTATTCTACTCTGAGACCTCCTTTACCAGTGGCAAAATATAGTAGTAGGTTTTTACCCTTTCAACTGTACCAGTTGACTGTACCAGTTGAAAGGGTAAAACCCTACTACTACAGTTGTGTATTGTTTAACGTTTTTATTTTTTTCCCGAGTAGGACCCGGCCCATAATGACTGGTCGCCATTGATGCAGCGACAGCTGTTTGGTTATTCTAATAAGCCTTGGCGTACGCCCCTCGCAGAGAAACGTGTGCCCAAAGAACTTTCCGTTTATGATCTTATCCAAGCTTATTTTAATGATGGCATGCTGTAGTTCTTCACCTAGATATGTTTTGACAACAATACATTACATTTTCCAGCAGTAAACCCCTTTTTTATGTCTTTGGTGCATAATTTTTTTATTCAAAGTGTGCCCTTGCTCAAATGGAAATTTGGGCAGTGGTTATTTCGAGTTTGCAATTCTGAGCCAGTGGAAAAAATTTGTATACATTTTATTGCCTGGTCCAGTTTTTTCCATTGGTCCATCCATCGTTGAACAAAACTTGTGTGATCATTCTCTCAATGCAGGAACATTCTGATGGAAATTCAAGTGCTGCTATTTCACCACACCGCCAGATGTATTGTTCCCGATGATAAAATAGTCACTTTGTGTGCGCAATGTTTCTAACATCAGCAGACATTTTGACGTGTAATTTGTCACAGCTTGCTTGCTCTTATGTTTGAAGTCGACCGCTTTGCTTAACAGCCGTGCATGTAATGTGTGTGTGCAGGTGGCAGAGCTTTATAACAAGCAGCAGCAGATACAGAATCAGAAATCATCGGTGGCCGAGGATGTGGGCGAAGAAGAGTTTTACTAGATGGACATTGCATATGCAAGCCTCTTCCGTGTCGGGGGGGGGGGGATCCAGAGTGTTTGGGTCAGTCTCGTTGCTGAAACCAGCCTACTACCGACTCGACCTCTAACAATTCACTAACACAACATTTTTGTTCCTGGGTAGTAAGTGTTCTTTTCTAATTGATTGTGCCTCAAACGTATGGAAAATGGCTACTAATATTCCCCACAAACTTTGTTTTTGTGACCAGGACAGTGATATTTTTAAATTTACCTATTTTCAATGAGAAAACGTGATGTGTATATGTGTCATTCCTTCACATAAAGTCCTGGTCACAAAAGCAAAGTTTGTGGGGTTAATATAATTTTCTGTACTTTTGAGGCATAAAGCAATTAGAAAATAACACTTACTACCCAGCAACAAAATTTTTTTATTTTTTTGTTACACAGTATATAATTCAGCTTCCATGGGGGCACATTTGCGTGAAAATATGCGGTGGTTTCACGAGACCAGGTTTTATTCTACGTCCATGAGTATCCTTTCGGGGAATTTGTACAAGTAGTGCCTTCTGAAGAATAAATACCACATTATAACCTGTCAATATCTCCGTGGTTCACGGTGAAACTAACTCGGCAACGGCTCGCTGCATATTTTATGTGCCCGAGAAAAATAAGTGTTATTTTCACAAGTTTCTGTAGAGTAGCAATTGTACAGAAGACAATCCTTATCTGTCCACTTGTAGGATTTGTTTGCGAAAGCCATGCTGGACAGGATAGGGTATGAAAGTTATTCTAAAAACATTTACCAGGCGTGTTCTTTCTGGTGTTGTAATTAAATATCTTTAATAGTTCTTGTTTGATAAGTGGCTGAAAACCCCCTTCCTATTACGTTAAAACTACTAGTTATTAATGTTCTTCTTAAAGTAATCAGACTTTTTCGGCTGGTCACGTCTTCAATAGATTGGTGAATACAAACAGCGCTCCAGTTTTGGGCTCAGCACATCCATCATTGGCCCTTCTCCCATCTCAAGTCTCGCCACTTTTAAAATGCATTGGTGATCCCCACCCCAAGCTGTTGCATAATGCTCTGATGGACACCGAGGCAAACCCTATGAAGTAATAAATAAACAAATGCCAGCCGAGTTCAAATAATGTGCTAGATTCACATTGGTGAGCTAGCATTGGTTTAGGGGGAAAGCTGACGTGAGCACACAATCTTTATTTGTGAGAAAGGTGGAACATTCAAATTAGATTGGTCAAGAGAGTAATTTGGAAATGGCTGGGAAAGCCATGTACAAGTGGGGGGGGGGTCTTGGGGGAGCATAGGTGAGACAAAGGGTGGACTTGGTGGAGAGGCAAGGGAGGTTTGAGAAGGATGAGGGGGATAAAAGGAGTCATTAAAGGGATTTGCGAGGATCCTTAAATAAATTCTGCTACGTGTTGCATGTTGCGGTGTTTTATGTGCCGAAGAAAATAAAGAACAAGTTTAAGACTTGCCCGGCTGGAACTCCTTTGCACTATCACAGCTCTACGTGCTAAGGAAACTAGCCTCACTCAAGACATCCTCAACTGGGAAATATAAACTACCTGCTTTTGCTTTGATCACTGACAAATCCATACACTTGTCCATATATATAACTTGATCAAGGAAGCCTCAGTTCTCTAATAACGGTAAACTGCTTTCATTCATCCTAATCTAAAAGGTGGATTTACAGATTTCCTTGATTTGTACTGGCCAATTTCAATTGCGTCACCACAAACCAAAATATGAGAAAATTCTCAAGACCCAAATTAACAATTGCACCCCTAAAAATTGGCTTCACTCTAAATAATTGGGCTTCTGTAAATATTGAGACTTCCACAGTGCTCAACTCCCTTGGTTTAACACATTCCTGCGGAGGGAGCTGGTAGGAACGTTGGGTTGCTCGGTCCAAGGCCAGGGTCAACGGCGGCGTGGTGTATTCCGCAAATATGCCCAACTGAGGGCGGGCACAAGCCGGTGTGAGTAGGTTAAACGTTGAGTTTTATAAGGGCACCACGGGGTGACCAGCCCCTCCCCACCCAGCCCCACCACCCTCCCCTCTCCACCCCTCCCATTTTTTGATGCACGACGGACGGACACAATAATCCCCTGTGGGCTGGTGGAACCAGGTGGTTCCTACCAGTATTATTTTATACTGGACAGTAAGCAATGATGTGCCAATAGTAGTCAAACAAGATGGTGGACCGTGTCACCCAATTAAAAGATTGGCAAGCCTCACTTTCTCCAGGCATACAATTGACTAGTTCAATAGCAACCTTTCTGAATGAAATTAGGTTGTTTCAGTTGAAAACCTTGTATTTAAAAAAAATGTAATCACATTGGGAGTTCCACAAGTGATTCTCCCTTCTATGTAATTGATCTGAGAAACCAACTTTAATATCATTGATTTTTGCTGTTGATACTGCAATAATGGTAACTGGAAAGTCACCAAGTGATTTTGACCTCACTGAGAATCTTATTTCCATGAAATAAAACCAAAGTAATGCTTCTCTTTGTTTTGAACTTCTTTCACACCGTACATAGCCAGCAATGCTAAGTGGAGGTGGGGAAGAACAAGCTAAAACAGCAGTTATCAGGAAATTAGTTTCAATTTTGAAAATTCTACTTTGCAATGAGAGATCCTGCCACATTTCCAACCCAAGTTGCCTGGATAATCAACAAATATAGCAAATGTAGGAGCACATCGCAAACAAGAATAAAATTGGTTCCCTATACATAAAAAACCTGCATACATCTATACTATGTTTAGATATGGTAAGAGTAACCGTACTTCCAAATGTTTTGACTTTTCAAATAAGCTAAACTCACTCTCGCATTCGGCCCTTCGCTTCCCACTGAACGCTCCCTTCAGTACCCACCATTGCAACATTGATTGGTTCAAACTTGAAATTCCTCTGCCCGTAGACACATCCATTAGGCGTGTATATTCACACTATCCAAGGAACAATGGAATAATAGAAAAAGCCTGGAATGGGATGATCTGGAACATCACCCGGCATACGGCCCCACACCGAGCCCTTTCAAACTTCCGTCTGTTAAACCCCGGATAGAAATTCCACGTGGAAGGCGATTCCACATTGTTGAGGCTGTAAAAGCAGTGCTAGAGTCGTGGCTTATGGAAACCTGCGGGCTGATTGGGGCACGTGGATTTAAGTAAATGGTGACTTCAGAGAAATGCTTTGCCATGTTGATACATGTTCGATGTCAGCAACTTATTAAAACGCAAGTCGTGTTTTTGCAGGCAAGTATTAATTTTATATATTGCATTTCAGGTATTTTTCACTATTTCCATAGCTTTGACTATTGTTTCCTCTTAATTGTATGTTGGAACCTTTTTCGCACCGTACTTAGGTAATCTTGCTAATCGGAGGTGCGGGGGGGGGATTGGCAGAATGGCAGCTTCTGCAATCACATTACACCCCAAATCTTCGTTGATATTACACCAGAAAATGTGTATATTTACCCAAATAAATGTGTGCGCATCAATTTACGTGGGAATGTGAACCCCGTCAGAACAAGCAATGCGACTAATCTCATGCAAACACCCCCCCCCACCCCCCCAATGAAGACACCTCCAATGAAAGATGTTTCGTTCTTTATTCAAAAAAAATTTAAAGAAACATCTCGGTACACTAACATTTCTTAAAGACTACACTTTGTACAAAAAGAATTCTTTCAAGTATAGACAGTAACAAAATATAAGGTATAAAACACAACACAGGTGGTCAAATGAAAACAAAATTGAAGAGATTGCAGCAGCTCTACTCAGTCGCCTACACTACCACACAGTATACACAGCAGAAGAGTTCGGGAGAGAGGGGGGGGATGGAGGAGCAATGCAGCCAATCTGCATGGGACAGCGAAAGCCAAAGGACCCATTTTAACCGTCAGCATCCCGTATAAAGGGAAATGTTGATGGCTTACCCCTAACTCTAATCTACGTTTGGAAAAAGAAAAAAAAACGTTGTACGTCATCTTCAAATCATTAAGTGTTACCACAGGTCAATGAAATCGGAACACTTTACAAAATGATCCGAATGCATCTTTCAACCAAAATATTTTAATCCTACTGCCCAACTTACAATCGCCGCCGCTCGCAAATACGGAAAATGGGGGGGGAAGAGACACCACCTTCCAACCTAAGCAGATGCCTTGGGGGGGGGGAGGGAACATTTAGGATAATACTGTCTGCCAGCATTTTATTCAGTGGCGGACAAGTGGCTGGACAAAATGTACAAATAGAAAAATTGCAGCAGCAGCTATAAAAGAATCTCACCCTGAGCAGTCCCGTGATGACTGCCCAGTCAGGGCCACATTTTCAAATGGAAGTGAACAAACATTCTCGGTGATCTGCAGATCAATGAGACAACTGCATGAATGGTACACGTTGCACATGTTGTATGTCGGGCTTTTTTTTAAAGGGGCAATGTACGTGGTTAGATAAGCAACTTCTCCACGATTGAAAACTCAATACCTTAAATTAGCAAGCAAATAACCTTTATTTTTAGTTAAAATTGAGCATTCTTAAAACTGAGCGAATTGAGCAGTTGTATACGAGCATAATAGGTTAAGGGGCATTTAAAAAACATTCAAAGTTGCTATTGGAAACAATGGGGGGGTTTGGATAGCTGGATTTATGCTATTTCCAGGTAAAAAAAGCAAGAATCTAATTGGCAAGTAATTCCTGAGTAATTACTGCATTATTCAATGGTGCGGATCATGTCAACAAAAATACGAGAATTCATATTAAGAAAACATTAACCAAAACGTGAAATGTTTGTGTTGTCTGACCTATCTGCCACCCAATTGGTTATATCCAGCACCACATTTGCTAAAATTACTGTAACTTAATACAGCCCACCCCAAACATAACTCAGCTGTTGTCAGTCAAGAAACTCCATACCATCGAAAGAAACCTCCTGTGAGCAATTCAAAGACTCAACATTATAGTTACAAAGTGGCTTAGTAACTATTGTTATCAATGTTATATCGAACTATTGATGCAGGCATACGAGATGCAGAAGTAATACATTTAGAGGGCTGCATACAGTTGAACACGGAGCATCACCGGGTATATTTCTTTGACATTTAAAATGGCCAAAACGCTGTCAACACAAGCAGGCTAAACAAGTGCCATTTCCATACACCGCCGTTGAAAGCGACCCGCAACATACACGCATGTGCGTCGATTAACTCCAAAGCACTTAGCGGCAAGAGGTACTGAGGTGGCTTAGGGCATCCCTATCAGGATACAGAGCCCAATAATGGGCCTTGAGATCTTGGCCCAAGCATCGATGATTTCACAAAGAACAAACAAAAATCACACATTACTAATTCGTAACTATAAGGTTGATTCGGAGTTCAGTGGAAGCCCAGTCAATTAATATTTGCTTGTACATCAAAACACGTTCCTTCGGAGTGGGCAGGTAGGAACTTGGTTGGACAGCGCATTTGTGCACGACCATACAAATAATCCCTGGTGGGCAGTGTGGAACCTGTTGTTCCTACCTGTACAACACATTTAAGCTATATGAGAATTCACTTCACTAGCTTGTCTAAATTGAGCTAAGACCAAATGAAGTTCAAATGTCACTTTTGTTAGTTCTTTGTGGGATCAACAGTTGAGCCGAGAGATAACAGGAGGCCACAGTACCTCTGTAGTCGGACAGGGATCCCCCTGCGAAAATGCAAGTAGCATTCTACAAGAACTTTGGAGTTTACCAGTGCACATGTTGCATGTTGCTATCAACTGCAAGATATGAAAATGCCAATTGTTTGCCCTGCTTGTGTAGACCATGTTTTATACATTTGAAATGCCTAATAATTATACGTGGTAATGTACCGTGTTCAACAATGCCCGGGCCTGTCATGTTTCTGCATCTTGTATCCTTGCATCAACTCTGTCAATATGCGTACATTAAGTTTAACACGTAGGCTTTCGCGAGCAATATTAATCATAATAAAGGTTTTTGGGTTAGATCGCGTTATTTATAAATGTGTCGCAACCCTCCACTACCCGACACGGCCAATCAGCAAAAAATGTGTCACGTTGACAACAGACAAATAGTTCACTACTTTAGCCCACCGGTGTGTTGAAGAGTGAATCCACAACATTCAACATTTTTTAGTACGACGTTTCGCTGGATGTTGTGGATTCACTCAACACACCGGCGGGCTAAAGTAGTGAACTATTTGTCGTTTGTCAACGTTACACATTTTTTTACTGATTGGCCGTGTCGGGTGGTGGAGGGTTGCGACACATTTATAAATAACGCCATCTAACCCAAAAACCTTTATTATGGATGCATAAATGAAAATAGCATCACACTTTGAAATTGTAAATCCACATTCAAATTTTTTTTTTAGATTGCTTGTCATTTTGTTATTTCTCTGCAGACAAAATGAAATCGCACAAATAAAAACACAACCGTTTTTTATGCATGCAGTATGTGCAGTGAAATGCATCAATGTTGGTCAATACCAGTTTTTAAGAAATATCACAGCCAATGCAATTGACAAAATGTGCAAAACTTAAAGACAATTATTTTAAAAGAGTCACTTACACTGCACATACACCAGGTTGTAGATGAAGGACTTCTAGAAAGGGTTAAATTCACATGTCGGTTGCCATAATGTGCTAGAGTTGTGTTTGCGGTTAACACTTTCAGGGAACACCAATGAAGGTTACGACTTACTGCCAGTTTCAATTCTCTTAAAATGTATCCCAATCACAGCTTGCTGTTACAACTAGCAGCAACTGGAAATTACTTGGCATAACTATTCCCTTAAAAGCATTATAATTCTACCAGCTGACCACTCTTTGAAATTTGTTTTTTGTTTTCATTATAGAATAGATATCTGATGTGGAAAGTTGGCCCTTGATGAACTGGTGTGAGATTATTTGGAAAACCAAATGGGATTACAGCTTCTGGTTCTATTAAAACTAAATGAAACTACTCAATCATTGTATAAAAAAACATTTATTTGGAAAAATATGCCCCCTAAATCTATGTGCTTGCGAGTCTTCCAGCTAGAGAACAAGCCTCAGCACCTCTTACGCAAACCAAAACATTTAAGTGAACTTAGTCATGCGAGATACCTCGACTCAAATCACTGCCACTTTCTACCCTCAAGTACCCTCTACCTGCTGTTTTGGTTTCTGCTTCACAAACAGGACCAGTTTCTTACATTGACCGTTGACTGAACCCACCGACTTTCTTGAAGGGTTCGGTTTGTTGTAGTCTAAGCCTCGCTGGCTGGCTGGCTCAAGGGTACTGCCGTGTAACGGAGATGGAGAGGTGGGTGGGGCGAGATTAGGTGGAAGGGGAGATGGGATGTGGGCGCAAGGGTCTAGTTGTGCTTGAAAGTCGCTCAGGCTGGAGAAAACTTCTTGGCCTGGTCACGCACCCTCTTCTCATACTCAACCTTATTTTGGCTGCAGACAGAAATGCACACAAAACACCGGTACACACACACACGCGCGTGTGCATTACCCCTTAAAAACGTAACAAAAGTATGGTAGGTCTTCAATTACAGTATGCAGTAAATCAAGTGTATTTCATGACAGTATTTCCAGTGTCACTTTTAACCACAGACGTGTCGCGGTCGTCGTAAACGAAACGGACGGAGCGGGCATTGTTCAAGCACGCGGGTACGATGATCATGGAGCCACCTGTGTGATTTGGCCACGGGCGTGGTTACACGCACTTACCAGTAAATGGTGTAGGCTTCTGCTTGCGCTGGGTCCTGCACGTTGGGCTCATTGAGCAGCTCCTGGATTCCCAGCAAGATCTGCAATGAATGCTTCCTGGTGAGAGTGGCGGCGTTCGCGTGGCCAGCAGCACCTTACGCTTCCTTGACAGCGTGCATTTTATAGCTCGATTTGTATATTCCACCATGTAAAATCTAAAATATTGGTCCGATTCACGTGCAACAATGAATCTTTGCAAAACTTATAAAAGGTGTGTTGACGGTGTGGCAAATGAGCCTAAAGATGAGACATCTTCAAGCTATTCTGACAACGTGGTGAACACTGCTGGCTAGACCGTTATTCATAATAGAGGTTTTTTGGGTTAGATGGTGTAACTATAAATGTGTCATAAAACCCACCACCCAATTAGTAGGGTTTGTCACGTAAACAGAACATGCCAATGTTTCGCCAATAATTACAACCAGCTTCATCAGGCAACAGTCAGATTTGTGGAGAAATCCTCCAGTTCCTTTAATAGAGGGAGAGATGTGATGACGTCACTTGTATGCCCTTCTTGCGCGAAGTGGGGGGGGGAAGGGGGTTAATGAACGCATATAAATGACTATGGGTATCCATTGCCATTTGGGTTATTGATATGGTAATTAACATACATTATACATCCGCATTATGCTGTTGTGGCTTTGCTCTCCGACACACCGATGTGCTGTACTCGTAACAAATTGGCATGTTCTGTTTACGTGACAAACTTACTAATTGGCTGTGTCTGGTAGTGGTGGGTTTAACGACACATTTATATATTCACGCGATCTAACCCAAAAAAACCTGGATCATGGATATTGGTCGCGAAAGCCTACGTGTTGAACTGGAGCGTTATCACTTACACACAAACATCAGTGTGTGCGAGTGCTCTTGATCATACCTGTCTGATGGTGATTGCCGGCCTCCAGTCTTTCTCCTCCTCCAAGATGGAGAGGCACACGGTTCCCGAGGGATACACGTTGGGGTGGAACAGCGGGGGCTCGAACTTACCTGGAATTGAACCCGACAGACACACAGGTTTGTGTGTATGTTGAACTTCTTTCGCACCGTACGTAGTCAATCGTTATAATCGTAAGTGCGGGGGAAGGACAACAAACTGAACACAACAAGCAGTTCTAAAGAATAGAGTTTTCAATCTAGAGTTAGAAGTGCACGGCTCCAGTGGTTTCCTACTATCGGAAGGAAGAGCGTTGCAGACGGCCACTGAAGTGCAACTGAAAGCACGCGATGCAGTGACCATCTTTGTTTGATGGCTAGCCAAAGGCCGCTGCTGCGAGGATGACCGGAGTTCGCATGATGGTTTATGCTCCTTGGCTCCTCCCCCCCCCCAGTTCCCTATATAACCACGTGTCTCTAAATAGCTCGCTTTATACGCTACAGTAATTTTGCGGGAGCAGTCACACCTGATGATGGAGGCTTGTGTTACTTCCAAAACGTTGTGATTTAATTTAGTTTTCATTTTTATTTTGTTTTCATCTACGTGACTTGACCGAAAAAACCAAAGAGTATCAAGCGATTGTGGTTCATTTGTGGCAAGCACTGTGTGTCGATTTAGTGCGACCTTATTATGTATTCAGTTCAGAAACAGGAAGCCACTGGACAGACGTGGTCAGATCTTGCAGTACCCATCACAACGTTGCATGAAGGGTCACAGCCTGGCCTCTAACTTTTCTGGCCAATATGGAGATTCAAATGATCATTGGGTTGTGAGATAATGTTACAAAGGACTAGGAGGTGGAAACCGTAGTGGTTATTGTGTTACGATAGCAGTTGGTGATTAACTGGTAGGACGTGTTTCTGTAAAAGTGCATGACGGGTGGGAGAACATGTTAAGAGGGTGGCCCCAAAAGTTAGTTTACCGAGTTAACCGTTACATACATTCATCTCTGAAACTACATTTTGGCCACCCTGTATATGAATCAATGAAAATGGGAAGAAAGTGCACGGTGACATAGGCACGCGGATGTGGAGTAGTGTGCTCACGCATGAATGGGGATAATGAGAAAAAGAGGAGTTGAGAGGCAAGAGGGGGAAGGAAGGAATGCAAGTGTGAGTGGAGATGGGCGTGTGTGATGAATAGTGTTCTAAAAGAAAATTGATGAAAACATTGAAAAACTCAACAGTGAATCAAAAACACATTCAAATCATAACAATACATTTTTGAACAAAGAATCGATCAATGTGTACAAGTGTTACATTTGAAATAACAAAAATATATGCATTTTTTATATATATATAACATTGTAAATCATAAATCTGGGCGTGACCAGTACAATCATCAGTTATCAATCTGTCTGACTACACGAATGTTGACCAGTGCCACGGATGCCGATATTTCAGCCAATCCAGCTTGGTTAAACTTCACCTTTCTTAGCAATGCAATGCCTGATTCAGATAGACAGAATGGCTATTCAGGGCAATTCCAGGTGTACACTAAATAACTATAAATGCTCGGGGCCAGAGGATGGTTATGCAGGATTGAAAGGATTCCTTAGACATCATCCGATTAGCACGGTTGGCTACGTATGGTAACGTGAGGGCAAGGGTGAGTTAGGCACACACAGAAGCTTGTGGAGTCCCATTGTAGGGTTCAGGCAGGGGCACTTTTGGAAAATTTGGTAAATGTGACAACTCTGTTTCATCTCAAGTTGAACATCAGAATTCTAGCCCAAGAAGTCGTCCATGGTATCGGCACAGATATTTGGTACTTGAGCCAGTCAGCCACATTGCGTATCAACATCTCAGCCTAAATATTTTCTATTTCAATAAAAAAAATAATCAAATTTCATCTTTTAATTCTCTACGTTGTATATATTTTGAATATTCGCACTGTACGTAGACAACTGGGCTAATCGGAGATGCGGGTGGACGACAAAATAGACACAAGAAGCAGTTCTTAAAGAATTGAGTTCTCTAAATCATTAGACCTCCTTTGCCAGTACCAAAATATAATAATAGTGTTTTTTTCCCCTTTTTTCTGGCAACAAAACTGAAACCTTTTCAAGAAGATTCATGTCTGCATTAACCACAATACTTGTGAAAAGGTTTCAGTTTTGTTGCCAGAAAAAAAAGGGGAAAACCCCTATAATTATTAAATGAGTTCTCAATCTAGATTTATATGGAATTCCTGCAACATACAAACTTTGGTGTTTAAAGAACATGATTTTAAACTGGGTGCTGCAGTGATCTAAAAAAAACTTACATTTTGGGGGAGTGGAGGGGTAGTCATCCTTAAATAGCATCCGGAGCCTGTACTGGCCTCCCTCCCATGGAGTCTGCATGGCACATGGGCAACACAATCATTCGCACGGTTACCTGCGGCTCAAAAGCAAAGCACCGAACCACTTTAAAGCAACGCATGAATGGCAGCTGGCAGAACTGCAGCGTTGGCAGCAAGCACAGAAGAAATGGTAGTTATCGCAGCAATAGTATATAACCTGGATATAAAATCACCTGAGTACTTATCAGGTCAGAACATTTTTTTTGTTTTTACACGAGGTCTCTCCAGTTCTGGCTTAGTTTTAAAACAGAAAGTCGCCCGTTACCAAGATACGTCTGCAGGGAATTGTATATATTTGAAGTACAAAAAATAACCAATCGTGATGTGTCTCTCTTACCCCTTTCTTGCCTGGAATGGCACATTCCCAGTTCATGAGGTTCAGAGTCCCATCAGGGTTCTTCATTGGCACAGCAACAAAACCCTGCAGCAAGCCACAAGCAAAATTATTCAATCATTCTTCTTTGTTCGTGCTTAACTGACATGGATAGAGCCCACATCCACATTTAATGTTGACATTCTTGTAGCACAGAGAAATATATTAACTTTTTTTTTATAAATAAAGTTGGAGACTTACAAAGGGGTGATTCTTCCTCCATGATTTCCTCTCTTGAGCAAGCCGACTCAAAGCAATGCCTGACATGGTTGGGTGTAAAAGCAACTGCAAAGAAATAACGAAATACAAATTAAAAGGAGAGTCAGGCATGGAGATACGCTGCCACAGCGATGTTGACCCACCCCTTCTGGACATGTATGAGAGTCTTCCAGGATAAACAAAGATTCTGATTCTGTTGGTTTACACTAATTCCATTGTTGAGGGCTCATAAGTCCCCAACTCATTCCTTCCACATTCCCTTAACCTAATTATATTACGTAAAAAATGACACCGCATGCTCAGCAAGTGTACACCTATCTACTCATGTCGCCTATCGTCTACCTGATAACTTCAACTTCTTTAGACTTAACAAACCCTCGGAAGGCGGTGCGCTATCCTCTTCTATGTACGCATCGACATTGAATGATCTTATCTATAGGAAGTTTGTGGCAGTATTGGTGTTCTCCGGTTTAACACCGGTGAGATAAGGCCATAATACAGAAGGCGGTCTCTGGTGGAGATCAATCAGTTTCAGAGACAATGCATATATCACAGCATGTGATGTCTTGCTAAAGGTATCTATTTAGAGTTTGAACTCTTAACACCTGTTGTAGTGACAAAAAAAGTTAAACCTATTATTTTGCATAGTATTGAATGGTCTTCCTCCATTCGACCATGGACCAGGATCACTTTAAAGCACTCACTGAAGATAACCATACCACCCCCCTCAACCAACATAATTTTGTGCTTGCTACCAGCCACAAAAAATATATCTGTGGTTTCGAGTCCCTGTTATTTCTGCCGAATGCCATCTTTGCCCGACCTGAAGGGGAGAGCTTGTTTATCACTGGCGACTTACACCGGAATTGAGTTAATCCTCCCACCTGAAGATCTTGCCTTTACAGACGAATTCAACCCATCTCAGCTCATCTGTTCACCGACAACATTCTAATATAATAGACCGTGATCACTCATCAATCCTTGACGTACTCATGTCAAGAAAATCTTGTAAAAGTGGGTATCCTGGGAAATTATCTCAGCGACCACTAACTGACATTTGATATCATTAATCACCTTCGCTCAGCAGTTTCCGCTCCTCACTCAAAACTCGCTTATTTTCCCGAGCTCACCGCACGATCCCTGAATCTCCCCCTGATAACCACCACCACCGTTTACCGTTCCCTCTTCATATTATCATTACATGGCTATTACTCATTCTCCATTCATTCAATCCATTCATCATCGTTTCCTGTCATCAATTTCGCTTTCATAGAATTCACGCATCACAGATTTTCCCCCATTGCATCCTCTCATCTATTTCATTAGCCTCATCTCCACCATCACATCCACATGATGTACCGTTAATTATTTGTACAACGCCTTTGTTAAGGTGCCATATAATTACGTTAAGATAAGAAAATATACGAAACTGCTTAAAGTTCCACATAATATAATATTTCAGCGCTCCTTGTTATCCTTTGACCATCGGGCCTTCATCCACGTCCCCAATTCTGACCCATAGTTTCGTCTTTAAGATTCCTTACGATGGTTGACAAACTTGCCCCTCGAAAAAAGTTTTAGTCAGGGGAAATCAGCCTCGCTGGTTCAACCCAGAAATTGCCCAGCTCATCCAAGCCCCAGTCTTGAATCCCGTCGTCATTACCCCATCGTCGTCCTCCACTTGTCCGTCTACAGCATTTTCAACACTAAATCACGCTGTCATGTTGAAAAGGCTACAATACCAAACATATTTCAGATTGTCCAATCAACTGGATTTTCAGCTACAGTGAGTTATTGACTTGCTTTTAGCTTTATGCAGTGCCTTACGACCTCTGGGCGAAACGCACTTTATAAGTGTAAATTATTTTATTAGTAGTCCCTCGGTTAACAGGGACATTGGGTTAATGGTTTTTCGGTTAACCTTTTACCTCCCACAGGACCCCATGGTTTGGACCAATGTTAACATTTTGATTCACGGCACGTTTAAGTTATGCAACGCGGGCGCCAATTTCGGCCAATCAGAGCGCTCATAAGTGGGGATGAGAGCAAGCCTCAGCCAATCAGCGATGCCCATTTATGAAGCCGTTTAGACCTGACTGGCTTTGTTTACATTACATTTTCTGTTTTGCAGTGGAAACAGCTCTCTTGCAGACTTGGTAATTTTTCACTTTTTTCAACTTATAAGTGAATTCGATTAAAACTTATGTTGGTTAACAGTAGTTTTGGTGGCTTAGATTAAAACATTAACAGGGGTACTACTGTACTTATCTGAGCGTGTTCAAATTGTCTCCATCATAAGGCAGTGTCTCTGACAGGACCGTCATTAACAAGGGATGTTCCTCAAGCGTCTGTGCTTGGTGCAATACAATCCAGTTTTTTTTTCCTGTACGTCAACATTCTAGACATCTCCTACCTGCACTCGGACATGTTTTTCATGTCTTCATCCAAATCATCCTCTTAAACAAATTTGCTAACGACCTAAAAGGACCACTTCATTCCTCCAACTCCCTCCCGTAGCCTCAAGAGGGACCTCTTTATTCCTACTACAATTATATTTGTATAAACAATGTCTGGCGTAAAAATAAAAGTATTTTCGCATTGCTGCTTCACGGATATCCGTCCTGCTCATACACAGCTTGGTTTCCCACTTCCTTCAGTCCCCCCTCTTCACTTCCCTATGCAACGAAAGCCGAGCACACTTGTGCCTGTTTTCTGGCATCTCTTGTTCCCACATTTGCATTGTCTTTTTCGATTCGGTGGATTTACGTCACAATTCTGCTAATATATAGAGCTTACCTGCACCCGTACCTACTGTTGTCTCCTGCCTTTTGCATGCGTACTATACTTGCACTGGTTTTTTTATTTGTACAGGTTTCATTTCGCGCAATAACTGTATCCTCGCCCACGTACGTCATCGGAATGAAACAGGAAGAAATACTGAAATAACTTTATCGGTAACGAGTCTCCCACAAGATCATTATGGAGGGCGTACGGCACAGTTTGGCACCAGCTATCAGAGTGTGGTCGTGTGGCTACAGTTCTATGCGAGATTCAACCGTGAACGGGGCCCCACCCTGGAACGTAGAGTCATCTCGGAAAGAAAAAAGGTTCAATACCTCGTTTGTTAGTTGTGCAATATTCCTTAAGGAACCTGTAGTAGTTCTCTGCAATATTCAAGTTTGCCTTTGCTTTGTTGTTGCTGCTCTGCTCACACACCACGGATCCCCCTTGAAAAATAGCCGGGCACCTGGCTCAACGGGATAATTTGTGTAATAAAGCAAATAAACTTAACTTACGAGGCCAAAACGAATGAAAAGGCCACCTAAAACTAAGTTATAAAAATAAAAACATGTTCAGAATCGTTGAAGTAATGGTACTTCTCACAAGTGCCACGCGTTTATTTTAGACAAAGATCACAACGGTAGGTATTCTAGTTCCGAAGCCTTTCAATGTACAGATATATTCATTGTATATATCAGGGTGGTTCTTATAATCGGGGTAAAACAAGTTTAATGAGGAATTTTCATTGAGGCACCTTTCGTCCTATTTCTACCTTCTCATGTGACCGTAACAACCTTTAAAGTCTGGCATTCAATAATTTGGGAACATTTGGCTAACTGTGAAATCAAAGTTAGGAGTTGCTCCTGACACATCAATTATTGATTTTTTTTTATGCCAGCTTCAGAAAAAAAAAACAGACTACCTGCTTAGGCAGCTAGTGATGCCTTCCTGAAAGTCTGAAAATAATTTGCGATGGTCACTGACATGCAGAAGTTATGACAGTGTTTGCTCATCACAGGTGTGAAGGAGACTGTACTCCTCAATCAGTGCGACTCCCCGTTCTGCCGCGTCATTTACCACCTTAATGGTCTTAACCCCTTTTCCCCTGGCAAGGCAGTCCAATATCAAGCAGCCGATCTTTAGGATCCACGTCTAGAAACTTTGAATCAGTGCCCATTACATGGAAAAACCTCCAAGAGTTTTGCCGATACGAATTGCTCCAAACTTTCCCGCCGAATGGCATCTTGAACAATGGCTTGTTTTGGAATGTCCCCCCCCCGCACCCTTTGTCTTGAAGGACTTCATCTATATTGGTCTTTCATTTCTGGACTTACTTTCCTGTCAAAGAAAGCAAGAGCCATCCAGCTCTTTTCCAAAGTTCAGAGATGCCCAGAACATTTCCTGATGGCAGCATTGGCAACACTTGTGCGAGCCATCTTTGTAAGTCAAGTTCCTTCAATAACAGCAAGTCACATGCAGGAGCTGACGTAGCAACAGGGCCTTGAAACTATGCCTAGAGGTAGAAAGGTGCCCGAGAAATTCCTACACCGCAGTCGCTTCTCCTCCCTGTGAAGTATGGGAAAAACGTCCCCACCAATGCTTAATTGATGCCAAGAATTGGCCACAGCAAGCATCGGTGATTATACTGTGCTGGTCAGTCTCAATAATATTTGCACCTTCCGATTAGCGCAGTTGGCTACGTACGGTGTGAAACAAGGTCAACATACATCCATTCATAATCAGTTTCCTTTTGGGTTTGATCATGTAAGTATAATGCCAATATTACACGCTTTTTATTAACTCACTGTCTGTTGTTGTTATATCCTCAAATCTTATAACTCAATGTTAACCCACTTCCCAATGTGGTATCGACTGAAAACTTGGTATACGTATGTCATACTGATGACAATACTATATTTTATCATAAAAGATATATATTTTAAAACATAATTTTGTATGTTATGCTTCAGCTTGGGTCTAATTCTCCACGCTCAACTGACGTTGGCTGTAAATCACCACGGTCCCTTACGTTATGGCAAGCTTCGGGGCCACTTCCTGGAGTCGTGGAGTTCTGCCATTACTAGTATTTCATAAAAGCGTATTTAAAAAAAAGTTTTTTTAATATTACTTATTTTTACTATAACCCTACACCACCCAACATAGCCAAATGAAGCTGTCACGTGGGAAAATATGACGATTAATTTGGCTTATCAGCTAAACTACAATGAGTAAAAGTAAACCAATATTTTTTGACAAAATGGGGATTACATCCAGCATCATCAGGCATTGAGAAAAGCTCAGCTCTCGCGTGAAAGAGCTTCCCGCTACAGGCCGTCCTGTAGTGGTGCCATGACCTCATCATCAGCAGTCATCCACACAATACAGTTTATTAGAGTTGATTGCTGGTTGATTGATACAGTTAGATTAGTGTAATAAGGCGAATATATTTAGCAGTAGGTGGAAAAATGGCCATCCTTAAATGAAGATGTATTGTTAGTATTGCGAATGTATTGTTAGTATTGCGAATTTTGTTAAGTGTAAATTGGTTAATAGGATTAGTTAGTATCATAGAGATAAGCACAAAATAAATAGTAATACAGGTTGATTTAAGAGATCGTTGGGGTTTCGTTTTTACAATAAATGATCAAGTATAAATTACTTGACTTGTCTATTGTCATTACGAATTTACTCAAGTATTATTTAATACAATTTAATTAGCACTGAGTGGATTGTCCAGATGCCACTTGCACATAAATATCTGCAGAAGCAAGTGAGCAACCAACCCATTCCTCCCTGGAGGTTGGTTAGGTTGTGGTTACAGTAATTGCTAATCTATACAAGGGAACATTTAAAGTGCATTGGCATAAAGTATTCTTAAACCATCCTCTTGGTTTCGATATGTAGATGATACATTGGTTGTCTGCAATCATGGCAGACACACTTTTAGATACATTTCTAGACCACCTCAGCTCACAAAAACTGGACATTAGTTCACCATGGAAGTGGAGGAAGGTATCACCCTCCTATTTCCTTGATGTCCTGCATGGACCACCCTAATATATGCCTGGGCAAATTGATTAGCGTCTCAGTAGGACAAACTTTAGTGGAGATGTAAAAGGCTCTGTCAGAAACATGAATGATTTTAAAACGGACATTAATCATCATAAAATATACTTCGTGGCCACAAAAATACAAATGAATTACATTACGATACCACATTACACAGACCTCAAGGAATTTCATTAAATAAAGGCTGATATGGGAGCAAGTTCATCGTATGTGCATACCTGGAATCAACGATGAGAGATGTTTTAAATGAAGCACGAGGTTCTTCAATCAGATGCAAACCACCAACTGCACAAAAGGCACACTGTAAATACACATGCATTGCTACTCAAGGATATGGTGCATACAAATATAACGTGTCCTTTAATGATTATCTATTATTTTCATTGTTTTATATTGCTAGTACACGTTTATCATCTGTATTAAGATATATAATACATTCAATTCCCCCCTCTGGCAGACTAATAAAACAATTAACTTGGAAGTTACGTCTTTAATTTGAAATCCTGCAAGGATGTACCAAAAGTAAAGCTGAACTGGGCCATCAAGGGTGGCTTTCTCGGCACATGTCCGCAGATTTAGCCCCAGGAGCGAACCCATACTTACAAGTTAGTCGGAATTACTTACCCTGACCCACACGCTATTTAAAATGAAGAGTAACGCAAACCATCTATGCTGGCAGTACTACCGTCGGTTGTACACGAGATAGTTCTTGTTAACATTTTTCAAGTGTTTCCACAAAATCACTTACTTCAATACACACAATTTTGTCATACTATAGATGTGTTTTTGTGGAGAAATAGAAAGGTGGCAGTTTAAGTGAAATAACCTCCATCCTTACATTTAGGAACACTTCGCAAATCAAACAGCATAAAACCACAAAATTAACATCACGTGTGTCGTATTAATATTCATCAAACGTGAATAATGTGCGGTTAAAACCTGCAAAAACTACATCACATTTTCTGTGTGCCTCTGTGTGTTTCTCTCTCTCTCTGTTTGTGTGTCTGTCTGTGTGTCTGTGTGTCTCCGTGTCTGTGTTTTGTCTCTCTCTCAAATTTAGCAATCTGTAGAAGAACGTAATCAACCAGGTGGGGTGTTGACTGTTGTGTTGGCCGACTGTGTGTGTTGTATTGCATTATATTTCCAAGTTTACTATGTTTGTTTTCTCATTCATTTGTACCTGATGATTGTTGCATGTGTTGCAATCGAAACGTCGTATTCTATTACTTAATTTCTTTCTACGTGACTTTACCGAAATAACCAAAGAGCTACATCACGTAATATTACACAAATATGTAATACTACATTAATATTATTGGGTCTTTCAGTAAAGTCACGTAAATAGGTTCAAAGAAAATAACAAAAAACTACGACTTTTGATCGCAACACAAGCGGTCGTCTTCAGGAAAATATACTACCATTAATAATTATCAGTGAATAAAATATCAAAACTATCCTTGCAACATAATTGTTTTTTTTTTACCCTTCTATCTGGCAACAAAACTGACACCTTTTTACAAGGTGTCATGTTTGCATAGACCACAATACCTGCAGTCATAATGCAAACAAAAACCACAACTCTGATAATGTGCACTGTTCTTGAAGTTGATTGGTCCACACCCGAGACAGCTTTCCTTAGAGCCTAGTCTCACATGGGTTGGACCAGATGACGCCAAAAGGCGCACAACTCAAAGACAATGCACCATCAGAGTATGAGAGCTCGGGGTAAGCATTTACACCATGAGGTTCCAATGGTATCCTTGCAACAGTTAAAAAATTCAGGATTTCTTTCAGATAATTATATATTTTTTACAACAGGACAGAGCAAGTGGCGGACTACTTCAACACCTGCTGACAAAAACGAACCCAGGAACGTCTGGCCGGTGCTGTTTGTCAAATGCTCACTGCCTCCTTTGGTGCGCGACAGACGACGTTTCTGTCTCCGTACCTTCTCGAGCTTTCCGCATCCTTTTGTCTGTTCGTGTCCCTCACTATTTATGTCTGCACATGGCCTGCCAGTTAGGTAACGAACAAATCCTAATATATACAGTAGACCCTCGATTATCCGCGTGCGGTTGATCCAATTCGCGGATTAACCGCGCACCCGAGATAGACATAAATCAATAACTCTTGGATTTTCCCTTAAACACAAATGAACAACCTAAAAAAGTTAAGCTTGGAAATGTGTATTACAAGTCACATGCTTAAACCGAACAAGTATGTGCTCCGGTTAATCCGAAATCCACGTGATCGCCTCTACAGTGCAGTACATATAAAACAAAGAATACGTGCACCTGCACCTACCAGTTTGACTTGGGTTACAGTTAAATACAGTACTTCGTTTGTTAGTTCTGTAATATTCCTTAAAATTGACGTTGTGTCTGTTTTGCTTATCTGCTCACGCCACACAGACCTATTATAAATAGCCGGGGCAATTTGCCAAACATGAGCATCCGTGTAACAAATAAAATAAACTTAAATACCCACAAAACGCGCTTTATCTCGTCGGCTTACGGCTTGTTACTAAATGAATTCGGTGGCCGCGATGTTTGACTGGGGCGAGCGAAGTGGCCAGTCGCCGACTGTCACTCCCCCCGCATGATACGTGGTGGATGTTAATCGGGTTCGCCGAATTTCTATAAACACAAAGAAACGCTCATCAATAGACTTAGTAAAGCATGCCATTGTAGGATCCTCAAAATGGATATTTTAGATCCCCGTGAGAATTTCTAGGGTAACAAAAAAACAATAATTAGGGCCGCAATTTTACTTTGTGCGTTCTCCCTCCGTCTCACCACGTCCGTAGCCCTGCATCCCTCTCTCTTGTCTCCCGGTCCTCGCAATTAGTTTCACCCCTCGTCTCCGTGTTTATCTCTCTCTCCATCTCTGTATCCATCTCTAACCGTGTCCGTCTCCCAAGCGCTCTGGGTCCTGTGTCCTGTGTGAGGCCGCTCTCGGCTCGGGACCCGCGCAATCCCATGGGCCAGGCCTACCAGGCCGTCCACCCCTCACCGTTGTTATTATTCATCATCGACGTGAACACCGACATACGCGGTGCGCAGGAGCAGTCGATATCACGCGCTGTACGCACCGAAGCCTCACAAAGGCACGGATTTTAATGAAAGCGACGACGAATCTCCGACGCGGCTCGGCCCGAAGCCGAAGGCCTTCGTTAGGCCGCACGCGGGGACGGCCCCGCCGCCAATCGACTTCACGGCAACGTCCCGGGCGGCAACCCCCTTTCCCTGCCCACAGCGAGACGCGAATCGGCTTCCCCGCGACCTCCTCGCGCCGTGAAGGCGTCGCGGAGCCCCTCCTCACCTGAGGGCTCGAGCGACGCGGAGAGACACGGGACGCGCACTCCGCCTTCATTCAAACAACTCGCCCCAGCAGCAGCAGCGGCAATGGCGGCGCGCGTCGGCGCCTCAAGGATCCCGCCCCGCCCCCCGCCCCCCGCCCCCCGCGCCCCGCGCCCCGCCCCCCACACCGAGAGGGGCGGGGGGCGGGGGGAGAAAGAGGGGGAGGGGGGAGAAAGAGGGGGGATTGCAGGGGTAGGGAGAGAGAGGGGGCGGGGTGCGGGGGAGAAAGAGGGGGGAGGGGGGGGTAGGGGGAGAGAGGGGGGCGGGGTGCGGGGGAGAAAGAGGGGGGAGGGGGTAGGGAGAGAGAGGGGGGCGGGGTGCGGGGGAGAAAGAGGGGGGAGGGGGGGTAGGGAGAGAGAGGGGGGCGGGGTGAGGGGGAGAAAGAGGGGGGAGGGGGGGTAGGGAGAGAGAGGGGGGGCGGGGTGAGGGGGGAGAAAGAGGGGGGAGGGGGGTAGGGAGAGAGAGGGGGGCGGGGTGAGGGGGGAGAAAGAGGGGGGGATGGGGGTAGGGAGAGAGAGGGGGGCGGGGTGAGGGGGGAGAAAGAGGGGGGAGGGAGGTAGGGAGAGAGAGGGGGGCGGGGTGAGGGGGAGAAAGAGGGGGGAGGGGGGTAGGGAGAGAGAGGGGGGCGGGGTGAGGGGGAGAAAGAGGGGGGAGGGGGGGTAGGGAGAGAGAGGGGGGGCGGGGGTGAGGGGGAGAAAGAGGGGGGGAGGGGGGGTAGGGAGAGAGAGGGGGGCGGGGGTGAGGGGGAGAGAAAGAGGGGAGAGGGGGGGTAGGGAGAGAGAGGGGGGCGGGGTGAGGGGGAGAAAGAGGGGGAGGGGGGGGTAGGGAGAGAGAGGGGGGGGGCGGGGTGAGGGGGAGAAAGAGGGGGGAGGGGGGTAGGGAGAGAGAGGGGGGCGGGGTGAGGGGGAGAAAGAGGGGGGAGGGGGGGTAGGGAGAGAGAGGGGGGCGGGGTGAGGGGGAGAAAGAGGGGGGAGGGGGGTAGGGAGAGAGAGGGGGGCGGGGTGAGGGGGAGAAAGAGGGGGGAGGGGGGTAGGGAGAGAGAGGGGGGCGGGGTGAGGGGGAGAAAGAGGGGGGAGGGGGGGTTAGGGAGAGAGAGGGGGGCGGGGTGAGGGGGAGAAAGAGGGGAGAGGGGGGTAGGGAGAGAGAGGGGGGCGGGGTGAGGGGGAGAAAGAGGGGGGAGGGGGGGTAGGGAGAGAGAGGGGGGCGGGGTGAGGGGGAGAAAGAGGGGGGAGGGGGGGTAGGGAGAGAGAGGGGGGCGGGGTGGGGGGGAGAAAGAGGGGGGAAGGGGGGAGAAAGAGGGGGGCGGGTGTGCGGGGGAGAAAGAGGGGGGAGGGGGGTAGGGAGAGAGAGGGGGGCGGGGTGAGGGGGAGAAAGAGGGGGGAGGGGGGGTAGGGAGAGAGAGGGGGGCGGGGTGGGGGGAGAAAGAGGGAGAAGGGGGGGGGGAGAGAAAGAGGGGGGAGGGGGGGTAGGGAGAGAGAGGGGGGCGGGGTGGGGGGAGAAAGAGGGAGAAGGGGGGGGGGGAGAAAGAGGGGGGAGGGGGGGTAGGGAGAGAGAGGGGGGCGGGGTGGGGGGGAGAAAGAGGGGGAAGGGGGGAGAAAGAGGGGGGCGGGGTGCGGGGGAGAAAGAGGGGGGAGGGGGGTAGGGAGAGAGAGGGGGCGGGGTGCGGGGGAGAAGAGGGGGGAGGGGGGTAGGGAGAGAGAGGGGGGCGGGGTGGGGGGGAGAAAGAGGGGGGTGGGGGGGAGAGAAAGAGGGGGGAGGGGGGGAGAAAGAGGGGGGCGGGGTGCGGGGGAGAAAGAGGGGGGAGGGGGGGTAGGGGGAGAGAGGGGGGCGGGGTGAGGGGGAGAAAGAGGGGGGAGGGGGAGTAGGGGGAGAGAGGGAGGCGGGGTGCGGGAGAGAAAGAGGGGGGAGGGGGAGTAGGGGGAGAGGGGGGGCGGGGTGAGGGGGAGAAAGAGGGGGGAGGGGGAGTAGGGGGAGAGGGGGGGCGGGGTGAGGGGGAGAAAGAGGGGGGAGGGGGAGAGAGGGGGGCGGGGTGCGGGGGAGCGACTGGGAACAGGGAGTGCGGAGTAGAGGGGGGGGGGTTAGAGGGGGGGGGTAGAGGGGGGAAGGGCGGAGAGGTGGCGCGGTGGGAGAGGGGGACGGAGGAAAGGGGGGGCGGGGAGGGGGGGGAACGGGGGAGAGGGAGCGGGGGAGAGGTGGGAGGGAGAGGGGGACGGAGGAAAGGGGGGGGGGGCGGGGGAGAGGGGGGCGGGGTGAAGTCGTGGGGGCTGTCCACGGCGATCGCCTGATCCGAGGGTTCAGATAGTGAACCTAAAACGGTATAAAGTGATTGTAGATTTGAAGCTTACGGTATAAAGTGGTCACCGTTTCTTTAGAATCCATTATCAATTACCGATTACGGTAGTCAGAACGTGGTGGTAATCGAATCTAGTGGATGCTTGTGATCACTGTTGCGCAACTTGGTTCCGTGCAACTGGATCGCTTCCGTGTGGAAATCGATGCAACCGGTTGCGAGCAGTTGCAGTTCGGTGGAGGCGACTTTTTAACGCAATAATCATCAGCGCCGCTCTGGAGAATATCGCGACGAAACAACACAGATACGCAGACAATAACCTCGCCTTCACGTACCCTGTCAACCCATCATGAATTCGGGTTGTCAGACCCATACGGCGTACAGCTGTTTCAATGTGGGAAAACAATAATCATAAATTTGTGTCTATTTGTGTGTTTCCCCCCTTGTGATGGGACTCTGTGGGATGAACATTGAGATTTATCAGGGCACGGGGTGGCCAATAAGGTCTGAAGTGGTCTGTAATAAGGTAGGGCGCTGATAAGGGGTTGACAGATATTCCTTCATATTACTGTCTCCCCAATCTTGACTTAAAGCTTTCGTGACTGCAGGAACTTCAAATCTAGAAGGAATTCATATTCTTGGGTCTTTCGGCAAAGTCACGTAGATAGGTTCAAAGAAAATAGCATTTTTTTTACAAAAAACTACGACTTTTCGATCCCAACACAAGCAATCGTCATCAAGAGAAAATTATGACGATTGCTTCTGTTGCGATCGAAACGTCGTAGTTTTTTGTTATTTTCTTTGATCCTATCTACGCGACTTTACCGAAATACCCAAGAATGCATCCCCAATATCTCCCTAATAAAATACATATTTATTGCACAACCCACAAATCCGACGTGGAGCTTTTGGCGAGTGCATTCCAAACAAGTCTCCAAAAACTATTTCATTTTTTTTGCTTGTCACTGGCAAAGGTCCCACGGCTGGATCAGTAACTAAGTAACAGCCGCAGCAGCAGCAGCAAAATAAACTCCAAACCACCACCACCACCATCCACCCACGCACCCCACACTGCGCTCTCGCAGTCCACATCCAGCCAGCGACATGTCAGCATCCAAGTCTCCGGCTCTCGTGTCGGCCCGATGGCTGTTCGAGAACATTTCTCCATCACCACCGTCTTCATCACCACCATCATCACCACCACCGCCACTTGGCCCGGTGCTCGTACTCGATGCGTCGTGGTACATGCCGGGTATGGGCAGAGATGCCCACCAGGAGTTCGCCGACGCTCGCATCCCAGATGCCGCTTTCTTCGACCTGGATGAGAGCAGCGACCGGGAGTGCCCCTTTGGCTTCCACGCCATGCCGACCGCCGCAGCCTTCACCCTCTTCGCCCGCGGTCTCGGCGTGTCGGCCCGCTCGCACGTCGTCGTCTACGACGGCAACAGCCCCGACCCCACGGCAGCCCGCGTCTGGTGGATGTTCAAGGTGTTCGGCCACGGCGCCGTGTCGCTGCTGGACGGCGGCCTCGAGGCGTGGAGGGCCGGCGGCTTCCCGCTCGAGACGGGGCTCCCCAAGGCTCCGGCGGCATCTGGAGGACGACTCGGAGATGGGGGACATCCTGGAGGTGGAGGAGCAGGAGGAGATGGTGACGGTGCGTGGCTCTTCCACGCCACCGAGCCGCCGCCGGGGCAGCTGAAGAGCTTCGAGGAGATCCGAGACAACGTGAGCAGCAAGGAGTTCGTGCTGGTGGACTCGAGACCTGAGGGCAGTGTCACGAGCAGCGAGCCGCAGCTACTGCCAGGTGAGGGAGAGCTGAGAGAAGTGACACCTACACGTGTGTGTGTGTGTCTGGGTGAGTGTATATGCGGGGAGCGGTGGCGCAGTGGTGAGCGCGCTGCGCTACGAACCCGGTGACCCGAGTTCGATTCCCGTTCATGGCCAACATCGGTGACGATCATCTAAACCGATCCTGGGCCTCCCCTAGGTTGACTCAGCCTTAAATGAGTATCTGGTGCTGTGTGTAAATATCACCACTGGGAAGACCAAAGCGAACGAGCGTGATGCTGGTCACCCACAAGCCGGTGATATCAACAGATAGAAACACAGATAAAAACATTTTAGGTTTGTCTCATTGTAATAACGCATGGTGCAGGGATGCAATAGTTGGCTCTCTCTTTGTGGAAATCAGCTGTTCAGAGTTAGTTTTCTGGCCACATATGAACCTCATGGCGGGACACCGAGGTCCCATAAGCCCCCGGCTCTCGCATAAACATTATATTGTAATGTGAACAAAAACTTTGCTCTATTTCACCACTGGGTTTGAAGGATGGTGGCAAGTGTTGTCTTGTTAAACTATGCCTTTAAAACTGAAAACTACTTACCTGCAGTACCTCTATTTAAAGACACTTTCGAAATCATAAATTACACCCCTCTGTCAATCATCGTGTTACTCAGTGTGGATTTGTGAACACACTTTGTAAACAGTACATAACATAGTACGCGTTTTCAATGTGCTGTTCATATTGTAACAAGCGTTTATACCAATGTCACTCTACAGAGTAGTGGGTCGCCGCTCCTCTTACCCGCACTGATACGAGCGGTATGTGGGGACTATGGCTTAACCGCAAAAAAACTATCTGCACAGATGCATACGGACAAGAAAAGTATTATCAAGCAGGAGGAATTAACGGTGCAACGCAACTCATCTGTTAAATATCTGCAGATTGTCATCGATTGATCCTGGCTGCAGACATTGGTGGGTCACAAATAAAAATTAAGATAAGAGAGCAGTTTCACTGTGTTATGCATACCGTGATGACAAATAAAGGACTTAAGCTTTAAGTCAAGATTGGGGAGACAGTTATATGAAGGAATAGCTGTCAACCCCTTATCAGCGCCCTACCTTATTACAGACCACTTCAGACTTTATTGGCCACCCCGTGCCCTGATAAATCTCAATGTTCATCCTACAGAGTCCCATCACAAGGGGAGAAACACAGAAATAGACACAAATTTATGATTATTGTTTCCCCGCATTGAAACGGCTGTACGCCGTATGGACCTGACAACCCGAATTCCCTGTGCAAGAATACGGGGGGGGGGGGTTGTAGGCTGTTTGAGCAGCTTTGGATAAACTTGTGATCCTGCCCATACTCGAGCATGGAGTGCTGCATTCGCTTGTTCAGCTCTTGTGCGCATTCGTCTTCGCTGCTGCTGCGCTTGAACACGACGTGACCACAGAACGATCCGCGCCAGGCGGGTCGCGGCGTTTATGTGCGCGGTGGGACGGAGTCGCCAAAAATAAATTAATGAATTACGATTTTGACTTCCGTTTATTCTGGACCCGGTGTCTCGCCATGAGGTTCATCTGTCATCCGTGGCGAGTTAATATCCGAACGGGTCACGGTGACCCTCAACCCCTCCTTCACAAAACCCGCACGAATGGGCAAGCGGACAACTCTGCAGACCGACAAAACCGTGGGGGGTGGGGGGAGTCTTCCAGCAGTGGATCGGTAATGGGACGTTAATTGTCATTGTAATAACACAGCCACAAATTTAGTTATTTTCCTTTTTCATTTAACCGATTTGGCTGCCAGTTTTTTACTGACCGTGGACAGGTTTTGTGCCAAGGTGGGGGGGGGGGGGCTGCGGTGTGGCCCGCTGCACCACCGAATGTAAAACTAAAATATTTTTTATTTTATTTTACCAGGCAAAGCCCACTGAGCTACGTAGCTCTTTTTCAGAAGCGGCCTGGATCACAAATGATTGCTCAACGAAGTGAATTATCGCGTGGAAATTTATAGCAGTCGAGAGAGACGCCGACCGAAATTCGGTTTCGGCTTCGGCGCCGAAAGTTGGCAAATGTCCTCTTTCGGCATCGTTTCGGTTTTGGCCCAAAGTAAATTTTTAACTTTCGGTCCGGTTTTAGTTTTCGGCCGAAATCATAAATTCAGTTTCGCTAGGCCTCTAAACTACACGCGACTCCGGGCAGCAGCAGCGGCGGTAGTTGATGGCAGACGCTCCTCACTCTCTCCGGCGACCGCAAGCAGCGCACACACGCACACTCAAGCAAGGATGGGGGTGAGAGGGGTGTGGTGGTGGTCGGGTTGATAAGACAAACGACGGAGAAGAATAAGAAAAAAATAACTTCTCCCCCAAAACCACCAAACTAGCGAGCAGCAGCAGCAAGCAGCACACGCGTAGCCAGCACACGCAGCAGTAGCAGCAGTCCACCAGGAGCACTTTGGTTTGAGCGGCTCAGAGGCTGGGCTCTCACAGGCAGCTCGAGGCACGCACAACACACAGACAGGCGCACGCACAACACACAGACGCGTGCACGCACAGCACACTGGGCAGATTATAGCAGCGTGCTGATGCCAACAGTGTGCGCACTCACTCACTCATCCACCCACTAGCCACACACACACCAACCCACCCACCCCTCCAATGATCCAATTCAAACCCTCCCACCTCCTCCTCCACGTGGGTTCCACACAGCAGGAGGAGGGAGCTTGCTGTGCGTGCGAGTCAGTGACGCGTCTAGAGGCTGACCGAAATGCGCCGAAAGTTGGCAAATGGCCTCTTTCGGCATCGTTTCTGTTTCGGCCGAAGCCAAAAAGTAAACTTTCGGTTTCGGCCGAAACCAGAAATTAAGTTTCGGTCGGCCTCTATGGCAGTCTCGAGGACCCGGATAAAATTCCACGCGACCAAGGGGAGAGAGAGAGACACGCAAACTCCAAATATACCGGCGTAGGGGTCGGGATCGAACCGACGACCACCGCTATAGCAGGCGATGGAGTTCACATCTCGCCCCACGTTGTGCCCAAATGTAGCGTTAGCCCCCCCCCCCCCCCACAGTTAACACTCTCCTTAGGGGCCGTCCATAAATGACGTCACGCACCTAGGGGGGGGGGGGGGTCAGACATTTGTGACGATGTGTGACGAGGGGGGGGGGGGGGTGAGAAATGTGACGTCACATCAAAATGCGCAACTTGAAATCAATATAGACAACACGTTCTACTTAATGAAATTGACTTTTTAAATAAATGTTTCTCCTACAACATCAGAGTGCAGCGCCACATTAAATAGGCACTACAAATACAATAGTATAAAGCGATTTGAGGGGGGTCTGACTTTTTGTGACGCCGTGTGACGAAGGGGGGGGGGTCAATAATCGTCCAAAAGCACGTGACGTCATTTATGGACGGCCCCTTATCAGTGATGGTGGGCCCCACAACGATCCTACTGATAGCAAGTAGCTAGAGCTTGGGCCCGACCGCGTACGCCCTGGACTCTGCGATAATAATAAACCCAATTTGTAACGAGCACATTCTCGCGAATCGGACGCAATGTTCGATCGATAACATTGAGGTGAGGAAGTGGAATTTATATTTGTTCATAGTTCAGAACTGGACAGCTCCAGCTGGACTGAAGCTCTGGAGTGGGTGATGAGAAGGGCTTCACAGTCATCAGGAATGTGAAAGTGAAGCAATTCCATCACACAAAGCCAGGCAGCGGGACGCAGTCGGCTGGGATAAACAGTTATGCAAACCCTAATCAGCCCCCCCCCCTCCCTAATTTAATTGGTAAAATGTGAATACGATATTTTTGTAATCTATGTATTGCTATCTCGCTCGCGTTGCTTATAGTTTGCTCTGCCTTGTGTCATTCGCCCACATGTAACCTTGACTGGATATTCACATGCATGTCGCAAATATTGAGATCGTTTTTTGTTTGCATTTTGACTGCAAGTATTGTGGTTAATGCAGACATGAATCCTTGCAAAAAGGTTTCCGTTTTGTTGCCAGAAAAAGAAAAAAAGGGGAAAACCCTATTATTATATTTTTGCAAAATGTTTCTACTTGGTGTTTGAACATCTTAACACCTCCTGTTTTATTGCCAGAAAGGGTAAAACCTTTTCTTGTTGTTTCAAAGCTACTTGCTAATGTAATGACAGGGTGCCATCTGTTGACCAGGAGGGGTAATCACCAGTATGGGTGCGTTATATAATAACCAACTAGAATAGGGGCGTAACTGGGTTAAAGGTAAAAGGCGGGATCAGTCGGGAAGCTCTGGGAACGTGCTCGAAGGTCGTCACTACATTAGTCAGCCAGCTATATAGTTAGATGCCGACGGTGGGGCTGTGTAGATGGGTCAGCTATGCGTAGCCGTGTAGATATATATTTGTCGCCCAGCGATTGTACCTGAAGTGAGAGAATAAATAAGAAGCCCTCTACACGTCGTGTCTTGGACGTCGCTCTACTGCACTAGTTAGGATACCTCACAAAATGGGCAATTGGTTTAAAAAAAATTATGTTCATTATTCATTAAAAAAAATTCCCAGAGCCATGTTGGGTCAGGGCTAGGAGGTACTCGGTTGAATCAAAATTCAACAAGGGAGGTACAGGAGCCCAAAAATATTGAGTACCACAGGACTACATGGTTACTACGCAGCCACGAGTCCCTAGCAAGGGTCTTTGTTGAGAATTGTGTCGGGTATGCATGAGGATTATGACGATTATGATGATGATGGGGGCGTTGTGATGTGGGGGTTGCTGGCTATTCGGATTGCGGTTGACGATGGGAAGGAGGTGATATGGCTGCATGCACGTGGGGGCGAGTGTGGGAGGGGAGGTCAAAACATTGAGGAAAAAATCAGTCCTCTTTTCGCAGTCAGCCTGACGTCTCATACCGATTGGCTGATGAAAGGCCCGTCTACTGATTTCATGGACAACAGAGAGAAGCCATGCCACCTGCCCATTTTTACTATGATAAGCCAAGAATGTGTGTGTCCCGCGCGTGACGTCACTCCACATGAGGCCCACCGCCCGCGTGACGTCACTCCACATGAGGCCCACCCTCGCGTGACGTCACTCCACATGAGGCCCACCCCCGCGTGACGTCACTCCACATGGGGCAACCCCCCCCCCCCTCATTAATAATCATGAGCTGAATAATTTCTCTGTTGAATATTTCAGATTTACTGCAATATACACCCGTCCTTTGACGGGCAAAAAAGCTCGTCTCAAAATAATTTTAATATTTTTCAGTCCCCTATCAATCGTCTGCCCTGAACGTCGTGGGGGAATTTGATTCCCTTTCCAGAGCTAACATCTGTGACCAGTAATCAAACCCCCGGTCGAACAATATAACAACCCTTTGTCGCTGGCAGTCAAAGTGCACCACATTTAACTTGACTCTGCTTGTCTTGTAGACTTCTCTTCCAGCCACATACCTGGGTCGGTGTGCATGCCTCTCAGCAACGTCATGGACCCGCACACTGGCCTGGTGAGTGAGACTTTGTCACAGTTAACCAGTAAGTACTGACGTTGATTTCCAAACAATCACTCGTGTACTCAGATTTCTGACACCTCCTGGAGTGATTTTGCCCACTGGAAAAGCTCACTTTTACCCCTGGAATAGCACAGATAACAGGACGAGCTTTGCAATGTAATGTAAAAAAACAAGTCACGGAACATTTTGACTGATATCAATTTCGTTTACAGCCATTTATCCTTGTCCATAGGCACTCGTGGATGCCCAATTAAATCCTGTACGTTGAATTGCTAACAGGTGATGACTGAGACATCAACGGAATTGGATGATGATTGTGATGACGACGACGATGATGATGTTGGTGATAACGATGATGATTGTGGAAATGAACGGCAATGAAGAAGGTTACGGATTTACGAAGACAATGACGATGGATGAAGATGACAGTGCCGCAATGATGAGTGAGGAAAAAACATAATACCCGTGATTCCCGTACTGCAGGATGCACCTCGCTGGTGAACAAAGCCACAAGACAACGTGAAGCAATGGTCTCCCTAACACTTTCCTGCGGAGGGAGCTGGTAGGAACGTTGGGTTGCTCGGTCAATGGCCAGGGTCAACGGCGGCGTGGTGTATTCCGCAAATATGGCCGACTGTGAGGGCGGGCACAAGCCGGCGTGAGTAGGTTAAACGTTGAGTTTTATAAGGGCACCACGGGGTGACCAACCCTTCCCCACCCAGCCCCTCCCCACCCAGCCCCTCCCTCCCCACCCAGCCCCTCCCTGCACGACGGACGGACGGACACAATAATCCCCTGTGGGCTGGTGTAACCAGGAGGTTCCTACCAGTATAAGCTCTGTCTGTACCAGCATTGCCACTATTTAACATGTATCGTGACCACCCATGTACACCACCTCACAAGTTCATATATGCAGATGATACGTCCCTTGCTGCACACGGCACCAACTGCTAGACGATTGCCAGTGCTCTAACAGCAGATCTCACTTGATCGGTGTCCATCACTGGAGACTCCAATCAAATCCCTCCGAACCCAACACAGGAACTTTCCACCTGAACATTCATGCCACCCTCGATGTGTCCTTCTGTGGTAGCCCAGTGCGTTTTTTTGCCAACGACAACTACTGACCCATCATCAACCAAGACCTTGAACAATGTTCCTCTACGTCCCGATCCCCTCTCTTCTGTCACCATCGTAGAATCTCACCCAGATCTTGAAGAATGCTGCTGAACAAAGTGGAACAATGTGGACGTACAGAATAAACATTTCATTCGAGACCCAAACATCGCACCTCCTGTCTTTGACATTCATTGAAGACACATCGGTGGTGTCACCATCAACTGCATCAGAACATGAGCAGGCTGATGCGCACATCTCCTCTGTCAATGGAAAATCAAAGACAAGCCACAGTAGTGCTAATGTGGGCATGACACCCACACTATGGACCATAGAGACATCGACTGTAGGTCTGCGCTCCTCCAATGGAGAAGGAGCAGCAAAACTGCACGAACCTCTCCTGAACCCTCTTGCGGCGAGCAGACTTCGACATTGACAATTAGTTCATGAATTAATTACGATACGCAAGAATAGAATAGGATTATTGCAGAGAGGTTTGGGGGAACTGATAGTATGAGCAGATAATAGGGGCATAGATCAAATTAGTTCCACTCTCATTAGTTGATATCTTTTTTTCCAAATGAGTAGAGTTATAATCTTTGATTTACGATTATGAAAATGAAGGCTATGATGATTATTAATGAGGTTACTGTGCAGCTAGCAATTAACAGATTTCATATTGGTGGTGGTGGACATCAGAGGGCTGTGCAACAAAAACACGACGTTGCACTGCACGTCTCAGTCATTACGCGAGGCGAGGGCGTCACGGTTTGGTCACGGCACCGCGAATCTCCGGTGGAAAAAAAAACCGACCGTGAGGAACACGCTGCAAGCTCGCCTCCGGCACACCGGTGGGAAGAGAGAGAGAGGGGGGGGGGTCCTCACGCGCTTGTCACCTTCTGCCGCAGATGCTCGGCGTGGACGCGCTGCGGGCAGAGTTTGAGCGGCGCGGGGTGCCCCTGGAGCGTCCCTTCGTGGCCACGTGCATCTCGGGGGTCACGGCGTGCGTGCTGCTGCTGGCAGCTCACCTGTGCGGCGCGCCCGACGGAGCCCTCTACGACGGCTCGCTGCTCGAGTGGACAGCGCGCGCGCCCGCCGAGGACATCGCGACGGGGCCGGGGCGAGACGGAGCGCGGCCCGAGGGCGACGCTTAAACGGAAGGGCGGCTGAAGAACGCGGGCGGGGATTTTGAAACCGCGACGCTTGAACGGCGGTCGCGTCGTGCGGGGGTCAGATCCACGGGTGCGGCGTTGTTTAAAGACACGGATCCGCGCGTCGCGATTGTCGACGTTCGTAATATTTGCTGGCGGAATTTATGTCCGCGAAATGACAAATCCGGTAGTTTAAACTGCACAGCTGTTATCCATGAAATCGACGCTTTGTTAACTTTTTTTACGGAGTAATTGATGGCATAGCAATTATATGACCTGATCATTTCCACAGTCAGTTATATTTTGAATTATTTTCAGTATTGCTGGCAACATGTTCGTCATAAGCAAGATACTGTATATTGCAATTATTACGGAAAGCTATATGGCTGGCTTATGCTGAATAAACTGTAGTTGAAAGGCTCTTCAGACATCTTTATTTACAATACAGTACATCAAAGCACAAAAACAAAATAAACGTGTGGAAGAAACTTACAATGGTATGCGAAATTCAGATTGTGATGACGTTCATCACGTCATGAAATCGGATAAAGCGCCGTGAGATATTCTATCGCGGCAACCCAACTAAAATATAACCTTACTATTTGGTTATTTCGGTAAAGTCACGTAGAAAGAAAATAAATTAAATAATCGAATATGACGTTTCGATTGCAACACAAGCAATCGTCATCAGGTACGAATGAAAGAGAAAACAAACCTAGTAAACTTAAAAATATAATGCAATACAACACAGAGAGTCGGCTAACATAACAGTCACGAAAGCTCCAAATCAAGTTTAAAATATCACCCTTGCGATCGGTTGGCCCCACTGGGAGCCATCAACAACCGAAATACAGTATCGGGGGATCTTTGTTCTCGCCAACTTTGAATCTCAAGCCTCGTTGCCACGAGGGTCCTGCCCATGATATCGCCAGGCGACCGGCCACCTCGAATGCGAGATGTGGGGAAATTATTCATTGAGGGAACACTGAGTGCAACGGTGTCAGATGTGGATTTCTGGGGGAGCTTAAAAAATAGGACGTTAGAGATGAGGAAATGCACGTAGCATGATGTCAAAATTAATTTCTTAATCCACATAAGAACACGCAACTTACGAACGCCCGCACCCACAAACCAGCTGCCATGAAATATATATATTTCAACATGGACTTAAAACGCGAACTCTCACTTACTTGCAAATTGAATCGCGGCACTAATTTGTTCAGCTGAGCGATCTTCCGCAAGATGTAAACCTCGTGATGGGAGTGTGTTTGTGTTAGTCGGCAGTAGTGTAGCGGTTAGCGCACTTCACTGAGATTCTGGCGACCCGGGTTCGATTCCCGCTCACGGCCAACACCAGTGACGATTATTTGAACCGGTTCTGGGCCTCCCCTAGGTCGACTCAGCTTCAAATGAGTACCTGGTGCAGTGTGTATACATCGCCACTAGGGAGACAAAGGCGGCCGGGCGTGGTGCTGTCCACATGATAAGCCATGAGATATCGTTTGTGACCAGGTCGCTTCTTACAAAGGTAAGTGGGTCTTACCTGGTCAAATAGAAGTTTTAATTAGACGTATTTGCCCTTTTTGAATTGTCCTATATACACCATTATTTTCCGCGCTTTGGCAAGTCACTGCTCGATAAAGGGCTCCACATGCCGTGTGAGTCGATAGGGTTGTTTGACTACACCGCAGCACACATGCTCAGGTGTGGGTTGGTGAATGAAGGGTATTGGTCTGGGACCGGTACAGATTCCACTTGCCACTGACGTTTGCCATTGCCGGGAGGCTGAAGCCATTGCCGGGAGACGAACTCAGGTCGCAAGTTTCGTTTCAGTGGAATTTACCTGGTAAAATTAAAACATATGTAGTTACAGGTTTCACAGGCAGGTGTAGTCTGCCAGTAGGGAGCAATATTTCTGTGCGGTTTTATACAATTAAGTAAATGTAGACAAATATTTTTTTATAATTAATACATTCATTTGGAACCCGCCAAGATAATTCAACTGTAGGAGGAATAAAAGATAAAAACAAATATTTAAAAAATATTTTGATCTCGATCGCCTCCTTTGTTTCCAGCTGTGAAGAAAACACGGATCATCTTTACACATCTGACAGGCGACATGGAATAGTTGCTGCTGGACATTGATCATTGTGCTCAATGCTGTTGCTGGTTGAAATATACATACAAATAGAAAACATCTAATGTCACATATTCATAATAAAAAATATACACCGACGGATAAATACGGTCAACTCTTCAGTATCGACGCATGTAAGTTTTCACAGTCTATGTTATGTTAAAAAAATACACTTTTGGGTTAGATCACAAAATCATCTGACCAAATTTGTGTTGCTAAACCCCTCCACCACCTATCACAGCCAAACACAACTGAATCGTCAAGTGGCGCAACATCGTTTAACGCGCCAGTTGTCAGCGTTTCAACTCGAGTCACAAGGACTTCCTGGATTGTTTACTTTAACTTCCCGGATCTTGCTTGACGTAATTTCAAAACGAAACATCGTATCTCTGCTGAATGTGTTTGCGAGGATTGTTCTGTAACCTACCGGTGAATGAGCTGAAATAATGACAATCAGCCGCTTTGCTAAACGCTTGTGCACCATGCGGCAGCTTAATTATTTACTTGGCTGTGTCAGGTGGCGGAGGCGATTTACGAAAACAAATTTTAGCCTGACCGTTACGTGGCCTCGCCCAAAGGGGCCGTCCATAAATGACGTCACGCGATTTTGGACGATTTTTGACCCCCCCCCCCCCCCCCCCCGGTCACACGGCGTCAAAAAAAAGTTAGACCCCCCTCAAATATGACGTCACAAAGCTCTACCTCCCTCCCCCCCAAAACCATATTTCCATTTTGAAAAAAAAACATGCTTCAAATCGCTTTCAACTATTGTCATTGTAGTGCGTATTTAATGTGGCGCTGCACTCTGATGTTGTAGGAGAAAACATTTATTTAAAAGTCTATTTAATTAAGTATAACGTGTTGTCTATATTTATTTAAAGTCGCGCAATTTGATGTGACGTCACATTTCTCAACCCCCCCCCTCTCGTCACACATCGTCACAAATGTCTGACCCGCCCCCCCCCCTAGGTGCGTGGCGTCATTTATGGACGGCCCCAAACATCAATTGCGATTTCAGCGTCAACACGTGCGCGCGTTAATGACCTCTTTTTAACTGTCCGTGAAACTCTGAAAGCTGTTACTCGGGCTGTTGTCCGTGATCTGAAGCTGATCCCTCTTGCCTCGCGGCGGCACCGCGGCGTCCTCGCCCGATGGGCCCCCCCTGGGTTTGAGGTCCTGCACGGCGGCGGAGTCCGCGTTGTCGTGCGAGGCGGCCGCTCGCGAGTTCGTGAACGTCGCGTCTCCGCGTACGGTGGCCGCCCTGGGATCGCGCGCGACCGCTCCTCTCCTGCGGGGCAGCATGCGGCCGAGGAAGCTGCGGAAGTGCCTGCTGTAGAAGAAGTAGACGACGGGGTCGAAGCAGCCGTGGCCCGCGGCGAAACAAATGAGCGCTCCCATCAGGGGCTTCATTTGATTGGCCTGCTGGCAGTACCACCCGGCGTCGCTCTGCCCGTTGGCTCTCATCCGCAAGTAAAGGTAGACCGTGCGCACCACGTGGTATGGCACGAAGCAGGTCATGAAGAGGACGATGATGATGACGGCCAGGGCCTTGATCTTCTCGCGTCCCCGCCGACCCCTCGCATTGGAGCCGCCGTCTGCTGGCCCCAGGTTGAAGCGGCGGAGGATGGACATGTAGCAGAACACGATGATGACCAGGGGGAAAATGAGCCCCAACACGAAGGACACGTTGCTCATGACGAACCTCAGCGTGGAGTCTACCTGGGGGTCTAAGCAAACCGCGTCCTTCCCTATTGTGTCCGTGCCTTTGAGGAGGTAGGGTGAGGCGCAGACCGCCGTGAAGGCCCATATCCCCGAGCACAGCATCTTGGCTCGCCGGCTGCCGTCCTGCCACTGCTGAATGGGGCGCACCACGGCCAGGTAGCGGTTGACGCTTATCGCCGTCAAGAAGAAGATGCTGCTGTAGAGGCTCATGAAGAAGACGTAAAAGACGAGGGCGCACGCGACGTCTCCGAAAGGCCACCTGCCGCCCTGCAGGTGCGTGGCGACACGCAGGGGCAGCGTCAGCATGTACAAGAGGTCCGCCAGAGCCAAGTTGATGCAGTAACAGCGCGCGGCGTTGCGCTTCTTCAGCCGGAAAATGAACGCGAAGAGGGCCACGCTGTTCCCCGACAGTCCCAGGACGGCGACGATGATCAACACCGCGGCGTAGACGTGCGAGCTGTCGTCGTGGTCCACGCTGCAGTGGGACGCGTTGCGTGCGTTCGTCGGCGTCCCCATCGTCATTCCCGCTCGCGCCCCGGCGGTGGAGATCCTCTGTAAAAGTGGACAATGGAAAAGGCAGCGGTTTTGTGCGCGGTGGCCAGGAGATGTTAGCTACCTCTCCTTGCTGTATATTTGTAGTTTGCGTGTCTCTCTGCCCGTGGTCACGTGGATTTGTCTCCGGGTCCTCCGGATTTCCCCTCTACGTTTAGACCCACCATGCTGTTTGAGTATTTGGCTGCTATAAATGTCCACGTGATGATAAGCCACTTCGTTATTATTTGTGATAACCAGGTCGCTTCTGAAAAATAGCCGAGTAGTTCAATGGGCCTTACCTGGTTAAATAAAACAAATAGTTTAGTTTCTACGCACGGGAAATGTCGCAGCGCTGCAGCTGCTTGCTTACACCCGATGCTGGCGGATGGGCCTCCAATAGAGGAAACGACAGAGAAACCCTCTCGTGGGAATTCCCCTGGTCTTCCACATCGGCCAAGTGTCTCTGAAGACAGGCTTTGCCCCACCACACATGACCTGCCGGTCGCCTCACCTCGACTCGCCGATTTATACATCTGGGTGAACAAAGACAGGTGGGGGGGGGGTAGACTCACACCGTCGCCACTGTGGATTTTCTTGGAAATGCTCCAGAAGGAATCATCTGCTCCCACTTCTCCAATGTACGTAGGTATGTTGAACTTTTTTCGCACCGTACGTAGCCAACCATGCTAATTGGAGTACCTTTCCCTTTAGGGTTTCCATGATCCAGATTCTCTCTGCTGCTTTCAACATCACTGACTGCTTCATTCTCTTTGAGAGTCTCCATAAGCGTGCAGGTGTCTCTCCCGGTGCCACTCTTACACTTCAAACGGCTTCTTCTACGTTTCCACACGTGGACTGTCTTCCTCTCAGAAACCCCTGTGCAATGGTGTCCCATTAGGTTTCATCCTTGACCCCCTGCTATTGTCAATTCAACTGCTGCCACTTGGTAAAACCATCTGCATGTACGTACGTATGTATGTTGAACTTCTTTCACACCGTACGCAGCCAACCGTGCTAATCGGAGGTGCGGGGGAAGGACAACAAACTAAAAAACACACAAAGCAGATCTCCAGTGTCTATGTTGATGACGCCCATCTCTGCGTCGTCATTGACTCCACGAATTCAAACTCACCGTTTACTCTCCAACACACCGGTGTGCTGTACTCGTAACGAATTGGCCACGTTCTGTTTACGTGACAAACCTTACTAGTTGGCTGTGCCGGGTGGTGGCGGGTATAACGACACATTTACGTGATCTAACCCCAAAAAACCTCCTTAAAGCACTTTGGATTTGTAATCGTTCGCGCATTTTCATTATCCTCATATCTCAACTCTCCAGGACCTCCTCCCTCCATTTGCAAAATGGACGATACAATGTCTGTAGACTTTACATCGTCCGATATGCTGTAGCATCGTCATATCATGGCAAATCCAGCTTCCTCACCACCACTGTCACCATAAACGTCACCCAACTTATCGCACCTCCGATTAGCAGAGTTGGCAACGTACGGTGCGAAAGAAGCCCAACAACAACCGCCATTCGCCACTAAGTGGCGGTGACGTCACCACGGCGCTTGTGCCGGGCTAAGTGCACTTTGAGGCCACGTGAAGTGTCCAACGCCCGCTGGCAGTAGGTCACGGGGCAGACCCAGGTGCCATGGGTCGACTGAGATGACTGGCCGATGCACCACCTGTGTCCCCTACTGTCCCAACTGTTCAACATACACATAGATACATACATACGCATGTAGTCAGTACACATTTTGGTGGAGGTTGGAGTGCCCACTGTCAGTTCTATGAATTGGCCCTGGTTAGTTGTGTGGCGAGGTTGGCAGCGATTAGTGTCCAGGTATTTTGTAGTTTTGGTAAAAAAACAATCGCTGTTTTTTGGATGGACAGATGGAAATGAACATGAAAAATCCCAGCACATAAGTGGATTCACGCACAAAAATGTACAGCTGCCACGAAGTGGTGGCGATGCCTCCACGGCATGCTCACCGAGCAGGCTGGGGGACGTGGGGGGATCAGTTGCCTTCTCAGGGGTGACTTCGACGGTGACATTTCAGAGGCATGTTCCAACATTATTGTGCTCGCTCACTTCCACGTTCTACAGTAGCCCTGCAAAATGTCGCGGGCGTTCGCGCCCCTAACCGTGACCACAATTTTATCGCAGGGCACCTCAGAGCCACAGATTGCAACCGTAACGCCCAAAGCTGATAAAAGCTATATTAGCATTTCCCCCACTGAGCGCCGTTCCTGATAATAATGCTTCAGCCACGCAGTCCACCACGCTCACGACAAACCCTCCAGCACTTCCTCTTTCCCGGAAAGTTCAGTGCCACGGATGATTTCCCCACGACTCTGGCGGCACGAGGCCCGTTATTAGAGGACGCTCTGGAGAGAGCCCCTCTGGAGGGTATTTGGCCTACTCTTCCACACTGGCCGGTGAAAATGGCCCACAGTTTACCGCACCACACGCGACCTGCCGATGGACTGTGTTGTACCCATTTATGGATCTGGCTGGATAGAGGTGGGCGGTGAGGGATTTAAGCAACTTGCCTCATTGATTCCACTATCAAGCTCGAAGATCGTACAAGTGGGAGCTTCGTGATGTTACCTTCCTCGCCTGGGATGCAGGAGGATGGGGGTTCGATCCTGATCCCGACCCTGACGCCTGCTCTATATTTCGAGTTTGCGACACAAGCAATCGTCATCAGGTACGAATGAAAGAGAAAACAAACCTAGTAAACTTAAAAATATAATGCAATACAACACAGAGAGTCGGCTAACATAACAGTCACGAAAGCTCCAAATCAAGTTTAAAATATCACCCTTGCGATCGGTTGGCCCCACTGGGAGCCATCAACAACCGAAATACAGTATCGGGGGATCTTTGTTCTCGCCAACTTTGAATCTCAAGCCTCGTTGCCACGAGGGTCCTGCCCATGATATCGCCAGGCGACCGGCCACCTCGAATGCGAGATGTGGGGAAATTATTCATTGAGGGAACACTGAGTGCAACGGTGTCAGATGTGGATTTCTGGGGGAGCTTAAAAAATAGGACGTTAGAGATGAGGAAATGCACGTAGCATGATGTCAAAATTAATTTCTTAATCCACATAAGAACACGCAACTTACGAACGCCCGCACCCACAAACCAGCTGCCATGAAATATATATATTTCAACATGGACTTAAAACGCGAACTCTCACTTACTTGCAAATTGAATCGCGGCACTAATTTGTTCAGCTGAGCGATCTTCCGCAAGATGTAAACCTCGTGATGGGAGTGTGTTTGTGTTAGTCGGCAGTAGTGTAGCGGTTAGCGCACTTCACTGAGATTCTGGCGACCCGGGTTCGATTCCCGCTCACGGCCAACACCAGTGACGATTATTTGAACCGGTTCTGGGCCTCCCCTAGGTCGACTCAGCTTCAAATGAGTACCTGGTGCAGTGTGTATACATCGCCACTAGGGAGACAAAGGCGGCCGGGCGTGGTGCTGTCCACATGATAAGCCATGAGATATCGTTTGTGACCAGGTCGCTTCTTACAAAGGTAAGTGGGTCTTACCTGGTCAAATAGAAGTTTTAATTAGACGTATTTGCCCTTTTTGAATTGTCCTATATACACCATTATTTTCCGCGCTTTGGCAAGTCACTGCTCGATAAAGGGCTCCACATGCCGTGTGAGTCGATAGGGTTGTTTGACTACACCGCAGCACACATGCTCAGGTGTGGGTTGGTGAATGAAGGGTATTGGTCTGGGACCGGTACAGATTCCACTTGCCACTGACGTTTGCCATTGCCGGGAGGCTGAAGCCATTGCCGGGAGACGAACTCAGGTCGCAAGTTTCGTTTCAGTGGAATTTACCTGGTAAAATTAAAACATATGTAGTTACAGGTTTCACAGGCAGGTGTAGTCTGCCAGTTGGGAGCAATATTTCTGTGCGGTTTTATACAATTAAGTAAATGTAGACAAATATTTTTTTATAATTAATACATTCATTTGGAACCCGCCAAGATAATTCAACTGTAGGAGGAATAAAAGATAAAAACAAATATTTAAAAAATATTTTGATCTCGATCGCCTCCTTTGTTTCCAGCTGTGAAGAAAACACGGATCATCTTTACACATCTGACAGGCGACATGGAATAGTTGCTGCTGGACATTGATCATTGTGCTCAATGCTGTTGCTGGTTGAAATATACATACAAATAGAAAACATCTAATGTCACATATTCATAATAAAAATATACACCGACGGATAAATACGGTCAACTCTTCAGTATCGACGCATGTAAGTTTTCACAGTCTATGTTATGTTAAAAAAATACACTTTTGGGTTAGATCACAAAATCATCTGACCAAATTTGTGTTGCTAAACCCCTCCACCACCTATCACAGCCAAACACAACTGAATCGTCAAGTGGCGCAACATCGTTTAACGCGCCAGTTGTCAGCGTTTCAACTCGAGTCACAAGGACTTCCTGGATTGTTTACTTTAACTTCCCGGATCTTGCTTGACGTAATTTCAAAACGAAACATCGTATCTCTGCTGAATGTGTTTGCGAGGATTGTTCTGTAACCTACCGGTGAATGAGCTGAAATAATGACAATCAGCCGCTTTGCTAAACGCTTGTGCACCATGCGGCAGCTTAATTATTTACTTGGCTGTGTCAGGTGGCGGAGGCGATTTACGAAAACAAATTTTAGCCTGACCGTTACGTGGCCTCGCCCAAAGGGGCCGTCCATAAATGACGTCACGCGATTTTGGACGATTTTTGACCCCCCCCCCCCCCCCCCGGTCACACGGCGTCAAAAAAAAGTTAGACCCCCCTCAAATATGACGTCACAAAGCTCTACCTCCCTCCCCCCCAAAACCATATTTCCATTTTGAAAAAAAAACATGCTTCAAATCGCTTTCAACTATTGTCATTGTAGTGCGTATTTAATGTGGCGCTGCACTCTGATGTTGTAGGAGAAAACATTTATTTAAAAGTCTATTTAATTAAGTATAACGTGTTGTCTATATTTATTTAAAGTCGCGCAATTTGATGTGACGTCACATTTCTCAACCCCCCCCCCTCTCGTCACACATCGTCACAAATGTCTGACCCGCCCCCCCCCCTAGGTGCGTGGCGTCATTTATGGACGGCCCCAAACATCAATTGCGATTTCAGCGTCAACACGTGCGCGCGTTAATGACCTCTTTTTAACTGTCCGTGAAACTCTGAAAGCTGTTACTCGGGCTGTTGTCCGTGATCTGAAGCTGATCCCTCTTGCCTCGCGGCGGCACCGCGGCGTCCTCGCCCGATGGGCCCCCCCTGGGTTTGAGGTCCTGCACGGCGGCGGAGTCCGCGTTGTCGTGCGAGGCGGCCGCTCGCGAGTTCGTGAACGTCGCGTCTCCGCGTACGGTGGCCGCCCTGGGATCGCGCGCGACCGCTCCTCTCCTGCGGGGCAGCATGCGGCCGAGGAAGCTGCGGAAGTGCCTGCTGTAGAAGAAGTAGACGACGGGGTCGAAGCAGCCGTGGCCCGCGGCGAAACAAATGAGCGCTCCCATCAGGGGCTTCATTTGATTGGCCTGCTGGCAGTACCACCCGGCGTCGCTCTGCCCGTTGGCTCTCATCCGCAAGTAAAGGTAGACCGTGCGCACCACGTGGTATGGCACGAAGCAGGTCATGAAGAGGACGATGATGATGACGGCCAGGGCCTTGATCTTCTCGCGTCCCCGCCGACCCCTCGCATTGGAGCCGCCGTCTGCTGGCCCCAGGTTGAAGCGGCGGAGGATGGACATGTAGCAGAACACGATGATGACCAGGGGGAAAATGAGCCCCAACACGAAGGACACGTTGCTCATGACGAACCTCAGCGTGGAGTCTACCTGGGGGTCTAAGCAAACCGCGTCCTTCCCTATTGTGTCCGTGCCTTTGAGGAGGTAGGGTGAGGCGCAGACCGCCGTGAAGGCCCATATCCCCGAGCACAGCATCTTGGCTCGCCGGCTGCCGTCCTGCCACTGCTGAATGGGGCGCACCACGGCCAGGTAGCGGTTGACGCTTATCGCCGTCAAGAAGAAGATGCTGCTGTAGAGGCTCATGAAGAAGACGTAAAAGACGAGGGCGCACGCGACGTCTCCGAAAGGCCACCTGCCGCCCTGCAGGTGCGTGGCGACACGCAGGGGCAGCGTCAGCATGTACAAGAGGTCCGCCAGAGCCAAGTTGATGCAGTAACAGCGCGCGGCGTTGCGCTTCTTCAGCCGGAAAATGAACGCGAAGAGGGCCACGCTGTTCCCCGACAGTCCCAGGACGGCGACGATGATCAACACCGCGGCGTAGACGTGCGAGCTGTCGTCGTGGTCCACGCTGCAGTGGGACGCGTTGCGTGCGTTCGTCGGCGTCCCCATCGTCATTCCCGCTCGCGCCCCGGCGGTGGAGATCCTCTGTAAAAGTGGACAATGGAAAAGGCAGCGGTTTTGTGCGCGGTGGCCAGGAGATGTTAGCTACCTCTCCTTGCTGTATATTTGTAGTTTGCGTGTCTCTCTGCCCGTGGTCACGTGGATTTGTCTCCGGGTCCTCCGGATTTCCCCTCTACGTTTAGACCCACCATGCTGTTTGAGTATTTGGCTGCTATAAATGTCCACGTGATGATAAGCCACTTCGGTATTATTTGTGATAACCAGGTCGCTTCTGAAAAATAGCCGAGTAGTTCAATGGGCCTTACCTGGTTAAATAAAACAAATAGTTTAGTTTCTACGCACGGGAAATGTCGCAGCGCTGCAGCTGCTTGCTTACACCCGATGCTGGCGGATGGGCCTCCAATAGAGGAAACGACAGAGAAACCCTCTCGTGGGAATTCCCCTGGTCTTCCACATCGGCCAAGTGTCTCTGAAGACAGGCTTTGCCCCACCACACATGACCTGCCGGTCGCCTCACCTCGACTCGCCGATTTATACATCTGGGTGAACAAAGACAGGTGGGGGGGGGTAGACTCACACCGTCGCCGCTGTGGATTTTCTTGGAAATGCTCCAGAAGGAATCATCTGCTCCCACTTCTCCAATGTACGTAGGTATGTTGAACTTTTTTCGCACCGTACGTAGCCAACCGTGCTAATTGGAGTACCTTTCCCTTTAGGGTTTCCATGATCCAGATTCTCTCTGCTGCTTTCAACATCACTGACTGCTTCATTCTCTTTGAGAGTCTCCATAAGCGTGCAGGTGTCTCTCCCGGTGCCACTCTTACACTTCAAACGGCTTCTTCTACGTTTCCACACGTGGACTGTCTTCCTCTCAGAAATTCCTGTGCAATGGTGTCCCATTAGGTTTCATCATTGACCCTCTGCTATTGTCAATTCAACTGCTGCCACTTGGTAAAACCATCTGTATGTACGTACTGTACGTATGTATGTTGAACTTCTTTCACACCGTACGCAGCCAACCGTGCTAATCGGAGGTGCGGGGGAAGGACAACAAACTAAACACACTAAGCAGACCTCCAGCGTCTATGTTGATGACGCCCATCTCTGCGTCGTCATTGACTCCACGAATTCAAACTCACCGTTTACTCTCCAACACACCGGTGTGCTGTACTCGTAACGAATTGGCCACGTTCTGTTTACGTGACAAACCTTACTAGTTGGCTGTGCCGGGTGGTGGCGGGTATAGCGACACATTTACGTGATCTAACCCCAAAAAACCTCCTTAAAGCACTTTGGATTTGTAATCGTTCGCGCATTTTCATTATCCTCATATCTCAACTCTCCAGGACCTCCTCCCTCCATTTGCAAAATGGACGATACAATGTCTGTAGACTTTACATCGTCCGATATGCTGTAGCATCGTCATATCATGGCAAATCCAGCTTCCTCACCACCACTGTCACCATAAACGTCACCCAACTTCTCGCACCCCCGATTAGCAGAGTTGGCAACGTACGGTGCGAAAGAAGCCCAACAACAACCGCCATTCGCCACTAAGTGGCAGTGACGTCACCACGGCGCTTGTGCCGGGCTAAGTGCACTTTGAGGCCACGTGAAGTGTCGAACGCCCGCTGGCAGTAGGTCACGGGGCAGACCCAGGTGCCATGGGTCGACTGAGATGACTGGCCGATGCACCACCTGTGTCCCCTACTGTCCCAACTGTTCAACATACACATAGATACATACATACGCATGTAGTCAGTACACATTTTGGTGGAGGTTGGAGTGCCCACTGTCAGTTCTAGGAATTGGCCCTGGTTAGCTGTGTGGTGAGATTGGCAGCGATTAGTGTCCAGGTATTTTGTAGTTTTGGTAAAAAAACAATCGCTGTTTCCTGATGGACAGATGGAAATGAACATGAAAAATACCAGCACATGAGTGGATTCACGCACAAAAATGTACATCTGCCACGAAGTGGTGGCGATGCCTCCACGGCATGCTCACCGAGCAGGCTGGGGGACGTGGGGGGATCAGTTGCCTTCTCAGGGGTGACTTCGACGGTGACATTTCAGAGGCATGTTCCAACATTATTGTGCTCGCTCACTTCCACGTTCTACAGTAGCCCTGCAAAATGTCGCGGGCGTTCGCGCCCCTAACCGTGACCACAATTTTATCGCAGGGCACCTCAGAGCCACAGATTGCAACCGTAACGCCCAAAGCTGATAAAAGCTATATTAGCATTTCCCCCACTGAGCGCCGTTCCTGATAATAATGCTTCAGCCACGCAGTCCACCACGCTCACGACAAACCCTCCAGCACTTCCTCTTTCCCGGAAAGTTCAGTGCCACGGATGATTTCCCCACGACTCTGGCGGCACGAGGCCCGTTATTAGAGGACGCTCTGGAGAGAGCCCCTCTGGAGGGTATTTGGCCTACTCTTCCACATTGGCCGGTGAGAATGGCCCACGGTTTACCCCACCATACGCGACCTGCCGATGGACTGTGTTGTACCCATTTATGGATCTGGCTGGATAGAGGTGGGCGGTGGGCAGTGAGGGATTTAAGCAACTTGCCTCATTGATTCCACTATCAAGCTCGAAGATCGTACAAGTGGGAGCTTCGTGATGTTACCTTCCTCGCCTGGTATGCAGGAGGATGGGGGTTCGATCCTGATCCCGACCCTGACGCCTGCTCTATATTTCGAGTTTGCGTGTCTCTCTCTTTGTGGTCGTGTGGAGTTTTTCTCCGGGCCCTCTGGTTTTTCCCACCACATTTACAATCAACATCACCACGCGTTCAGAGTATTTGGATGCTATACATTTCCACGCAATAAGCCACTTCATTTGTGGCCAGGTCGCTTCTGAAAAAGCTCACAGCTTGGTGGGATATACCTGATAAACTGAAATAGTGTATTTGTATTTTTGTTTGCGTGTGTGATTTGTTTACCTTTCCTATACTTTTCACTCCCTTCAGTGTTTTTTGTGTTGTTTGTTGTTCTAACGTTCTGACCCCGTGCCCCTACTGGACATCTGTGAGAAAAATAGCTTTATAGCTCATCGGATTCCTCCTGCAGCCTAAATAAAAACTCTGATTGTGCTCCCATCGTTCGGTCTATTAACTTGTGGGGCATCATTCGTTGCCGTTCCTATTGGTTGCCGTCCGCCGTCGTGTGTTTGATCGTTCGGCCTCTTGGCTGCGTTTCTGATCGCGCTTTCGCTTTGTTCCGCTCAAACTGCGAGGGCCGCCGAACCTTCTCCCAGCGCCCATGTGAAATTGTTGCCGCCACGCTGTGGATCTTCCAAAACCGCTTCAGCGTTGTACCGTTGGCACAACTCTGGTAAAGATGATGTGCTTTTTTTTTAAACCTTGCACCTCCTCATGTTTGGCATGACCGGGCTGCAGGCATTCGTACAAAATGAGGTTTAAGTGCATTTCGACTGCATAGTTGAGGCGAGTGCCGATGACAACCTAAGTTGAGGCTAAATGATGTAATGAATAAACTGTTATTTGTTCGTACGAAAAGATGTGTGAGCGCTCGTGAGCCCGAGATGGCTTCAGTTTGGATATCTCAGAAGGTTTGGTGTCCACTTAACGGTGAACCTCACAGCGTGGTCCGCTGAAGGCATCTTGAATGTTGTGAACGAGTGGCGGTGCAGTGGTTTACACACTGGTATATGGACCCATTGTTGACCCAGGTTTAATTCCAAGGCGGTGGTTTATTACATCGGTGGTGAATGTTATCTCAACTATACCTGACCACCCCCCCCCCCACATTTACCCCCTCCCCCCACTTCATCATTGTATATTCAAATATGCTCAAAATGTCCCCTCCAATATATTGCTATAAAAAATTGCTATGTTATGTAAATAAAAACAACAATTTGCTAAACCTTGGCCACAATATCTGGACTTGTCTTCATGTAAATCAATGCATAGATTGCTGTTTATATGATTTTGGTTATGGTTGTACTTTATTAATCCCTAATCTCTGCCATTACATACAATGAAACAGGAAATGGTAAAAAAGTAAAAACAGAGCAATGTAATACAATACACTATTAGACATTGTAAAAATAAATAAAAAGTCCATCCCATGTGTTAGTGAATTTTTTTATATTTTAGGCAGGAAATTAGTTCATCTTCTTGGTTCTTTCGGTAAAGTCACGTAGAATGGAAATAATAAAATAATAGAAATAAAACATAATACATTATATTACATAATAAAAGATGTTTTATTTTTATTATTTTATTATTTCCATTCTACGTGACTTTACCGAAAGAACCAAAAAGATGAATCCCTGCCGTCACTAAAGCTTTAAATCGAAAAAGGAAATTAGTTTTCAAATTTAGATTTTTTTTTCTGGGTTGGGACCCCCAGACACCCTGGAAGATTTGGTCCCCCCAATGTTGACTCCATGGCTACGGCCTTGGTAGAATGTCTATCTTACATGGTCAGCGCTATTTTTTCTAGAATAAAACCATCATACCCATTGAATATTTAGCTTTTTTGATATTCTCTGATGAACATTTCCCCTCAAGAGTACCATTTTTTTTATTAGAGAACTAAGCTTTAACCAACACTTACATAGCCAAGCAAAACTAGGTGTGTGGTCGATTGCGTACATTATGATTCCGTATTGTACAAACACATTTGCATCATTAAAGTACAGTACTGTGTTCAGGGAAACAGCACCAACAATTTGTAATTTTCCTTCATCGGTTAAGTGTCGTGAACATAAAAGAATGCAATCCTCTCGCGCGCGAGCTGGTAAAGGTTTTAATGTGAGTTTAAGTGCCTAAGGAATCCAACTCAAACGTGTTGAATGTTTAATTTCATCGCAGCCATATACATCATTTCAGTCCACCACAGTGGACATGATGCGAGAGAGGGTTGATGTTTTGGATACAAATAGTCAAGAGATAGATATTTCGTGAACACTTTGTATTATTATAATTGTAATTTGGCCAGTGCCACAGATATTGCTGATAGCAAAAATCGCGCTTTTGCAGAAAAAGGACATAACAGCAAGAACCTTAGTCGGTACATACCTTAAGCCTCTACCGTCTCTCCAACCATTCACCTCGTAGCTCTCCGCAGCCGTGCAGTTTGATTACCGCTTAATCTTGGTCGTGTGCGAGCGGAAACTGTGGGTGTTCTTGTTTTTTTTTTTACAATTTCGTAGTAATTTTCCACTTTGCTATCAATATCCCCTTTCTGAAAATGTCGCTGAGCACAGGCACGCACGACCACGCACTTGCCGTGCGTTCTCGCTCAAATGACATTTCCTTAAAGTGTTAACTTTTATTTGTACTCTTTGGTTCTTTCGGTAAAGTCACGTAGGTTCCTTACTCGGTTAAGTGTCGTAGGTACCCACGTGACTTTACCGAAAAAACCCAAGAGTATGGATTCCTGCAGTCACGAAAGCTTCCAAACAAACTTGTATTTGCATGTAATTCAATGTACTTATTTAGTCATGGGTGGCAGTAGCGTCGACTGTGGACAGACTTGTACTGGACGTCTGTGAGAAAACTTTCGCAGCTCATCGGGTTCCTCCGATATAAATAAATAATCAGAATGTTTATTTGGACTGGAGGAATCCGATGAGCTATAAAGCTCTTTTTCACATTGCTCTCACTGGCCCGTGCATCGGCAGCATTGGGGGGGAGGGGGGGGGGTCACGTTTTTGGACTCCAAAGCACAATACACTAAAGTACTATTTTTATTTAACCAGGTAAGACCCACTGAGCTACATAGGTATTTTTTCAGAAGCGGGCTGGCTATCACAAATGATAGCTCAACGAAGTGGCTTGTCACGTGGAAATGTATATCAGCCAAATACTCTAAATGCATGCTGATTCTAAATGTGGAAGGAAAAACCGGAGGACGCGGAGAAAAATCCACGCGACCACAGGGAGGGAGACACGCAAACTCCAAATATACATCCATAAGAGTTTTTTGGGTTAAATCTAACCCAAAAAACTTTATTTTGGATGATATTGGTTGCGAAAGCAGGCGTAATGTTTGGGATCGAACCCGCGACCTCCTGCATACCAGGCGAGGCAGTTAACATCTCGCCACCGCAGCGCCCTCGTGGTGAGCGCGTACTTGGTGAGGGCGCTGTACGTGGCCGTGGGGGAGCGTAGTGGTGACGAGGATGGAGATGGGTGTGAACACAGGACGGCGGTCCTTAATAAATAACGTCACAAACCAGTTCACGAGGTTTTACGACCCCTGTGCATTATCATCTCAAACTGAGACAACCACGACATCTGATCAATAACAGCATCGCCATCTGAAATGGAACTTGGTTTCAGCCTAGTCATCATTTAAACCGTTACATTGGCTCGGCTGCATTGGCATTCATCAACCAAGACGCCCACTCAGCTGCGTCGTCATTTCAACTTTGCGGGGAAGCTTGTGAACGAGAGTAAATCCATAAATAACCTGACAGAAGGCCATAGCAAACCACTGCTGTGTGCCCAAGGAAGCCATGGCCAGAAGTAGAAATATAAATGTCAAAGTTGGCGTGGATGGAGTTTCACAGAGTGGTAGAAACTGCCACGAGTGAACAGGTGGCATTCGACCCGTGGTATAGACATTTTAAGACCGAATTGAAGTCAGATTGGAAAGCTAGTGGACATTTTACAACCGAAAGTTATTACTGTACTCTATTCAGCAGTGAGTGCACACGTCTGAGAAGTTTGAACGCCGCAAATTTGCAGCGCCTAATAGAAAGATTGCTTGTCAAATTGAAATGTAAACCGTTTAACATCTCCATCATCCAAGCACAGTGTAAGCACCTACAGCTAAACACTCGGAAGAGGAACTTGCGGCAATTTTACGAGGAGATAAATAAGGCTAAAGAACAGTGTACATCTCAGGAGATTAGAATAGCGATTGGAGACTTCAATGGAAAGTGGGAGAGGGTAGAGTAGATGGCATACATTTTACTATATGGATGAGGAAAAGGGAAATAAAGGGGAGAGCATTTTACGTAATGATGCAGCAATAAGCAGTGATAAACACGTGCTTCAAAGAACAGCCATTATGATTACGGATCGGGAAGAATCCAGATGACTGTAATCAGAACCAAATGAAAACTAAACGAAAACTGAACAATTTTTTATTAAATCCTTTATATTAAGTTCACTTACTTGCGCGCTTACGACCGTGCAAATCTTTCAGTCGTTTTTTAACCCACTTCCCGTAATCCAATTGAGCTGACATTTTGCACACAGACTCGTTGTGCGTGACAATTTATTTTCGTGAAAATTTTTTTCCAAAATTTTACATTTTTTAGGAAAAAATTAATTATATTTAATTATGATAATTGGTTCTTTACCCTTCTATCTGGCAACAGGTTCCCATAGTATATTTAATTACTAATTGCTTAATGGTGGCAGGCAATCATCTGACCCATAGGTGGCAGCCATCTCAAGCCAGAGGACGAGAGGACTCTAGCCGCCATGCATATAAAGGATTTATAGTGAAAAACTTTGTTTTTACGGGTTAATTTTTTTTTTTATCAGGTAAGGCCCACTGAGCAATTTCGCTCTTTTTTTTACAAGCGACCTGGCCACAAATGATAGCTCAAAAAAGTGGTTTTATCATGTTTAAATTTATAGCAGTCAAATAGTCTAAACGCATCTTAACTAAGTGTGGAGGGAAAAACTGGAGGACCCGGAGAAAAATCCACGTGACCACGGAGATAACATGCAAACTTCACATATGCAGGCGGGAGGGTTGGGATTGAACCCGCGACCTCCTGCATACCAGGCGAGGTAGTTTCGCACCGTACGTAGCAAACCTTGCTAATGGGAGGTGTGGGTGAAGGACAACAATTCTAGATTTGAAGTTTTCATGACTGCAAGGATTCATATTCTTTGGGTTTTTCGGTAAAGTCACAGATTCCAAAGAACACAGGATGAGATGTTACTATCCTTTGTGCAAGCACTTCCAAGAGTTCATGAACAGTGAGCCTGGTGAAATTTGGGGAGCGCATCGTCAGTAGTGACCCTTTGGTTCCTAGGGTGTTTCGGCCTTTCATACTATACACCCTCCCCAAAGGCGGCCAGCGACAGGGTGATCAATCCTACGCTTGCGTCCCATTCCCAATTAGTCATAGGAGTTGCCTTGTTGTTGGTAGCCAACATCCCATGGGACTATGCATGGCAGGGGCGTCCTCCTCCCTGAGTCAAGCATTGTTGACTGCATACCTCCTGGCCCTCTCACTTTGGGGCCCAGCTGGGGTCTTTCCTCTTCATCCAGAGCCACTGACTGCTGCCTTCTGCCGCCTCCGATACAGCTTTGATTGCCGAACGCTGGCTCTGGCCCTTAATTCCCAGGTCTCTAAGCAGTCTGGTTGTAGATGTTGCCACAAAACCTCTGCAGCCCACCTCCACTGGTCGGACTTCTGTGTTCCAGCCATGTAAAGTCACATAGGTAATGTTTTTAAAATAAATTAATTGATTTTAATTTTTACCTACGTGACTTTACCGAAAAAAACAAAGAATATGAAGGATAACAAATTACACACAAAAAGCAGTTATAAAGAAATACGTTTTTAATCTAGATTTTAAAGTGCATAGCACCAGTGGCTTTCTAATCTAACATCGGAAGGAAGAGCTTCCAGATGGCCGCAGAAGTGCATCTGAATGCGCGCGATGCAGTGACCGTCTTTGTTCGACGGTGAGCCAAAAGCCGTTGCGAACATCCCATAAACAGTAACGATTTCCATTTTACAAATAAACTAAACAGCAGCTTTTTTTAACCCAAGGTGAGCAAAACAAATACGGTATGTCCAGGTTAATCTTAAAATAATGCAATTCAGATATTTTCCCGATGACGTATACTGTATTGCAAATGAAATTCCAACTATATTTAGACACGGCTGCCCAGCGAACGGCTCCGTGGTGGGTTTCCCACGAACCATTGCAGTGGCCTCCTTATTCACGCAACTCCGTGTCGTCTTCCACGTGCTCCTCTTGCGATATCAGCACCGCGTGTCGCGCCTCTGCGGGTCCGGCGATGGCGCATTCGATGGTCACGCGCGGACCTCCGGCGTATTGTGAATTGTGGGACGTCAAGTCCGTCCATTCGATGGAAACGCTCGGCTTGCGCGAAACAGACTTGCCAACGTGTGGCAGCTTGCTGCGCAAGAAACGGCGGAATCGCCTGCTGTGGTAGAAGTACACCACGGGGTTAAAGAGCCCGTGAGATACGGTGAGACAGGATATTGCCAGAGAGTACGGCTCTAAACGGATCGCCAACTCGCAGGCTGCAGCGGCGTCTTCTCTCGCATTGATGTAGATGTGCAGATAATACAATCGAATCACGTGGTGCGGTAGGAAGCAGACGATGAATAAAGTGAGGACCGAAGTGGTGATGGCCTTGATCTTCTTCATCAATTCCAGCCTCAACTGACTGCCGGTATTCCGTGGCCGCACCTTCATGCGATGGAGAATAGACACGGAGCAGAACACGATGACGCCCAGGGGAATGATGAAACCAACGACAGTGGACAGACCGTAAAACTCAAACAATAAATGGAGATCAAAGCACCCCCCGTTGTCATCCGGCATGGCAACGTCTTCTAAAAACACCAAGGCGCTGGAGAGTGCCGTGAAGGACCAAATGACGACGCTGACCACATTGGCCTGCCTGACGTTGGCCCTCTTCCATTGTCGCGTGGGCTGCAGGATCGCCAAGTACCAGTTGATGTTTATCGTCGTCAGAAACAGCACGCTGCTGTACATCGCCACGAAGAAGATGTAGAAGCAGAGCTGGCACAACGACGATTTGCTCGGGAGCAAATTCAAATCGTAGAAGTCGAATGCTATTCGGAAGGGCAGCATGAAGGCGTAGAGGAGGTCGGCGGCCGCTAAGTTGATGCAGTAGCACCGCGCGGCGTTGCGTCTCTTCTTGCCCAAGAGGAAAACGAAGAGGGCCACGAAGTTTCCCGGGAGGCCGGCGACGACGATCACAAGGAACACGGCGGAGTGCACCCTGTGCTGCTCGTGGTGGCTCGATGCCGAGCTGTTCGAGTCGTTCAAGGAGTTGGTGCAATCGGGAAATGGCATAATCGCTCCTTTCTTCACCCGCGCCTGCAAATTTCAATAGAAATCGGTGAATACGCGTTCGTTTTACGTATGAGAATGGCAAGTAAAAATTAGCGATGCATCATACGTTTGAAGAAGCAGAAAAGGGATATGCAACACAAGGGTAGCCGTGGTGGTGGGTTTTTCCTGATAATTACTAAACACTGGATAGTCTAACATTTAGCAGGTGCCGTTTTCGTCAGGGGACTTCAACGTGGATATCTCTGGAGGTGCGGTGTCCACTTCACTGCAAACATCACGCCGGGCTCATCATCTACAGATGCCACCTGGTCACCAAGGGTGTGCAGCTGAAGATATGGGGCCGTCCGTAAATGACGTCACGCGATTTTGGACGATTTTTGACCCCCCCCCCCTCGTCACAAAAAGTCAGACCCTCCCCTCAAATATGACGTCACAAAGCTCTGCCCCCCCCCCCAAAACCATATTTCCATTTTGAAAATAAAACATGCTTCAAATCGCTTGAAACTATTGTCATTGTAGTGCGTATTTAATGTGGCGCTGCACTCTGATGTTGTAGGAGAAAACATTTAATAAAAAGTCTATTTAATTAAGTAGAACGTGTTGTCTATATTTATTTAAATTTGCGCATTTTGATGTGACGTCACATTTCTCAACCCCCCCCCCTCGTCACACATCGTCACAAATGTCTGACCCCCCCCCCTCTAGGTGCGTGACGTCATTTATGGGCGGCCCCCAACATCAGTGCTGAGCGATGTCTAAACTTGTCAGCTGCACTGACAAAACGTTGTCAAATATGGTTACACAATCCTCGTGACCGACGTGGCATTGGGAGGCCTTCATTCTGAAGTGGATTGACAAAATGCTGTAAATGATGTCAAACAGATGCTTTACAATCGTATTCATCTTACTCCATGATCGTGGGGCACCTGTTGAATTTCCACATGTCAATGAGGGGGGACAATTACCGCAGTGGATAATCATTATTTACTTTCCATAATGCGGTAATCAATTCTTTCCACGGAGCGGTAACGCCTGTGTGGGAGTTGAACCCACAACATTTAAACATTTGAATAGTTTCACACTCTAACCATGGCATAATAGAACCCGTGGTTTAATTCACCAGCAGAGAAAGCGTATTCTTAGGTTTTTTCGGTAAAGTCACGTAGGTAAAACATTTAAATTAAAATAGAAATAGTTTTTCTTTATTTATTAAAAATTTAAATTAGTAAAATTAAAATTAATAAAAGTAAAATAAAAATATTATTTATTTTACTTTTATTAATTTTATTTTTTACTTACGTGACTTTACCGAAAAAACTTAAGAATATGAATCCTTGCAGTCACGAAAGCTTCAAATCTAGAAGAGAAAGAGTAATTTAAAATAAAACAAACTCTGTATACTATATATAAATACTGGTCATCTGTCGGTTTAATTCGTTAGAAAGACCAGTTTTCTGGATTTCAAATGTTGACATCTGAATGCTGACAGAGGTTGCTTAAACTTGCCACTTGTACCGCAAACCAAATAAAATGACACGTGTATTAAATACTTACACGGTTATGCCGCTTTGTAATACAATACATGTCTGCATACACACATGATAACACGATCGTACAAAGAGGGCCGCTGTTACGCATGTAGACTTTAAAAAACAACCGTATAATTTAAGCACCTTAATGTTTGCAACTCTAGGTCCTTGAGGATGGAGGTTGGTAGGCTGTGTCTCAATTGGTCAGTTGCATTATCACAAACGGCGATGATGGATGACGGAGAAGGAATGTGTTTGTGCCCAAATAGAAATGCTTTGATTGAAACACAGACCACGTGAAGGCCAAATCAAGCGACTTCGAAGTATTTTCCCCAATTAGATTCAATTTGTAGCCCTCTGAGTTAACCGTGGAAATCCACTCTCCGATGTCATTATTGTGATGATCATACATTCGCTAATAATTTACCCACAAAGCCTGAATTACTCACACCACTTTCTCTATCAGCAGAGTCTTGTATTGAAATGCTGACCATTGTCATTCATGAGAGAATTAAAACTCTACACATTCTTCAATAACTCCGCCTTAAAAAGATAGAGATAGAACAAAATAGGTGACGTTTTGGGCAATGGTCCTTCTTCACCGTACATAGAGAGGCCAAATAGAGAGATACGAGTTGGAGAGATAACTTTATATGCCCTCGGCCCTGATAAGAAGTAACTTAGAAAAAATAAATCCTGATTAACAGTTTTTACATAATCCACTTAAGAATTAAATCCTGGTCTCAATTCGCACTTCAACAGTATTACAATATACTCTTTGGTTCTTTCGTTAAAGTCACGTAGGTATAAATAAAACAAAATAAATCACGACGTTTCTGCCCTCTGGCAGCAGACATCGCGGCTATCGCGATTTTCACCTGAAGATGGGCGCTTGTGTTGCGTTCGAAACGTCGTAAATTATTTTGTTTTATTTCTCCCTACGTGACTTTACCGAAAGAACCAAAGAGCATGGATTCCAGCAGTCACGAAAGCTTCAAATCAGTATGAGAATAACGCACGTTGCAGTGCATGCCTGCATTCAGTTATCACTGAATTATCCTTTTAGCAGGAGGCAGTATCATCAAAAATCTAATTTTGAAGACAATAATGAGTGTTTAGTATGTGGGAGGAATTCAGCTAACCAGGCAAAAAAACATGCATGTTGAACTTGTCACACCGTACGAAGCTAACCGTGCCGAATGGGGGTGTGACACTCAACTTTGCCAACTCCTCATCACCTTGAATCGTAAAGCCTACAACACCTGGCAAGCCCTGCAGTCGTCACATCCAAATGTTAGCCACGCTTCTAATATCCAAATATATCGTTTGTGTTTGACGTCATATTGTAATACTGTATATGTAATCATATTTAACTCATTTTATACAGTTTAACAAGCTTTCCCGACAAATATTATTCATAATAAACGTTTTTGGGTTAGATCGCGTTATTTATAAATGTGTCGTAACCCTCCACCACCTGACACGGCGAATCAGCAAAAAAGTGTCACGTTGACAAAGACAAATAGTTCACTACTTTAGCCCACTCTTCAACACACCAGTGGGCTAAAGTAGTGAACTATTTTGTCAACTTGACACTTTTTTGCTGATTGGCCGTGTCGGGTGGTGAATGGTTACGACACATTTTATACACTCAACGAACTAGGTTATTAAAAAAATAACTTTTTAGACTATAAATTTGCATTGTTTTAAAAATGATATTCAAGTGCAAATTAAAGATACAATGACAACGATAAATACATTCAGGTCAGTGAGTCTACAATATAAACAAACGAGTTGAAATTGATACGCTGAATGTAATCGCGTCGATGTTTAAACGGAGCATCATACTTACAGGATTTCTGTTGTCACTTGGATAACAGATAAACTGCATGCATACATTGCCTATTTATAAATATTTTATGAGAACGTGAATGGAAATTATGGTCTGACAGTGAATTTCATTTTCCGTGCAGAATTTCCTGTTGACATTTAAGTGAAATGCAGCTATGATCGGTGTTTTGCTGCGTTCGTTCCCAAGGACATAAATATTCTCCAATGTATTTTAAGTTTCACATCCCTGTGCTGGGAGCTTCTTTAGGAACTGAATTGAGCCATCATTCGCCACTAATGTTAGCCGTGTTTAGTTTGTTGTCCTTCACCCACCTGCACCTCCGATTAGCACGGTTGGCTACGTACGGAACAAAATAAATTCAACATACATACAGTACATATGTAATGAACGACTTCTGAGACACGTCGTGTAGAGGGCTTCTTATTTATTCTCTCACCGGGCACAACACAGGCCGATACATATATATACACGTCTCTTTTCACCGTCTCTACTTCAGCTACGCACAGCCGACCTCTCTACATAGTCCCATCGCCTACATCCAACCACACAGCTGACTGACTGGTGTGACGATGACGGCGATAGGAGTCGTCCAGAGGATCTTCCACGCGGCCAGACGACGAAGAGAGATGACGGCGAGCAGCGACGCATCCAGGACCCGGGACCCTGCAACAACCCTGAACCTTCGGTTCCATCCCCCTTATATACCTCTCGGCGTGGCCAGGCCCCGCCTCTGGTCACGCCCCAAGTTCCCGGTGACATCGGGGATGTCACTGTATGGTTCCGGCCTGGAAGGGTCATGCCGTTCGATGTTCCTACATCGTGGACAGCACCGTGTGGGTGGCTGTGTGTAACACCAGCCCTAGGGGGGACAGCACCGTGTGGGTGGCTGTGTGTAGCACCAGCCCTAGTGTGGACAGCACCGTGTGGGTGGCTGTGTGTAACACCAGCCCTAGGGGGGACAGCACCGTGTGGGTGGCTGTGTGTGACATCAACCCTAGCGGGGACAGCACCGTGTGGGTGACTGCGTGTAACATCAACCCTAGCGGGGACAGCACCGTGTGGGTGGCTGTGTGTAACACCAGCCCTAGCGGGGACAGCACCGTGTGGGTGACTGTGTGTAACACCAGCCCTAGCGGGGACAGCACCGTGTGGGTGGCTGTGTGTAGTACCAGCCCTAGCGGGGACAGCACCGTGTGGGTGGCTGTGTGTAGCACCAGCCCTAGTGGGGACAGCACCGTGTGGGTGACTGTGTGTAACACCAGCCCTAGCGGGGACAGCGCCGTGTGGGTGACTGTGTGTAACACCAGCCCTAGCGGGGACAGCACCGTGTGGGTGGCTGTGTGTAGCACCAGCCCTAGTGGGGACAGCACCGTGTGGGTGACTGTGTGTAACACCAGCCCTAGCGGGGACAGCGCCGTGTGGGTGACTGTGTGTAACACCAGCCCTAGCGGGGACAGCACCGTGTGGGTGGCTGTGTGTAGCACCAGCCCTAGTGGGGACAGCACCGTGTGGGTGACTGTGTGTAACACCAGCCCTAGCGGGGACAGCGCCGTGTGGGTGACTGTGTGTAACACCAGCCCTAGCGGGGACAGCGCCGTGTGGGTGACTGTGTGTAGCACCAGCCCTAGCGTGGACAGCACCGTGTGGGTGGCTGTGTGTAGCACCAGCCCTAGCGGGGACAGCACCGTGTGGGTGGCTGTGTGTGACACCAGCCCTAGCAGGGACAACACGGTGTGGGTGGGTGTGTGTAGTACCATCCCTAGCGAGCACTGGATAGTGTGGCCACCACGCACAGCGTATGGTGGGGGCTCCCCCGAGGGGCAGTGGGTGAGCGTCAGCCCAGGGGCAGGGTTGCCCCGGGCCATGGCACTCTGGTTGACCCCGTAGATACGTGATCCGGAATGTCCATACAGGGGGCCCCAGGTGGGGGGACTAGGGGGTGATCACGTGTCCGGAGAGAGCTCTTGAGAAGGATCGAGAGGGAGCGAGAATGTTCGGGAAGGCGGGCAGGGCCGAGGGCAGAGCGGCCCCGACCGGAGAGGGATATAAGGCGGGTCCCTGAGAGGGACCGGGGTCGCTGCATTCTACAAGCTGGAAGCTCAACATCTACAAGCGGAAATCTCTACATCTCAAGCTGAAGCTCTCCATCTTACGAGGCAACTACGTGGTCGGAGACCGGAGTGAGGGATCGACCCTTCGTAGCAGTAACTCGCTGTAGTCTGGTAAAGGGGCAGTTACCTCTTTGTGTTACGGTGTTACAAATAAAAGTGTTGCCTCTAAAAGGAACGTCTGCGACTCAGTTGGACCCACTAACCCCTTCAACCCAGATACGCCCCACTTCTGATTAGTTGTTACATAACCTTGCCCATACCCGTGATTACCCTTCTAGGCCGACAGATGGCACCCTGTCATTACACATACAGAAGTCCGACGTTTTGCTCTGCCTGCTGGAAGCATCTTCAATTCAGTCCCTGAAGAATATACCAAGACATGGAAGCAAAACTCTGGACATCATGCCCACGATCACACGGTACAACCCACAAACATCTCGTTGAGCTACATGGCAGAACTAAGAAAAACTACGCAGTCTATTGGCTTCTCCAGTGTGACACCACAGATGAAACTGCAGCTTTAGTAGCATCTCAGGAATATACTGTATATTTTATTACTAGAAATAGTACAAAATTATTTTCCACGGACATGTAAGGGATGCACTGAATTAGTTAGGTGGCCCATGCTTGGTTGTCAAGAGAGAGGCCGCAGGTTGGCATCGTACAGGAAGTTACAGGAGTGGAAACGCAATCATCACCCCCTCTTCCTCCATAGCGATTCAACGAAATGTCACGATCCACGGTTGCAATTTCAATTTAAAACGCAATTCGGGATGACGTGGTCATTCACAATTCTTGCAACAGAAGTGCCATCACCCCTCGTCAGAGAATTTCAACATACATATGTATATGACTAATTCTGAGACAATCCGCATAAAGTGAGCTCTGTAGGAGTGGACAAATTGAACTGTGAAGAAGTTCTCCAGGCTTCTAATTGCAAATGCGATGCCACCCACAGCCACCAACTCTGGAGTGTTCTGGCAAGATTCTGGCTTGCCAGAGCAGGACGAGAGACAAATGAGTGCCCCTGATGGAGGAGACCTCGATATGTCCAATCTCTCGCTGCGTCTCTTACACTTTCATCAAATAGTTCCCATGGACAGCCAACTCGAGTTGGGCTGAACTGGAGTCGAAGGACAGCTTGAGTTCACTGGCAGAGCCAGTGGGGGGGGGGGGGGGGGGGTGGCACGTGCCCCCCAATGATCCGATCGAAATCCCCAATTTCGATCAGATCATTGGGGTTTATTAGTAATAAATCGTCATTCTGCGACCCCCACTGCCACTGTGTAGCATATTAATACGTGCCAGGGACTCTATGAGATGATAGGACAATAGTCTGAGTCCATAATTGGCAATAAGTAACGGCAAAGCAGTTATAAGTGACTCACAGAATTGTGCGCAGTTGCGTATACAGTACACGACTTCCCTGAAGGCATTCACCTTCAGCGAGCGTGATGCTGATCGCACACGGTTCGAATTCGACCCGCACACACGTCGAATAAAAAGCAAAGGACAAGTCCTTACTAACAACCCCTATAATTTTTCATCGCTGGAGGGGTTGCCCCCCCCCCTACCTGAAAATCCTGGCTCCGCCATTGTTTGAGTTGATAATAAAAAAAGGATTTGAGTGTCCAATATTCCTCGAGTTACTCGAGTCACCTGAAGACGGCTGCTTGCGTTGTGGCCGAAACATCGTGAGAATTATTTTATTATGTTTTATTTTTATTATTTCATTACTTCCCTTCTACGTGACTTTACCGAAAGAACCAAGAAGATTAATCCCTGCAGTCACGAAAGCTTTAAATCGAAATTAATCGCGTGAGTTAAGCAGTTTTTTTGGGTTAAATCGCGTCACATATTTACCCGACCAAACCCAAAAAAACCTGTACAGTATTATGGATATAGGCCGCGAAAGCCTACGTGATTAAGGTCTTAACCAGTAACGCGTCCAAATAAGACTTTCACAGAAAACGCTCGCAAGTCAAATGTGCAGACTTCATAGTTGACAAAATTAAATGCTAAATGTTAAACTAAATATAAAATGTAATGCCCCTTCCCCTCACAAAATGTTCGTCTGACTTGTTTGGTGATATAGTTCCGCTCGGCCAGACTTTTGATTTCAAGTGAAATCCGCCAGAACATTTGGGGTCCTCGTCTGAAACGTGTCGGCTAAGTTGACCAAAATCAACATGGGGACCAGAAATTGTCAGATGGGCAGGGGGGCAAAACTCGAGTTCTGTGCCTTATACAATGTGGTATCTGTGTCTCTCCCGTATGCCATTGTCTCTCTGTCTCTCTTCTCATCAATAATTTCTGCCTCTCAATAACCACTTGGGCATGTCTATATTTGTGTTCATGCCTCTCTGTTCAGTCTGTGTCCGATTAAGTTACGTTCTCAGGTACAGCTAGTTGATGTTCTCATCCCAATCACCACATACATGTTGATTCTGCACTTAATTTGACTAAATTCCAGCTCTGATATTTAATATCAGTTTGACTGCCATTCACGGTGGTGAGATGTTCACCTCCTCGCCCGGTATACAGGAGGTCGCGGGATCGATCCCGACCCTAACGCCTGCTGTATACAGGGTGCTTTAAAAATGTTGACACTTCTGAGAATTTGCAACGACACCACAAGCAATGTGCCTCCGGGCTCTGGAGACCACCTGGAGAAGATTTCAAGCATATGTTGACAATGACGGCGAACAAGTGGAGATTGAGTTTTTGAAGCTATTAACATACATTTATTATTATGTCACAATATATTATCTGTTCTTTTTCCATTCTAAACGATATTCCCATATAAGTGTAAAAAATATTTTAAGCACCCTGTATTTGTCGTTTGCGTGTCTCTCTCCCCGTGGTCGCGTGGATTTTCTCCGGGTCCTCTGGTTTTTCCCTCCACATTTAGACTCAACATCACCTCTCCTCCAGTGGGCATTGATTCTAAAGAGCACTCATGAGAGGCACTTAACCACTCACCCCATTACTTTTCCCCCCATCTCCTACAGGGATATCAGAGCTTAGGAAGAAGATACCAGACGGTTATAGACATGTTTACATTGCAACTGCAATCCGTAATGTGCGGTTGTGCTGGTGTCAACCCCCCTTCATGTCCATCTGTGTTGTGTACCTGAATCGTCGCGTTAATAATAAAATCACACCGTGTCAACCCATACGATTTAGCCGTGTTCTTGTACAGGGAAACTGAGGTTTCGGTCCATAGGGCGTCCAGCCGTTTCAAAAGGGGCAACAAAAATGTGTGGTCCATTTGTTTGTCTCCCTTGTGATGGGACTTTGTTGGATTAACGTTGAGATTATAAGGGCACGGGGTGACTAATCAATAAGTTCGTAATTGGTCTGCAATAAGGTGACTAACGATAAGGTCTGAATTGGTCTGTTGCCAGATAGAAGGGTAAAAAAACAATTATCATATTTTTTTACTGGTAAATGAGGTTCCAAAGATAGTCACTGATAAGGGGTTGACAAGTATGATTCAAATACCTTTGAGAGAAAAATAATTAATATTTAAAAATACTTTTTTTAAACACGCTTTAATGAAATGTACCCTACTAGTAATGGAAAAACTCCACGACTCTAGGAAGTGATCCCGAAGCTTGCCACAACGTAAGGGGCCGTGGGGATTTACAGCCAACGTCAGTTGAGCGTGCACAATTAGATCCAAGCCGAAATCATTTTTTTTATATATATTTATTTTTTAATGATATAATGTAGTATTGTAACCAGTAAAATTGAGTTACATTTCATTACACGCTTTTTTATTATTTTTATTATTCCCATAATAAAAAAACTCAACTTAGTCAAACACGGCTCATAGTTGGGTGAACCAAAGCTTATTTTAAGGGCTTTCAGAAGTAGCTCTGTGGTGTCCGCTTCCGCACATTTCCCCGAAAATCTGAAGCGATCCAAACACGGTCGCGGTAATCGAATCGAAGAGTCGAATCGCTTGCGACAATCGCCACGATTCTCGATATCGCGACAAAAAAAAGGGCGGGAAACGTTGTGTTTGCGGTGTCGCCGTGGCTCTCTCGAGATACACAATCAGCCCTCGCGCTTCTCCCTCACGGAAGCCGTGCGAGGGAAGTCTCCACTGCTAGCGTGGAGGTGGTGGTGGTGGAGAATGGCGGCGATGAGGAGACGGCACCACGACGCCTGGGCCGCTGACAACCAAATCGGCGTTCGCCAAGCCCGGGTACGGACCGCGAGCTCGAGACCTGCCGCCTCGTCGCGACGAGGGGGGGAGGCGATCATCGCCATCATCGTCGTCGTCGTTCACCAGCCGTGGTCTATCCACTGCTGGATGAAGGGCTGCTTCGACACGATTCGCGCTTTGCTCGGATCGATTCTTGAATCGGGAATCGATTTGCTAATCGATTCGATCCACCCGTTGTGTGCACGAGTTGAGCGTCTTTGTGTCTCGCCCCGTCACCTCCTGGCGGGGCTGGCGGGCAATGGGAGTTTAATCCTCGTTCAGTCATTCCGCGTCGGTTGCGGTAACGTTGGTGGCACACGGGGCCGTCCATAAATGACGTCACGCACCTGTGGGGTGGGGGGGGGTCAGACATTTGTGACGGGGGGGGGGTTTGAGAAATGTGACGTCACATCAAAATGCGCAACTTTGAATAAATATAGACAACACGTTCTACTTAATTAAATTGACTTTTAAATGAATGTTTTCTCCTACAACATCAGAGTTCAGCGCCACATTAAATACGCACTACAATGAAAATAGTTTAAAGCGATTTGAAACATGTTTATTTTTTGTGGGGGGGGGGGGGCAGAGCTTTGTGACGTCATATTTGAGGGGGGGGGGGCTAACTTTTTGTGACGCCGTGTGACGAGGGGGGGGGGGTCAAAAATCGTCCAAAATCGCGTGACGTCATTTATGGACGGCCCCAGAGAGATGGGAATACTGGGATGTGGCGTGCCGGGTTTGGGGAGATTTTCCCCGTGTGTGCAGTATACGACTCGCACACATTTAACAAATAAATAACCTAAACGCAATCGTCAAATGAAAAAAAAACTGCCCTTAAATGATATAGAAAAAAAATCCACAACAGGCGACGTTTCGGGTAATGGCTCCTCTTCACAGCGCACAAAACACGCTCACTCCACATTTATATTTCCTACTATATATCTCGTTTGCAGTCTAATTGGCTTTGGGTCGATTAGCATCAATTTGCAATAGCGTAATTGCCATACAATTGTATTCACCTCAAAAATATTCTTCCTCTACTGGCAAAACTTGGCAGGACCCTGTTGAAAAGAGCATTGTGACTCTACCGGCTAAACAAGCGTGGTAATAGGAATACAATGAAACGCCCGGACCATGCACGTTGCCTGTAACCCAGCGCTGTGGAGACAGCCAGGGTTGGTGGGTCACACACGGATCTTGTGAAGCTCCCTTCCCGTGCCCTGGCTTGCCGCGAGAAGGCGGTACAGCAAGTGGTGGACTCCCACCTGTTCCACCTGGTACGGGATAGAGTGTTGCTCCCTCGCACGTGTGCGTGGGTTTTCTCCGGGTGCCCCGGTTTCCTCCCACACGCGTGTACACTCAATTGTGTCGAAATATCTTAATGCAAAGAGGACTGCAGAGCTTGGACAATTGAACCTTATGGCGGGACCCCGGGGTCCCATAAGCCCCCGGCTCTCGCATAAACTGCGTTGCGACGTCGTTTTATGTCTGTTGAAGGCGAACAACACGGCCATCTATTCCTTTCTACGAGCTCTACACGATGCGCTAATCAAAGTTTCAAAGTTTTGTTTCTTCTGCGCATTCGTCCGCGCCGCTGCGCTTGGACGACACGACAAGAGAACGATACGCGCTAGGTGGGTCGCTACGAGCGGTGGGACGGAGTCGCCCAAAATTAATTAATTACGATTTTGGCTTCCGTTTATTCCAGACCCCGGGGTCCCACCATAAGGTTCAATTGTCGGTAGAGCCGACTCGCAGCGCGTCTGCTGCCTTCCTGCTTGTCCGCGCCTCCGAGTCGTTCTCTCGTCGAGCGTACGCTGTGCGGCGTGTTATGCGTCGACATCGCGATGCTGCTTGCAACATTTGCACTGCGGCTGCTCTCGTGACAGATGGCGCTGACCGCTTCTCCTCCACCTGGTGGGCACATCGACCTGGGCCCTCACTGCTCCACGTTCACTCACGCACTGCAGCAGATACGAGGCAAGGCGACGTTCGCTTCGTACACTCGTGGGTAGGCCACAGCACATTCATCACAGTCGTGGTGAGTGTGGAAGCAACCTGAAACGCAACTTGGATCACGTGAAAGGCCACGTAAGGGATGTCAGGGGAAGGATTTCCAGCAAAAGGAGGGGGAGTGGGACGGTGACAGGGGAAGGGGGAGGAGCAAGCGATGAGATACAAGAGAGAGAACGGGCGGGAAGAAGGGAGATTTAGCGGGAATGAGATTGAGAAGGCGGGGGACGAGTGTTGACTGAAGGAATGAATAAAAGACGAACCCCCTGCAACCTTGTGTTGGCTCTCCTTTACAAAAGCGTAATATTGCAATGGTGAGTAGGTTTGCTTGGTTCTATATTTGAAGTTTTCGTGACTGCAAGGATCCATACTCAGGATCCATACTCTTTGGTTCTTTCGGTAAAGTCACGTAGGTAATAAATAAATAAAAATAAAGATAAAAATATATAAATAAAAGTAAATAAAAGTAAATTAAATCACGACTTTTAGAATGCAACACAAGCAATCATCATCAGGTGTGAAAATCACAGTTAGAAAACTATCTGTGATTTTTTAAATTCTATTATTATTTTGTATTTATATTTATTTTTTACCTACGTGACTTTACCGAAAGAACCAAAGAGTATAGGTTTGCTTGGGTTTCTGTACTCAATGCGGCATTTGAAGAGTGTTCAGTGTATTGTTCTTAGGTTAGTCCTGTCAACCCACTGCTCGAACAGAGCCTCCCCTCTTGCCGTGCAGTTTGTGAGGGTTATTTGACCACATTTATTCTACATGCTGGTCTACCTTTCCAGGTCACTCTTGAAAATGAGGCTCTATCCTGGTCTGTTGTGTTCTCACCTGGTTTAACAAAATACACTTGAAACTTTAACCTCCGATAGGCACTGCACTTCCCTTGAGACGTATCATATAACCTATCGTGTAAAGTCTCCAAGTTGCCGGATTATAAGCATGCACCTCTGTGTCTAGAAATGAAATCCTAAGAAGGCCGGCTGAACAAGACTCTAATAATCATTTCATTAACCGATTATACCCTTTTGACTGAATGTGGTACAACTCGAGTACAGGTATTCGAAGCGTCAACGTGATTATTTTGTGCTGTGGGGTGCACTTTCGCGCCTGTGTTAATGTTTGTCGCACCCACCCCCAGGTCTCCCCGCCACTTTGGCCACGCTGCCAGTGGAACTTGACGTCTGCTTCAACGCGGTGTGTCTCTCTTCTTGTGCCGCACCCTTCTCCACCGAGGCCGATGAGGTGATCAGCCGGACACTCTCAAGAGGTGAACCTTTCTCCTTATTGCTGGATCATTCGCAGTTACGTGCAGTGGGGGGTGAAAGCAACACACCGCACCTCAGGTTTTCCGGCTCTAGGTAGCGCTTTCAGGTTACGAGGTAACTTCCATTGGTAGGATGTATGTAGCGTCTCAGTCTAACAGGTCTGATCTTCATGTACGCACACACTGCACACGTTATATGAAGCTGAAAAACACGGATTTAAAGCAGTTGCCTCCCCTAACCTGAACTATGAGCTTGTGTGAATGATGTACTGATTTAATGAGTAGCTGACAAGCCACGTGGTGCTTTGCCATTAAGCTAGTTTGCTCGCAGAGTAATTATCACATCCGCGTGGGAATTTATGATGGGAATTACCAAAGGGTACTATCTAAATTTACCACAGTGATACCCGCTGCAGCCTTCGTCCGCATTCACAGCCGTTTAGGCCCACGGTCCCTGCCTGTTCTGCCGTTAAGGATTTCTTGGATCGCTTTTAGTCTAGGACCTCCCCTTTGACCTTGCCGCCATGGGGTGGTGACCCTACCAGGAGCACGAGGCTCCTGACAGCTTCACTCTCGGGTTCATTGGAACACGCAAACCTCTCCACCATCGATAGCGGTGTAATGATTTCATCCTTCCAGCAATTCCACAAATTGTCGTGATTCACTTTCACAATTTGATCTCCTAATTCTTTTTTAACTCTGTGTTGAATGCAATGGCCACTGGTGCTTGCAGGGGTCAACATACACATCGACTCTTACCACGTGTGATTTGCGGTTTATGTGGCGCACAGTCCTGCAGGTGTCCTGCGCGAGGGTTGAGGCAGCGTTTGAGGTGGACGAATGGTCGGCCGCAATGAATTGGGCAGCGGACGGGGAGGCAGCACGGGGTCTGGGCCAGTTGCTCACCCTGCAGGCCTTTCTCTGGCTGCTCCGACAGGAGGTGGAGAGGGCCACTTCTCTGCTGTCGCTTACCAAGAAGGTTGGAGTGGAACGTTTGAGTGTGGATGTTATGGGATGACGAGAGCGTTGTCACGACGATGCAGTTATAAGTAATAAAAAGGTTGTGATAAATTACGGTACATTCTAGGGCATATCATTGCTGGCATTCATCACCGGTGCATTTTTTTTTATATTGTGAAACATATTTACCCAAATCTAGATAAATTTGATCTTTGGACCCTCTAGTGGACAACTGGGGATGGTAACTGCCAATCAGGTCACATACAAAAGTCACGTGACTACCTGGGGTTGTGTGCTCTGCAGAATAGTGATTGTTCACACTTTTCACTGAACTGTTTTCATAGGCCAGACATAACTCCATCACTCGATGCCTTTACCGTGTTAATTTACAAAAGTTGTTCACAGTAAATGTGGTGCTGTTGATATCATCATCATCATCTATCATCATTAGGCATGTAGCAATGCAGCTCTTCAAATGTATTCTTATACACTTGACACATGCATCAGATTGCGTATGTGAGGATTGATTAATTATAATATATGCATATTATATGCAGATATATTTATACGTAGAGAGTCAACATAATTGTGCAGAAGAAACAGAGCAATGGTATAACATTAAAAATGAGACCATAAAAACTAGGTCAAATAATTGATACTGGAATTAATCATTGCCGGAAAATTGTGGCAACTCATCAAATCACTACGTGGATGAACCGTTAATGCCGAGTCGTCATGAATAGCATCATCATCATCAGCTTTTTAGATGCAATGTTGTGTCTGTTTCCATGTTGAACAGGCTGAGAGTATGGAAGGAGTCTCGGACAGTAACAATGTCTCAATGGAGTCACCCATGGCATGTATACCGAGTGGCCCTCTCCAATATCAGTCGTCTGGGGTCAGCCACACCATCCTGGACCCCGAGAGCATAACTCAGGCTCTGTCAACTTGGGAGGCTCTCATGAAAGGTACGAGTGACTTGTGTATCGAGTGGTATTCAATGGCGAGACTAGTGACATGGATGCTTGTGCACTGCATTCGATTTCACGGGTCTTGGGTTTGATCTTATTCGTATGCATTATTCGTTCGTTCGTTTCTCAATCATCTTGTCCTGGTGAGGGTCGCGGTGGCGGCATATTGAGTCGGACGGTCCAGACCTGGAAATTGATATCTGAATCCATAGACACCCCAACAGTGTGTGTGTGTGAAGAGGGTAGTACCCTCAAGCACTCCTAGGGAGGAAGTGAGGATTTGAGAAATGGTTTGGGGAGGTGCAAATTAAGTTGCTAGTAACAGATTAAATAAAACCCCTCCAGTTTGAGTTCAGTGCTTGGGGAGGGGTGTAGTTTTTGGAGCGGTCCTGGGTGCACGAACACCCCTGCATCCCACTATCTGAACTTATACCCACTATCTGAACTTATACCCACTATCTGGACTTATACCCACGATCTGAACTTATACCCACGATATAAAGTTATCCTGGCCCTCCTCTACTTGGCCGGCATTGTGCTATTGTAGTACATGGCAGCCTTGATAGGTATTTGAGCATTTGCTTCAATCATCTGTTATGGGTTATCAGTCCATCTTGATTTAATTTGGGTTGGTTAGAGATATGTATGTTTGTGCATCACTGTTGTAATTCAATTCCCACTGAGATGTATTTGTTTTGAAAGGGAGACTAGACTAGTTACAAAACGAGTTATTGCAGCTTTTTTTTAGTTGTTGGAACCACCATTGGAACCTCCTTTGCCAGTAGCAAAATATGATAATTGTTTTTGTACCCTTTTATCTGGCAACAAAACTGACACTTTTTTTACAAGGAGTCATGTTTGCATTGACCACAATACCTGCGGTCGGAATGCAAGCAAAAAACACAACTCTGATAATGTATGCACTGTCCTTGAAATTGATTGGTCCACACCCGAGACAGCTTTTCTTAGAGCCTAGTCTCACAAGGTGTTGGACCAGATGACGCCAAAAGGCTCTAAGAAAAGCTGTCTCGGGTGTGGACCAATCAATTTCAAGGACAGTGCATACATTATCAAAGTTGTGTTTTTTGTTTGCATTCCGACCGCAGATATTGTGGTCAATGCAAACATGACTCCTTGTAAAAAAGGTGTCAGTTTTGTTGCCAGATTGTTGGAACCAATTTATATTTGAGCTTATACAATAGCCTAGATTTATTTGATGCTATATCATAGGCTCACAGCAAAATCCAAATAGAAAATATACAAATTGCAAAACCTTAATTCTTACGCCTCTGATTAGCGTGATTGGCGGCGTACAGTGTGAAAATAGTTCAACATTTATACGTGCATTTTTAGCGTAAACATTTCATTCGAATGACAAATCTGCACAGCCATGCATAACTGTGCCAAACATTGACCTGTGCTGTAGGCAATGCGCTCTGTGTCGAGGGCAAGTGGCTGGACGCTTTGGACATTCTCGAGGGAGTTTCCCAGCGCTGCACGTCCCGCCGATTCCTGGCCCTGGTGCAGAACCTCATGGCTCGCTGCTTTCATTCCCTCGTGAGTGATGCCCAGGCCCTGTCTAGGCGGCCACTATCGCACTTTGTAGATTAGCACTGGTAAATCAGCTATTCATAATCAACGGTTTTGGGTTAGATCGCGTTATTTATAAATGTGTCTCAACCCTCCACCACCCGACACGGCCAATCAGTAAAAAAGTGTCACGTTGACAAAAGACAAATAGTTCACTGCTTTAGCCCATCGGTGTGTTGAAGCGTGAAACCACAACATTTACAATTTTTGAGTATGACGTTTCGCTGGTAATTGCATCCAGCATCATCGGGCAATTCGCCAGAATGGTGAGGCTCTGCTCTTACTCCCAGTCTTAAATAGAGCAGCAGTAGGGTGACGTCATCATTTTAGTCATCAGGTGCAATGATTTGAGGCGGGGGGGGGGGTTATTGTAATTATATACTAGATTAGTAATCAGGCAATTGTTACGATGTGAGTTGTAGATTAGTAATCAGTTGTTATGTGTATTGTTGAAATTATATGAAACCACAACATTTAAAATTATAAATTTTAATTGTTGTGGTTTCATGCTGTAACACACCGGTGGGCTAAAGTAGTGAACTATTTGTCTTTGTTAACGTGACACTTTTTTGCTGATTCGCCGTGTCAGGTGGTGGAGGGTTACGACACATTTATAAATAACGCGATCTAACCCAAAAACGTTGATTATGAATAATATTGGTCGCGAAAGTCTACGTGTTAAACTAAATCAGCTATATTTACTAATGTAAACTAAAACTATTAAATATTTTAATGTTGCCATTTTAGGCCCACTAGGCTATATAATAAAATAATAAGTAAATAATACTCACAGTTGAGCTGTGTTCACTGTTGTACCTCTCGAGAGGTAAAACCGTGAACAAAACAGAGTGAAGGAAAGACAAAAACGGCGGGAATGAAACGCAAGAGCGACAGGATGACACGGAGATACGCAGAGCTACAAATCTCGCACCGCCTACGGGGCGTGAGCGTGCACTGCAGATTTAGCTGCTGAAAGAAGTTGTGTGGATGCAATGTTATTGTTTCGCTGACCTGGTGCGGCTTTAATGCAAAATCCAGCTAGCTGGGGTTCTACTCTACGTTGTAATTGGCTATTGTCAACCTTGCAGCTTGTACAGATGCGGTATGCACCGCAGTAATAGAAAGCGATTAATTCTTGAATCGAATCGCGACCAGAAATTGTGACATTTTATCGAAATGCAGGGGAGTGAATTGTTACTGCATGATATCTACCATATGCTATGTTAAGCATTGCAAAGCATGTTTTTTTTTCTCTCCATTATTTCATCTGGCCTAAATATGCTTAGTGACTATAGCCCATGCATAGCCAATGAATGTTCTTCTGGCGAAAATTTAATCTTTTACATTATAAAATACTTCATCGCCTTGACATCTGCCCACCTTGGCATTCACATTGTCTGTCGTGCCGAAGGTGCCGAGGACTTTCGCATTATACGTGTGACTTGTGGCCTACCCCACAGGGAAAAGTTAATCTGGCCATGGTGCTCTACAGACGTTGCGTGGAGACGGATGCACGCCATCTGTCGGCGATCTTACGGGCTCTCCCTGCTCTTTCGTCAGCTCGGGAGGGCGAGCGCAGAGCTCCAGGCACTGGGTCTGCTCTCTAGCGTAAGCACCGCTTGCCGCTCTGGGGGCTTCCACCTCCATCTGTGGCCTGCAACTGTATCACCCAACACATTCCTCCTGCGGAGGGAGCTGGTAGGAACGTTGGGTTGCTCGGTCAATGGCCAGGGTCAACGGCAGCGTGGTGTATTCCGCAAATATGGCCGACTGTGAGGGCGGGCACAAGCCGGCGTGAGTAGGTTAAACGTTGAGTTTTATAAGGGCACCACGGGGTGACCAGCCCCTCCCCACCCTCCCCTCCCCACCCAGCCCCTCCCCACCCTCCCCTCTCCACCCAGCCCCACCCCTCCCATTTTTGGATGCACGACGGACGGACACAATAATCCCCTGTGGGCTGATGTAACCATGAGGTTCCTACCAGTATAAGTGGTATATTGAACTTCTGTCGCACCATACGTAGCCAACCGTGCTCATCGTAGGTGCGGGGGAAGGACAACAAACTAAACGCAAAAAGCAGTAAACAAAAAGTTTTAAGTCTAGATTTTAAAGTGCATAGCTCCCAATGGCTTCCGAATACCATGTGATGATGATGTTCACTATCATCCACCGTCATCATTGCCATGCGAGGTGGCAACGATCTAGCAACGTTGATGCAGGGTGGGTAAGTCATGCAGTGCTGTAATTACGATGTGTATCTCACACCCAGCCTCGGTGTACCAAAGCGGTGTCGTGACAGCAGCACAGCAAGCAGGCTTCAGGAAAGCTACGGTCTTGAATTCTGCCGACATCATCGTGTTCCTGAGGCAGCAAGGGTGGCCGCCGACAGTCTTTGAGTTGTCTGGGATCGTGTCCCGTGGTCTAGCTCCTTCAGCCACGGGGACACTTTCAGGCCAGGCTTGATCCCGTCCCGCTCTAAATACAGATAGTCCCCGAGTTACGATGGTCCAACTTACGATATTTCGATCTCACGATGGCGATAGCGATACGACAAAATTGTCAAATATTTAAAAATTTCGCGCGGCAGTCAAACGCAGCAGCGTACAAGGTACGATGCTGTACGTTGGGACGCTGCCGGGATGTACTGTACGCATCTCCCGCCTTGTGTGATGCAGATAGGATTGTTTCCTGAAAAAAACTTTCTATTAAATTGCAGTTCATATAGGTAGGTTCAGAATTTACCTCGGTTTTGTTACTTTACATTTTACTGTGCAATACAGTATTGTAATTAATACATACATACAGTATATAGTTTATACAGTACGGTACTGTAAATTGCTACATTTTGCTAAATTCCCACCATTCCTTAAGACTCCTGGGTAGGCTAGGCCATCTTCGACTTACGATATTTTTGACTTACGATGGGGTCGTCGTAACGCATTTCCATCATAAGTAGAGGACTACCTGTACACGTACGGTCTGTCTTAATCTGGTGAGTCTGTTCAGTTCACAGTTACCTGTAAGGATCACAAATACGCCCTTGGGGTCTGACTCTTCGGTGCAGCCAATGAACGCTAGCTAATAATCTTAAATAAGCCTCAGTTTGGCTGCTTGAGTCTTGATATTCCGTTAATCGATAATGCTTCTAACCACACATTCATTGGCCCGAGCATTCCCATTGAATCTAAGTAGACAAATATGTACATACATTTGGCTATGTGAGTAGTAAGTATTTTATTGAGTCCTGTCCTCAATATTATAATTAATTGGCATAATAAATATATAATTACATAATGAAGCACATTATTGTAATTTTTTGTATTTTATTAATCCTTTCAGTACTCCTTTCAATATGTAGTCTTCATAAGCAGAGTTTGTTCCTGTCTTTGATATTCATCATAAAAGTTAAGTACTTTATACATCATAAAAATTGACTACTCTATACAATAAAAAAACCACTGGCCATATAAATGTCTTTACAGCACTTTGTATTCATTGATGAATGGGATGTGCCTGTGGGTGACTTCATTAATTATTCACGGTTTACACACGTGGTGTTACTCATATCAATGAGCTTGGAGGTTGATTCTTTGGGCTGTTTATCATCTACTTGTGCACACTCGATGTCACTGTCTCACACCAGACTTGCTCAACATTTGGTTTAGTAGTAATAGGTTTTTACCCTTTTATCTGGCACCAAAACTGACACCTTTATACAAGGGATCATGTTTGCAATAACCACAACACTTGCAGTCGAAATGCAAACAAAAAGAGACTAGGCTCTAAGAAAAGCCGTTTCGGGTGTGGACCAATCAATTTCAAGGACAGTGCATATCATTATTAGAGTTGTCTATTTTTGTTTGAATTTCGACTGCAAGTGTTGTGGTTATTGCAAACACGATCCCTTGTATAAAGGTGTCCGTTTTGGTGCCAGATAAAAGGGTAAAAACCTATTACTCTATCTTGCTACTGGCAAAGGAGGTCTCATAATGTAAGCAACATTTGGTTATTTATCTAATATGCTTGTTTACCCAGGACAGCCTGAAACTCACGACTCTGCCAAGTTTAATTTTCAAATTGCATGTGAAACCAATCTCCTCACATGCTTACACATTGACCTTAGACATCAATTTTATACCTTTTAAAATTAAATCTGAAAACTATGTATGAATGTTGAACTTTTTCGATGTCTTTCCGACAGACTTGTTCGCCTGAGGACGGCTGCTTGCGTTGTGGCCGAAACGTCGTGAGAATTGTATTTTATAATGTTTTATTTTCATTATTTTATTATTTCCCTTCTACGTGACTTTACCGAAAGAACCAAGAAGATATGTTGAACTTCTTTCGCCCCGTACGTAGCCAACCCTGCTAATCTGAGCTGCGGAACCAGGAGTGTGGTAACTCGGGTTGTTTGTGTGTGTGACATTGTGCGTGTGCGTGAACCAGGCGACAGGTTCCCAGGCTGTGGAGAGTGAGGCCGAGGCGATGGGAGGAGACTCCGTATATTTGTTGGGGCAGGGCCCAGAGGCGTTGCTCTGCCAGTCAGTTGTGCACGTTGCTGAGCACCTGGAGCCCACTGGGGCACTCTACCTGTTGGCCAGCAGAAGCCGCCAGTTGCTCAGGCGAGTGCGCAAGCTATGCTTATTACTGTGTGAAAGTTCACGGTTATGGACGTATGTACGTTTAACTTTTTTCGCACCATATGTGCTAATTGGCGGTGAGGTGCAAAGTGCTTAAAGCGTATTAGTCCATAAACTTTGTTTTGGCATGGGGGTCACCTGGTGACTGATAAAAAAATATATCCTGAGGATTATCAAGCATCATTCTCAGTGGCAATAGGGTGAAAGGCTTCGAGAAGGGGTCGTGGTTTCTACTTGACCGATGTGATAATGGTTTTTCTATAATTCAGTGTCGATAACGCTAATAAAGTATTGTCAAACTGCAATTATATACCACTGACAATTGTATACAGATTTTGTATGCAACACACACATATCATAGTAAATGGTAAATAAATGCATGTGGAATAATATTTGACAGTGTAAGATTCCAGCCAGGGTCATTCGTACAATGTATTATGCCACGTGTAAACATTAAGTGCAATTTCATAACTTTGGAAGCATTGCCTCATGCGCGGCATTCTGGTATGATTACGTGAATGTACATCGTATGTGGGTTCTCACCAGGTGAAATAGTCTTGGAATGAACAGGTGCTCGAATTATTTTTGATAAGACTATTAGGCAAATTTAAGTTATATGTGGTACATTGATTTACTTGAACTTTGGCCACGAAAGGCATAAACCCTTCGACATGAATTACGTAAGCTTTTAATTATTTTTGCAGACTACTGACCGAAGCTTAGATGGCTAGTGTGGCAAAATGTGCGCTGGCTGTGATGAGGTGTTCTCAGTAACGGCGCCTTCCACAAGAGTTGAACCACTCACAAGGGGCTCTTCGTCTTTGTGATTGGTGTAGGTTGGAGGAAGCGGTAGAACGATATGAAGAGTTATTGGCCCTGCTGTCAGATTCTGCTGCTGTGCAGGTATAAGTATCTTAATTTTCTCTTGTTTACTTAGACGTCCAATGCAACATGTTGAATTTGTATTCTTGATTCTTTCGGTAAAGTCACGTAGAAGGGAAATAATAAAATAATATAAATATAAAACAATACAAATTATATTGTTTTATATTCATATTATTTTATTATTTCCCTTCTACGTGACTTTACCGAAAGAACCAAGAATATGAATCCCTACAGTCACGAAAGCTTTAAATCAAAATGTTGAATTTGATTTTTAACCATCGGCTAATTTTTCCTCAATTTAAAATGACCCTTTCAACTGTATCGCTGAGACTGCACAACATGTTTCTTCCCTCTACGATGTTTCTTAACATGACCAGTGTTTAAATTGTCAACCCTTTTAGGTAGAAGATGTAGGCCTGACCGTTCCTAGGATCCCTGCATTGTACCTTGAACTAGCCTCTACCTTTCTGCATCTGAGGAAACACGACAGAGTTATTGCAATTTGTGATGATGTAATCAGCAAAACCAGCTGCACCATCCCACAAAAGCTGGTTCTGGATATGAGGGGAGACTCCGCAGAAATGGGGCTCCATGTTGCCCATTTGAACCCTTCCCGGGAGGCAGAAGACCCCGTCCTTTCAGCTTTTTTCAGAGATTCACCCGGAGGTGAACATTCAAGCTACCCACAAACAGTCACTTGGGACATCGGCACCAGTCGTGCAGATTTGAAGCAGGTGAGAACTTGGAATATGTTTGACTTGTGCTTATAGAACGACCAAAGCTTAGATGATGGATGCATTTCAAAACAACGATGCCCCCTAAATAACTATATAAGCATGCAAAATATTGCAATTATTTCTAGCACAGAAACTGATATCATTTTTTTTTATGTTATATAATAAAAATTTGCTGGCTGGATTCCGGCCTGGCTGGCCGGCACGTGGTTAGGTGCCCGTGCGTGGCGGTAGTGATGTCACCGTGTATATTTGCGTGATCATGTGACCCACACCCCACAGCGTTGAGCCAGGTTCGTCCGTCGCGCTTACATCACGCCTCCCCCCTTGACCCTGCACCATGGCCATTTGTGCGGGATACTGTCGAACGATCATATCAAATACTGTATTAGGCAAAAGTTTTGCTCGCTGGCTGGCTGCCTGGAGGGAGGGATGGATGGAAACGTTCAAAGGACGTGCGGGTTGCTATTCTTGTAAAAAAGAAAACTTTAAAAGTTATACTCAAAGTTTAAAAAAGTTAAATAACGCGAAAGACAAAAACAACCATTGTAACAACCCCAACAAAACTTGCAGAGAATCCCAATAGCAATTTAGCGACGACGTATTATTTCTTTAATTTCAGGATTTGGGCGACACGCGGTCGCGTGGGCAGTTGTCTGGACGTTGGGCCGAGTTTGGCTGGCTCTGGGGCCACGAGCGGACAGCGTTGCCCGCGGGAGGAGGCGCCCGCTTCAGCACGGGGAGCCGCCGCGTGCGGGAGAGTCTGCACGCCGCCCTGTGGACGGTGTCTGCGCGGGTCCTGCGCGCCGCTGCGCTGCTCGAGCTCGGCAAGGCGGACGAGGCCCTCCGGGAACTCGACAGGTGTTGGTGGCCGTCGTGTGGCGCGACTTGCTTGCTTTAATTTTTTTAATCGCGTCGTCGTCGAGAGGTTACTGACAGAAGATCGGCAACTGTCGGCGACTGTCGTGAAAGGCAACCGCCGTTACTAGAGCAATATAGACCGTCTCTTTCCATATACGTACCTAGATTAACACGCTTGCTGCCGTATATTTGTTTGCGTCCTTGTTTCTTTGTGTTCCACAGCCTAAGGAGGAGCACGTAATGCGTTTTGTTAATTTCCAGAGGGAAACTACAGACATGAGCGGATGGGGATATCGCGCGGTTCGTTTCTATAAGCCAATTAGGCTGCCAGTAAGCTTACAAGCAGAGTTGAAAGGTGGGAGCAGCGAAGCAAATGTGCAGAGATCAGTCGTGATGAATGCCTGATGTTGAATTCTGTTAATGGATTGTCTTTCATTCCCCGTGTATGTTGCTGGTTGCCTCGCTAGCCTGTGGGTCTTTGTGCGTTCATATCCTCCGTCTCTTCACATGCATGCTTGTGCGTTCTCAGGTCGACCGATGAGCTCTTCAAAGTTATCGTCATTCCTAGCAACAAAGGTACGCTTCATATTGGCAGTGGCTATTCAGTAAACAGGGTTCCAGGTACTTTGCGTAGTACGTGCATCTAGCCAGGCTAATACAGCCCAAAGTTAAGCTCGCTGCATTGACTCGATGGATTGGCGGTGTGTGGCATTTCCGCGAGCATGCAGAGGCCGTGCTCTGTCTGGCAGTAGCTAATGGATCAAGAGTACATGTAGATAGAGCTCCACCAGCTGCGAGTGGTCACCGACATGTGAATGGTATTCTAGATTTGAAGTTTTTGTGATTGCAAGGATTCATACTCTTTGTTTTTTGGTAAAGTCACGTAGGTAAAAATAATAATTTTTTTATTTGTTTTCTTTTTTTACCTACGTGACTTTACCGAAAAAACCAAAGAGTATGTGAATGGTACCCTCCGAAAATGACGTTGGACTGCCCTGTAGTTGCCTCCTTTTAACACGTTTTTTTTGCAATAGCATATCGGAGTGCTGTGTTGTCTTTGGTCGCACGATCGGGGTGTTATTAAAAGGTATAATGTGATACGAAATTGTTACAACGAATCACTTGCGGACTCGGGAGAAAGTTTTGCGATATCAGTGGTTTCACTATAACAGGTTTAATTACAATATGAACTGGGGCCTTTGGAAAACATTAATGCATCGCTGAGTATATATGCAAGTGTGCATTTGTACAGGTCTGGGAGTCATGCACAGGTACATGTTTACAGTATTCAATGTACTGTACAATGTAGTGTCTAGTGAATACTGTAATAAAACAACGATGATTGAATGTTTGACAGCCCGTACGATAGTTAAACTCGTGGCCGCTGATGAAACGCGATCGCTGTGTGAGGTATAAATCAACGCGAGCAACGCGTTCCTGCTGCAGCTACGTTCGTTGTAAACAGGGGATCGTGATGAGCGTGGGTCATAATAACGAGATATTACCAGTTAGTTAACATCCTACGGTGGCGAGATGTTAAATACCTCGCCTGGTATACAGGAGGTCGTGGGTTCGATCCTAACCCTGACGCCTGTTGTATATTTGGAGTTTGCATTTTCTCCCCATGGTCGCTATGATTTTTCTCCAGATCCTCCGGTTTTTCCCTTCATATTTAGAATAATGCGTTTAGAGCGTTTGGATGCTATAAATTTCCACATGGCAAGCCATTTTGTTGAGGTATCAGTTGTGGCCAGGTCGCTTCTGAAAAAGAGCTGTGTAGTCTAATATAAAAAATAGTTTATTTTTTTTATTTAATACTGCACACCAAATCCATTTACAAAGAAGGAACTGCTACGTTGAAATGTATTCCCGTTTAAATCTGTATCTTAGTCGGCTCTCCAACTACAAAGTGTTGTGACATCAGACTGCGAACGAAACAGGAACACATTTCCAGACGTCGGCTTGCATAGCTGATTCTTGTGTGCGGTTAACGGCCTTAGATGTCACTGTTGCTTACGTATCGCATTTCGTGCAGATTGCTCCGTTCAGCGGGAGTTGCCACTCGAACAGCTGGCACTGAATCTGCTCAAGAGCCTGGTGTTTGATGGCATCGCTGGATGCTTGGAGACCCTGGGCAGGGACAAAGATGCGTTGCAGTACTACATGTGCAGCCTGCAGGCGAATCCTGGTGGGCCCCAACACCATTTACTCTTCCTTCTGATGTTAGGACGCCACTGAAGCAATGCACTGTCAAATCTAGATAAAAAACTCATTTCGGTTAAAACTGCATTTTGCGTTTAGTTTGTTGTCCTTCCCCTGCACCTCCGATTAGCACGGTTAGTTATGTACGGTGTAAAAGAAGTTCAACAGACATACGTACAAATACTAACCATTTCTCCCCCTCCTAGGTCTATATTTTTAACATCTACATACTCATGGCTTGTGGTTAAGTTAATATTATTGCGGTGTACTTTGTTCCAATACAGTTTTTTTTTCTCAGTCATCATAATGTAAAGTGTTAGGTCATTCCCACAATGCCATATCTCAGATATGTTCTCTACAAGTCTATGTGACTTTACCGAAAGAACCAAGAATACTGATGAATCCTGTTTGCTAAATTGCATTCCCACCAATCTCTCTCTAATTGTGATGGGTATGCCCATCGCTGGTCAGAGGAAATCTACTCCTGCACGTAGTTATCAAAACGGTGTCACACACATCTGTACTTTATCCACCAAAGTTGTTTGATTGCAGCCTCAGTGTAAAAACGCTTTAATCCAGAATTGGATTGACTGTCTGGTGATATAAAAAATAAGGCATAATTTAAAAACAATTCTTACCTGACCACCACATCTGAAGACCTCTATATGCCCTTGCAATGCCACATTTGGCACATATTGTATGTATGCACTGTCTGCGTGTGCGCGTGCGAACCGTCTGTGGGAGCGGTAGTGTAGAGGTTTGCGCGCTGCGCTACGAACCCGGCGGCCCGAATTTGATTCCCGCTCACGGCCAGCACCAGTAACGATTATCTGAACTGGTTCTGGGCCTCCCCTAGATTGACTCGGCGTCAAATGAGGAAGTGGTGCGGTGTGTAACAGCACTCGCCCCAACAGTGTTAAGGCTATACGGGGAATTTTTGTCCTTATAGTGGTTAGCAGGATGTGCTACGAACCCAGCGACCCGAATTCGATTCCTGCTCATGTCCAACACCAGTGACGATTATCTGAACCGGTCATGGGCCTCCTCTAAGTCGACTCAGCCTCAAATGAGTACCTGGTGTGATGTGCTAAACATTGCTACTGGAGAGACAAAGTCGGTCAAGTGTGGTGCCAGCCACCCACCCACCCCCTCGTGTGCCATGCCGGACTTCATAGGTGCTCTCTAAAAGCACTTGCCCCAACAGTCTGTTAAGGCTATGTGGAGGATCTTTGTCTTTTTCGTCTGTGTTGCAGGTGGGATGCACAGCATGTACGGCCTGGTGCGGCTACTCAACAAGCGGAACAGGAAGGGGGAAGCAGTCGCACACTGGCTGAGCTTTAGGGGCCTCTTGGACGGTGACATCAGGCAGATGAATTCCAAGGGACAAAGTCTCACGGCGATTCCTGACCTGTAAGCCAATTGTTTTATTTCTTCATGAGAATTTTATAACTCGAATTACTTATAATTTTGAACTTGTTGCAGTATTACTCCTTGCACGCATTCGCACATGAAGCCCTCTTGAAATGTATCACGATGTTCTACTCGGGCGACTTAGCCACAGGATTCACATGCGTTGACTTTGCATGCAATTATGAATAATATTAATAAGTGCATAATACAGTTTTTTTGGGGTTAGATCGCTTAAATATATAAATGTGTCGTTAAACTCACCACCACCCTACACAGCCAATTAGTAAGGGTTGTCACGTAAACAGAACGTGCCAATTCGTTACTAGTACAGCACACCGGTGTGTTGGAGAGCAAAGCCACAACATTTACAAACTGAGTACGCCGCTTCGCCAGTAATTACAACTAGCTTCATCAGGCGACAGCCACATATCTTACTAATTGGCTGTGTCGGGTGGTGGCGGGTTTAACGACACATTTATATTTACGCGATCTAACCCTAAAAACCTGTGTTATGGATGATATATTGGTTGCGAAAGCCTAAGCAATAATACGTTCATTGAACAAAATACTACGATTACTTTAGAAGCAGCTGATTGCACCTCTGAACAGGTCGCTTCAAATCCTTGTGCCTAACAAATGAGAGCGGTATTGAATGATTCTGGCAGTGGGCCATACAACTACGTGCCAGAGCAAGTGAAGGTGCCGAGTGAGGGAGAGCTGCTGGAGATGGACCGGGACTCCTTGCTGCACTGGGACGGCTACAGCTCGGAGGAGCGGAGAGTCCTCCGCACGTTGGCTACTGGATTGTTGCCGTTGTCCAACTAAATGCAAGTTATTCTCTACTTCCTGCTGCGAGATAAGGGCATGGGAGCCCTTGAGCAGTGGGTCACGTGAGGTTTGTGTTAATATATACGATTGAATGAGAACGTAATTCTGGTATTACTGGACTGGCTGAACCGCGCTGATAAATAGTAAAACAGCACGTAAGTGTCCGTACAGTTTAATGCCGCGTTCTTTAACATGATAAAAGCTCATTGACATTCGTTACAAGCAACACCTAGATATCTGTTCTTGCGATAACAAGTTGGGGCACATCAGCATTTGACTTCACAAGTGAAACATTTCAACTACAGCAGGGCGATTGAAGTCGTCATCTGTCTGAAATTGCACACCATTCCGATAGGGTTATGTAAACTCCCACCCCAGTGGGCAGGGAGGGGCAACGGAGGGTAGTGAACAACCCAACTGAAACACGAGCTTGTGCCAGGTACTGCTTTGCAGGTAGGTATGGGAGTTAGCAATTTAATGTTTTTAGATGATTTTGCTGCTATAAATGTCCACATGATAAGCCACTTTGTTGAGCTATCATTTGTGGCCTGGTTGCTTCTGAAAAAGAAATTAATAGTTCAGTGGGCTTTACCTGGTAAGGTAAAAAGATTGTTTACTTTTATATTTTTAAGCGGTGTTTACCTTTCCTATACTCTGCACCCCTTTTGTGTTTTTGTATCTTTGTGTTTGTAACGTTCTAACTCGCCCCTACTGGACATCTGTGAAAAGAGCTTTATAGCGCATCGCATTCCTCCTGCAGTATAAATAAATATTCTGATTCTGATAACATGTGTCCATGTGTCTATGCTCACGTGTCGAAGCTCCTTGTCTTCACCCACCCGCCGTGACCAGCGTGGTGATGTTGAGTTAACCCAGATAACCTGCACCAGTGAATTCACAATTTACTAAAGGGCTGTCTGTATGTGTATATGCTGTGAGTGACTGCATATGTTGTTGGTGACTGCTTGTGGGTGTATGTCCATGCACCTAGCCTGGCACGAGCGCCGTGGTAACGCCACCACCACCACTTGGTGGTTGTTGTATGTGTGAACTGGGTGTCATTGTGGTTGTCTGTGGTTGTGTATGGCGACTCTTTGCTATTTCTCCAAAAAACACCACATCATGGTCGCTAAAGAATTCTATCTGGTCAGTTCCCCTTGCAGCAAGGAGGATTACTTTAAATATGCTCTTAGCAGGCGTAGTATGCTTCAAGTTTCTTCAATGTTTTATTTTCCCTAGTGACAGTTTAATAGCGGAATGTTGCACTAGGAAACCATTTATAATAAGCAGCTGCTGGGAATTTCCAAAGGAAACATAATTTGGTAATTAAAAATATGACTGTAGCATGTGAGATGATTTAAAACTGGGTTTGAACACATTTTAATGGCTAAAGGTGCAAATATGTATTGTAAATAATTTATTTTAGAGGTTTTTTTTCCCCTGAGGAAAGCCTCATTGAGTCTCCATGACTTTTTCAGGAGGGGCCTCCCAAATTTTAGTTTGCAGTTGGGGGGTGGGGGGGCGATGATTGCTTTGTATATTCCAACTTATTTCTGGGTCATTTTTTTAATTCGGCAAATGTTCACCTTGACGCCGGCACACAAAGACCTAACCCTTGCGAATGACGTCACGGGATCTTTTTTTTACGGTTAATACACCCGCCACATTAATAACCGGGGAGGCCTCTGGATTCGAACCGTGAACCTCTGCAAACAAGCGGCGTACGCGCTACCGCTGTGGCCACGTTGCCGCCCGACCATGAGCATGACAACTGCGGGGAATGGAGATTCGGAGTTTACGTTAAAAACAAGAATCGGAGATAGTCGTTCGGGTAAACGGCAGAGCGAAAGTGCAAACGGGAATGATCTCACTGGGAATCACAACGGGATGTCCGAGTGTCCCTGGCAGGATATCCAAGGTGACTCGGTGCAGAGGGAAGGGCTTGCCGTATCTGTTGGGCGAATGGCCCTTTCAGAGCGTGCTGGTGGTATGGGGGGACAGTAAGGGGAAACTGTTCTTGCTGGTATGTGTGCGGGGAAATGGGGAATGTTTGGGTATGTGAATGGGGGGGAGGGTTAGGAGTTTGGGGAGGAGGGAAGGAGGCTTGGGAGGTTGGAGGACAATTGCCGGGCAAGGCGCAGGAAGGTCCCCTGTGTATTTCCTGGTCCGCGTAATTTGTTTTTGTGATGCAGTGAAACGTTTTGTGTAAACTTGGTATCCTGTCCGAGGTCTCTTGTTGAGTCTGGCTTCAGTTAAACACATGAGCAAACATGAGACTCATGGTTTAATACTCTTTGGTTCTTTGGGTAAAGTCACGTCGGTATAAAATAAAAGAAATCACGACGTTTCGGGCGCAACACAAGCGTCCATCATCAGATGGGAAAGCGTGATCTGCTGCTGGGGCAGACTGTTTTTAAAGGTTTGAAATGGGTGTAGCTCAATGGTCATAAAGAAGTGGCCCGGGCTGGTGATGTTAATGTGAGAAATGTTTCAATGTAAAGTAGCGGTGTCCTCCACTTTTTATAACGAAGTTTTCCCTTGCAGGAGTGTATTCCTGCCCGCTTGCACACCGCCCACTTCTGGAATGTGGGTCACGTCATGAGCAATGGTTTTCACTTGATGAATTGCAACATTCTTCAACTTGCCACTTCGCCCCTTCACACAGCCGAGTGTATGGATATTTACGTGGCAGAGCATTCTGGCACGAGCGTTCCACGTGAAAAAAAAGACTTGGCTTGAGCTCCATCACAGGGACTGTCCTGGTGTCACGAGCACTCCTTGTTAAGATCGGGATTTTGCCTCGGCGTAAAATGTTCCGGCCTCATGATACGTGTGTATGTTTGGACTTCTTTCGCACCGTACGTAGCCTGACCGTGCTAATAGGCGCGGGGGAAGGCCATATGCCCTTCGGCCCTCGCCACCACCCCTGCCCGAGTGCAGCGGGCCCTGCACAGGTGAGAGGCAGGAGGAGGCTTTGCACCACCCGGGGCTGGTGGCCGTGCTGCAAGACGGATGACCCCTGGCCAAGCTTTAGCGGTGCCTAGGCATAAGCGGACACGCTAAAAAGATGAGTTAAAAACAAAAAATTCTGTGAATTCGGCAATAGCACTGCGTTGCAGAGAATAGGTACATAATGGGTGACCTTTTGGGTAATGGCCCTGAATTCAGAGCACACAGACCCGAGGTAGAGTGATCGAAACGTCGCCTATTATATAACTTTTACAAGGCAGTGTTCTTGACAAATGTGAGTTTCTTTGTTATTTGTGTGTTGTGCAGCCCTGCCAACGCTATACAGTATAACATGGGTACTTTTTACCAAATATTTTGCTATATAATAAGCGGATATTTGGGGGGTGGGGGGTAGGGTTGACTGGAGTGGGCGGGGCCAAATTAGTTTGGGGGCGGGGCCAATCGGTGGGGGCGGGGCCAGCTCACGTGACGTTCGCTAGCGGGCAGGGTTATTGGGGTATTTTTCAAACATGTTCTTTTGATAATTGGTTTTTTACCCTTCTATCTGGCAACAAAACTGACACCTTTTTTACAAGGAGTCATGTTTGCATAGACCACAATACCTGCAGTCATAATGCAAACAAAAAACATAACTCTGATAATGTATCCACTGTCCTTGAAGTTGATTGGTCCACACCCGAGACAGCTTTCCTTAGAGCCTAGTCTCACATGGTGTTGCACCAGATGACGCCAAAAGGCGCACTCAATCAACTTCAAGGACAGTGCACATTATCATAGTTATGTTTTTTTTGCATTATAACTGCAGGTATTGTGGTCTATGCAAACATGACTCCTTGTAAAAAAGGTGTCAGTTTTGTTGCCAGATAGAAGGGTAAAAAACCAATTATCATATTTTTTACTGGCAAATGAGGTTCCAATGATCTTCTTTTATACACTGCAAGCGTTCAAAATGTCCACGTGCTAAGACCGAAACAGGTGGAGGATTTATTCTTCACAGAATCTGGCTGTCGCCTGATGATGCTGCTTGTAATTACTGGCGAAACGTCACGGTACCCGACTTGTAAATGTTGTTGTGGGTTTCACTCTCCCAGCGCGCCGGTTTGTGCTGAACGAGGAACGAATTGGCACTTTTTGTTTACGTGGCAAACCTTGCGGCGGGTTTAACGACATATTTACGCGATCTAACCCCCAAAAAAACCCTCTGTTATGGATATTTGTCGCGAAAGCCTGCGTATTAAACTGTGTAATTTATTTAAACTGGTTTCAGTATAAACAAAAACAAATCCCACGATTTTTTTACTTCGTCAGTAAACGTAATTAACCTTGCTCAAGTGAGCATTGAGGCCTGTTTAGAGCCCCCATATATTGGTGACAATTCTATATCCACGTGGCGGGGGGCGAGGCATTCCATAGGACAACCACTGTGGAAAAAAAGGTACTTTTGTTAAGCACCATGACCATTACAGTAAGCACCATGACCATTACAGAGAACGACATTACAGAGAACGAAGAAACGCGAGCCACGTGGCCACGTTGACTTCCAAGGCTGAGACGACGTCATTCGAACAGCTGATCAGAGTTCGCACGCAGTCATGAGTTTGGGCATGAGCTGTAAAGTTGTATTCTTTTTTTAAAAAAATGTGGTTACACAACGCTGTATTCAGTTATGTTTTTTTGTTACATTTATTCACGTCTTTTTTGCAATAATTTTAATTCACTGAAAAAATATATTGCAACCGGGCCGATATAAGTTTTGGGGGCAGTGTTGCCAGATCTGATTGATAAAGATGATGAAAGATATCACTGCAACATTTGTGGAGTAAAATAACATGAGCGGCGACGTTCTGAAAGCAGTGAGTTTCAAAACTCGCACGAGGAGCACAGCGCACACGGAGAGAAAACGCCCACAAGTAACAAAGTTCACTTCGAAATCCGCTCCGTGAGCACAAGGGTCAAGAGATCAACCCTCACCTTGATCCGACACCGACGTGCGGCACGGGACGGATGAGGGAATGGCAACATCAGCACAGTTTATGATGTATGTTTACGTAGCCAACCGCGCTAATCGGAGGTGCGGTGGAAAGACAACAAACTAGACACACAAAAAGCAGTTCTAAAGAAATACGTTTTCAATCTGGATCACTTAAAATGCCTAGCTCCAGTGGCCTAATATCAGAAGGAAGAGCGTTCCAGACGGCCACAGTAGAGCATCTGAAAGCGTGAGAGGCGGTGACCGCCGCCTTTGTTCGACGGCGAGCAGCCAAAAGCCGCTGACACGAGAATGGACGGAGTTCGCGTGATGGTTTGTGCTCCTTGACGAGATCATGAAAGCTTATTAATTCAAATTATAAATAGACACTTGCGGCAATTAAATAATCGAAAAGCAACCATTCGTTTAATAATTATTTCAACGCCTGGGCTCTGTGCAAGACACGTCGTCTATTCACACTCTACTTATACTGGTAGGAACCCACTGGTTCCACCAGCCCACAGGGGATTATTGTGTCCGTCCGTCGTGCAGGAAGGGGCTGTGTGGGGAGGGAGGGGCTGGGTGGGGAGGGTGGGGAGGGGCTGGGTGGGGGGTGGGAGGGGTGGGGCTGGGTAGGGGGTGGGAGGGGTGGGGCTGGGTGGGGAGGGTGGGGCTGGGTGGGGGGGTGGGAGGGGTGGGGAGGGGCTGGTCACCCCGTGGTGCCCTTATAAAACTCAACGTTTAACCCACTCACGCCGGCTTGTGCCCGCCCTCACAGTCGGGCATATTTGCGGAATACACCACGCCGCCGTTGACCCTGGTCATTGACCAAGCAACTCAACGTTCCTACCAGCTCCCTCCGCAGGAATGTGTTTGTTTATTTTATTTACTACTTTTCTTCTGCTATTCGTTGCGCCCGGTTGCGATTTATTTTGCCCATTCAATGTTAACCGCCGAGGTCTTGACGAGTCTCTGTTTGTTATGCCCTGTCGCTTCGTGAAACACGCGTTTAGAGTATTTGGCTGCTATAAAGTTCCACACATGACAAGCCACTTGATTGAGCTATCATTTGTGGCCAGGTTGCTTCTAAAGAAGAAGCTATCCAGCTCAATGGGCCTCACCTGGTAAAATAAAAGTTATTATTACACGCTTTCTTTTAACTCTTGTTGTTGTTGTCGTTGTTGTTTCCTCAAATCTTGTAACTAAATTTTAACCCACTTCCCAATGTGATATCGACTGCAAACTTGGTATACGTATGGCATACGGATGACAATACTATATTATATCATACATTTTTTTTTAAACAATCTTTTGTTTTATGTTATGTTTCGGCTTGGGTCTAATTGTCCACGCTCAACTGACGTTGGCTGTAATTGACCACGGTCCCATACGTTATGGCAAGCCTCGGGACCACTTCCTGGAGTCGTGGAGTTCTTCCATTACCAGTACGGTACATAAAAGCGTGTTTAAAAAAAAGTGTTTTAAAAATATTACTTATTTTAAGTGATGTTCTTACCCTTCCTATACTTTGCACTGCTGTCGTGTTTTGTATTGTTTGTTGGCGTATTGTTCTGACCACGTGCCCCTACTGGAAATCTTTGAAAATAGCTTAATAGCTCATCGGATTCCTCCAGGATAAATACAGATTCTGATTCTATGCCCCCTTGTACCGTTCTGCTGAACTGATGCTCACTTTATTGAGGGCAATACAATAAAGATGTATTGATTGATAAACGAGAGAAATCGATTTTAATGGGAGCATTTTATGTGCCCGGCTGGTGTAGAGCCAATGAAGTGTTGGGGGAGATGGGGGGGGGGCTTTGTTTTTGACGATGCAGTCAGTCAAGACAGATACTCTTAGTTTTTTCGGTAAAGTCATGTAGGTAAAAAATGAAATTAAAATTAATAAAAAAAAAATCACGACGTTTCGGAGGCAACACAAGTCTCCGTCATCAGGTGGGACCGTCACAGCCAGATTTGCTGTATCATTTTTTACCTACGTGACTTTACCGAAAAACTAAGAGTATGAATCCTTGCAGTCAACGACAGCTTCAAATCTAGAATTAAGTCAAGACAGAGTTATTGATGGGCGTGGCTAAATTCTAGTGGGCGGGACTATCGGTATTGTAGGCGTGGCTAGATTCTAGCGGGCGGGGCTATCGATGTTGTGGGCGGGGCTATGTGCGTTGTGGGCGGAGTCACGACGGAGGGGGGAGGGGCAATGCTATTTGTGGGCGGGGTCACGACGAAAGGGGGAGGGGCAATGTTATTTGTGGGCGGTGCTGGAGCGAGAAGCGGGAGGCGCGTGGCGCTGTGGACGCGACAAGGAGGAGGAGGAGGCGATGGTGGTGGCGGTGGTGGTAGCGCGTCTCGTACAGTCGTAGTGGTTGGAGGAGGAGGCGGTCCGACCCCAAGCCTCCGCATGCCGCCCTCTTATAAAACACGACGAGCGGGAGATTAATGCTGGAGGCAGACAGGGCAGGTACAAGTACAACAAGCAGATACACAGACGTCACCAAAACAACAACACAGACACATACACACGGGGGGTTTCAAACAACCATCGTAATTCCCTCCAACAACCAAGCCATGGAGGAGAGTGACGAGGGCGGTGGAGGCGGCGGAGGCAGCAGCAGCGGCGGCGGCATCGTGTACCAGGACTCTGGCGAGGAGGAGGCCCCGCCGGCCGGCGTGTCGGCCCGCGTCTCGGGCATGGCGGAGGGCGTCTACCGCGAGCTGGAGCGCCTCATGGGCGAGCACGGCGAGGCGGTGCTGCGGGACCTCGTGCCGCTCGTGGTCGGCGTGCTCGAGGCCCTGGACGCGGCCGCCTCGCAGGGCCACGAGCGCCAGGTGGAGCTGGAGCTGCTGCGGGAAGACAACGAGCAGCTGCTCACGCAGTACGAGCGGGAGCGCACGCTGCGCAGGCAGGCCGAGGAGGTGAGGGGTGGTGAGGGTGAGCGGTGAGTGAGTGTGAGTGAGACGTGGTGAGTGAGATATGGAGTGGGTGAGCGGTGAGTGAGATTGATGAGAGAGGAGTGGGTGAGCGGTGAGTGAGACATGGAGTGGGTGAGCGGTGAGTGAGATTGATGAGAGAGGAGTGGGTGAGCGGTGAGTGAGACATGGAGTGGGTGAGCGGTGAGGGGGACGTGGAGTGGGTGAGGCATGGAGTGGGTGAGCGGTGAGTGGAGTGGGTGAGTGAGACTGTGGAGGGAGAGGAGTGGGTGAGCGGTGAGTGGAGTGGGTGAGCGGAGAGGGAGACGTGGAGTGGGTGAGCGGTGAGTGGAGTGGGTGAGCGGAGAGGGAGACGTGGTTGGAGTGGGTGAGTGGAGTGGGTGAGGGTGAGCGGTGAGTGAGTGTGAGTGAGACGTGGTGAGTGAGTGAGACATGGAGTGGGTGAGCGGTGAGTGAGATTGGTGAGAGAGGAGTGGGTGAGCGGTGAGTGAGACATGGAGTGGGTGAGCGGTGAGTGAGACGTGGTGAGTGAGTGAGACATGGAGTGGGTGATCGGTGAGTGGAGTGGGTGAGTGAGACTGTGGAGGGAGAGGAGTGGGTGAGCGGTGAGTGAGTCGTGGTGAGGGAGGAGTGGGTGAGCGGTGAGTGAGAGTGTGGAGTGGGTGAGGGTGAGGGATGAGTGAGACGTGGAAAGTGAGTGTGATAGGAGTGGCACGGGGAGCAGTGAGGGATGGACACGTTGAGACGTGGAGAGAGTGAGTGTGACAGCCGAGGAGGTGAGGGTGGCCACGGGGAGGAGTGAGATGGAGTGACTGAGAGATGGACACATTGAGTGAGACACGGAGAGAGAGTGTGTGTGCTACAGGAGTGAATGGAGGCCTCGCAGGGGGCGGCAGTGTGTGAGAGATGGAGTGATATAGGCAGAGAAGAGAGGGGGGGGGGGGCTGAGAGGGACTGAGACCCCGGTTGGGATGTGGGGTAATGGAAGTGAGAGGTGAGAGGGAGATAGAGAAGGGTGCCGAGAAGAAGCTTTCCTGCAGGGGTTGAGTTGGTGAGAGATGTGGAACGAGGAGGGAGAGAGATGGAGTTGACGGGTCTGTGTGAAGGACAGATTAAGAAATCTTGTTGCCCTCTTGAGTGGAAGCTGTCGGGAAACGGGGATTGTGGGGACAGGGTGACGGGAAGAAGTGGATGAAAGTAGCACGTGAGTTCAGAATCATAATATGTATTTGTACTGGAGGAATCCGATGAGCTGTAAAGCTCTTTTTCACAGATGGCCAGCAGCGATAGGTGAGAAAGTTACAACAAACAATACAAAAATACGATAGGAGTGTAAAGTATAGGAAAGGTAAACACGTCACTTAAAAAAAATAAACACAAATAAAACACTATATAAGTTACAGATATTTTGCTGTGACGGTTTCACCTGAAGACGGAAGCTTGCGTTGCCTCCGAAACGTCGTGGTTTTTATTGTTTTATTTTTATTAATTTTTATTTCATTTTTTACCTACGTGACTTTACCGAAAGAACTAAGTATGAATCCTTGCAGTCACGAAAGCTTCAAATCTAGAACAAATAAAACGAAACGATGTTTTACCTTAGCAGGTAAGGCCCACTGAGCTATATTAGATTCTTTTTCAGAAGCTAGCTGGCCACATATCGTAGCTCAACGGAAGTGGCTTATCACGTGTAAATATATAGCAGCCAAATACTGTAACTAATCTAGAAGATATTGCAGAGTGTGCAGACGGAGGAGTGTTTTCGAGATGGCTTGAGAACTATGAGGAAGTCGAGAAGACCATTAGAATGCCCTTTATCCAGAAAAGCCTGTATGCAAGTATGTTGAACTTCTTTCACACCGTACGTAGCCAACCGTGCTTATCGAAGGTGCTGAATCACTGAGTGTTATACGACTCTTTGTTTTTATTTACACGCTTTCATTTAACTCACTCTGTCTGTTGTTGTATCCTCAAATCTTGTAATTCAATTTTAACCACTTCCCAATGTGGTATCGACTGCAAACTTGGTATACTTATGTCATACTGATGACAATACTATATTCTATCTTTAAAAAAAATATTTTTTCGAACATTATTTTCTATGTGTTATGTTTCGGCTTGGGTCTAATTGTCCACGCTCAACTGACATTGGTTGGTATGGCAAGCTTCGGGGCTACTTCCTGGAGTCGTGGAGTTCTGCCATTACTAGTACATTTCATAAAAGCGTGTTTAAAAAAAAAAAGTGTTTTTAAAAATATTACTTGTTTTTTGTCAGGAGGATCTTACGTCGTGATGTTTGTTTGGCCAATTCTGATCGTGATTGTTGAGGTCAGATTCGACGGGGGGGGGGGGGGGGGGGGGGGGGGGGGGGCTGGTGTTGAGCAGGGCGAGCAGACGTGGTGAGGTTGGTGGGGTACCCGTGAGAGAGGTGTGAGAGTGAGGTTCGACACAAGGTGACTCTCAATCCGAGAACGTGGGCAGATGGCGAGAGACAAGAGCGGTAATGCACGTGGCACGCACGAAGCGAGAGTAAGAGGGGCCAACCCAGGCTCAGGAAGACAGGAAGATGCTGCTGCTGCCTTGGTTTTACTTCCAAGTCGTTCATGCTGACGTGTGTGTGTGCGTGTGTGTGTCACAGGTGTGCGTGTGCATGTCACGTGCTGCTATTGTACACGTGTTGTCACTTTCAAAGACTCCTACCTGCAACTGCTGTACAGCTGCATTTTTTTGCTGACACTTCATTACGAAGACGTTTCAATCACTTGCGAACAGCAGCATATTTAAATCGCTTGCATCATGTATCTGTGCAAGTATAGACTTGCAGATATATAATTGTAATTCTTGCAGGTATATATATAAATCACCTCTAAATCACTTGCGACCAACAGAATATTTTAAAAACTATATCGGCACCTTTGCAGGCATTCTCATTCATAGCTTGTTGACAGTAAATATTTTTTTTTAGAAGCCGGTTTCAGAGTTGTTGGTGGCAAGTGAATAATCCGTAATTGTGAGAATCCAGAACAAATATTTTTTGTTCAGATTTGTTTGTTGGAGAAGGCACTTTGTGTGCCCCGGTGTCAGAGTTTGCATTGCTTCGTGTCAGCAATGTTGATGGGTATGGGAATGGCAGCGGTGTGCCTCGTTTTGTTTTTTTGTCGTGACTTTGTCGTGACTTTTGTGTGGCTTTTGTGGCCTTCCACGTGCACGCTGTGGCCGCAGCATGTGGCATTGGTGTGGACGTGTGTTCGTGTGTGGGCTTTGGGTAATCTCTCTTCGTGGCTTATAAAATGTGTATTAATGTGGGCAACACGCCCGCATATTATACCAATGAACAATCTCGGCACCTCTGATTAGCACTGTTAGCTGTGTATGGCTTAACATACATACTTAAATGGATTTATGGTCGTGCCTTTTCCAGAATCGGTTGTATTGATAAAGACAAGTTTTACTCCGACCTACGCAGCCTTCTGCAGGATATCCCAGCTGACGACAAGATTGTCATCCTTGGCGACTTCAACGCCAGAGTGGGCAGAGACTCGGAAACCTGGAAAGGCGTACTTGGAAGGCACGGCGTGGGCAGCTGCAACGACAATGGACGCTTGTTACTTGAACTCTGTACAGAACAGCAGCTTTCCATTACCAACACCATCTTCCAGCAGAAAGACAGTCTGAAAACAACCTGGATGCACCCTCGGTCAAAACATTGGCATCTCATAGACTACATCCTTGTGCGCCAGCGTGACCTAAAAGATGTCTTTCACACCAGGGTAATGCCCAGCGCCGAGTGTCACACAGACCACCGTCTTGTCCGCTGCAAACTCAGCTTTCACTTTAAACCCAGACCAAGAAACGGTGGCGCCCCGAGGAAGAAGCTCAAAGTCTGCAGCCTTCAGTCTGCCGCGGTCAAAGCAGCTTTCCAGAAAAGCCTACGATCTAGGCTAGAGGAACCGAGCTGCCTAGGAGACTCGCCTCCGATTCCTGAAGTGCTGTGGGACCGCATCAAAACTGTTGTTCTGCAAACATCTGAAGATACCCTCGGATTCTCCACGAAGAAAAACAGAGATTGGTTCGATGAGAACAACTTAGAAGTCCAGGAGCTGCTGTCAAAGAAGAGATCAGCACACCAGGCCCACCTGGCCCGACCATCCTGCCCGCACAAAAAAGCAGCCTTCCGCCTGGAATGCAGCACCATCCAGCGCAAGCTTCGAGAGATTCAGAACGAGTGGTGGACCAACCTCGCAGTAAAAACTCAGGTTTGCGCTGATACTGGCGACTACAGGGGATTCTACGAAGCCCTAAAAGCAGTATATGGCCCCTCGTACCAAATCCTGAGCCCCCTGCGGAGTGCAGACGGGAAAAAACTGCTCACTGAAAAGGACTCAATCATGAACCGCTGGTCTGAGCACTTCTACACGCTCTTCAATGCTAGCCGCTCAGTCCAAGAACCAGCGATTGACCGCATCCCACAACAACCAGTGAAAACCGAACAGGATGTGGCACCAACATTACAAGAGACTGAGGAAGCCATTAAACAGCTGAAGAGTGGTAAAGCTGCAGGAGTCGATGGCATCCCTCCTGAAGTATGGAAGAACGGAGGCCCAGCACTGCACACCAAACTCCATGAATTCTTCGTCTGCTGCTGGGAGCAGGGTAAACTCCCTCAAGATCTCAAAGATGCAGTCATCATCACCCTGTACAAGAACAAAGGGGAGAAATCAGACTGTTCCAATTATCGTGGCATAACACTTCTGTCCGTCGCCGGCAAAATCCTCGCAAGAGTACTGCTGAATAGACTGGTACCCGCAATAGCTGAAGATCACCTCCCAGAGACCCAGTGTGGCTTTAGAGCCAACCGGGGAACCACAGACATGGTGTTTGTCCTGAGGCAGATTCAGGAAAAGTGCCGGGAGCAAAACAAAGCACTGTACGTCACCTTTGTGGACCTGACAAAAGCGTTTGACACCGTGAGCAGGCAGGGACTT